TTCCACTCTGCTGATGAGGTCTACCGATCTTCCTCGGACGGAATTGATCGACCACCAGAGGACCTGCTCCAGAGCTTTAATCCGCCTGGCCTCCCTCCGTCTACTCTACGACTGAAGGTTGGTGTTCCTGTCATGCTCTTGCGCAATCTAGATCCAGGGCAAGGATTGTGTAACGGCACGCGTCTTGTGGTCACTGCTGTTGGCCAGACAGCGCCTTTCTTTATTGGTAGGATACTTGGCGGTGAGTTTGATGGTCAGATCCGAACGATTGCGCGCGTGAAGTTAGTGTCTGAGAACAACGATGCCTTACCCTTTCCAATCGTTCGGTATCAGATTCCGGTCCAACTCTGTTTTGCTATGTCCATTAACAAGTCGCAAGGTCAGTCGCTTGAGATTGTTGGTGTTGACCTACGACATCCTGTCTTTACCCATGGCCAGTTATATGTAGCCCTTTCACGTGTTACCACTGTATCTGGCATCTCTATTCTGATTCTGCCTGGTTCGATGGGCAAGGTAGTTAATATTGTGTATCCTGAGGTTATTTTGTAGACTGCTCTGTACAGTGCATGTACATTTCTGCCCTGCTACTATATTTGCCCTATTAGTAACGTCTGCTTTTATTACAATCGTATCGGTCCTGCGCTATCCTATTTTGGGCGGTGCCCCTGGAAATCCGGTTTTGGCTTCGTGTAATGACAGATCCGGCCTTGGCCCCCTTAAATCAGGTTCGATCCCCTTCGATCTGCTATGATACTTTCTCCTCGCTTCTTACCCACCACATTATACTTCCTGTTATTTTGCCTTCTATCTGCTTGCCATGTCACTCTTCATGTACACATCTGCTAGGGCCATTTCGCCTTCTGACCCTCCTGTACACAAAGAGCCCATTAGGCCTGTAGCTGTTATGCCAAGTATTAAGTGGCAAACGTTTGTTCAAGAGATGCTCGATTGGCATCACGTTGCAACTACCTACCTTGCCTGCATCAATTATGGTCTGACCGGACGAGAGGAGAGGAGTATTAGCTACACCCACCTTAACGTAAGCTGCTTTTGTGCTACTTTGTTATATGGGCTAATTTTCTCATAGGACTGGAACCTTCGTTATTCTTCTGCTATCCTGCCCAAGTACGATATTCCCTCTTTCGACTTCGACTACGACCTGGACTGGCCTTTTGTTGATGATGGGGGTGCAATAAATTGGCGTTGGTGGGGCTGTTACCGCGGCCTCTACCCGCCCTATCTAGGGCGGCTTTGGTCCCAGATGTGGTTCCCCTCTACTGTTGTCCAGGAGTGGCCGCTCCGGGATGGACCAGTTCATGGTCGGGTAGTAGGTGATCTACTAGATGCTACCCGATTCTATCCGCCTTATATGTGGAACCACAACATGAAGCTTCTGAGGCTTATGTTTCATAATACTGAGGTGGTTGAACTAGAAGACCCATATTCTAAGCCTGACTTCTATTTCCGGCATACTCTTCGGCCAAGGCATAGGCGTGCAAGGTCAGAAGAATGGTACACATCGGAGAACTCTCCCTGTTGGGTTCGGCCTAATGCTCATTGGGTATGTTATCTTGACCAGTCTTTAATCTTTTCTGATCATACTCTAGATTTGTCATGATCTTAAATGCTCTACGTGTTATCCATTAGCACAACGTCTTCGGTTATTGCCAGAAGATTACGAGCTGGAGTATAGGGATACCCCTTCACCTTCAACAGAGTCAATATCCAGTCCTGCTCCTCTTTCTCCTACAAGCTACTACGATAGTAGCATGTTACAGGATCTCCAATTAGTGTGGATCCGTCATTGGGCAATTGGGCGCATGGATTGGGCTCATCAGCACTGGTCTGGTCGGAAAAGGAAGGCAGATAATCAATATCGGAAGCGGAAAAGACATTTCACTGATTGGATTAACAAAGATACTACTCGCCCTGAGAAGTTAAGAAAGTTCGTAGGTGTTTGGGGTCTCGAGCTTTGGCATCATTTCTTTGAAGGTCTTGACAATGTATAGCTACTAATTCACTTCATATCTATTGCAGGAATAGTCATGTGCAGCCCATGATCCAATCATATTAGCTACCTATCGTGAGATCGTAAACGCCGTCCTTCATGCAGTGGGTATATTGTTACAAGGTCAATCCGTTAACTCCGGCAGGGAAAGCGTTAGTGGGTGTGGTGCTAGAGCAAACCGCTGCCACACTAACTCACATCTATCCAGAAAATGAACCAACCATCCAAACCCAGCAAACCAAAAGCAACCCCGCCGACTCCGCCTAATGCTTTTAGGGTCCACTCTGATTAGTCTAGAAGAGATACTGATGATCATCAGGCCTGTGCTTGCGCTCTTTGAAGAATTTCCTCTTCTTTGGCGTGCCTTTCGCGGGGACGGTCATATCAGTGCGGCCCAGATCGTTTGCTGCAGTCTTAACCTTTTTTTTCCTGATATTGCCTAACTCCGACTGGATCGAGTGTTCATCGCGGGATCGTTTCGTGGCCGATCGGGTCTTGACTTTTTCAACAAATGGAGGGTCGGAACTTGAAGAAGTGTTAGCAGAAACCTCTGCGTCATCAGCGGCTACGAACTCTCTGTCGTCGGTATCTTCCGGGTCCTCATCTTCTTCAGATCGACCCTCGGCCATGTCGGTGTTGTCCACGGGCCCTTCCGCCTCTTCCTCATCACCATCAGCCAGGCCCTCTTCAGCATTGAAAGCCATGCCAACGTCCACCACCATGTTGAACTGGGATGACAGGGACTGCATCACCTTGCTAAGTTCCATGCACTTATCTGTCGCGAGTTCCATCGTATCTTCAATCTGGTCCTGGACCTGACCAAACCAGGACCGCAGTGATTTATTGTCCATAGAGATTACTTCTTGGAATGACTTAATCACGATTGGTGGGGCTGTGTACATATTTTGCCGTATAGGCTGGGCCCTGGTCCTTGGAACTTGGTGACCGAACGAGTCAATCATGGAGGCCATGACCGGATTGCGAGGAACGGTGGGTTTGTTATGGATCAGAACTGAAGTGGCTTTTCGGGGGCTTGGATCCGCCTTGGTCGAAGCCGATCTAGGCCCTTTCGGTGTCGGGGTGGATGTTGGCACGGCCAGACCCTTCCACGGAGTGGGGATGCTCTTTGGGGAGGTGGTGATATCTTTAGGCATTGCCTTCTCCTTCTTTGGCTGATAGACTTCGTTCCATTCAATGAATTCAGTTCGATCTGCCGATATATGTTAGTATCTGGGTATATCCTATTTAGAAAGAGAATGACTTACTTCGGAGATCGCAACCTTTGCCTTCCGCACCGTAGTGACAATTCGCACAACTATGGCCGAAATGGTCGGGGACATATACACAGTAGACGAACTTGCCGTTTTTCTTCAGGCATTTCTGGCAGGGATCCCGTAAGATCCGACCCACCATGAAGGCCACCAGTGCCTCGGCTGCTTCGGGGCGTGTGACTTTGATTGGAACTGGGTTGAAGCCGTTCTGAAGAGGATCAACCTGTGTACGCACCATGACAATCCGATTCGTTTGCATCTTAACCAACCCTAAATAGGCTGTCGTGACCTTCACGTTCAGATCCTTTATGAACTTGGGGTCCATTAGGCGCCTAGAGAGTCCTATCATCTTCGCAGCAGTCTGGACCCCTTTGTATGGCGGCTTTAGATCAACGATTTCATATGAATCGGTGTCCTCCATAGAAGAGTCGGACTGCTCAGATTCGCTGCTTGAAGGTTCGGGCTGAGGTATGATCTTTCCCTTCTTTTTGCCTTTGGTCGGCTTCGACCCAGCTTCGGCCGGATCCATCTGATAGGGCGAAACGATTGGGGTTGGAGCGGGCAGGGCCTGACCCATGCCATATCCGTAATGTCCATACTGGGAATATGGTGGCATGAACTGCTGCTGGAAAGGGTACGGTCCGCCTGGAGCAAACGGAGGTGCTTCATGTTGAGGCCACTGGGTGTTCTGGTACGGACCCTGAGCCTGCGGATATTGACCCTGGGCCTGCGGATATAGACCTTGCGGTGGCGGATATGGTCCGCGACTTAGCTGACGGGCAAATTGCTGCTGATGTTCTCCATGGCCAGATACGGGTTGGATATGAGCGGGGGCAGGCTGCGAAAAGATATTGTTAGTCTAATTCCTTCCCAAGTCGTATCAATCCAGATTGATCCAGATTTACTTACGCTTCCACCATACTGTCGCCAGCTCTGATCTTGGCCGCCCTGCAAGCTGTCTGGTCTAGTCTGGCCAAAGGCGCGGGCGGGCACTGTCTGGTTTGGTCCTGCCTGCGATGCCATTGGACTCGGGCGAGACTGCGTGTCTTCTGGTCGGGACGTATTGGGCACGGAAGGCGAAGAGGTAGGTCCTGACGACGTGTTGTCTGATGGGGTGGGTTTGTCGTCGTCTAGCGCCTCTATTTTTCCTGATTAGCCCTAGATCATGACACGCGTAAGGTAAAACTTACTATCGCCATTAGCACCAGCCTCTTCGGCCAAGAGGTCCTGGCCTCCGGTCAGGCCTTTACCTTGGGAATCGATAATGACCTCGGTATTGATCTTTGGCGATGGAGGCTTATCATTAGGTTGCGACTGGTTGTTATCTGGCGTTGTCATGGCGTTATTGGACGCGATCCGCCGCGTCAGAAGTGAGCAGAGGGTGTTAGAGGCTGTTCTAATTAGATTTTAACCTGAAACGTGCGGATAGGGTAAGATGTGTACCTGTAGCGTCCTTGGCGGTTTGGGATTGGCTGGTAAGGTCGCACTGCCCTGGTTGGGTGGGTTGGTGGGCGTGGCAGGAGGAGATGTGAAGCTGGGTTGGTTAGATTGTTTATTGTGGCGGCCGTGCGCGTAAGCGAGCTGTTACGTAATCCTTCCTAATTAGGACTAGCCCCCTTCTTCCTGGAAAGGAAGGCTAATCTGCTCGTTTGAACTCTTTTTCATTTTCACGTTAACCTCGCAACTGGGTATATGGTAAATACTATCTACTTCTGACTAAATTACATAATCGCGATGTATCCATGCAATAGAACTCTTTGCTATCCTTTCGCTCTTCCAAAACCCAAATCCTAGATTCTGCTTCGTTTGCCTAATTGTTTCCTCCATCTCCTGTCTTCGTTTGTATTAGTAAACTACTGGTGTTAATCCATTCAATAGTCTCGAATCTACTTCCACGATGCTCTGCCGGCTTGGGGGCGAATGCGTTGCATTGTCTCAGATGGCCCGGAAGGCGCGTTAGTGGCCTGGTTCTGGTTGTGGCTACCGTGACGACCATGCTGTTATCCTCAATCTCTCCAACAACCTTTGGCTTCTGAGCCGGCCTCAATACACGGTGTGCTTGTTGCCAGGTTATTGTTACCGAGAACGGATCCCGCCATTATCGCTATTCTCAACCTCCCTTCATGCCTATAGCCTTCGCCCCCCTAATTGAACTACTCCTCTTCGCATCTATCGCATCCACCCAACTAGCCTCTAATTTGGCTAGCACTGCGATTCTAAGTGGGCCGTTGTCGCCTACTGAACTTTACGGGACGATTTCCGAGTATGGGACGATGACCATTTCAGAGCCCGCGGGAAGTTTCAATACCACGGCCTCCTCTTCCACTTTGACTTCTCGGTCGCTGATAGGAATTACTGGAGTTCCGGTCCCAAGCCTCATACCAAATGCTACGACCACAGCCTTTTCGTTGGCTCGTCCCCAAGCTCCTAATAGCCAGCCCTGTAATAACTATGTCGAATTCTGCAACCGAAGGCTCAGTAATATCTCACTAGTGGTCGCCCATAATAGCCCGTTCGTTGTACCTCACAATGTGGCCAGCAACCAGGACCGGCGAGTTTCTTTGCAGTTGGAGGACGGGATTCGCGGCCGTACGTTGAATATCCCACATGCTGGCGCATACTATGGAACATGAACGCGATACCCAATATTTATTGTTGAATTCGAGGAGACAAACCAAAAGTAGCTCTCCTTGGGTCTTATTATGCATCATTGGTTGTGTTCCGTCACATGTGCCAGCATGTGGTGTGTTGTCCCCACGCTCAAACACAAGCTCACCAGTTCTAGTTCAATTCGAAACTCACATGCCAAATGGTACTCTCAGGCTATGTCACACTTCGTGCGACCTTCTCGATGCCGGCACTCTTGAAGACTATCTCCACACTGTCGCTTCTTGGCTCGTCTCTCATCCCTACGAAATCATTGCAATAATGATGGGTAACGATGGCAGAGTTGCGCCAACAAGTTACGTCGCGCCTTTCACGAATGCCGGCCTTATTTCGTATCTCTATACACCACTATACCCAAACCTGACCCTCGACCAGTGGCCGACTCTCGAGGAAATGATACTTCAGAACAAACGCGTGGTTGTTATGCTAGACTATCTTGCAAATCAAACAGAGGTCCCATGGCTGCTCGATCAATTCGCGTATCAATGGCAGACGCCATTTTCACCCGTTGATTCGAGTTTCCCCTGCACGCAACAGCGGCCTCCTAATGAGGCCGAGGATATTTCGCGCAACAAGATGTACATGATCAACCATAACCTGAACATTCCGATAGCACTAGAGGCTGGCGACGCTTCTATCCTGATTCCCGCGTATACACTTCTCAACGAACTGAATGCTGTTGAGGGCAACGGGAGCCTAGGGCAAAACGTCAAGAAATGCACAGCTATGTGGGGGAGGCCTCCTAATTGGTTGCTTGTCGATTACTACAACTTCGGGAACTTCAACGGTTCGGTTTTTGAGGTCGCCGCTGCAGCAAATAATGTTACGTACAATCGTAAATGCTGCGGCACGGAAACTACAAGTGGCGTGAAATCTCGCGAGTTTACGTTAAACCAGACGTATTTGCTTGCGATTATTGCGGCTGTTAGTGTTTACGCTATGTCCTTGTCGCGAGTTTAAGATTAGATGCATAGCAAAATATTACCACTGCATTCGTCCTCGCGTCTAGATAATGGAAGCCAATGAAAGAGGGGCTCACAATCATCCCGGACCAATACCAATTAGCTGGGAGTGAAGGCCTCAGCGCAGCGGATTTTGTGGGACCCGTAATAGCCAAGTATTCGAGGTGGTGGATCAACCTAAGGAATTGCGGCTGCTTATATTCGAGTATGCACTTGGTGGAGAAGTCTACCCTCCCGGTACTGTTGGGAGGGAATATGACGACCCTACTGCACGTCAAAACACCTGTATCGCGTTCAGCTTTGAGTAGTCTCTGAATTTCTTGAAAGAGCACATGAACAACTTCTTGTTCTCGGGGCGCCGTATGGGGGAGGGTTGACGACTAGTCGTTGGGGCTCCAAGTCTTTTCTCCCCCGAGAGAATAGGCAAGTTTATGAGGAGGTTCTCAGAGCAGGATGGAAGATACCCAGAAGCACTTCGTCGATGCACGAATCTTCATCACAGTCGTTGATGCTGGAGGTTGTGCTACTACTAAGTTTCACTGTAGTGAGAAAGTTTAACTGAACTTTATCAGCGAGGACTACGTCGAATTGTTCGGTTTACTAGTTAAGTCTTCATTCTACCTTGACGAAACCCAATCAATGGGAAGTTACTCTCAAAAAACTTTCCAACCTAGTACATTTCCGGGCGGGGGCGGGGGCGGGGGAAATGGAAGCACTACTCCGTACGCGTGACTTCCAACTGTAAGACTCTGGTGCGTTGCGAAAATACAGAACTTTGCTCATGTTACTGGAGCCATCACCCCACCATTACCAAAATTCCTGCGCTGTCTACCGAGCGACGCGCTGTTTCCCTAAATATACAGACACCTTATGCAAGTTGGTTATCCTTGGCCGGGAGGACCGGTGCGAGAATGATGGTTTGGCTATCGCTCTGAATTATAGCCTCGGCGCAATCCAGGCCGATGATACAGGGGAAACCCTCCAGAATAATGTTGGCGTTCCTTCCTAGGGGAATATATATGGAGAATGGCGGGGGTGTTAGCGGTGAGGGGGATGATGTAGCTCAACTTGTCGCATGCGAAACGGGTTCACGTGACCCTGCTTATGAATGTGGGACCCTCACCTCACCCTTTTTCTGTTTAGGACTAGCGCTATCTCAGCTACTATATCAGCTACTATATATTTACCCCTGAGCTCTCTCGAGCTCGAGAGACATTACATCTTCGCTTAATCTACCTAGTTTGGTTCTCATCACCTAATTAACTACTACCGAGCATAGTTCACCAGGCACGGCCCTCAGAACTACGACTACTCGACGACCTACTCGTCCATACTGAGTATAGTTCACTAAGCGCAACCCTCGGAACCACGACTGCTCGACGACCTACTCGTCCATACCGAGCATAGTTCACCAAGCGCAGCCCCCAGAACCACGACTGCTCGACGACCTACTCGTCCATATCGAGCATAGTTCACCAAGAGCAACTCTCAGAACCACGACTGCTCGACGACGGGAGACCTGCTCAATTCATACGAACAACTCTCCACTGTATCAACGTACATCAAGATGACCTCAGCGATTGATGTCTCCGTACGGCTCACTAATAAGAGCGACTGGAAACCCTAGTTTAGTCACATCAAGACCAGAGCAACTAGAGAACACATCTGGGAGTACATTAACCCAGATCTCTCGCCAGAAAACCTGAAGATCAACTCTATGCCTCAGAGGCCTGCTGTCATAGACTTTCATACAAGTAGCAGTCATTTCAGTGCCAATCCTGGCCCCGATCGTTGCCAATTTTCGAAGAACTCCAGACAGCTAGTGAGGAAATCAGGTGGATCCTCGTCAGTCTGCTCATGCTGGACCAGGATTGATTGGATAGCTGCTGCGCATCCAGGGTTTACATCCGAAATTGCCGATACGAAGCCGTAGTGTGGTTGATACTTTGCCACATTTGGGAAGTGGGCTGATCTGGCGTCAAGATAGGCGTTCCTCTACACTGTAAACCATGTGTCCTGATCCTTTTTTGATGACCACTTCCTAGCGCGGTCGTATGCAATTCGCGCGCTCTGTTTGAGCTGCTTGTCGGAAGGCTCAAAGATTGCCTTCAAGGCTTTTAGCCTGCTGTAGATGGTCTCTTTGTCTCTGATGATACGGTAGTTGGTTGCGTCGACAGTGCTTTCAATGAGCACATAGAGGTCCAATAGAGCTTTGTGTCGAGCTTCAAATAGCCTCAGATCATCGCGATAGTCCTCGCGAGCCATTGCGTAGCATCGCTGATCCGTTGAGGGTTAGGTCAGAGACCATAGGATTGGCACTGCGCTGACTGCTACTTGTATAAAAGTCTATGACAGCAGGCCTCTGAGGCATAGAGTTGATCTTCAGGTTTTCTGGCGAGAGATCTGGGTTAATGTACTCCTAGATGTGTTCTCTAGTTGCTCTGGTCTTAATGCGACTAAACTAGGGTTTCCAGTTGCTCTTATTAGTGAGCTGTACGGAGACATCAATCGCTGGGGTCATCTTGATGTGCGTTGATACAGTGGAGAGTTGTTCGTATGAGTCGAGCAGGTCTCCCGTCGTCGAGCAGTCGTGGTTCTGAGAGTTGCTCTTGGTGAACTATGCTCGGTAGTAGTTAATTAGGTGGTGAGAACTAAACTAGGTAGATTAAGCGAAGGTGTAATGTCTCTCGAGCTCGAGAGAGCTCAGGGGTAAATATATAGCAGCTGAGATAGCGCTAGTCCTAAACAGGAAAAGGGTGAGAGGTGAAGGACCCACATTCACCTTGAGCAGGGTCACGTGAACCCGTTTCACGTGCGGCACAACTGTCCGGTTCTAAACTACCTCGATCTCCTAGATGATCGGAGGGCTAACCATAGACTGCGAATGCACTATCTCTTCAACCTAATAAGAGCTTTGGTGCTAATGATGACTGTGTTACTTGGGCGGTTTGTGAGTCTCAACGAAGGTGTTAGTATCTGATAGAGACCGAGCATCGATGTCACTAAAAGGATGGGGATTCAGTCTGAGATTTGAAAATGTCCCCTCTGAGAGGTCATTAATGAAACTCTGGCAGTGTTCAGATTTGATAATGTTCCTATTATATGCTGCAGGGTTCTTTCACGCGATGAGTCTACGCAGGCTGTAAAATTGTGAAGGGTGGAGGAAGTAAGATGAGTCTATGAGTTGAAATATGTAAAAAGTTTATTAAGAAATATTTAACAAGACTTCACAGTTTCCAGCGTGAACTTACAGTATTGATTTTCATGCATCGAATCTGCGATTGTGTCGATGGTTGAGGTGGAAGGTAATATTGTTTTGAAGACCAGAACAACGATTACTAAGGTACCTCATCACTTGGGTCTGGCTGCATACAAGAAAGAGAAGGAAGCATTGAAATCTCTAATTTGTTACCCCTTATAAGCTTTTGCCGCTCTCGCCGCTATCAAGTATAAAACGAGTCAACCGTAACGGAGGTGGGTGAGGAAGGGGTTTTAGAAAGTAAATTGAATTGCAAGAATAACACGCGACCAGAGGAATACCCAAGAGCAATAATTCTCCAATATACGGCAGTGCAACTCACCGACCGACGCTCGGGAGGAAGCCAAAGCAAACCTTTAATACTACAAAGGACCTACTGCTCCTCCGCGAGATATTATGTAAAAGGCTCGACCGAGGAAAAACGTTTCCAAGGAAAAGAGATGTAGTATGTAGCGCTTCTCTGCCAGTTTGGATAAACGTACCACCCCCAGAGAAGGAAAAGGTTTGAGCGACAGCCTCAATCTCTAACTTCTGCAGTTCCGCTCCTGTGCCGGCACCCTACAGCTTAACCGTCTCGTCGCCGGATGCCGACACTAGGACCTTACCGTCCACCGATAAGGCCACAGCCCAGACTGCACGTGAATGGCCCTCGAGCGTATGCAGTCCTACTCCTGTACCAGGATCCCACAACTTGTCTAACTTGTTCCTCGATGCCGACTCTAGTACCTTACCGTCTGACTAGAAGGCCCTAGCCCAGACTGAACTCGAATGGCCCTCGAGTTTCTGCAGTTCTGCTCCTGTGTTGGCATCGCACATCTTAACCATCTCGTTGCCTGATGCCGACGCCAGGGCCTTACTCTCCGGCGAGAAGGTCATGGCCCAGACCCACTTCGGATGACCCTCGAGCGTCTGCACCACTGCGCTCCAGGTAAATCATAATCTTAGTAGCCTACGAATCTAACTAGCAATCTGATCCCTGAATATATTCTTAGTTATACTTGTCTCCGGCGTAACAATAATCGAAGAGATTTATAGTTAGAGGGAGGTAGTATCCACTATCCATTGGTTCTTTAGCACAAAGCGCCTTGCATCTAAAGAGACATATATAATCGAGTGTTTTCACCTGGCTAGATATAGCTATCTTAGTACAAATATGCAAAATAGCACACTATGCTGTGATAGCAATTTAACTTACTACAACAAGTCCTTAAAAATTACTAACTAGCGCAATAGCTTCTAATATCTTCTCTATAAGGCCTAAGGCTTCAAGCTAATAACGGAAGCACTCTTATGTTAACCTGTAGGCATAGTCCTAGTCTCTAATAGCTCTTTTAATATGTTTGCGATGGCAAGCCCAATATTAGCAAGTGTACTTTACATGTGGTAGTAGCCGATTATATATAATTCGGGTTGTCAATCTTGGCTCGTACCTTTTGGGAACTCTCAAAGCTGCACAAATTTATTTAGGTACCGTGACATTAACTCAATGCGTTTAGTTTTTACCATCTAGTAAGTTGCTCTCTTGTCCAACCAGAGCAGAGTCTTGTCGCGTGTCCGAGAACCAAGAAGGAAGTTGCGAAGGGAGATATGCAGGGGTTTCACAGGAGTATCGTTGGCGGGTATGTGGAGAACTAAATGTAGCGAATTTAATCTGATGTTAACATCTTCCGCTGAGATATTGAGGAGGCTTGCAATTAGAGCCGCCGGGAGCGGATCAACAAGAATGACAATTGTCCCAACTATATTTCGGAACTTTTTTAGCAAGTATCTTATTCTCTCCTCATCTTGGCCAATTAACTGATCCAGGATTAGCTGATATTTTTTTTTAATCTAGCTTTAGCATACAGCTTGCTACTTGACACTTCAGGATAGCATCCAGGCGCTTCTTTAGATCCCAATGTAGATCTCTAACAAACAACACACTGTGGCAGCGAAAATAAAAAGAAGGGTAACAATATTAACCAAAACTTCGATAGTCTCACCCACGGGCCAACCTAAGAGTAGCCAATGCTAAGAAATCATCGAGTGCTCGGCTGTTATCTTTGCAAAATTGCACCTTAGGGACTTCAGTCTATTCATCATATAAAGCGTAGCGTTGAGATAGATAAGAAGGGCAGCCAGTTGACAACTCTCGGATACAACTGCCTATGTAACTACTAGAAACCAACAAATATTTACGCAGGAGAGAGGTGGCTCTGTAGCAATGTGTCTCAAACAAAAGACGAATCCCAGCCCATGGCAGGCCATAATATCTTGTTCAAGAAGTCCCAGCCAAAAGCAACCGCAACTGTCCGGCATTGTTAAACAGGAGGCACGGTTTGTCTAACCGGTGATCGCAAATGGCGTTTGGGATTTAAGCTAAGGCGTGGACGGTGCAGTATTCGAAGGGACTTGTTTAGAGGCATAGTGCGTGGCAGGGGAGAGATTGGTCGAGTTAGTAACAGTTAGTGAGTGGTGGAAAATGAGTTCATGCAGGTGCTGTAGTCAGTCGCGCCTTTTTAATAGAAAAACTGCTGCAGTTATCTTAGCCTTATTTTAAAGAGTCGAGAATAGCTGTAGTTATCAGACGTTCTGCCAATGGTAAAGGGCCGCCTGGCTCTCTAAGGTTAGGGTGAGTTTTCCCAGCGCGGCTAAAGGATGAGGAGGCCAAACCGATGTAACTAATGTGTACCACCAGGTAGTAGCTAGCACCAGCTAGTGGCCCACTCAAAACCCCACCAAAAATGGGAAACTCTGTACCTTAAAAACCTCAACAACAGCGCAAGAATGCATTCCAAAATTTTATCATCAGTCGGTTAAACCTGTTTTAAGACTGCTATTAGTTCTTACAAATAATCCACAAGGTAGCAATTTAGCTGAAGATTGGGGGCCAAAACTCAATTTATTGGAGTCGCAAACTGGGTATGAAGGGCTAACTATAAATCTTGGAATGTATTATTACGCCGTTGTTTTAAGGTACGACTTTCTCCATTGAGGGTGAATGCTTGAGTAGGCTACTGACTGGTGCTGGCCACTGACTGGTTGGATCCGTTAACAGATACGGCAGGATATGGGCTCGTGCGCTAACTAGTGGTAGGTAGATATAGAGGGCCTAACTGTATATAGGCTAGTATAATTCAACAATTGACGTAAGTAAGGGAATAAAGTTCTTGAGGGCTTGGAGCGGAAGGTGATTTCACTACTCACTGTAAACGATATTTAGACCCCAGTCTCCGTTGACGATCTGGTGTCACAGGTGGACCTCGGTTTGACCTGATTCGCATCCCCGCCCTCCAGCTGTGGCGGTGCAATTGTAGACAAGTGAGACCAAGTCCTAGAGCCTGCAGTAGAGTGCAAAACCCTGTGGTGCTGTGACACTTGAGGGCGATGGGGCTGAAATGTGGGGTATCGATCACTGTGGAACAAGATATCTTCCCGTGTGCGGCTGAAGACTCGTGACTATTGACTTCACTACGGTTTCCGTATTTTCAGGGATATGAGGAATATGGGGGGTTTGAAGTCGCACAGTGAAACAAGTCTTCCCATTCCAATAATGATTTAGGAGGCTTAGTTCGGTTTTATTGGACGGAGATTGGGGAGGAAGTGCTTTCGCACGAAGTGGGACGTAGCCGAAATAGATCCCTCTAATTCAAAGAGATAATCCAGAGGCGTAATTAACCGCACGGTTGAAAGGCTGATGGCATGCTTTAACCAACTTAGGGCAGTGTGGCTCTTGCTTTGGAGGATTGAGTGTCTGGCTATAAATGAATTATTCCAGATCCCAAGAGGTAGGGAAATAGCTCTAGAGCTAGAAAACCTGAGGGATGGCATTGAAATGGTTGACATCTTAAATCTAAGAAGACTAGATGAGGAGGATGTTTGAGTGGGAGCACAACATCCATTCTATCCTGCAAAAATAAGAAAACAGCTTCGGAGTTAATGTTGTTGCATGATTCCGGTACGGGCAGGGCGTTAGGTCGCTGGAGGATCTGGCCTTTGAGGGCGTCTAACGAGAGATGCATCGTGGCAGCAATCTAAAGGTAGTGCAAATGGGTACTTTTCCGACCCAAATGGAGAACCACTAGCCACGATTCATGGTCTGAACTCGATTCGTTCCATCCTCCATCCGGACTAAACGTGGCGCAGGACAAGGAAGCCGTTTCTTCGTATCCGTGTGGCTGGTAAGAAGTGAGGCGCAGGCAGTGCCCAGAAAAGAAAAGTCCGCACGGGCCGAGACAAATCCCACATTTCTACTCACAGACACTAGCTGCAGGAATGCTGTGGCTAGTGGCTCGATAAATGTGGCTGGTGTTCCGGTTGTTCTTACTCAAATCCTGAGAGGATGAGACGCCTTGTGGCGCAGGTCCCCCCACTAACGAGAACGAGAACGAGCTTGAAACAATTGAGTAGGGCCGGTCTGGCAGTGTGGCCAAGTGGCTAGCGCTCGGGCCTACCTCTAGCCATGAACCAGGGCGGACAGAAGATCAAGCAGAATTTGGAGGATAGAAATTAAGATGTTGATTCGGGAGTGCCTGAACCCATGAACCTGGTATCGAGCCAATCTGCTCGTTCTCGAAGTTGAAGCAAGCTCGTACCTTCGGCCCTTTATCGTTCAAGAGCATTGGCCATCGAGCATTGATCTCATTTGACCTGATATCAGACCAGAGGCCGTATCGCACCTGCGTTTAGGATGATGAGACGAAACCTTGTCTCATTGATGGCTCCGCGGTATTGAATATAACTTTCTAAAGCTGTGTAAATTTGTACTCCGCTCGTCTAGACTTGCAATCCATCGCCGAGGTGTTCCACAGTATGCGCGATGCGAGAGAGGCACTATTTGGCGCAAAGTGGGTTAACCTTTCTCAAAAGGGTACTACGCGGTCGTTCGGTCTGCCGCATTCCGCGCTACGGGCCTAGAAGCCATATCTCACGTTAATGAAAGTATCGTGCGGCTCTAGGACAATCCAATTTGAGGAGAAGAAAATCATGGTGTTAATATGATCTTGCGGCGGTGATTGGCTTGTCCCGCACCCCACTCTTTGCGCTCCCCGGCGACCAAATTTCTCCGCATCTAAGGATATTGCTCGCCCTGAAGATCATGAAACGTTGCCGTTTTGGACACGGAGGAATGTGCACCTGAAATATTCTGGAAGACGAGTCGAACGAACACATTATTTGCAGACAAAAGGCATATGATGTTGCGAGCATAAAGAAAGGAGTAGAATAAGCAATACGTTTAAATAGACCATCTGCCGGCAGAATTTCAGGATCGCGATCAGCTACTTTGCTCAACCAAAATGTTGTTCAAAAGTCTCATCTCGGTGGCAGTCTTTACGGCTGCTGCTTCTGCCAAGATCTTCTATGCTGGTGTAGCTGAGAGCTCTGGTGAGTTCGGAGTGTATAGCCAGACCAAGCAGAAAGGCTTCGGGTTGCCAGGGCGTTTTGGAGTCGACTACTCTTTCATCGACAAGAAAGGGATTGATGTTTACGTTGACCAGAACAAGGTATGATACCAGCAGCCAACGGTAATGAATAGTCTGACTAGGCTATAGGTCAACTTGTTCCGGATTGCCTTCCTATTAGAGCGTATGTGCCCGCTCTCCTATGGGTTGGGCGCGAAATTCAATGAGACGCATTTCGATTATTTCAAGGAAGCAGTCGACTATGTGACGAAGACCAAGGGTGAGTTGCGTGCATCACGAGGCTTTCGGGAGACAAAAGTAACATCTCGCTAGGTGCATACTGCATTTTAGACCCTCACAACTGTAAGTACTCATCAAAAACATTTTGAATATCGTTCATCTTGGCAGATATGCGATACAACGACCCCTCGCAGCAGCCTATGACTGGGTCAATTATCGGCGATACCTCTGATAAGACCGCTGCCACAACAGCCCAATTTGGGGCGTTCTGGGGTGAATTAGCCGGCCGTTTCAAGGACAACGAGAAGGTCATTTTCGGGCTGATGAACGAGCCGCATGACATGAAAACTTCTCTTGTCATACAAAACAACCAAGCTGCTATTGACGGTATTCGAAAGGCAGGTGCTAAGCAACTTATCCTTGCCCCGGGAAACAGCTGGACCGGAGGACACTCTTGGACTGAAGGAAGTGATCCGTCGACACAACTTACCCAGTTGAAGGACCCGGAGAGCAACACAGCCTTCGATATTCATGAGTACTTAGATTCGGACTTCAGTGGAAGCCATGCGGCATGCGCCCAGTCGGTTACGAAGCTTTCCGGAGTTACCAGCTGGCTAAAGCAAAATAACTATAAAGTAAGAGACTGGCTGCAGTTTGGTGTTCTGAAGGGATAAAGTGGCTTACACGCACTAAGGCCATGATCACGGAATTTGGTGGGAGTAACACAACTCAATGTGCTTCAATGCTTACCGACTTCATCAAATATATGGACGCAAACGACGTGTACATTGGTTGGAGTAAGTAAATGGACTTCTCTACACATTCAAGTTTGCTGCTAACAACCTCAAGCTGCTTGGGCTGCCGGTCCCTTCTGGGGAAGCGCCAGCGCATGTTGCACCGACAGCAAGCAATGGGGCAGCCTTGAGCCGACAAGCAAGGCTAGCGATGGTTCCCCTGGGCTGTACGAGACCGTTTGGTTGAAGACAATCCAGCCTTTAGTTCCGAAGCAGCTTGTGTGGAGTGGTATGTCTAGCGTGAAAGGAGGAACAGTTACTACTAAACCTGTAAGAAAGTAGATGCCAAAATGTTGGGCAGAATAGAGAACGAAACTCGTAACCTTGATAGTAGTTGGATTGAATGGAAAAATCCTAAGCGATTTAGCTGAGCGACCGTCGTGTCAAGTTCGCGAGGTGTTGTGTGAATTCTAGCTTTGGTTAGCGGGAGTTTTGTTGAAGGTGTCTGGCGGTCAACCCTTGGCCCAGCTTTAGACGTTGGTTTCTTAGAGAGATTTGCGTAATTTTCTAGTGCACCATTCTGGAATAAGGACATAGTTGCTGTGTCCTGGAGGTTTTGTGGATCGCGGACCAGGATCAAACCTGAGAATGTCGGAAATGGATATACAGTTTGAGAGCTCATCATTGATGATGATGATGATGATGTCTTTATTACGCCCGGCTCTAGCCTAGAGGGCACTAGTACGTTATTACCTAAGCGCTTCCTTGGTGATGGCTTAACTCCTCGTTCATCATTGATTGTATCGTGAAGGAAGTCAGTTTGTGTGCCCAAGCTTTGAAAATTTCCGGCACGAGCTTCTATCAAGCTGCGCATTAGGTGTATTATAAGCGAGCCGCTGCTAACGATGGCTTGCAAGGCTGTGTCTGCTTCAAATAGCAAGCGGACGCGAAGGATCGATAAGCAACCCTGACCTTTTCCCTTCCTAGATCCGCTGACTAAGATTTTCAACATCCACCCTGTCGTGCATCCGCAAGTCTTAATGGGTTTCTGCATCTCTCCACCTATGGCCTAACGAAGCGCGATCGAAATGCGCTCATAATGCCCTGCGGCCGTTTCCACGGCTGAAGCTCTTAAATGTCTCGCCCCCATCAGACTGGCCCAAATCCAACCAATTTTCTTAGTGGCTGGACTCGAGTCTGTCGGATAGAGGATGCTCCGTGTGCATTATCAGCCACAGTTCCACAGCTAATGGCAAGAGTTGCACCTGAGATCCCGCTTGTTGTGGCTTCTTAGCGCTTGGATCGGATACTGTTCAGTTCATGACACAATGCCGACACGCAACCGGCTCCAGGGCTGAGGTTATGCTCTGGTATATGGTAGCCTGGAAATTGGAACTGGAACCTGGGCAACGGTGAACGGAATGGGTCCAAGAAAAGAATGGATTGAGGCGGTAATTGCCACCCGGATTTGGCGAGTGCTGTGGCTAGGGACATCCTCTAGTGCCCATCATCTTTCCCAGGATAGACCATCTTTATTTCCTCATATAAATCTACCGCCTCCATCTATAACCACTGGACGGCGAGCTAAATATCCCCAAATCATTTCCTAACACCATGGCCGGCTCACCAGATCCAAATGACTTTTCCCAGTATTTCGCTTCCACTCCAGAGTTACAAACTGCAGATACACCCCCAGGCCGACAGGATCGACTTGGGGTTCCGGAAACTGTGCCTTCAAGGTCGACTTCGCCAACGCAGTACGAGTTTATCACAACCACCGGCGAGGAGAGCGCAACGGCGAGCAAACAAAAGTTGAAAACAGTTCGAAGCCATGTGATGAAGAACTATTTGCAGCAACAGAAAGGTCGAGGATCGGGAGAACCTTCCCTCTCGCCGGCAGCTGAGAGAAGAAGAGGAAAGCAACGTGCGAGGTCGAGTCGGTCCACGTCTCGTGAGACGGAACGTGTGCCAATCAGCCCGACGGCAGAAGGACGTTCGGTGACCGCTGAGGTTGGGTCCTTATTCTCAGGCATTTCCTCATACACAGCCTTGATAGGTGGTTTTGAGGGACAAACGATATCAGGTAAGTGATACGCCCAGGAGGCCACTATTCCTATCCTGAGAAGAGTAGGTATACACCAAGGGCAATTGGCCTTTCCACTAGAGACAGGTTCGAGAGCCCCTACATTTAACTAATCGCCGCCGACTAAGCTAACACTGTGTGCTTTGGTATAGGAAATAAGCAGCCGTTCGCACTGGATTTCGAGTGGGACTCTCCTCGAGATGAGGTGTCAAAATTTGCGGAGCAGTACGTGGCGTCTTTGATCCATGACAAGAGAGCTAGCCTTGTAGAACCGAGTTTTGAAACGCTGAATTCCAAGGGCGAGACTGTGCGAATGATCAAGGACACGTTGGGAGTATGTGGAAACGATGTACCTCAAACAACTATATTTGCAGTTAGCCTGTTAGCATTCGGATGCGTAAGTTGACCTTCTTTCCTTCGTTAACTATGCTGACGGAGCAGGCGGTTGACTGCGATTGGGAACAAGCTCGGAGCCATCTGGAAGCTTTGCATCGTATCATTGATGCGCAAGGCGGTGTCCAATTCCTTGACTTCGAGTTACAACGAATCTGCACCTGGCCAGTACCCTCAATTCAAAGTATCGTCTTATATCACTAATACGTACTACAGGAGCGCGTACTGCCTTGCTAGCGCATTGATTCTCCCTCCCGCATTGCCTGCTCCGCATTATCAGAATACTGCTTCGCTTCCACTTGCGTTTCTTGATGATGCGCAAATCCGAGCGTGGCGAACAGTAAAGCGGTTTCCGAAGAACAGCTCGTTCGTTTTTGACGTTGTAGTTCGATTGCACCAACTGGGGCTCGCCGCCAGCTCCGACTGGTCCACCAATATTGATCAGAGAGCCCTCAGCAATCTTTATTTTGAGGCTCTCCAAAATTCAACAGCGCTTCAACTAGAAGAGCCGTGGAGTCCCACCATTGGAAGTGGGGTCCAAGGGCGGGAGACAACGATGATGTGGAAGGTTTGGGCAGCTGGTTTATCGCTCTTTGTTTGGGGTACTATTCGCCATTCTAGGAATCAAGCCGGCCTTTTCGTAACACACCGCTCTTGCGATCCGGTTATTTCTCGAATTCGGGGCTTGCTCGAGGATTTGGGCAGCTATCACTCATGGCCACGAGGAAGGAGTCTTGAGCCAGTTCTTGTGACTCTATTCTACTGTTCTGAGATGTGCGATATCATCGATCCATGGAGGTTGTGGTGTGTTAATGCACTACGAAAGGCTGCAGAGATGTTGAAACTCAAGACGGTTGAGGACTTCAGGAAGACGCTGGATGTCTTTCCATCTACTGAGCAATACAGAACTGCTGCGGACGAGATATGGAGAGAATTAACTCTGGGTACGGCTTCGTCTGGAACGCCCAGCCTTATGTTTTCGTCGATCCAATGAAGAGGTCGCTGTTTGGGGTTGGATTTCAGTATTTTCAGAAAAAGATTTTTTTTTCCCACACGGAGATATTTTTCCTTTCATTTCTTTTCGCCATAGCCACCTGAGATATTTCGTAAATCAATTTATCAGTCTCCCCAACAAATAAGCAGACAAGAATGAAGAATCTTTGAGCTGTAGAGACTTTCGCAGCACTTCCGTGATCCCACAGTCCAGGAAGGATTGTCTTCGTAAAATATACCATAAAGGGAAAACACTGACGTACTGCACTTTGAAACCCGCAATGTAAATTTAAATATGCCTGTGGCCGTAGAAGAGTGGGGGGAAATGAAGTTCCGGATCCACCAAGGCTGTGATGCAATTTGAGGAAAATCTGAAGATCATTAAGAGAATGCGTCGGATGAGATACTAAGCCTAGTCGCTATAGATTTCTGGGGTTACACAATAGACTAAAGGGAAGAGTGATTAGGAGTGGGAGAAAATTGGTATTAGTGAATGTGGTGATGTGTGGAGCAGCCTTTCGCGCTATCCCTCATTCAGCCATGGAGCCTTGGCGCTGAAGCTTGAGCTCCACTTCCCCGGCATGCCCACCGCCTTCTTACTCCCAATAGCTAAGTTGGTGATTAGCATCCTCCGAATATGTTCCAGGATGTGCCCCATGACTTGCTTCCGTCTTTACCGACATAAGGGCAACTATCTGCGCTGATTCTGACCTCTACACTAGAGCTGTTGCCATGGGCGTCAAATATCCCCTCGGAGAAGCCACCTCCTCCGATGCCCACGCAATTGCGACCCTCTTCGCACTATCTTGGACCTCTCCCTTTACACAACTCCAATTCGGCAAAATCAACCCACCTTCGCTAGCCAAGGCCATGGCCCCTCGAATCGTCGATCAAATTCGAAAGCCACACTGCCTATTCATTGTCGCTCGGCATCCTGAGACTGATGAGGTTGTGTCTGTGGCACAATGGTCTGCCCCAATCAGCAGCAAGAATGGGGAAGGAAATAAGAAAGAGATGGCAGGCGAGAAAGAGGAAAGACAGCGGCTCGAAGATGAGGGCTATCGGCAGAGGCTACCGGAAAATAGTAATAAAGATTTGATTATGGAGTTTACCGTAAGTCTGCGGAAGTTGAGGAATGAAGTGCTGGGGGAGAGGGAACATTACCGTATGGCTTGACCTCTAGCATTCTCACGCATGTCCAGCTAAACGGCAACCACAGGCCTAGAGAACCTTGCCACACATCCTAACTATCGAGGCCAAGGTCTTGCATCTCACCTTATTGAATGGGTGTTCCCTCAGGCAGACATAAAGGGTGTCATTGTGTATCTTGATACTGCAAGCGATAACAGTGCCATGCGATTATACAAGAGATTGGGTTTCCAAGAAGCCGGCAGTCAAACCATTGACGAATTGAGCAGATTTGGGGGAGAGGGCAGCGAAACGCATGTTGCTTTGATCAGATACCCCCAAAATTAGTTTGGGCTACTGTGTAGTAGCACGTAGGGTGGATTGGGTCAAGGCCTAATTCAAGTTAGAGGACTGCATTTAACTAACGCTCCCCCCTCCAAGTCTAGCAAAGGGATAGTGAGATCTACACTCATCTGACCATTTTTTGGTAGGATGTACCAAGACGCCTCAGCATAAGACCGCTTTCGGGCTTCTTAATCCCCCACATGGTGATACTAATCAGCATTCAAGTAGCGGTGGAGAAACTATTGGCGCGTTATAAGAGTGGAGAGGACTTCTATTACCCTAGAAATCCTTCTAATAGCCATCCTTCAAGGCAACATTTGCTGAAAGCACCTATTAGATCACAGCAGGGACCCATCCTGACGCAAGCTCACTGTCTGCACTTCCTTATTCCGCAAGTATCGTTGTAGCATTCTTCGAGGAGGGTTAGTTCCCCTTACGCATTTGGGGAAGTCCAGATTTCATGGCTAGGAGGATCAGGGAGAATGCGGGGAGGATGTTTGTCGCAAGCTCAAAGTCTAGGTGGAAGGTTCAAGAAGCCATGACAGTACTTGTCGCAATCTCCTCCTTTCCTGCATTGTTTGATTGGAGAATGGTCGCAGATGCCTTTTTTGCAGTTATTCCTACAGTCGGTTTTGCCGGAGCATCCTCGAATGCACTTCGTGAAGTCATGATCACACGTGGCGCAGAGGTTTAGAGAACCTCTCTGGATGTCGCGGACTGAGTTGCTGGTGTGGATCGTCGTAACGAGGCTAAAGCTGGTGCAAGCCAGGAGTAGAAGGAACGGTAAAAGCTTCATGGCTATTGATAGTTGGTGGATCGACTAGAGGAAGAAAGTGGGAGTGTCCGATGGAGAGGAAAGGAGCGTGGATGGGAAGTGGAAGAAGTTCGCGTGACTGGTCCTTATATCCGTTGGCTTTGGCTGCAGGAGGGTCAACGTAACAGAGGGTCAGTCAGAAGAGTCCGCATCAACGCGGGAAGGCGGTGTGGACCACATGATCACAACCTCAATCACCGCCTTACGGTAGTCACCATGCTGCTTATATGACTAGAACATGAGCATCATTGTAAGTTCTGAGGATCCTGCTTGACTTGCCATGAATCCTTTAATAATTATACTAGGCCCTTCGTTAAGTTAGGTATGAATGTCTCCCATGAAAGCATTAACCATCTTCATCAATCCAAGTGAGAGACTCCAAATAGAGTACCGAAATCGAGTATTAGACGTGAATCCTCCCACCGTATATCTCTATCTAATTTTACCGAAATCGGCGGAATACTTCACCTGGGGTACAATACCTGCCACCTGAATCCAGTGAGCAACTCAGAGTACATGTGCTGCGTATTTTTGAATGACTTACCAGTGCTGATGTGAAGTATTTAACATCCTTTTGGGGTTTTGTCTGGGCAGTAGTGGGCACCGCACGCGCCGACCCAACTACAGGGTTGTCCACCATGAAGGCAAGTTTGGATCTTGCATTTGTGAAGACAACACACATCTCCTCCGCAAAGGTCTGCGCAATAGTTATAGTAGGTCGTGCAGTCGTTGCAGTCATGGCGTAGCGGGGTTGGCGGTGGAGCGAGTAAAGCTCTGTCGGCCGTCTTGGTGGGGGAGTGGTCATTGTTGACTTCTTCGGTAGGGTTGGGCAGAGCGACCGCAAAGTTAGCGGCGGCCAAAGTGACGAGAAGAGAGATCTGCATGGTTGGCAATCCAATTGGACGAAGGAATGTAGTCGAGCTGGGGGGGGGGTAGAGTAGAGTCTATGGTGGAGTGAAGAGGGAGGAGAACCCTTAGCGCTGGGGATACTCTATAGGAAATGCAGGAACTAACGTTGGCCTGGCTTGCATGAGGGACCTGATCTAGAAACAGCGGTAAGTTATGCAAGATCGAATTTCCACCGAGACCATAGGATATCGTAAGAGGAGGGGCAGTTAGCATGAGATGAGCCATTGCCGGCGCAAACATTATGTCACCACCAATACTAGGTCCCTTCACTTGGTTGATTCTTTATAACTCCTTCACATAGTACTCATTCACAAATATCAGAAAGGGGGCCCCCCTAACCGTGATCGACGCATTCTTGGAGTTTCCTCTTCACACAAAACCTTCACCATATGGGCTCGAGCTAACCAAATAGGATTGAATATTACGCTACTGTGCTCAAATTCAATGGTGGTGATAGTGGTTCGTTTGATATTAAGGACACTCTACACGGAAGTCCTCAAATATCTTCTTAATAAGGGGCCACCACTAACTGGGTTTCGATCTAAGCGGGGAAGAAATGCAAGTAGAAGAATATTTTTCCAGAATTCAACTAGCTAGGTACTAGCAGGCGTCAAGAGGGAACTCCTAGAGAGGCTCAAGTGCCTGACTCCGTCTTTCGAGCACTTCAACTCGTATACTGAGGTGGTACCCCTTGTACTAGGAAGAGGCGAAGATTTTAGCATTCCTCTCCAAGCTTGCTCTCTTCATAAGGAGCCAGTTTCACTGTTTGAACACATGGCAGGGGTTATTATTGGCATATATTTGTATCCTGTTGACGCTGGTCTTAATCCAAGCAACGGGTTAACGAATTAACATTATTTACTGTAAGCTTCGTGCTATGTGCTAGTATGCTATACCAAGAGGATGACTCTGTCAGTCATGAGTGAGGTTCTTGGGGTGAGAGTACGTGAGATTGTGAGTCCTGCCCTAGAATAACCAATGGTTTATTAGGCAGGCGGAGGCCCCACCTCAGACCGGCACGGTAGGTGGTTGATCATAGACACTACTCCCCCGCGTCTCCTTATCTTGGCTGTATATCACCCACACCACTGTGCGACCCATTCACCAGTGGTTAAGATCTCGACATCTCGGCACTGTCATATGGCTTAACTGATCTTCTCTCTTCCGCCCAACTACAGAAAAGCTGGGAAGCTTCTTGGAAAATGTTCGCGACCAACTACCTTCTAAAAATAAACGGCGCAATAGGGCAGGTTTGAAGGGCTAAGGAACGACGGTTCAAGTTCTAGAGGAATATAGGGCTTTGTAGGCTTGCATGTGGGACATCTCCGTCGCGGAGCATTCAACTACTGACTCGAGTTGGGGTTAGGAACAGAGCAGGGATCCTTCCCGTCAGCGAATGGCCATAAAACCCCTCCTTAGTTGACCCCCAGGTCCGAGTCGTAGTGTTTACTGTTTGCCCCTTTGAGTGTACTTACTTTAGCTGAACAAACGGTCGGTATGAGAAACCATATGGCAGTGGGGTGGTTCTACTCCCCTTTCCAAATTAGATGTTATTTCCTCACCCGCATTCCAAATTTGCGACCACCCAGAGTAAGAACCTGAAATGACCTACACTAACTTGGTGCGTGAAATTATCTTTGACTGTTGAAGAATTCCCACGCTAAAATTCAATCCACATCCTTAGCCAGCTCAGCCGACACCATTGGCTCATATTTTGTGTCGGCTTCCTAGGATGGGCTTGAAATGCATTCGACTTCTTCACTGTGTCGTTGGCTGTCTCTAAAATTGCAAAAGAGTTTAATGTCGCCAACTCGGATGTTTCCTAGGTAGGTCTCTTCAATCCCTAGCATGACGCATAACGCGTTAAGCAATTTCTAAGGCTTTACGGTTACCATTATGCTTCGTTCTGTGGGAGCGCCTATAATTGGATCTCTGTCTGATTGATATGGTAGGAAGTAGCCCTTCGTGACCAACCTTAGTGCCCTTGTCATACTCGAACTTGGAACGGGGTTCACGCACTCTTTAAGCGAGTTTCTTGCTGTGAGAGCGCTGTTCAAAATCGCCATAGGTGGTATGTGCTCTTCCCTTCCCTCTATCCTCGTAATAACTAACATGCCCTAGGGATCTTCGGCCTAGCAGCATCTACCGCTCTTGAGGACCTCCCTTACGAAGCTCGCGGTATCCTTTCAGGGCTCTTTGAACAAGGATATGCAACAGGCTACCTCCTCGCTCCAATTTTCTACCGTGAAATCGTACCCACGACCACCCAAGGTTGGCGTAGCTTGTTCTGGTTTGGTGCTGGACCGCCAATCCTCATCATCGCATTCCTCCTGTGTCTACCTGAGACGAATCACTTCCTTGTCCAGCAAGCAGAGCGCGAGAGCCGCCACGCTCTTCTTCACAAATAGTAGACTGTGAATTCTACCAACGAAACTAGAAATGGGGATGGGGAAGTCGCAAAAAGAAACGGGCTTCAAGCATTCAGCCGCGAAGCATGGCTGACCGTCAAGCAAAATTAGGTCCTCCTCATCTACATGGTCATCGGCATGGCAGGCCTCAATTCTTGCTCCCACAGATCTCAGGACTTCTGTTCAACCTTCCTCAAAGACCAGGTTAGCAAATCTGCAACAAACACCACCATCATCACGGCCATAGGGTAGATCGGGGCGCTTATCGGTGGCACAACAATCGGCTTCATCAGCAGCGTGCCTGGAAGGCGACTAACGATGTGCATTGCGTATGTAATTGGGGGCTCGCTTGTCCCTGAATATGTCCTTCCGAGGAACTTGACACTGATTGCTCCGGTATTTTTTGAATAGATCTTCGTAGGGGGGTCTGGGATCCGATTCCAATCTATCTCATGGAACTCGTGCCTCCAGCCCTACGAACCCTCGTCGTCGGGCTCACATATCAACTCGGCAATCTTGCGTCTTCTACGTCGGCGGCTATTCAACCAACAATCGGTGAACGGTATCTGCTGCCCCCCAAAGCAAACCGTACAAAGAGATTTGATTATGGGAAAGTGATAGGGATTTCGTGGGCGCAGCTTGGGCATACATGCTGTTTTGTGGCTATTGTTGGGACCAGAAATGAGTCAAGACGAGAAGGAGGAGCAGACTCAGCAGAGGCTAGAAGGTTTGGCTTGGGAAGAAGAGAGACGCAGCGGAAGGAGTCTGGCAGAGATGGGGGCAGGCAGGGCAAGAGCGGGGCTAGGCTTAGGTGAGAAAGGTATATTGAAGAGGGAAAGCGTTCCAGAACTCAGATTTGAGGATCAGGAAGTTGATAAAGTGTAAGAGCGCCTAGAGACCAGCACGGCGAGTCCTTGGCCTTGTGGAACATATAAAGATCTTGAACGAGGAAGAACTGAAATAAGCAAACTGGCCATTGGCAGTGATGAGACATCGACTTCGTATGAGACGAACCAAGATACACTCCGCACCCTGCTCACCGCCTACCAGGTCCTCGCAGCTCTCACGTATGTGAATGACTCTCCGGAAGCTTCGAAATCCATACAAAGAACCCCCCAAGGCCACATAGAAAAACCAAGATGAGAAGCCAAACAGCCCACCCCCGGCTGGGCATGCTCTTCCTTCGTTTCGAGGCCTGTTGCAATCCTAGCGGGGTAAATCGGCGCACACTCGGCCAGGTGTGATATCGTCGGGCGATCTCGAGATCCCAAGCAGTGTGCTCACTAGACAACTGGTGGGCTTGGGAACGGGTGCGGACGTGATGAACCCTACTACTAGCCTGATAGCTCGGGGGTGGAGTGGCCGGAGAGTCGAGGCTATGTCGGCGGCCATTGTTGACGGAATTCGGGGGCGTGGGGCTATCTGCAATCCGGAAATTGGTGTTCCTGGCTTCTAGGCTGTTGCAAAATGCAGACGTAGCGCCATGGTCGCATGGTAGGTTGAAGTAATCGACAGGCAGGAAAGCGTGCTACGAATGATGAGAAAAATATAGATTGCCAGTCGGGCTAGTCGGAACTTACAACTTGATGCGCAGGACACGGTCCGTTCCTAATGCTACCGCAAGGGGGTGGAGGAGTCGGTGCACGACTTGCTGCCATCGTAATAGACCGCTAATGGACACTCCGCAGATAGAGATGAGCCTCAGTGCGAAGACTGTATGGCATGAAGAGGGAGAAGGCCAGGTAGTTGAAAAATATGTGTGGGGCGCGTGCTGGGCAAAGGTACATGATAGACAGGTACCGACTCGGGAGAACCATAGGAGGGGTGATAAACTAAGCTCATGTTGAGCAAGAATTACCTCAATAACGACCAAGAAGGGACAAGGGGCGACAGAAACATAAGAACGATGCAATTAGCGAAGTGAGCATAGCTATACATATGGATTTCGAGCTTTCTTATGTAGATATGTACCTAGAGGCGATGGATACTGGGAGGCCATACTTAGCCCGACTGGGGTCCTTTTTCCTAGGAAGATCTTGACGTAATCCTCCATGGACTAATCTGGTATACCAGAGGGCATAATGCAGCATTGTCATCCCGAATATGAGTCTTGAGGTTCTGGTGTTGCTGAGATGGCGTTGAAGTGTGACGAAGGGCAGAGAAGCGCCAAGAGATGTACACGTGAAAGATAGACCAATATGTGTGCACGGACCACCTGGGTCGGAATTAAGTGACGGCGGGAGTGCTGACTACTGCCTACGTGAAGGAAGCTCGACCATGACATTCACTGGACAAACGTAGAAGCTCATCGAAATCAAAGCAGCCTTAGTGTTCACCCTCACACCCGTCTCGCCACTTCCTATCCCTGCATTTCTTCCGGAAAGAACTTCCCGCCTAGCCTCACATCTCACATATCGACTAAGTGACGGCCTTCTCACTACCGCCATCGGCTCTGACTATTTAGCCCTAACTCTTCATGACTGGCACCTGTGAGGCGAGTGAATGAGGTCTAGAATCTCAAACTTTGTAGTTTTTTGGTGCGTCAACTCCGCCTCCTCCCCCCTCCCTCCTTATCGCTAAACTGTCGCTCACACCTGCCCAGCCCACGGCCATGTTCCAAACCTTTAGTGGAAACACGCGGCGACCGCGCCAGGTAAACCTCTCCGGCCGCAAGACGCATGCATTCGGAAATGTAGGCAGCGGAGCCGGGTCCCAGGCTGCCCTGGACCGCGCCCAACAGGAGCGAATACAGAGACAGCGCGAGCGAGACCAACAGAAGGCAGTTGGGACACTACAGAGGGTGTGGAGGGGACACTGCATCCGGCAGCAACTCGCATCGCAGCTGCGGGACGAGTGGGATGCTGTTGAAGGACCATCTACCCATCGAGCGTTCTCGCAGGAAGCCGTTCCATACAGCTCTGAGCAAGAGGCTTTAGCACAACTGCAACGACTCTTGAAGTTCACTCACATTCGCAATGTGGAGGACTTGCAAAGGATACGGCACTATGGATTCCGCCAGATCGAGACAGTCCGAACCGTGGGGATCGCATCAACGGGCCCGTGGCCGTTGGCATACCTTCGATTACAGAGGATAGTGTTGACAGTTATGGAGCGGCGGGGCAGGCTGGGGTTTTCGGAATGGAACCAGTACGAAAAGTTCGCAACCATCCTGCGCTTCCTCGCCGACCAGATTCCCGCAGAGACCTCCCAAAATGCCAAACAATACTACCGCACATTGGCTCAAGTGGTGGCCAGGCTATCTCCCGAGTGGGAACTGGCAAATGGAAATACCGACTTGGCCGACGTGCCAAAGGCCATTTCGGAAGCCGTCATCTCACCACTCACAAAAGTAACCGGATACACTTTGAATGCATATGAGGCATTCGGCTACATTTTCATGACACTTCCTATCCTGAGCGCAGAATCAAGCTCAGCTCTCACGCAAATGTTCCGGGACTCGCTTGCAGACTCGATCAACTACAAGCTGCTGGCGAATGCGTTGGCTACTTTATTCAAGAGCTCGGGCATCATCTCGCACTTGGAAATAGTGGAAACGATGAGTCGACTGCGACTTCTGGCTTGCTTCATTTTCTTCCACCGTTACGCTCACAATTTCCATACTCCAGCGGCCTACTCTGCACATAAAGATTTTGTAACAGTAGTGTCGCTTTTGCTAAACTCACTTCCAACCAACATCATCGAAGGCCAGAGTACGGACACTGATCGGCCGGAGGAACTGGATACCCCCCGAACAGCTGATGCCGTGAACGAATTCTTGAAGGACCAGATCTTGTCCCTCGTCAATCAAGAAGGAATTGGCAATCTCTTATCTGGCTCTTCTCGGTCATCCGAGCTCTCGGAAGAAGAGAAAATAGAGGAAGCCAGACAACTTGCCAATTACGCGTTGGCTCTTCTTCGATTTTTCCCCCGTAGAGGTGATGAAATTCGGATGTGGCTCTACATTGGCCCATCAGCTACACGTTCCGATGGGTCATCACAGAATCTGCCTGCCATCAAATACTTTTGGGAAGCTTCAAAACAATCTTCAGTCTTCAGCACAATTTTACGCGATTCTCGAGCAGCCATTGAGCTCCTTCGGCCGAAGACGGTGTCTCTCGATATTTCCTCCGCACAGAACGCCCCGCCTACAAGCTTAGTGCATCATGCCTTTTGGCAAGCTCCTAAACAGGATGCCGACCGAAATGCTGCTATTGCTGATGAGTGGAGAGTAATCCTTGTCTTCCTTGAGCTCTATACATTCGTCTTGAAAGTAATGGATGACGAAGAGTTCTTTTCTAGCGGTAGAGATCCGCTTTCGAACCAAGCCCGAGATAACGCGCTACCACTATCCGACGTCAAAGATTTAACAACTTTTCTTAAAAATCTCGGATTCACGTTGTACTTCAATGCTTCCGACATCAACGTCTCCGAAGAACGGGATGCCAGCAGCACGAGTCTTAGTTTCTTCAATCCTAAGATGCCTGAACCTCAGCCGCAAAAACAAACCACTGAGCCTTCTGTTGGAGGAGTCGCCGGCTTGAGCCTTGACTACGTCAAGGGTCTCGTTACAGGCCTGCTTCGCATGGTTTATGAGCGAGACTCGAGACGAAAGTTCTTGCCATCGGACCATTGGCTGATGACCTCTAGGTTCGACATGACTGGCTTTATCCCTGCCGTTGTTCAGGAAGAGGAGAGTAGGCACAAGATAGAAGAGGAGGACGCGGAGGACGTTGATGAAGAAGAAGAAGAGTTCGACGATACGCCCCAGCTGATAGGTACTAGCCGAACCCAGCATCAGAGACGTCTTGAGAGACTTCAACGACAGCAACGCAAGGCTTCAAGAAGGAGGTATCTGCAAGCAGTAGCACCGCGCTTAGAGATTCTCCAGAACATGCCGTTCTTCATTCCATTCACGACCCGTGTACAGATTTTCCGCGAATTTGTGAACCTAGACATGACTAAACGAAGAGGCAGCGCAGATCCCGAGGCATGGAGATGGAACGTTATGCACCGTCCTGATGCTCCCCAAACGTTCGAGAAACATTCGGCAAAGATTCGACGAGAACACGAATTCGAAGACGCTTTTCAGCAGTTCTATCCGTTGGGACAGGGATTGAAGGAGCCAATCCAAATCACTTTTGTGGACCAATTTGATACAGTAGAAGCTGGTATTGATGGAGGGGGTGTTACGAAGGAATTTCTTACGAGCGTTACAAATAGAGCCTTCATGCCCACCAACTACATCGACATGTTCGTTGAGAACGATCAGCACCTTCTCTACCCCAACCCAGCCGCCATGGAGGAGCACAAAGAGGCCTTGAAGCAGGCAGGATTGAGGGAGAATTCAGCGGAATTTCGGCTCCAAGTTAGAGAGCTCCTACAGCGCTATGAGTTCCTCGGTCGTATTATTGGCAAGTGCCTTTACGAAGGTATTCTGGCTGATATCAACTTTGCTCCCTTCTTCCTTCGAAAGTGGGCACTTACAGGTGGCACTGGTTCGGCACCTAAGGAAACTGGATATCGTCCCACCCTAAACGATCTTCGCGACCTGGATGAAGCTTTGTATCAAGGCCTGCATCAATTGAAGACCTATACTGGTGATGTCGAAGACTTTTCCCTCAATTTCACCGTCACAGATACCATCACCACAGACTTCACCACCAATCCACCAACAACAAGAGCAGTTACCAAGGAATTACAACCTGGTGGCTCTAACATCCCCGTGACCAACGCGAATCGCTTAGTCTACATAAGTTTCATGGCACGCCACCGCCTCCAAAACCAACCTCTTTTCCAGACGACTGCGTTTCTAAAAGGCCTAAGTTCCATGATCCAGCCCAGTTGGTTGAGCATGTTCAACCAATCCGAGCTCCAAACCCTGATTGGTGGTACCTCAAGTTCTATTGATGTCGAAGATCTCCGCCGCAACACCATCTATGGCGGGACTTATGTCATTGGTGACGACGGGCTCGAGCATCCTACCATCCAACTTTTCTGGAAGATTATGAAGAAACTGTCAGATGGGGAAAGGAGAGCGGTGCTCAAATTCGTAACGAGTACTCCAAGAGCGCCTTTGCTAGGGTTTGGGACCCTAAATCCAAGGTTCAGTATCAGAGATGCAGGGAGTGACCAGGAGAGACTGCCAAGTACGAGTACCTGCGTTAACCTGTTGAAGTTGCCCATGTACAAGGATGAACGAGTCTTCAAGGAGAAGTTGCTGTACTCAGTCTTCTCGGGGGCTGGATTTGATCTGAGTTGAGCAGCTGATGAAGGAACGGAGGGAGAGGGTTAGGGGATGTCTTGTGATGGCATTGGATACGGATGATTATCACACAGAGTATGAGTTCTTGTGCGAGATGGATACGTGTAGAATAGATTTGATCATGGCATTATGGTTAGTCTGCGATTATGATAGGTAGGGGTCTATATTGGCATTGGCCAGATGACGCTTGAGACATGTCCACAGCGGTTTCTAGGTTTTGGTCACCTCGTGCATCATATTTTCTCGAATGGAATCAATGAGGTCCCCTAGGGGTTTCCAAAACCCAACCACGTCCCACATAACGCAATTTCAGCCAAATTAAGTGAATTACCGCAGGCACTGGCGCTGGGCCTCTCCTGCAGGATGTGGTCAAAATAGTAGGTTGGTCTTGGTTGGAGTTGTGAAAGAGAATGCCAAAATAGAAAAAGGTGGAAAGGGTTTGTCAGAAGTTTAAGAAGGATTTTAAAAGATCCCGAGGGATCTAGGGGCGGTAAATTCAATTGCACATATGCTAAGACGGTAGGAGCACGAAAATAATCAAAGATGACAACACTTTCTTCACTGTTTTCTAAGCACAAAGGGGGCCGAATTCTACACTGGGCAGCCGAATATTTGAGGGTTCAAAACCTCGCACTTGGATGTCCCTTTTTTTTTTAACGCTCTTATTGAATTGCGCACTACGCTTTCTTCTTATGCTCTTTCCGCATTAACCCTTGTGAGTCATTTCTACTTTAGGACTCAGATATGGAAAGTCTGCAAAATGCAGATACGATCGATCCTCGATTCCGCTTCGAACGGCCGCAGAACGCAAGCACGACACAGAAGAGAACATCCTCAACGCCGAAGTTCGCAATCTTCCTTGTGATTCTGTCATCAATTTGCATAGTCGCCGTAACACTAGTTGTCTTTGTTTCCCACAACCGCATCGCCAGCACGTGGTTACCCTCGGCGCAGGCCATCCAACCCACTGTTCTCTTCGCATTGTGTACCGGCGTCTTTAATGCTTCCCAGGCGTACATTCTGACGGCCGGGGTTACCGTCGTATGGTGGCGGAGTGCGCTGCATGGTACGACGCTCAGAAATCTGCACTATATATGGAATAAGGGGGAGTGGAAGAGCGTGGATGGGCTCGTTAGTGCGCTCTCAGCAAGCAGCCAAACTAGATGGGTGATGGCTGTGACTTGTATCGTGGCTATTGCAAGTATTGCGGATGGTCCTCTGCTGCAGCGGGCGACCAAGCCAGTGCTTGCCGATTTCACCGTCAAGTATGCTGGAAATGCATCCTTAGTAAGCTCCATTGACGACGGCTGGACTGGAGGTGTCGATCACACGGCTCCTGGAAGGGTCGCCGCCTCCAACGATCTAGACAAGGCGTTACAAGATTGGTACCTAAACAACACAATTTCCACTAACAGCACCTGTCCCGGGACCTGTCTAGGTCGCATCTTCGGCGCCGGATTAGCGGTGAATTGCTCTTCGACAGAGTCGTATTTAGATCTAAATGCGACTGAAAATGGAAATACAACGCTCTTCCGAATCAACTTTACGCGCACCGCAGATGCCCTAGGTTCACCAATGTTGGATATGCAGCTACAGTACGTGGAACAAATTGACAATCCATGTAACGCAACCTTTGCCGTCGAAACCTGCAGCATCCGCACTGCCATCGTAGGGTATGACGTTGTCCAACAAGAGGACGTCATAAACCTTGACGCGGCTTTCTTTCCCGAAGTTGTCTCTCTCCACCCTTCTGCCAACGATGCTATCACTGCTGAGGATAAGATTTCCGCTGGCCCGCTCGCAGGGGTGGAATACATGGGTTATTACTATTTGCAATCCAATGCAACATGGAATCGTTACCCCGACAATACATCAGGCTTGGAGTATGATTATGGCATACTAGCCAAACAATTCGCGGATAATTATGCAGGCTATGATTGTGGGTACTCGTGGTTTAATGCGACAGACTATGTGCTGCGGTCTATGCACGAGTTTATGTTTCGTGCGGCATATTCTTTAACAGATGGTACGTACGCACGATCTCCGAGTTTAGCCACCCGTCTTCCAAGTCTGGAGAGCGAGGAATTTCCCTTTCAGAACTTTTCTATAAGCTAAACACTGGAACAGAGACTCTTCCCATTCAAAATGCAACCTGGACGCGCGAATTCTCGGCAGTAACATTTCAGTCTCGATTCAACTACTTCTGGGGCGCATTCTCATGCATGCTGCTTGCGTTGTGCTGTTCAGCATCCTTACTATGGGGCTATCAAGATCTGGATCGTGAGGTTAGTCTTAGCCCGTTGGAGACGGGGTCGGCGCTCGCGCATGTCATTAAGAAAGGAGATACTGAGGAGCCAGATATGGAGGTTGGAAAGGTGCTAGAAATATTAGGAGACACGAAAGTGGTTCGACGGCATAAGCGTCACAGAAGGGAACAGGGGAACATGAAGAGGAGGAGTGAAAGTAAGAGTCCAGTGTATGTGCATGTTTGATTTCATCATCTTTTCTTGCTCAAAGTATTTGGAGTGTTGAATGGACTTCCTCGTACGGTCAGGCGCGGGGTGAGCGGGCCTTGCGTACAGTTCCTTAAGTGCACTTTCGTACGGTCCATGGATATTGGGGGGGTTATTAGTTGTTCATTCTTGTTCTATCTCGGCCTCAGGTGGGAGAGATTATGTATTAGTGCTTGCTTGTATCTATCTGCTTGAGATAATTACCCTAGAGGCTCCACGTCAATACAGCACTCTTCCACTCCATCACCATAGAGCTTACGCATATATTTGAGCCAATCAAATTTCATAATGGTCTTATGGCGCTTGTTCTAGGATACGTCAAGAATAACCTAGTCATTTCCCCCCACAGGACAAATTCCATGAGTCGTCTGCTCAGCATGGAGACTTGTGGACCCATGCAAACTTACGATAGAACATGACAAAATCCTCTCTGATCTGCAACAGGACTTAGTATCCTCTTAATATCCACTTCAATCTCAACAAGCAGTTTCAGTGATCAAATCTACACTTGTCATGTTCCCTGCTGTGTCATAGCATACTTTACCTAACAAGTCGATCACTCTCAAGCAATATTCTTAAGCGCCCCATATTGGATTATCTGGCATATTTACCCTCCTCGCATCTCCTTGTCCCCACTCCACAACCACCTACCACCATGTATTCCAACATGCGGTATGCTAAGAAATTCCCCGGACAGGGACAACGTCCAGCTCACAAGGTGTTCTGGGATAGGAAAATATGAAAAGTGCCAAAGTCTAAGTAGTGGTTGATTAATCGAAATTTGACATTTTTTCTTGACTTCAATCCTACGTTTTAGCTCCTTCTTTATTACGTGGGCTGGGAGGACGACCTATTGTCTTTTTAGCTGGAAGCCTACAGCTGGAGAAGCCGCTTAGGTTGTGTGAATTTCCAGGTAAACTCTGGTGCAATATCTCATTACTAGGGAGTAAGACCTAACTCAGAACTAGGTGAATCAACTGTCAGTGTCCGTGGCTTCTCGCCCTCCTCATCGGGTTGTTCCACTACAATTCGCTTCAACCTGCACTTCAATATGTGTTCTCCATTACCTGTCCCCTGTTCGACCCTCCGACTCACAATCCTCACTCTCTCTATCGCGCCCTCATCAAGGGTTAAGTTAAAGATAGTACTAACTTGGGTTGGAGAAAGTCTAGGTTTTAAGCCATCATTCTTCCTGCTTGGCGGACTTTGCGCTGACCCTTCTGGTGCTGTATGCCACGTCGTAGTACAACCGGTTGTAGTCACCAAACACAGTACCCCCAATCTCACCCCGAGCTACCCTCTCTTGTAGGAACTCCTGGTTTTCTTGTCAAGCTCGGTCTCCCTAAGTAACGTTGACAGGATCTTGGCCTTCTCCAGCCCTGGATTTTGCTTTTCCGGCCATTCTGCGGAGCTTATTGGCAGCACAAGTTCGTTGGAGGGCGTGGGTTTGGACAAAACTATGTGAAGAGAAAGAAACTAGTGGCAGTGAAGCCCCTGGATTGTGCACTACATAATGCCATTCTCTCGTCAACGCACCGGTACTAGAATTCCAGCATCACACATCGCGGGGAAGCATGGGGAATTGTGGAGATCTACTTTGGGCTAAATTGACAGGATGTTGCAAGGGTGATATTTGACATATTTCGCATCCTATTCGTGTCCTTTGATTTAGCAAGCAATCAGCGCACTCAAGACATGTCTATATGCCATGATATGTGCTAATATATTGTCCGCTTAAGATTTACTCTATTAAATCTACTAATAATCCTGTTAGAGCTATGGAGGGCGTAAAGGGAATGCTAATTTCTGGTTTGAAACATATTATTTTCATTTTCTAACTTTAGTGTAGCGTTGAGGTCGACCACCATTACCGCTCCTGGAGAGAACGACTTGGTCTCTTAAACAGCTTCAGTCCATTCTCCGCCAGCACTTCGGTTACATTGCGGGCTTCTGAGAAGGGTCTTTCTGGGAGTAGAGTCAGTTTAACTCGTGGAGAATCTTAATTCGAGCTGGTGGCGCGTGAATATAAACGAGGCCTTCTTGGAGGCACCTAGCATCAAACACATCTTGTACTGATTCAAGATGCGATGCAACTATACAGTCGAATATATCCTACCTGCTAACACAGCCCTTACCGTGTTATTTTCACAGTAACCACGCATCCTCCTTTCGTAGGCTTGACAGCTCTAACTCCGACCTATCTTTCGTAATCCCCTCATCACATTCGCCGCCATCGCCTCCTTCTAATTTGTCTATCTGACTCCCTTAACTGCCCCTCCATCTCTACTTGTTGCACAGCATTCGCACTTCGTAAACCTCTATAGAAACCAGGCTGAACTCCGAAGCCGGAGGTAGTGCTTGGTGTACCGCTCGCAGTGCTGGCGAAAGGTTCGTAGGGGAAAGTAGTCCTAGTAGGGAAGGTTGACTGATATTGAAATTCACCCAAGGATGCGGTAGGCGAGAAGCGAGCTATCATCTCGGTCGGTGATAGGAGCGAAACCTGATAGCCAAACAGAACTAGTGGAGGGACAACTGGTTGCGGGAACAAAAGTAGAAAACACTTGGGACATCTGTTCCAGTTGGAAACCCATATGGCGAGGCATTCCTGGCAGAATATGTGGGCGCAGGGGATGACCTTGAAGGTAGCGAATGGATCTCGCATCAGGAGTCGGCAAATATGACAGATAGGTGTCCGCGTGGGGATGTAAGAAGGAATGGTGACTCCGTTGTTAACGAGGTCGGTCTGGGAGGCCCAGCAGGGTGATTCGTGGGTTTGGCTGGAGGTCATTCCCAGAATGTGGTGAGATTGAGGAAGCAGGCCGTATTTGCGGGGTGAGTGTTGTCCCGAGGGGTATTGAAGCCAGTCTAGCGAATAGAGTTAATAGACAATATGTTGCGCTTTTGGCGTGGCAATAAGAAGTAAAGCAGAGAGTAGAATATCGACCCCGAAGCTAGAGAAGAATGAATGGTCCTGACCTCGTCTGACAATCGATATGGTAGTGAATGAAGTCATATGCTATATAGCAGTCTGTCGGGAAGAATTTTTGAGTGATTTGTGTCATGCGGGAGGATAATGGGAAGTGCTCTAGAAGGCTAAGTACTCTATCTGGAAGCTGCTAAGACACCCGAAGACTTGGTGAGGAAAGAAGCGGACTATCAAACGAAAAAAAAAGCAAGTGGAAACGGACATGGAAGTCATGCAACAACTTAGATGCATCGTAGTGTTGCTAAGGCGTATCCAATCCCGCAAACTGTTTAAACCAACTTATGAACGCTTATGAACGCAGCCGAAAGGATCCGTCAGGATGAGCTTATCACCAGCTCACCAATTGCTTACATCGGTCAAATCCACCCCTGAGCTGCCTTTCTGGCTTTAGAACCTTGCCTTGCAGCACTGTATACCGAATGATGTTTTCACAATCTTCAGGCCGCACTCTTGCAAGCCAGATACACTGCGCCGCCTCTCCGTTTCCTTCCTCCTCCTGCACTTTATTCACATCGAGGACAACCTGGTCGCCTTTGTCATCCTCCACCTTTAGTTTGTCCAAGGTCTGTTGAATGCCGTCTACTTGGCCGTTTGCCTCTTTTGACTTCGTCACTGCGGAAGCTTTACGATATATCATAAGATTTGCGGAAAATTTGTGGCCACCGACGTGGCTTATGAAGTATATTCCAACACCACCAGGCCGCTCATCATGTAGGTCACGATATAGGCCGAGTGGTCGCAGGACGCGTTCAAACTCGCGGCGGAGGAGAGGCGCTGATTGACCACAGCGGGCGTCGCGCGTCTTCTGGCTACAGAGGAGGATGAGGTATTTGTGAGGACATGGCCGAGCTCTGAGAGGCGATATGGAGGATATTGTTGGCACAATGGTGGTTGTCGTTGTGGGGGCGGGGTCCGCAGACGAGGATTCTGAGGTAGGCAAAGAGGGTGGAAGCGAAGACTCAGCAGACTCAGCAGAGGTTTGGGGAAGAGGCGAGGTATTTGTCGGGCCAGTATTTATGAAGTCCGAGATGAGTTGGGGGGTGTTCGCAGGGGTGACGTGGTCGATGAATTGGAATGAAGGGAGGAGGAGGACGGTGGTGCTGTGGTCTGAGTAGTCGGGGATGGGAATGTTGGAGGCTGAGAGCATTAGGCGCTACAGGGCTGTTAGTATGGCGTAAACATATATATGTATATATATATATATATATATATACATTTCCGCATATATACATGTACGCATATATGCACATATATACACAGACACGTATATACATATATACATATACAAGTTGCATGGTGTAGACTCACGCCATTACTCGGCTTCACCTTGCTAGTATCCACGGCCTCCATAATGCTGCCCTTCTCGTCGGCAACATCGCGCACCCAATCCGACTTCCCAGTGGCGACAATGAGGTGAGTGCTCCAGCCCTTGACATGACCGTACAGCTTCTCGTTCTCGTCAATGGTGAATTTACTGGGATATTTGACCGAGCACGACGCGCAGTCGTGTAGGCAGTCGTCTCCATCTATGGCGGGGTCTGTGGTGGGGAACAGCGCATCGGTGGTTGGTGCTTTGGTGAATGTACCGGGTTTCTTAGCCGTAGGCACAGAGAAAGACGACGACGTTGGAGAGAGCTTGTAGTATAGGTTCTTTATGGTAGACGACATCTTGTAGGCCGCGAAGGGCTTGTAAGTGGAATCCGACGGCGTCATCGTCGCTCCAACTTTTTATAATCTGATTAGATCGCCAAGCGATAGGCGGAATTAGAGTGATAGCCCCGGATACCGATCTAAACCCAGTCGGCAGTTTGACACGGATGTGCAGTGTGAACCTGTACACGAAGGGAGTGAGGAAACGGCAGTGGCAGAGACTTTACATGATGAATGCAGGCACTGTGTCGCGGGCTTGAGTGGTATTTCAAAAGAGCCTTGCTCCGAATCGAGTTGCACGGGACCTCGGACATTGCTGAAATCCGAGCGCATTCCCCCGAGTCTTGCAGCCATCTTCCCTTTCTTGCCATCCACATCCACTACCCTCATTGGCGCACTGCCTTTCATGGCTGCCTTCCCGGGACGACGTCTTTGTACGAAGCTCCAAACTCTGACTTGCGCAGGCCTACGTCAGCTCCCCAAACAACGCGTAACCGCCTGATTCTGGACCAATGGCTAGTGAAAGGCTCAACAAGCGGCTGAAGATGCTGAACGGAGCTCCATTGACCACAAATCTCGACTGGCATGAGATTGCATTGACTACGGAGCTAGTTCCTGCTGTCGCGGGCTTCCTGAACAAGACTGTGACAGCAGCTAAGCGAAATGAGTCCTCGTCAGATGTCAAGTGGCGACACATAACAAGTTCGCCCACACGTCTTAGGTCTGGATGGTCTCAGCCCTACCTTCCACAGGGCGGCATCTGCTTCACCGAACCTAGCTTCTCCTTCTCGGCTCCCAATCCGGGACAGTCGTTAGAAGGAGATGCAGAAAACTCGACTTTTTTGGAAACGACGAATAGCTTTAATTCCACTTACACAGAAGTCGATGCCTTCCTCCGGCATTCTCTTGTTTTTCATGATACCCTTTTATCGTCTCAACTCACGGATCCTCTCGCCGTCGACCAACCCATTTCCTCATCTTCTTTTCTCACCTCTTCATTCGGTACCACAGCGACAGGGACGAGTAGCCCATCAAGACAAGAGAGTTCCAACATCACCCTGTCGATACCACATGCATTGACAATAACATCCCTCTCTTCTCTTCCATCGCCAGAATACCTCAGGTCAATACATCCCCAAACCCCAACGCCGAATCTTCTGTCCGTCCTGACCTCCATGGCTCCTCCTCGCGACATCCTAGTCCGGAGGGGTAACTATCCAATGAAGCTCCAAGAGATCACTGTGGCAGACGAAACCGATTCGGAATTTACAATCTCATTCTGGCTCCGCCCTTGTAAGGCCGCTGGTGGAAGTGAAGAGGATCCTCAAAGGGATCTACGGGATCTACTTGGGAGCCTCAAAGTCGGCGACATTCTCCTCTTACGCAATATCGCGCTCAACATATTCCGAAACAATGTGTATGGTCAATCTCTTAACCCTACCATTTCTCGGGCGAGAACAATGATCGAGGTACTGAAGAAAGCCGACGGAAGGCCTTTGGCTCCCGATTTACCTCCCACACTTAAAGAAAAGTTTGAGAAAGTTAAGAAATGGGCTAGTACCCATGTTGTGCCCGACTATTCGAACGAACGAAAAAGGAAAAGGCTAGAGATTACTTCGAAGAGTTCTGTCAGAGAAGATGAAAGTCTTCCACCAGATACTATGGAAGCATGATAAATCTCTAATTCAAGTCACAAGATTGAACGCTATTGACATAATCCCGGAGTCTCGCAAGCAATATAGGGAAAGTGAAACCTAGGTGGTTTTCTGTGCTCTGCGTCAAGATATTATAGGGTCAAATGACTATTTTTATGCTTGTCATTTGCTTGACTGTAGCGGACGTTTCTGGAGGATGCAATCAAGTTTACGATTACCATTAGAATGAAAGGGTGGGCGAGTGGTGGACTTGTTTCATCCACCTACCCCTCCAACAAATGTCCTGTTCCAGCCCCACAAATGACCATCAATCACTGCATCCTATCGGGGCCTTATCAGCACGTGGCGGTAGGAGATTGCAGCTCACCCATCAATCCCGCCATCAGTGTAGGGGTCCTTTAGTTCGTCTCTGGGATAACTCGAGCTGCGGTAACTATGCTACAACTAGTTCTCTTCTCATGCTCACCTAGACCTTTATGTCAAGGGAAGTATAGGATTCATAGAACATCAAGCAAGTGCTTTCTATTAAAGGCTTTCGGGTATTATCCAATCTTGGTCGGAGATTTCAGTGAGTTTCAATCTGAATGACAGAGGTTGAAACATCTCTCACCAGCCAGAATGTGACCCGTGCCCGCCTTGTTCCCCAATGCTCACTTCTTCGACTCAGCTCTCGACTCAGATTCTTTCTTTGACTGAGGCTCTGTAAAAATCACTCCGTTTTACACAGGTCAGCTCCCAGTATCCTCGACACCCCGCCGAGGCATTCGGACGCTAGACTAAGCCTTTAATTTCTCACGGTACATTCGTTACAACTCAGCCACCAGACCCTAAGGCGGGGGACCTAAATCTCCATGGCGGGGTAGCATCACCATTACCGAGGGTCCAACACGGATCATTGGGTCCAGGAAGTCGTCTACTCTCCGTTGTCATTTGCTTCAGGGTGTGAGCAGCCTCTCTATTCGACCACGAGTCAATGCTTGCGGACCCAACAATCTAATCTGACATGAATCCGCATCCATGAGCAAATCCGAAAGACTCAGCCTCCCTGGTAAGGACATAATCAGCCCAGGAACCCGCGTTCAAAAGAACTCTCATCTTGCTCATTTTCCTCATGTGGCCCTGTATTAAGAAACGAATTTGAAACACTGAATCTTATTGGTCCCTCGGTATGTCTTTCCCTCTTTAAGGCTCAATCTAGATGAAGACACCATACATGTTTCGAATCCGGCAAGCAAGGATTGGCATAGAAACAATCCTTCCCACAGCCTACTTTCGTAACCAACCATTAATTCCGCTTTGCAGCCTTGGCCAGCTCGGAGTCGACACCTAATAGTTCGCCCGTGTCCTCATCCTTTTGCTTTATTCTTGTATTTCATTGATGTACTTCTAACGGGTTGAGCCCCAACTTCTTGTCATGTCGGTGTCGTCTTGGCTTGCCTTGTCTTTCGTTAAGTCTTCATGAACGTCACTCCTTCTTCTTTTGGAGAAGATTACATTCGCTTTATAAAATTTTTTTTTTGGAAAATCTTTCATTCAGCACCCTACATTCATTACTGTTGCACGTACAAATGAGGTCCTTTCCATCACCGCTGGGCGTAGCCGCTTTCATTTCACTGTGTTGGGGCTCACATGGAGTTTCCATCGGTGGCGGCCCCAGCTGCGGAGTTGCAAATCAATCTAGTAGTTTTTTCTCTGTCGTAGGGGTACAGGGAACTGGGGTGCATCCACGGCTAGAGTTGCGCGAACTTGAAAAGGACCCGGAAACATGGAATCTCTTCATTCAGGCAATGTCGAGATTCCAGAACATGGACCAGAAGGACAAGTTATCATACTTTCAGCTGGCTGGTATGAGTTTCCATCTAGATATCACTCGCTTAGCTCTCACTAATTCTGGTAGGTATCCACGGCGCTCCTTTTGTTGAATGGGATGGCGCAAAAGGTAACGGATCTTACGGATATTGCCCTCACTCGAGCAACCTGTTTGGAACATGGCACCGACCGTATCTTGCTGCGTACGAACAGATTCTTCACGAACGAGCCGTAGAGATCGCGAATGAGTTTCCCAGGGGTGAGAGGGAAAAGTACCAGCAATCAGCTGCCAAGCTTCGTTTGCCTTACTGGGACTGGGCGATCACTCCTGATTCGGATGGCTGCATGCCTACTAGTCTTCGGCATTCAACGGCCAATGTGACCTTTCCTAATGGTACTACAGGCGAGATCCCTAATCCCCTTTATGAATATATCTTTCACCCTCTCAGCCCAGGCGACTTCCCTCTTGTAAGTTCAACCGCCATTGTTTAGCGTAATATACTTTGCAACATAACATGATCGATGGTGCCAAGATATACCAGAAGCGGGGTTGCTGACGTCTTTCTAGGATGGATTAGAGTTCAATGTCTGGAAGACTACGATTAGATACCCGGCAGATGGATATGCCGCAAATGCAACTAGTCGAAACGATGATGCAAACACTCGTATCGAGGCCCAGCAACCAAGTAACCGCGATATGCTTTATAAATTACTCACCATATACCAGCCATTCAATGAGTGGAGCAACAAGGGCAATGGCGGTAAAATTGGTAACCTTGAAACCTTGCATGATGGCATCCATAACTCATTCGGCCTTGGACACATGGGCATTGTTGAGGTTTCAGCGTTTGATCCAATTTTCTGGTTTCATCATTGGTAAACCAAATGCACTCCTTTAGTTGTCTTGGACTAATCTTGAAAACAGCAATGTGGATCGCATCATGGCAATTTACCAGTACCGCTACCCAGACACCTACGTCGAACCCAGCTATCAGAGCAAAGCCACCTTCGCAATAGCCAAGAATAGCTCACAGGACACTGCGTCACCTCTGGCACCTTTCCATATGAATGCAAAGGGCGATATGTGGACTTCAAGTACCGTAATCAGCACCGATTCCTTTGGATACACTTACCCGGAACTCGTCGGTAATCCGTCCAATAGCTCGCTAACGGCGACAATCAATCGCCTCTACAAGCCGCAGACTCAAGGGCTGAACAATAACAACACGCTCACTACTCTCCGAAAGCGGAACGACACCGCCGACGCTATCGACTGGATGGCTGAGATTAACATGCCGTCTGATATAAAAGCGACATACTCAGTCCGCGCGTTCCTGGGGGACTTCGACACTGAAAATGCAAAGAATTGGCCAACCGACCCGAATTACGTTGGCCAGGTTGCATCCTTAGCAAGTCCGAGGATGGAGTCTGATGTCATTGTGACTGCAAACATCGTCCTCACGGATAAGCTAGCCGCAAAATATAAGGATGGGGAGTTGAAGAGCTTGGAGAAGGAGCATGTGATGGAGTATTTGAACGAGCATTTCCATTGGAGGATTCAGAAAGCGGTAGGAACTCTAGTCTAGCCCTATATTCCTTAGGAAGACCGCTAACTTTAATGCGAACAGGATCTGTGCGAGATTCATAAAAACAACACCCCGGCTGGCCTCAATGTCACGGTTTTGTCGGTACCCGTGCATCTTCCTCACTCGGAATTTGAGGTCCCGACTTGGATTGGCGATTTTGAGTACCACCCTGATATTATGGGCGATTGAGGAATCCTCCCTCGCCTCAGTTTTCTTGATGTCTCGAGGATTGTATTGCACCTTCTTTTCGTATATACTTTCCCTGTTTTAGCCTTTGGTTTTCAGACTTCGTTGTACATATCCGCCTTGAGGGCCTGGACTCCCTCTATTCTATGCATTGATTGGCGTCATTAGGTTTGGAACTTTGGACCTTTGGAATTTCTTGGGGCGTTGTTGGGAGTTGGGTTGATTACAACGAATGATGTATACGAGAAATTTGACTCATGCTGGTCATGTACGCACATGTTGAAATACAATCAAGGAGGATAGAACTGTAAAACAATCTCGCTAAGCAGCAAGCAGAAATTTGCTCTACCTAGGTATGGGTTGGCAATTGTTGCGACATCACGCCTCGCCTTTTATTCCCCCATCCATTCCAAGCACCTCTCATCTTTGTCTAATTCCCTTCTGTACCATCACCTGCAATCCCATCTCTCTCTAACCTTAATCTTCGCCCATCATACTCTCCTTACTTAAAGCTACTTGCTCCGCTCAGCGTCCCCGCAAACCCAAACCCCCTCTCTTCTTCTATACCCCTCTCGCTCTTTAACAATCCAACCTCCCTCTTCCTCGCCTTCCAGCTCTCCATACCCACAACAAACGCCACCACCACAGCCGCCGACAGCATCCACTCCCATGTAATAGGTTTTTGCTTAAACTCTTTATCATTAAATCCCGGGATATAGATCCACGGAAGCACGATCAAAGATCAGCAACATCAATCCCGCGCACACAGCCGCCCCTGCCTAAAATACGAGTTCGCGGGCGGTGGGAGGTGTCTATTGCATTCGGTTCTGAGATTATCGTTTCCGTGGCCGTAGACAATGATAACGGAAGTCAGAAGGGTTAGTGTGCCCACTAGGAGTCCATATACGATCGTGCTGGTGATGAATTGCGGCGTGAAAACCCCATGTTTGATGGTGCATGGTGTTGTATTCTTATTCTTAGGCCCCGAGCCGGAAGGTAGGGGGGGCCAGACGTGATCATTTTGATCTAGAGGATTTTTTTTTTGGGGGGGGAGAGGGAAGACGGAATAGTTGGCGTTATCGCAGAAGTCCAGTCCGAAGATTGGAGGACGACTTCGCCGACATTGCTAGTTAGGAGCTAGGTCAATTATTAGCACTAAGACCACACGATGGGATGAAGAGGATGAGAGACTTGAATGAAGGACGAATTTTTGGATATTGTCAAACATGCACCGACCCTTCTTCAATAAGTTTGATAACCGAAGAGAAGTTATCATCCCTAAGCACGATATCAGGCGCTCCCTTTGCAACATCAAATCCCGCCATTCTCATATGCCAAAATTGGCTGCTTGTAATAGCAGACCATCATTGACGACATCCCCAATCATTGCAACACATGCCTTGCGTCAATGAAGGGCAGCGATCATCCTCATCTTTGTTTCCGGTGCACATCTGACGGTAATAAGGGGAAGTTCGGGCATAGCGTCGATTTCCTCATCAGTCATGCCATCAAACTCTGCAGCAGTTTTGACGAGTGAATCAGCGATGCAAATGGAAAAGCTGGTAAAGTCTCGTGGAACACTACCGACTTACTTTCCGATGGTTGTAGGGGTGCCAGGGGAGTCAATAGTCAGCATATGGACTTTGATACTAGCGTTTGTGCATTCTAGGTCACGTTAGAATTTCAAATGTAGATGTTGGCCGAAAGGAAGCTCGCCTCCCACAGCGTCCTTCGTTTCTAACCTTGGTGGATCATAGAGACCTGTATGACCAACCTTTTCGCGGGCTGCAAGTCTCCGTGCTTTCTTGCGAGATAGTTATCGATTTGGCTTCCTGCCCCGCTTTGAATCTTGCATTGATTTTGCGATCCTCCCAATTTCGGTGTACGTGCCCGTAAAGATGCAAATAGCGCGAACGCGGCCTTTGGTGATGGTCGAGGAAGAATGTGCTATATCAATGCGATCACTGACACTACTGTCTAGCTCGGAGCGACCGGAGAAGCCTGCATCGAGAGTTTTGGCAGCGGGAATAGCTGTTCAAGTCAATAAATGAAAGATCCAATGCATGTACTTAACGAACTGACCTCCTGCCAAGATCTTCTCATCACATTCCAAATTCATTGACTCGAAGATCCTTCATTAGATCGGGACTTTGTCGTCCCTCTTGACAATAACCACATCTCCGGGCACGATTTCCACAGAAGGAATCACCCTAACACCCCCATTGCGGAGAACTGTGGCTGTTGGCGATGAAAGTGCGCGGAGAGAGCCCACTTTCTTCTCAGCCTGGAATTCTTGGACGAAGCTAACAATGGCATTGTCGATAACCACGGTAGTAATGACGCTACCTTCAATATAATTAGATACGTCGAAGGACAGGGCGAGGGGGAGCGGAAGGACCTATGTTACGAGATAAGCATGTGTTTTCATCTACCCTAATTGACTAGAGCGAAACATTGGCAACTTACCAAAATCATAGCACTGTTGACTTGCTGGAATAGTATTGCATATCAACGTACTCCCACCTTGCCACCCAACCTGATCTCACTATATCTTGATCGATATCCATTAATCTGCGTAGGACACAACCCCTATTCAACGTTAAGCCCAAAGTAAGAGACGAATTCTTAAACGGCAAGTTGAAAGGGACGGTTCTCATATTGTTGGGACTTCTTACCCTCGCTCATGTTGGAACGAATGGACGAAGAGGAAAATAGTACACCGCTAAAGGAGGTGAGAAGGTTCAATTGATGAGAGTGAATAGTGGCAATGAGGCACAAGCGAACTACTTGAAGTAGGGATCTGAGGGAGGAATATGGTAATTCTGGGCGTCACAGGAGGACACACACATATATATATATATATGTAGTCCATGGAATCGCGAACGTATCTCCCAGGAAGACTTCCACTGGGAACATGACTTCATGGCGCTGGAGGACGAGATTGTGACGAAGCCTTGGCGTGAATACCAAGGGTACAAACGGCATTGGCAGGAGAATTGTGGGGGATATTGTCGCTTGGAGACTAAAAATGCTCATCTAAATTCACAAGCGCAAATGCGCACCTATGGAGTGGGTTGGCTGATGACGCGTAATGAGAATCTAGAACAATGGACGCAAATGGGAGCTCGGGAGCAATGAAGCCTGGAGTGCTGAAGATGGTGGAATGATGTCCGGGTTCGCTCCTCCGCTGATTCGGCCGGATAGACTTGGCGTGGTCATGTGTCCGAACCAATCGGTCGTCGATGCCAAGACCGCGCAACCCAAGCCTGTCGTTTTCCATCCCGCCCATCCCCGCTCTTCCTCAGAAGCTTGGAAAGAGCGTCGATGTGCGCTACAATGGAGAGAAGGGCAATTTTGTATCATGGGACGAGACTTGGCGCACCAGCATGCTCATATTCTCTGCAGGCGAAGGCCGTAATATGCTGTAAGTTGACCTTTAGTGCACTCTGCCTTTGCCTTGGTGCTAAGATGAGGTGATTCCACTCAGCCCGCAGCTTCCTTCACTTTGCCTGGCTCCGGGGGTTCGTCGATGAACGTGGGGGGCACTGCTTCGTCCATCATGAAGCCTGGCACTCCTTGTGACTCCCCAATACCCTCAAATTCCACCTCATTTCCAAGCGCCTCGAGCTCTGCATCGAGTTCCTCTTCATCGACCTCCTCTGGCACATCGTAGCTGCGACTAATGCTCTCCTGGATGTCGTTTCCCATGTCCATGAGGTCTGCCATCTCGTCCTGGAGCTTCTCAATCTTGTCGATATTAATCTTGCCGTACTGCTTCCGCAGCTCCTTGGTGGTTGTCTCCATGGCGCCAACTGTAGTCATAGTGTTTCTCAGGTTGTCCTGCATCATGCCTGCCTGCTCCATGTTCCATGACTGCTGCTGGAGCTGGTCACGCTGGGACTCGTACATCTTCCGCTGCTGAAGGACTTTGAGGGCTTTTTGCTTGATGGCTGTCTTGCCGGGGCCATCTCGCATCTTTCCTAGGCGCTGTTGGTATGCCGACAGCTCGGCGTTGAGTTTGGCGAGCTTAACATCGAGGCTTTCGATCCTTGTTTCGACCTATGCTAGCTCAGCACTCACCAGAGTGTCCAGGGGAGGGAGTGAGGTACATTCGATATGGCGCCGCCCAGGGTGGGCTTAGGCGCAGTGCTTTTCGCTCCAAACAGGCGATTCATGGCTGCTGTGGGTGGTGCAGATGGGTGGTGTCGAGTCGGCTGGTGGGGGAGATTCAGGCAGTTGGCTCCAAGCTTAGGCGACTCTTCCCGGGGTTCATTAGAGCCGGTCACGTGCAGCAAAGTTCGACCCTGAAACCTGCTTCGAAAAGTCGTGCAGCTGGCGAAAAACACCCCAGAGGTGGTCAGAAGTTTAGGTTTACTCTCCCGTGATGACGCGACATGGGGCAATCTTGAAATGTTGGTCCGTTGCCCGCCTTCAACTCTTCGGCGCCTCGTGCACGGTCGAGCTTGGGCCGGTGTGCTGTCACCGCTCTCGCAATCTGATATCGACACAACCCACAACCCACAACCCCCTCCACTCTCTCTTCTCCGCACTAAAGCCACTCCTTGTACTGACGTTTAAGCGACGTTCCGTGTATGGACTCACTTCCTGCAGCTTCGTTTCGTCAGCACGCACCGTCGCGGTGCTTTTTCTACTAGGTACCTCGTCCCACCGCACCCATCCACTGCACCTCGCAGCTGTTGTCCCAAGCTTCTTCTCGCCCTGTCCCATTCACAACCTCGACTGACGACATAATTAAAATGCAGACTGCTTAAAACTCCACCCCTCCCCTGATGAGACGGCTCCTCCGAGAATCTTCCCTTTCGCGTGACCTCCGCCCTACTGCGGCCGCCCTCGAGGCGTACCCTTCTCGTCCCTCCTTAATACCGGCTTGGTAATCGCACAACCCACAGCTCCATCATGTTCTGGCGTTTCGGGGGGTATGCGCAACTCTCTTCGCTAGACAGCATTCTCGACAAGCCCGACGTGACGGTCGAGGAGCTGTTGGACGAGTCGGACCTCATCCAGGAACTCAAGCAGCAGAACTCGAAGCTGATCGAGTATTTGCGAGACGAAAATGTCCTCGAGCGTCTCCTGCGCTACGTCATTGCCCCGCAAGCCGCTCCATCCCCAGATGAAGACGCTAGCACTGAAAGTGGGGGCAAACCCGGTGCTTCGCGAGAGGGCTTCTTTGGAAAAGTAAAGGGGAAAGCCCGGTCGGCATCCATCACAAAGTCAGATCCTGGCGATGGAGAGGAGAGCAAGGAAGAGAAGCAGCGCATGAAGTACGCGTATGTTGCGTGCGAAATCCTCTCGTCCGAGGTCTGGTCAATATCCGAAGCTGTACTGGAAAACCAAGATAGTTTGCGGAGCTTCTGGAACTACATCAAGCAGCCTCCGCCGCTAGACCCTGTGCAGGCGGGATACTTCACCAAGGTCAACGAATCCCTGCTGGACCGGAAGATGGAGGAGATGTTGGAGTTCTTCAAGTCGATTGACAACGTTGTCCCAGACATGTTGCAGCATGTAGACTGCCCGATGATCATGGATCTTCTCTTGAAGATTATCAGCCTCGAGAAAAGCGAGGGAGGGCAGGGTATCGTTGACGTAAGTTTCAATGAACTCTTGTATAGACCTACGTGCTCACGAGATTTCACGCGACAGTGGCTGCAGTCTCAAAATCTCGTTCCTCAGCTTCTATCGTATCTGTCGCCAGATCAGAGCTCATCCACTCAGACCTCGGCAGGCGACTTCCTCAAGGCCATCATAACCATATCTGCCAACGCTACGACCCAGGATCAGTCCGTCATTGGCCCCAATGAGCTTACCCGCCAGCTAGTGTCTGAGCCGTGCATTAAGACGCTCATTTCAGATATGCTCAAAGGCGGGAACCCCTTGACAGTAGGCGTCGGCATCATCATTGAAGTAATCCGAAAGAATAACTCAGACTACGACTTGGAGAATCAGATTGGGCCGATGCCGAAGAACTCAGATCCCATTTATTTGGGGACTTTACTCCGGCAATTCGCCAGGCACATCCCGCAATTTATGGAGCTCGTGCACAACCCCAATCAGACCGTCGTGAACAAGGATGGATCCACGGCTACGAGGAAACGGGAACTCAGGACCGCTTTTGGTGAGAAGATCGAACCCCTTGGCTTCGACCGCTTCAAGACGTGCGAACTCATGGCTGAGTTGTTACACTGTAGCAACATGGCCCTACTCAATGAAAGAGGAAGTGAAGCAGAAGTCAAGCGGAGGGATGTTGAGCGAGAGCGCCTGAAAGCAGAAGGCAAGCTCACATCACAGACAAATGTCAACGCAGGCGACTTCTCGACAAGTGTCGACAGCCACGGCTTTCATCATGCCCGAGCACCTTCAAGCGAATCACCTGAAGAGATTAAACGTCTCGAGGTGCAAAATAACTGTGAGGATGATTTCGAAAAGGTCGCTGCGTCAGAGGCACTTTCGGAAGAATCTCGAATTAATGTATCTGAGAAGGAAGGGGCGATGGAGCCTTCAGAGCGATCGCCAAAGAATGCTCCTACAGACATTGCATCTGGGAAAGGAGATCCTGGAGATGGCGAGTTCGTTGATGAACCTCTTTCTCCTGTCAAAGATGAGCCTTCTCCGTCAGCCACCACTAACGCTGCTGGAGTGAAAGCTGCTGTTGATGCTGAATCACCTACTTCAGCAGGCTTGTCAGCTAAAGTCGGTGGTCTTGATTTGGACAACGATACCGTCATGGGTAGTAGCCACGACGAACCTGAGCAGAAGTCGGAAGGGAATTCGGAGCCAGGCGAGCGTCCGTCGCTTTTGACGCAACAACTGAACAAGAGTTCAGAAAATGTGGTATTGGACCCACCCGAAGGTTTATCTCCTCATCCAGATGATAAACCGGCGCCATTATTCGCGAGCAAGCAGCAGAGCACGAACTCTTCCGACGATTCCAAGGTTGACACCTCACGTTTTACTGCAGCACCTGAGAGTGAGGGCTCCGAGGTCACCCCGATTGACGAGGCCAGCAGCACGCGGTCAGTTCTTTTCGGCGCACTCGAAGGGCAGTATGCACCGCAGTATGAAGTCGACATAGATGGGACTCCTGTTGTGGGTGACCTACTGAAAATGATGTTTGTGGAGAACAAGGTTGTCCCAACCATCCTTGTAAGTAGATCTAATTGCAGGTTGTATAGGCTCTATTCCACACAAGGCTAACATTCTTTAACAAGGACTTCTTCTTCCGCTTTCCGTGGAACAATTTCTTGCACAATGTCGTGTACGATGTCGTGCAACAAGTCTTCAATGGCCAGATGGATCGAGGGTTCAATCGCAGTCTCGCGATCGATCTCTTTGAGACTGGGCGTATCACCGAGCGGATCATTGAAGGTCAACAGGCGAGCGACAAGGCGCAAGCAGAGACGTATATGCGGCTCGGCTACATGGGCCATCTCACCCTAATAGCAGAAGAGGTGCTCAAATTCACCGAGCGACATCCGGCGGAGCTTCTGTCACAATCTGTGCTTGGCAAGGTGATGAGTCAAGCATGGATAGATTACGTTGAACAAACATTGGCGGAGACTCGGGAACGTGATAACGCGATCCTGGGCGGCGTTCGTCCTGACATGAGTGTAGGACCCCGACAAGCAGTTCTCAACGCCGTCAATGCGGCTTCTGGATTCGGCAACGACGGATCATCATCCATCTCTAATGCCCTGTCCGGCAATGGCTCCATTGGCCTAGACAGTATGGAGCTTACGAACAACGACAATCCAAGCGGTGGCTACACTTTTGGTGGCGCAACATTGCTGAGCGGGTTCACCAACTCGAGTGACGAGGAGGACGAAGAAATGGACGAAGGCGACGGCGACCGGGAACGGCACACGCCCGTGAGCGATTCGGAACAAGTGGGTGAACTCTCATTTGAAGACGTTGAGATGGAATACCGATAATTACCCTTGCGCGCTTGGTGCGTTTCCTTTCCCGACTTTTTCCTGTCTTGGGCATGTGGCTGTAATGAGACGAATGATTTGGCACATAACACCTGTAGAAATACGCATCTTCTCGGGGACGCCCCTTTCTTTATCCTCATTTATGTTGCTAGACAAGATAGAAGCACCCGGTGTTATGAATGGTCGCTTGTCTCAGTCTCCTCCTGTATCAATCGGATCTTGTATTTCTCCGGGTTCCCTCGACGTCTTCCGGATGACGAGAACCATGCTAACGGATGTGTTCTCCATAGCCCACCGCAAACAGCAGCCTGCAAATGCCGCCGCCACTTCAGATACCGCCCTCGCGCGCTCGGCGCCAGTTCGCGGCTAGGCTGGCACAGCGCAAAGCCATGTTGGAGGCATCCAACAAAGACGACGAAGAGGAGGAAGATGGCGGGGACAATGACAAGAAGAAGGTGGTGGGTAATTGTAGCAAGTCAGACGGACTGTCTGGACCGAAAGGACAGGAAAGATTTTCGAATATCTTTGAGGGTATTGAGAATAGTAATTCGGATGACGATGGACCTGGCGAGGCTGCGGACCCGGATGATGACAACGCAGTGGGAAATGTAGTGTTGTGAGGGCTGATTGGACGTGTTTAACGACTTGATATACCCTTTATGATGGCTCAGGGGTCGGACTTTGTATGATTGATGGGGCTCTCCGCTTTAAGGGTGCAGTTGCAGTAGTTGCAGTGGAGGACGGCTGCCGTCAGGCATCGCTGGGCTGCTCTGGATATAGCAGCTTGTATAGCGGACACGATTGATATACGTTCCCATCTATGTTTCCCCAGATGCTTAGTAGGTACCTGCTCTGGAGTGTATCAGAGCGAGCGCGATCACGTGCACCTACGTCAGCTGCACCTGCCACGCATTTGAGCACCACGCACAAGCAGAAATTAACACATCAGCTTAGGAAACTTGCAAGCTCTCTCAGCTCTACAGTAATTGCGATCTGCTCCAAAATGTCTAACCCAGCTCCCGCTCGCCCCCCGGACCGGCGCGCCTCGACTCTCAACACCGGCTCCTCCGCCAAACGCCAGTCCACCGCGCTTCCTAAGCCCTCGTCCATTTTCCTCGACCCGTCCGTCCTGATAGCCCAACACGCACAACTCACAGGAATACATCCCATCACCGTGGGCCCGAATACAGTCTTGCATCCGCATTGCAAGGTCAGCAGTGCCAATGCGCCCGTGGTGTTGTGGGAAGGCGTTGTCGTGTACGAGCGCGCGAGGGTGGGCGTAGAGAATGCGAAGGTGGCGAGGACGGACACAAGCAGGGGAGATGGCGTAGTACTGGGTAAGAACGCCGTCGTTGAGACAGGAGCTCTAGTGGAGGCGAGCGAGATTGGGGAGGGGACCGTCGTCGAGGTTGGCGCGCGTGTGGGTGTGGGTTGTGTGATAGGGAAGGTGAGCTGCCATTCACAACACAAGGTTATTGGATTTAGCGCTCATTCTGTGCAATTAGTTCTGCACCATCTCAGCTTCAACGATCCTTCCTCCGAATACTCATCTCCCGGACTTCACTGTCGTGTACAGCGGTTTGGAGAAGAGGGTCAACAAGACCCTTCAATCCAGGTCTGAAGTGCAACAAGCCCATATCATCATGCATTCGAAGCAGCTGGAGATTTTCAAGAAACTGATCCCAAATAATGTTTCGAAGTGGACATGAGATGAACTTGCATATTCAAGTTTTTTTTCCCCAACTTGTTCCCCTTCATTTTTCGGCGGCTTCCAGTTTCAGCGTTCCCACTCTCTCTAATATATCAGGGAGTGGATCTCGAGCTACATCGGAGAGTGCATCTTTGGCTGCTTCCAAGGCCCTGCTAGAAAAGGCCCTCGTGGGTACTTCCCACAACGTTTTCGAATGCCTTATGAACACCCCAAAGGTTTCGCGCACCCTAAATTTGTCATTCTGAATCCTCAAACGTCGACTGCATCTCTTGCTCTCCTCAAAATTCTCCTCCGCTAATTCCTTTGCCGTCGCCCTCCCCCCGAGCTGCTTCACTAACGCAACCATGTCGGCATGACCAGAATCTACGGCAACGACAAGTGGAGCCAAGCCTTCCGAGCGCAACTTATGATGACCGCTCGGATCGACACTGCGATCGCAAATCAGCCAACAAACCATTTCTGCGTGATTTCGTACAATTGACATGAGCAACGCAAATGCCCATTGAAGCTCTGGGGTTTGGCTACAGCGGTCGAATCCCCGATCTGACAGGAATTTGGCCATCTCTGTATGTCCCCCTTCAACTGCGAGCATCCATTGTTGTTGGTCTGGTACGAGCTCCATGCCATGGCTCATGAGCAGCTCCATGATCGCCACATTACCGCCCTTTATGACATGGTACGACGTAACTCGGCGTGTTTTGATGTCTTTCCCGGCACCACGCTCAACCAGAACTTTCGCTACCTCGAAATGGCCTTTCTCGACAGCAAGACGAAGAAGAGAGAAGGAGGTGCGCCAGTAGGCTATGTTCCTCTCGCTAGCCACCTCGCGAACAATATCAGCCCGGCCATATTTAACGGCCGGCGAAAGCAGGCTGCATGGAAGTCCCCTCTTCTTTGAAATCATTTCCGCAAGTTCAAACTGTCCCCTCCTTACGGCTCTCTCCAGAGCCACTTGAAAGTCTCTCTGGAGAAGCTCGTTAGAAGGTCGTTCGAGAAGGACTCGGAACACTTCCGTGTGACCCTTCATTGCGGCTCTGCAAAGACTTCTCCCGGGCCAACAGTTAGCTGGGAAGGTTGCTCCGGCCTCTAGAAGCACGAGCAGGACGATATGATGGCCCATTTCAATGGCTGACTCAATTGGAGAACCAAAGCAAGGCGATCTCCAATCCAAACCATCACCGTGGCCGATAGGCAGACGTGGTTGGCTGATTCCCTTCAGCATAGCTTCGAGCAGTGTCGTGTAACGCATGATGACTGCAATCATGATAGTAGATCGGCCGATTCTTTCTGGAGTATTAGGATTCCTGTTCGGTTTGGCTTTGGGCTTGTATGGAAATCCTTTTCTGTGTGATCGGGTGAATCGATTGTCCCATCGAGCGCATTGTTTGATCTCTTGGCCAAACAATCTGCGGTGGTAGCCACTCCGTATGATGGCTTCGCATACATCGTCGAGGATATCCTCGCGACTTCGCGATTGGGAGCCGTCCGGAGGTAGCTGAGAAAACCGACGAACTAGTTCGTCGACAACGGCATGCACATGCGATGCAAAGTCATTCTTGCCGCGGTCCCAGTCGCCAATATACTCTCGTACCAGCTGAAGCTTTATGTGCTGTGGGATCGGAGGTGAAAGATAGTCCCAGTACGGCACTACGCCCAGACGGTTCCTAGCGAGATATTTGTAACCTTCCCGGTTGAAGAGTCCTGGAAATGGGGAGTCAGAACAAGCTTCAGGTGCAACGAATTGTCTCTTACGGTTAACTTGGCAGAGGCGTGCAATTTCGTGGAGCTTGCTTATGTTGACGGCTTGTTCAATAATATCTTGGACGAGAACGAGAGGGAGATCGAGAAGCTGCATTTTGTGGAGTGTTGGAAGGTAGCGAGGATTAATTTCTTGAACTTCATGGGATGGAAGGTTGAGGTTTTAAGTATGACTGGGAAGCTTGCAGGGGTTGTTGGAGCAGCTATGCGCCACATTCGCGATCGCCAATTATAGAGTATGGTGAGTCACAATAGAGCCTGTAAACTTTCCTGACTTCATGAAGAACACTAGTCGTTGCTAAAAGAATATCTTCACGACTCTCCCTATGGAATATAATAGTATCTTCTTAATACATGCAACGCAGAAAGTCCCTCCATATCAATGATGCAGGTATTACGACGAACTACCCATTTCCCGGAAGGCTTTCTGGATCTCGTCTTCCGCGGACCAAGCGTACAGCGATCGATTAACATCCCCGAGCATAAATTTTCCTAATATAAGTCATTACTTAGGCTTTGATTAGACTCAACTTTTCACAAACATTGACTTACCAAACGATGGGAATTTATTCAGCAACCAGAGGAAGACATAGGTCACGTATTCCAAGATAATCCCAACATTAGCTTTCTTTCCAGCTAACTTCTTGCCGCGCTCCACAATCTCGGAAACTCGAGGGCTGCGGATCTGGTGGTAGAGTTTGATAGCAAGGGCAACAGCCTCTTTCTCACTCCCTGGGCCGCTCGCCCCCCCTGCCTCAGAACGCTTCATGCACTTGGCAAGTAAAAGAGCTAGAGTTTTCGAGTCTTCTAAGCCCTGAGAAGCACCCTGGCCCGTTGTCGGATCCATAGCATGGGCCGCATCTCCAACCAACACAATCCCACGTTCCCCCCAGTTTGGTAGCTCGGGAAGAACCCACGTTGGATAGATAGACTGTACTTCAGCTTTCAGGATAATATCTTGGAGGACTGGGTCTTTCCAATTCTTATGACGCTCAATGAGCGCCTTCTTGATCTCGGTGGGGTTTATATCATTTGTTGAAGGGAGAGATGAGGTTTCGAATGTAGACCACCACATCACGCTTTCGGCAGATGCGGGTCCACCGCTAGAGTATCCGAAGAATCCGGCACCGCCGAAGGTAAATACCATAGCTTTGTTGTCACGGATATATTTGGGGATGGGCTGGTTGATGAAGCCGCCGACGCCGGATTGGCCGCTGAGGCAGCATCAATGAGGCTTAAAGGGAGAGGCAGACGCTAAACTTACAGATATTGGGGCGTATACTTCCCTTCGCCGCCAAGTAGTGCCGTTCGAACCACACTCTTGACTCCATCCGCCCCAATCAAGAGATCTGCAACATCTTCTCCCTCATTCCCCTCACTGTCTAATGTCCTCACGATAACTTGACCCGTATGCGGGTCTCTACCGATACTAATAACTTTTTTATACTGCACAACGCCTTCCCCAACAGTCTTCATAATCACCGACCAAAGGCCGTGTCGAGAACTTGCGATACAGATTTCCTCTTTCTCGCCTTCTTTTCTCACCTTCCCATCCCCGGTTCTCTGCATCCCAAGAACCCAGCCATTCGCCCCTTTAAAAACAAAGTGCTCGGTAGGAAACCCTTGCGCGGCAACTGCGTCATGTAGATCTTCATCGAGTTCCCAGAGGACGCGCATTCCGTTGGGGGATACTCCTAGACCACCACCGACTAGGGCTGTGGACGTGGAGAGGGATTCAATTGAGATAGGGGGGTTTGAGGAGGGGAGTGATGAGCGTGGCTTGTGGGATTCGTAGATTGTGATGGTGTGGGATTTGGAGTTGGGGAGGTGCTTGAGGAGGTGGAGGTATGTTGATAGACCGGTGATTCCGGCGCCGACGATGATAATTTTCATAGTTGGCAATATTTAGTTAGGGGGTGGAAGCGATGTTAGCTGTTGTCGTCGTCGGACTATTGTGCTTCCAGTGGACCGGGGTTACTTGAGCTGCTGAACAAGTTTTCAATAACAAAATAATCATGGGAATAGAGGAACAACGCGTGGATTGAGACAGGTTGGACTCCAAATGTGCAGTGATCCAAAGGGTCAGTATTGACTGCAAGGGAATGTTTGAGCCGCTGGAAGTCCCAAGTCCTTATAACTAACGATCATCGGGTAAAATCTGTTCTGTTTCTTTATTCTCCTTCGCGCCAGCCATGAATGATGCATCAAAACGCGCACGTGCAGGGACGCGTAACGTGAATGCGAGAATACGACCAGGCATCCATTTCTCAGTTGGAATGTGGTTTGAGGCTTGGGGTGGGATCCCATTATCCGCGTCAACGAGCGGCCTGCGAGATGAGGAACACATGGAGATGAATATGAAGGCGAGGGGGTGTGACGATGTTGACGCGTGTGGGTGGCTGATAGCTAGTGGGGTAGTCACCAAGGGTATATCCTATCTCCAGTACATTCTATTGCAGAGAGACTGGATGGAAGCTCTAGAGCCCAATTGGTCTTGCGTTTTCTTTTGGTATCGAGAATATTAGGTTCTAAAGACTCCGTCAAAAATTTACAATCGGAACTCTGGTGATAATAGGTTGACGATTTTGGCCCTCTTTCCTGTGCCGAGGTCGGCTTTGGGGCCATATTACCACTAACGAACCCATGGGTACGCTCCCAATCCTCCATCACCACCTCATCGATTCAATGATGCACAGAATCATCTGTCGAAACCAATCCACGATTTATCTTATCTCTGAAGGCCCAGTTGGAGTTAGCCAACATGACACTCAACAACACAGCCCTGAAGTTCTGATGCTAATGCCAAGAGAGTACCGTAGCACGGCCTATCTAAACAAGGTATTCAGTCAAGGCGTTCAGTGTTCAGGCGAATTGATCATTGGTTAGAGTCTCCATGCTGACAATGTTGCAACCATTCAGGAGTCGAATCTCTAGCCACAAATTAACCTTTCCTCTTCGAGGCCTAAGCAACACTCGTACTAACACGGAAAGGTCTTCGCACTACCGATCCCAATCTGGATGGGAAAATGCCCCTCCTTCCTTCATCTTCGCCTGACTGCATGCATCTCAAGTGGCACCATGCAAGGTATCTTGGGGCCGAGATCCTTTCTGTAATACCATCCTTGAATTCGTGTCTTATCTGTCATGAGGAGGCGGCACAATTTGCACCCCACCAACTTTTGTTCTTCCATTCTTGCAATTTCTGCATCTTCCACGCCAAAATGACTGCAGAAGCGCAAGAAGTGGCAGCCACATCATCCCAACCACTCCCCAATCAAGAGAAGCCTGCGACCCTTCGAAATGAAATTGTCTGCTCGGTTGAACAAGGGGACTCAGAAGAAGCCCCAAATTACCTTTCAGGCATCAAACTTCACCTCCTTACCGTCGCGTATATATACAATCAGGTCTCCCAACTCATTCCGATAGCTAATACTCTTTAGTCTATGCCTGAGTATTTTCCTCGTCAATTTTGAGATTTCTGTAGTCAGCACTTCGCTCGTAGCAATCACAGATGGACTTAAAGCGTTTGGACGGAGCAGCTGGATCGTCACTGGATACCTTATAGCATATACAAGTACGTTTAAGCATTCATTGTATTCCCGCAGCACGGCAGTTGTCCCTAACAAGCTTTTACTCTAAAGCGTTCATGGTAGTGTTGGCCAAACTTAGCGACAGCTTCGGCCGGAAAACCGTCCTGGTCACGTCGCTCGCTCTCTTCACCATATTTTCTGGTGCATGTGGAGCTGCTCAGACCATGAATCAATTGTATGATTGTTCAACCCCTAGTTCATTATAACTAACCAAGCCATTGCTGCACAGAATTGTCTTCCGAGCTTTTCAAGGACTTGGGGCGTCCGGTGTATTCTGGTACTATGGCTCTAGTACAAATACCGAGACTTGCCTTGGTATTTCCCTATGTATAGAAAAATTGCTAACTGTTTCGTAGTAAGAACGTTTTCTCTTACCTCTATGATCTCGAGCCTTGTCAAGACTCCACTTAAGTTCTCTTTACAAAGCTACTAGTAGTCTTCCTCTCTTCGAAGAACTTGCTAATAGTAGCCCCTCCTTAAGCTCTGGTTCTTGTCGTACTATTTGAGATGTTACCTCCCGAGAAATACCCAGTTTATTCAGTGCTGGTCACTGCACTCTTTGCAATATCAATGTTTGCAGGACCGCTTGTTGGGGGGGTAATAAATACGAACACGACCTACCGATGGGTGTTCCTCCTCAAGTATGTCGTGAACAACCTCTAACGCCGTTCGAGGCCCTTTTTCTCTTCCTTGCATGCATTAATTTTAATCTAATTTTATGCTTAGTGTTCCCGTTGGTGCTTTTGCTCTTGTCTTGCTCCTTGTCTGCATACCCACCAATTTCCCCTACCATGGCCAGCATAGCCGAAAGCGCTCTTCACACATCCGCAACGTCGACATGATTGGAGCTAGTCTCATGCTCATCACTCTTACGCTTCTCATCACTGGATTTGAGGAAGCGAGTGATTTTTCGCCATGGGTTTCGGCGGAGGTCCTTGTACCTATATTACTTTCGATACCATTTTTAGTAATGTTTCTTTTCTACGAGCGATGGGTCACGCTTAAAGGTGATGACCGCCCTGAACCTATATTCCCTTGGCGATTCTGCAAAAGTCGAGTGATCATGGGCATTTACGTGTGAGTTGAGCATGAACGACTTAACAAAAGTCCTTATTAACCAAACTGGTAGAAACGCCTTCCTAGTTGGCGCCATCTTTGTCACCTGCATCATTGAAATTCCGCTCCGGTTCCAAGTTGTAAATCATGAATCTCCATGGAAAGCTGGCGTACGGTTGGTCCCGTTCTCTATACCTGTTCCCGTTGGCGCTGGTCTAGTGGCTGCGCTCTGTGGGAAGCGCAGATTACCTCCTATCTATCTCCTCTTTGTGGGGTCAACATTGCAACTCTTGGGACTTGTTTTTATGTCAAGGATGACACTGGACGAAATCCAGTGGCAGGGACAGTATGGACTGCAGACAATTGCAGGACTTGGGTGTGGCTTAACAATCGGGGTATCAACATTATTAATGCCATTCGTGATCGAGAAGAGAGATCTTGGTAAGCTCTTTACCTCTTGTCGTGCTGCTCCGCACTTACCACCCTTCAGCGACCTCGACCTCGGCTGTGGTCCAGTTCCGACTCCTTGGTGGGGCACTTGCGGTTGCCATTGTAACTGCGGTAATGAACAACGACGTCAGGCGAACCCTTCTTCCTTTAATGAGTCCTGGGGAACTAGCCCAAATTCTCCGGACAACTGAGGCCATCGAAGAACTCAAAGAACCTTTGCGAACAATAGTTAAGGATGCCTTCTTGAAGGGCTACAACATGCAGTTGCGGATTCTCTTTGGGTTTGCCGCAGTGGAAATCCCTGCGACAATCTTTATGTGGCAGAAAGTACCTGTCAAGATAGCCTAGTGAGCACTCGCGCATTGCAGAGCAAGGTGAAAAACCCTGGGAGTGTACATCCTGGTAACCCGTCGCTTTACTACATTGTTTTCTCTTCTCTCAAGAGTCCTACATGGGCAACGGCACCTTTCAATGAGGGCCTGGAGTATCTGCGCACTCAAACAAGGTAATATTCATATCAAGTGTTGTGGGGAGGCTTCGTCTGCTCTCGTTTGACCCGATAAGATCATATGTAGAGAAATTACCCGATAGGCTTCATCGAGATGCCAAGCGTACATAGGAACGGAATCTCTCCTGATGATTGGCTGCATCTATTCGAGCAAAGCATCGGATTAGATGTATTTGGCTTGTAATATACTCACACACTCCATTTAATGTACTTCGCGTGCTTCCCCAGGAAGCTTCATCTCCGCCGTAAGCTATCCATCGAACCGAATACTCTTCATTGGCTCTTCGGCAGCTGACGGCACCTCACAAACCCTCAACACTTGCTTCGCAGCCACACTGATATTGACGACCGCCGTCTTTGTGAAACTGCACGCGTCGCAAAATACGGCAGTTCGAGTTGAACAGAACTACAATGTTCTAATTGATTGGTCGTCTCTTAGTGGGTTATTTCTATAGTAAGTATTAGAAGGGCAAAGTGCCCAGATTTGAGTCAGTACGTGGGAGAGACAAATCCGAGGACAATTGCGTGACTGTTCCCGTGTATAGTCTCGAAATGGTATTCCCAACCTGGGTTTTGTTGTTCTTTTCAGCCTTAACTGGCGTAGTCGCTGGTCCGGTAAAGAGGGGGTTCAGTCTTGAGAGGTACATTTTCATGACAACATGCGCCACCGACCCTGGGCTTATTTAGCTAACAGATTTAACAAAGGAAGGAGAATCCATTCTACCCACTCGATGAGGTAGACAAGCTAGAAGAGTCACTTCTTCCCAGGTTCGAAGCGTATCTCGCCAAAAAGAATGTGTCGTCCCATGGGTGTACTCTTGAGAATGCAGTGAAGAGGATGGAATGGTAGTATTATGTGACTCCTTCGCCAATCGACTCTAATGATGGCAGGGGTGATCTCACGGTCCCACAAAGAGAGGAATACATCCGAGCTGTACTTTGCTTACAGTCAAAGCCGCCCAAGTCACCAACCGACAAGTATCCTGGTGCTCTTTCTCGATACGATGACTTTGTGTTGACGCACGAGACGCTTGCCTTTCATCTCCATTCAACGGTGAGCTCAGACTTCCAAGAAGTTCTTACATTCTCGTTACTGACGCAATCGCGCCAAGCCCCATCTGCTTCCCGCACACCGCCTGTACATTTGGGCCTACGAAAAGGCCCTTCGAGACGAATGTGGATATACTGGATATCAGCCTGTGAGTGCATGAGAATCGTGAAGATAAATGAAGCTGCTAACAAGCTTGATGAGTACTGGAACTGGGGCCGATATGCGGCAGATCCTATCAACTCTCCTCTCTTTAACGGGAACATGTCCAGTATGGGTGGCAATGGGAAGCCTAGCAATTACTCCGGGGTCATGACTATGGGATTTAAGAAACCATACGACGTTATTCCGCCGGCTGGAGGTGGGGGCTGTGTAACTGAAGGACCTTTCAAGAAGTACGTCCCAGTCAATCATTCACGTTTACTCTAAAATGCGCTAACACCTAATAGTATGACAATAAGCCTAGGCCCAATTGGTGGTGTTCTGAACGATGTCCCAAAGAATCCTCGCTCTGATGGCTTCGGGTCCAATCCCCGATGTCTCCGTAGAGACGTGAACAAGTTTTCGGCGGCTGTTACAACGGCCAATTATACGTATGCCCTCATTACAGAGAATAAAGATGTTGAAAAGTTTCAGGCTGTTATGCTAGGCACACCAGAGAAGAACGACTGGGGTGTTCACATGGGCGGCCACTACACTATTGGAGGAGATCCCGGCGGGGTAAGTTCTCCCACTCCACCGAATTTGATACATGATCTGATGCAAGTATTTAGGACTTCTTCTCATCTCCTGGGGACCCGGTCTTCTGGTTCCATCACGGTATGATCGATAGAATCTGGTGGATTTGGCAAATGCAGGATCCTGAGAAACGTATGAATGTAGTACCAGGCAACCCTCCCCTAGACGATGTTGTGGACCTTGGCTGGACTGCGTCAAATGTCTCTATGTGGGATTTGTTGACGAACATTGGAGGAAATGCGGGCAAGTTTTGCTATATCTACGTTTAAGATGATCAGCTACGGGGAGTCGTGCTGGGTGTCAGGTGGACTTCGAGACAGTCTTTTCCGATACATGTTACTATCCGTTGGTAATTATACTTGCCTAAGTCTGCTTCATAAAATTTCTCTTTAGCCACCCTACACCAGTGAGATCTTGTCGCAATGGTGCTTGCAACTGCACGTGAACCATATGTCGTATCGCAACTAGACCGGCTCACACACCATTATGAATGGCGTCCAAATACCTGAAAATGTCAGCTTGACGCAATTTTCATGAAAAAAAAAATGGTAGCAAGAAAGTGACTTGCCTCCGATGAAAAGCCTCCCTGTTCTCACGTCATGAGTGGCGGTGAAAGCACCGCTCAACACTCTTTTGCCCCTGTTTTCTACTACTTTTACAGTTTCGTAGGATTCGTCTGTCTTGCAGATCCGGAAGATGGAGCTAGTGCTGTGTTTACTCGGCGGATCACCCAAGGCACCAAATACTTCCACAAGACTAGTGAGGCAGGCAGCCTAGATGTCGCCGTTCTAGTTTACAAACAGATTGTCAACCTGGATTCCGATAGGAATCTGATCCACTTCTCTCAATTTTCCGGACCTCTCAAGTTGGTAGACGCGAAGGAAGCCCTCAGTCAAACTTGGGACGTATATGAGCCCGTCGTGTCCTCGCGCAAGACTGTTCAAAAAACGGAGCGAGTTGTGAGTTGCAACTTGGCCAGGTTCCAACGCAGTGCATCGAACCACATTGCCACCACCAAGTATCATATCTAGCTCTTTGCGCTGCTCGAAGTTAAAGTCTCGTCTTCTGCAATTTGTGAGTGTAACTTACGAGTCCAACTGCTCACAGAATTAGCCAACACTTCTCAGCAAGGATGCCGCAGCTCAAAACTCGACCTACCTTTAGCCGAATGATCATTCGTCAAAACAAATGCTCCATCTCCTAGCAAAGCTAATCCGTCAGCAGAATAAACATTCCAATCTGTTACAGTCTTTACGTGATCCATACTCTTTTCACCTATTTTATATTCGAAAACATCAACGGTCACATTATCGCCGAAGCATGGAGTTCTTCTACATCAAAGCCAGTCAAGTCAAGCGTGCATCTCCCGTCGCTCCCCTATATATCTCTTCGGAGCGATAATGTGCATTCTGAAGAAGCCACCTTTAGTGGGCTCATCGATATACAAAGCCATAACCTCAGAGGCTTGGGAGCGACGGCCGGACACGTTAATTTTCGACATTCGTCCGTCATCATCAGCCCCATTTGTGGAAATATTACAGTTTCCTTCCTTCAACATGAGCCTGGGTGAAGGGAATAATTGAGCTCACCCTGATTCCAAGGCGCTGTGCGAACTTACCTGCCATGATTGTCCTTGTACTGATAAGTTCAGCTAGGCACCTTCCGCTATAATCAAGTCGCTAAAGAAATTCGTATAGTATTGTAGCGGAGTGTTGCTTTTCTTTTTCTCAAGGATTATGCTGACAAGCAAAGATTATTGGCGAGCTGTGCAATGCTGTTTTCGCTGGTCCCGAAAGTACCGGAAATGGTTAGTAGTAACAAAGCAAAAGCATTGTGCCTAGTTGTGGGTGGAGACTGTGCATCTTAGTGTCCACTAGTAAGATATCGATCACATTCCTACGGAAATATTCGCATACAACGAAGGCGCGAGGACGCCACGAAGAATTATGTTTGAATGTGAAGCTCTAACACAACAGTGCAAAATCCTGTTCTAGAGCAGTTCTAGTCGGGAGTTGGAAGATGAAAGGGATGGCCTACAAGGGTTGTAGCGTATAAGTACTGGGGTTCAGCAAGTCCTGCTACATTAGATATTCAGAGGGACTCACCAAAAGAGCCCAACTAAAAGACGCAGACCATATTTAGCTCACCACGAGTGGGACATCAGTGGATAAATGTCATTCTTGATTGCCAGCGTATGTTCGTGAGCAGAACTAATACAAGTGGCTCCTGTGCACTGCCTTGAAAGGCTTCTTTCACAACCACACCCCTAGCCATTAAATCTATCAACCGCTTCTATTTTCCCCCGCAATCTGTAGCTGCCTATATGAGTCAGTTCTAAACAGCGCCTTACCCTGAATCGTTTGCGTTCTCTGCTCTCCTGCCCCAGAAACGATGTTGTAGTGATACGACTTCTTCACTTCGATCATGCTGGGAGACTAGCCTCGACAGTCTTCAGCAAGAAGATTATTCCGCCATATGCTATTCTTTCACACAGATGGGGAGATTCTGAGGTTCTCTTAGAAGATATCGGAAATGACAGATGTAAAAAGAAGAAGGGTTATTGAAAGATTGAGTTCTGTGCCAAACAGGCGGCTCAGGATCAGCTACAGTACTTCTGGATCGACACATGTTGCATTGATAAATGGAACCTTGATGAGCTCTCGAAATCGATCAACTATATGTTTTGTTGGTATAAAAATGTAATAAAATGTTACGTATTTCTACCGGACGTTTCAGTATCCACTTCGACAGAGACACCCCAACAAAGTGTCTGGGAGGCATCCTTTCGGGCAAGCGAATGGTTCGCTCGAGGCTGGACACTTCAGGAACTAGTTGCTCCTGTATCAGTTGAGTTCTTTTCTTCTGAAGGACGACAAATAGGCGATAAACGATCCCTTGAGCAACTGATACATGAGATTACTACCATTCCAGTTAAGGCGTTACAGAATTGTCCCTTAGACACATTTACTATAATTGATCGAATGGAATGGGCCAAAAATCGCCAGACAACAGAAGAAGAAGACAATGTATACTGCCTTCTTGGTATTCTCGGCATCTCTATGCCTACCTCCTATGGCGAGGGAAAGCAGAAAGCACGGAAAAGACTCCAAATTGAAGTGGAAAGTAGCGCTCCATCCATCATTCCTTTTTCCCAGAACGATCGTTTTGTTGGTCGGGAGCCACAGCTCGCGGAACTAGCCACGCAGAGAAGGGACCTACTACTAGATGTGTAGCTATCTAGAGGAGTAAGCTAACTAACACTAATTAGTTTTTTATTAACTAGCAGACTTTTACTGCGTGTGTAGCTACACAGAGAGAATATCTACTGCAAGATATTAATTAGTAAAGTAGCTTTAACTGCCTATATAAAAGCTAGCTAACTAGCCGCAGCACCTATCTACTGCCTGCGTAGCCACGCAGAGGAGGCATCTACTGCGACTGGTAGCCGTCGCACGCCCTAGAGCTAACCTGCTACTCTGCATAACAGCTTGCTCTTTAAGAGCCACTGTACAGTTAACCAGCACCCCCCCTAACAACAGCTGTACAAACAAGCAACTAGCCCCCGCCCTAGAACTAACCTGCTACTCTGCACAACAGCTTGCTCTTTAAGAGCTACTGTACAGTTAACTAGCACCCCCTCTAACAACAGCTGTACAAATCAGTAACTAGCCTCTACCTCTACTGTCTTATTATAGAACTTTTTATATATAATAAACTTATAGAGATAACCTACATGTTTAAAATAATACTATAAAGAAAGGTTAACTTTACTTTTTTAGTAGACTACTTTAACATATTAGTAAGTCTCTCTTAAGTAGAATAAACTTTATACATAGTAGACACTTTTATTTATATATATATAAAAGTATATAAGCTGTCTGTACGTAAGTACAGCTGCGTCTGTACATGCGTACAGCTGAATTAAGTTGCCTAAAACAGTTAGCTATCTAGCCTATGCGTTAGGGGCTATGTGTACTTAATAACCCTCTTTCTTTGTATAAAGAGAGAGGGTAGTAGTTAATTATAAGAAGATTCTTGCCTACTGTAACGATTCGCTTGAATCGTTCCATTCAAAGTTAACTGGCGAACCTTATATCCGAAGGTTCCTCGTATCTGCTCCGACCCGGCCTTGCCCCCTGCTGTACCCCTATTCCCCCAAGTATTTAGTCGCACCTCTCCCCTTAGCTAGCTCGGTATTTTTCTGATATCCTTTCGTACGAGGCCTATAGGTGTCAATGATATTCCCAGGTTATTGAGTCCCCACGCACTCCCTCATGCCTCTGAGTGGATTCATACCGCATTCGGACCCATTGTCTTGCCTGCGCTGTTACACCTACTTACCTTTATTACAGGCTGTACGCTTAGCGTACAGCTGCCTACCTACCTACCGCGTGCGTAGCCACGCAGAGAAGGGACCCACTACCAGAAGCGTAGCCATCTAGAGGAGTGAGCCAACCGACATTGTCTTTATTTCTTCGGTTGACAGCCTTGTGCGGTAGCTTGCGTTTCGGATATCTCGGCTTTGCAGTGCAATCACATTATATATGTATATATACTGTTATTATGTTCCGGAAATCATTCACAGGCACAAACACCAATTTGGTTGATGTGAGCGAAGTCCTTTTCGTACATCCCTAGGCTCTTCCTCCTAACATGTCTGCTTCCGTTGCCCTTTCTTTACCTTCCTTTAACTTCACGCGTTGGTGGCCTCGAGAATCTTTTATGAGTACTATTCAAAGACCATTGGCTCATAGACTTGTTTTCTGTAACTATTGGGTGATATAGGAGGGCTGGGGGTCGGTTACACCATTAATCACAGGAACAATGAAGTACGACACTGAATACCTTAGTAATGTCCCTCCTTCTTTAGCGGCTTTATAGAGTACCACGCGGTAAATAGTCGAAGGGTACAAGCCTTCCATGCACGGACAGTCACGGGCTTTAGGAGAGTACATACGGAGAGAAGATTGAGAGCCTGCCATTAAATATACGCTTGAACATATCGCAAATGTTCAAATGTAACCCGCCGTCCTATGGTACAGCAGGAAAAAGCCACCTGTTTGGCAGTCGTAGAATTCTAACCAGTCATAGGATTCCTCGGATAGGAAAGTAAAATCGCTGTTATTATCTGATCCTTAGCATAAAGCATTTCAATCACAGGAATGGATACTTGCCCCAATCCTTGTGCTTCCTCAAGCGAGCCATTTGCTTGTCCATGGCCACTTTTAGAAAAGGAGGGTAATGAAGCAGTCGAGGCCCATTGCCATGACCGGTGTGTAGTGCTCGAATGCAATCTGCTGCTTTCTCCTCCAGCCTCAAGCTCACATCAAAGGGTCAAGAATAATGTTCGCTATCTCTTTCAAATCCCAAAAGATTGTAGTCTTGAAGTAATGAAAGCCGGAAAGACATGTTCAGGTAACACAGATATTGTGCGACATCTTGTTCACTTCACTGCCGGTTTTGTAGCCCTCCTACCGGCCACCGGTATCAGCCTCCGCATTAATTTCAGGAAAGGCATACTTACCTTGTCTGTGCTCCTCAAGTATCCTTTATATCTCATCTTTCGGTCTCAATAGCAATCTTGGCTGCTGCGATTTTTTTACCCGTACAAGAAGAGTCTCGATGCAGTGTTGTGCCACCCCAACATAGCGCTTTCATCTTCTCTTCGTATGGAAAGTTGAACAGCTTCTTTAATATTTCAAAAGCCTCCCTGAGCGCCTCTGCTAACACACCATGGCAGGCGACTCCCACGCCTTTGGCTTTACGAAGTTTCTCTGCTAACTCCTTCGCTACCCATTAGCGAGATTCGACATTACCTCCAGATGTGAATGGCAAAAGATCAATGATTGGAACGCCCCAAATGCCGTTGGAAGTCATTGCCATAGAGTTGCAAAACTTGGTTACAAGGTAGTGAGATCGAGACTACTACACGCCATCTTTAATCGAAACTAAGCAGGTTGGGACACTACGCCAAACCTAGCAGGAGCTGCTTGGTGGGGCAGACGAAAAGTGAGCTTATTTCTGCGTCAAAGTTCCCCTGTGTTGGGGTCCAATCCCTTTTAAATTGCTAGCACGAGTACATTTTTGTCTCTTCATCTCATGTCACTCCCGTCTACCAATTCACTTCGGTGCCTCCATGTGAGTGACGTTATCTTCGGAATCCTCCTTGATATACTACATTTCTATCTATCAAAAAAGAAGGTACGACCATTGACCCTTCACCCTTCGAAGCTGTTGTAACTCAGAGCCCAGCTCGCACAAAATTGGTGACGATGTCATTACAATTTGGGGAAAATCTACCTGTGTGCCTGTCTTTGTGCAAGCCGATACTCATAATGAAAGCGATCTGGGGCAAAGCGGGCTAAACTGTGTCAGACTGTTCTGCAGTCGAGATTCGTCAGCTGAGTGGGTCTGCACCTTGCCCCCTTTGGGAAAGCGGGGTGAGAGGGGTGCCGAATGTTGTCCCCAGGGCGAAATATGTCGTGTAACCAACGACCACATCTCCAGTCATTGATTCATTTTCTCTTGCTAAGCAGAGTTTCTCATGCAGTTCCTTTACATACACAGATCGCTATTGGGCGAACACCCCCAGCTGTTCCTTCTTTTGATATGACAAAAGCGCAAGGTGATCAAAATAGTGCAGTCCTTCTTACATGCATGAATATGAGGTTTTCAGAGAGCAATACCTTCGGACGTCCGACTTGGCGACCCAGAGAAACCTGGGATGCATATCTGTGACGGTAAATGGCGCCAGCCATCGATCTTTCGCAACGCCAGGCCGGATGAGTATTTAAAGGCTGCTGCAGTGGCCCTCAGCAGTCAAATTTGTGCCTGAAAGCCATTTGCTCTCCTTGCTTCTCCGATATATGCATGGCTGGATCGGTTCTTTGGGCAGTAGGAGCCTTGGCTGCAGGCGTCCTACAAGTCTTCACGTCAAGCACCGGGTCTATTAACCGCGATCTTGGTCCCTTATTATCCCAGGAAGCTCAAATCTATCTTCCAGGGTCTGAAGGATTCAGCAATGCGACTACGAGGTGGAGCGCTGCTGCCAGGCCTGACTTCAAAGCAATTGTGAAAGTTAAGACTGAGGCTGATGTCCAGCATACAGTAAGCTATGAATTGACGTCAACCGAGTATTCGCCAGTAACATTTCGCAGATCAAGTATGCCAATGAACACAACTATCCCTTCCTAGCAATTTCAGGAGGCCATGGCCAGACATCCGCCCTGAACAACATCCATGGCGGTATTGGCATTTGGATGCGTGGTATGAAGGGTGTCAAGATTAGTCACGATGGAGGTGTCGCTAGTGTTCAAGGTGGCATAGAAAATGGAGAGCTTGTAAGAGCTCTGTGGTCTCAAGGCAAGCAGACTGGTATAAAATTTCAATTATCTGTTCCTAAGACAATCACTTACATATAGATCAGTCACCACGGGTTGCGATTGTGCGGGGTTTATCGGACCGGTCATGGGAGGGGGGCATGGCTGGCTTCAAGGAAGATACGGGCTTCCAGCGGATAATCTCATGTCAGCACGCATGGTGCTCGCGAATACAACAGTCATCTCTGTATCCGAGACTTCTCACAAAGATCTATTCTGGGCCATTCGAGGCGCAGGCCACAACTTTGGAATCTTCACGGAGATTGATATCAAAGTTTACGACCGGAGACCAGAACAAGATCAATGGGCAGCTCTAGGGTTGACCTTTACGCACGATAAATTAGAAAAGGTCTTCGCCATTGCGAACAGCTGGTTGCAGAGCCCAAACCGGCCGGTCGAACTCACCCACTATGGCACTGTTTCCTTGAATCCTGATATTAATATAAGAATGGTAAGAACACCCTCTAACGCAACGAATATCTGGCTGACAAAAGAAGCCTGTGATTACATTCTGGATATACTGGCAAGGCAGCACCATCCCCAAATCTTACACAGAGCCGCTATATGCGCTGAATCCCGTAAGCGTTGATTCGAGTGTGACGGACCTAGCTGGGGTGAATACCCATTTAGCAGCGGCATATGGCATGGCCGCCTGTTGGACAGGATACTCCCGTCAACTATACCCTGTCTCCTTGAACTCATGGCCGCTAGCCAATCTCCGTGGGCTACTGGAAATCTTCGCATCAATGCCATCCGCTTTTAGATCCTCGATCGTGTTACTCGAGGCATATGCAACGAACCGAGTGAGCGAAATCCCGAGCGAGAGTATTTCTTATCCGGATCGAGGCGGGCAGCTACTTATATCGCCGTTACTAACGTATGCGGCAAATGCAAGTTTAGACGAAGAGGCATTCTCTATTGGCAAGCGGATTCGAAATATGCTACTAAACGGAATTGATGAGCCCCTGATCGCGTATGTCAATTATGCACATGGAGACGAGAGTTTGGAGGCCGTATATGGATACGAATCGTGGAGGCTAGAGAAATTAAGGAGGTTGAAGGCAGAGTATGATCCGCATAAGAAGTTCAACTTCTATGTGCCCATCACATGATCATGAGGCTGCACCCACACCCTATCAATCATCTCGTGCCGGGCTTTTTAGTAACTGGTGCATTGAGAGGTTTTCGAGGAAGTGGTTATGAAAGCTGAGAGACGCATCCCAACTCTACTATCTACCATTATTCTGGGGCAGATTTGTGGAGATTTTCAGGACTCTTCTATCTCTGGAAAGTTCGGCTGGGGTTATGTTAGGTCCAGACATCGCCGAGAGATAGATGCAATTGAGGTATATAAAGTGCTCGGTGGGTAACTACAACACGTTTTTCTTAACAATTGTTAGCTATTCTCCTCTCAATCCTCTCCACCATTTCGATTGCCGCTCGATTTCCCCATCTTGTTCGAGAAGCCATGCCCACTTTGCCAGGAACCAAGGCTCCGCTTCCCAGCTTTTTCTGTCCCACGGCTGACCTGCTGCACTACCCCTTGACTTCCAACAATTCAATCCTCCACCAAGAATATCCATCTTTAGCTCAACTCGGCTGTAGCCTGAAGGAGCCAGGGCATCAAGCGCAATTACTCGGGACCGAAACCAAGGAAATGGTAAAAGGTCTAGAAAAGGATGATGTGGAAATTGAATTTGGGTCGGTGTGGGTTGGAGGTCCGATGGTATAGTGTTGCATATTGTTGGGGCTAGACATGCGGCGGAAGAGGAGTAGAAGGGTGAACGACAGTCTGGTTTCATGACTTGCTCGAGACTCAGGCCAATAGCCCGGGAGTTTTGGCAGAACGCTTCTTGCATAGTCTGATGACGAAGGTAGATGTTGTTGTTATAAGGGTTCGGTAAGATAGGAACGAGTTGGTCAAGGTTGGTTGAGGGGGCCGATTGTGGTAATTCGGGTACACCTCTCGGAGTGTGAGTCGGGTTCATATTAGGATTGCTGGCAATCGCACGGTATTCACTGCTTTGGAATTTGAGGATCCGTAATCCCTCCAACACTACTTTCCTCAGATCAAGCTTCTCCGTCACCGCGAAGTTCGCAAGATTATGACCGTCATCTTCGTTGAGCAGCTCGAGCTTTTCCATAAGGTTGATGCTTATCTCTGAAGCTCTTGGAAGAGTTGAGGAAAGAAAATCCGACTTTGAAGAAGTGCCAGCGCTTCTTTCTAAAGGGAATGGAACGGTCGTGCCCTTTGTATGTGGAACAAAGGGTGCTTCACCTGCAGCGTTCGATCTACTTTGCGAGTTTCGTTCCTTAGCTACTACTTTTTCAGTTAAATCTGAATGAAGACTAAAGTTAAGGACTAGATCTGAGGTCTTCTTTCCCGGTGTTGTCAAGTCATTTAGTGTTGCTTCTATGGGGGGCAAAGATGGCTCTGAAAGTAGGGTATGCGGCGCTTCATTGACAAGTAAGCCTTCCTCTCGATTATTACCTTCGAAGGCTGGTAAAGCAATCTGAATGGTAGATGCACCGTGAGGCATATTTGATGTAAGAGGATGAAGTTGTGACGGCGCTACCGTGGTGGTGTTGGTTTGCTGCACTGCTTGGTCTTTGGTTCGCGAGGAAGCTAGTGCTTGTTCCAACAAGTCTAGTCTTTCTTTGCGCCTCTCTCCTAGGAAGAACTATGAGTAAAGGATTTAAGGGGGTATGTAGCCCGCATATAAAGCTAATTGGATGGTGGGAGAGCTTTGAGCTTAGAGGCATTCTGTGAGCGCAAGAGGGAAGAAATTGCACTGCTTACGATATGTTCTCTGTGCGGCTCGATTCTGCATGCGTCTCTTCTCCGTTAATTTGCGTTTATACGGCCGCGCCTGACTTCCGTTCTCAGCCCGCGATGTTCCCATCTCACTTTCTTGATTACTATAGCCCTGCTTATGCAAGCCAAGCCAAGAATCCCAGCTCTCTTGCTGGTTCAATTCAATGAGACCAAGGACTCCAATATCAGAATTCTGAGCCGGGAAGAGATGGTGGAGGAGAGTAAAGTAGACTCGGAAGGTGGGGAGGAGTCCTAGACGTAGCACTGGCTTACGAGAGCCAACCTTTCCTATGTTGGCCTAAGCTTGGCTGGCTTATCACAACCCTGGCTGAGCTAATTCACACCCGAATCCACATCTGATGTGATGAGACAGACTGTTCTCGGGGGAATTAAAAGCAGATGGATAATCTGAGCAATTTTTGTAGCAAATATGCCTTCTAAAGAAGCTAGGAGACCAAGGTTGAGTTTGGTACATTTGTTGTTGACAGGTTTCCACCACATCGAACCACCACGTTTGCATTTACATCATTATATATTGTACAACATTGAAGAACCATGACCAATCGAGCGGCATATCTCCTAGCAGCAAAAACCCAACTAGAAGTCAAAGATGCACCACTCGAGAAGCCGGGCCCACGAGAAGTTCTGATCCGTAACCGAACCCTTGCGATCAACCCTGTAGATACTAAGATGCAAGATTACGGGGTCATCATTGAAGAATATCCATATGTGAACAACAAACCACCCTTTACGTGGACATTTGAAGGCTAACGGTGGTATGTCCTGCAGATCCTAGGCCTGGAGGTTGCTGGAGAGATAGAAGGCGTTGGGGATGAGGTTACTAAGTTCAAGAAAGGAGACCGCGTCGCAGCGTATGATTAAGACTATAATTAAAGTCCCACTACAGAACTAACCTCCATTTAGGCTAGGGGCTGCAATTAGAACGAAGAAACTTGCTCATGCCGGTTTTCAGCTTTTTACTTGTGCCTCGGACATCACAGTCGCCCACATTCCGGAAGACCTGAGCTACTCAAGCGCTGTTGTATTACCTCTCGGGCTCACAACTGCGGCTGCGGGCTTGTATGAACATGCCTATCTAGGGCAACCAATACCAAGTGCTGTGGCCAGTAATGAGCTCGAAGAGACTGATAGGGCGATTCTTATCTGGGGTGGTAGCTCTTCCGTCGGTAGTTGCGCCATCCAACTCGCTATAGCATCTGGACTCACCGTTCTTACCACTGCCTCAGAGAAAAATATCAGCTATGTGATGGGCTTAGGGGCGCACCATGTTTTTGATCATTCGAAGGATGATGTAATCGAGAAGTTGATTAATGTAGCGACTGGGAAGAAGTTGATTGGCGCATATGATGCTATATCGACAAAGGGTACCTCCGGAAAATGTGCAGAGATCCTTCATCATTTTGGAGGCGGGACCATTTTCGCTACTATACCTGGCACCAGCTCTGGTGAGCTTATGTTGGGAGATGTGCGTTGGGTAGCAGGTAAGTAGGATTGTTTGTCTTTTAAACCCACGCCATGTATACAGCTGATAGGATGTCCCAAAAGGCCATCCACCAAGCCCTTCCTCGGAACAAGAAATCCCTGTTTGGATGAAAGTCTGGGGGGACTTCATGAATGAAGGTTTGAAGAACGGAAAGCTGAGAGCCAAGCCTGATCCAGTAGTGATTCAGGGAGGCCTCGAGGAATGTCAGAAGGCATTAGACCTGTATCGTCAGGGTGTTTCTGCGGCAAAGATTGTAGTGGAGCTTTGAATGGAGGAAGCAAGAAAACGACACGAAGAATGGAACACAACGCACCAATGTGGGAAAGAGATCACGTAGAAAGTCCAGCTTCCTTATTACTCTAATACAGTCGGTCTACAAGACAGCATCGAAGCAAGTCATGTACTGGACTGTGTACGTTCCATGGTGAGGAGGTCATTTTCAGTAGCTCCGTTAGCAGAAACCTCAACACCCATGATGCATAGTCCTCGCCTGCCACACTCTAAGTTCCCTGCTTCTATGGCTTCCCCGATTGGTAGCGAACACTACAGCTAGGTAGCAGACTAAAGAAGCATCCAAGCCATGCATTGGTCTTTAGCATACGTTTCCTGCCGTGGGCGAATTAAAATAACCGGTAAGCCTTGACTACCGTGCCAGCGAGAGTGTCATATGTCTCGTCGGTGTCTCTGTTTGCTCATTGTGTTGATCATGATCAATGGCGAACCTCGGGGGCGATATTAATCATCTGGCTAGCTCTGTCAAACCCTGGGTTGGCTGTACATGGTTGGCAAGCCGGTGGCTGGAACCAAGATCACGCCTGAGTTGATTAAATGTTAACCAGTAGTCGCTTAGATTCAGGCCCCCGAATTCATGTGACTGGAAGATTGCGTCGTAAAGTTGCTATTATCATAACTCGGAACGTAAATAGTAGGCTCCGGCTCTAGAAGAATCTTGTGGTTACTACCAAAACTTTCCTGGCTTGGGTTCCGAAGTTCTGTTGTTACCGTTGTCTCTCGCTGAACGTGGATCTTAGGGATCACCCTGTTATTTCCGCGGGTAGTAAGGGGGGTTAGACTCCGGGAGTGTGCGGCTGGCTGCGGGGATGTAATTTTGGCTATTGGGCCGCATTCGATAAAGTCAGGACCTTCGGGATGGGTAGATCTCCTACGGATGGCATGGCTACCTCGATGTATTGTTCCTCCTTGGCTACTAAATGACTTTGTGACAATGTCGTCTAGAACAGATTTGAAATCGTCTAGGAAGATGGTGTCGGAGGCGCACTTGAAGACAAGAGCCATCCGCCAGTATGGGTTGATGCCAGAATCCTTGGTGACTCGGAGCGCAGTAACAAAGATATCCGTTGTAAGGAACGCGATCGAGAGGAACATACAGAGAAGCATGACTCCAAATCGGGAGTTTATCCGAACCAGGTTCCACAATTTGAAGCCGTAGGTTTCCTTGATAGAATCGATCAATTTCCAAGTAGTGAAAATCCACCACGGGTCCCTGGGTACACAAGTTAGCAATTTCCTTCATAACCAGTAACAGGCTCAAGTGTACCTAACAAGGGCTTCCCAAGGTCGCATCTTTTCATTGACATTATTTCCCAACCCATTAAAGTACTCGAAATTTGACCAGGCTTCGGCAATCCAGAATGGTTGAACAGCCACCAGGGATAGGATGAAGAATCTGCTTCCCCATTTAGGAAGAAAAGGTCGAATCTTCAGCCAAGAAACGACGTTATGAATCTGGTAGGATATGAAGAGAAGGGTTGCGGTGGCACTCAGATACCTGAATCCAGTCAGCCGGGCAACTGGTCGAGATTTCAGAGCACTAGCCATCCATAAATTGGATCCTGAGCAAAGATGAAAGTTCCGTGCCAGAGGGCTAAAACAAGCTCAAGCAAAATGAGTTTGTGAAGCAGAATTCCAGAGCGATAGTTGCAGAACACAATCAGAATGAGGATGACAAGGGATCCAACGTTGTAGCCTTCTGCCCATGCTTCCAAAAGCCCGCCTTCAAGGGTCAAGCTTGATCGTGTTGGCGCAGTTTCAGTTCGCGATAATGGCACAGGGAACCGCTTTCGGAGAGCGGGAAATTCGTTGGCGGGGGCCATGAGGTGTCGGATGAGGCCGAAAAATGGTTCGGGAAAAAGATTACATTGAGTCATATATAAATACTACGACAAAGTCCGATGGGTTGGAGGAGACATGTGGCACAAGGCATTCCAATGATGACAGCAGAAGCAAGAAAGAAGTTTTCAGTGGTTGTGTGACACCTGATTATTTAGGTTTGGGGACTGCACACTACGCCTGGCAGGACGGCGCTATGTTTAGGCTTTGGTGGACGGTCGGGCACGGCACAGTCCTGCGGCAAGGCCGCTGACTGCAGTGTTGATGGAAGGCTGTTGGCCGGATTTCTAGAAGCCCTGGACGATTTGTGCTAAAGATTAAGGTGCCCGAACCCATGGAGAGCCCTAGATTGGTTCATTTGGGTCCGATTGCCTGTTGTTGGGGTCGTGTGTGGATGGGGCCCCGCCGCACTTTGCCATCCCGATCCGAGTCAGGACGAACATCTCTTGAGGTTTCCGGGACAGATCATCGCTAACGTCACTTGACACCGCAGGACTGAGGCTTGGGAACCTAACTAGCTCCCTGCCAAACGGGACGCCTGACAAAGGCATCTTGGGACAAGTCCGGAGAGAGATGAGGGCTGACCGCTCATTCAGATCGTCAGTTGTGTCCAAGTCAAGACAATGACATTATTGTAAGGAAGAAAATTAAGAGGAAGAAGTGATAAAAGAGTTTGAAGTTAACGAAATGATATCCGTTCTCACGTAATGTGTGCAGGTGGAGAACGCCAGTGGAGGTCTGCCATGTGGTGTTGCTGGGAGGAGGAAGCCTGCTGCCGATCTGCACTCGGCTCCCCCGCAAACTTAACCCTCGGCCCACATTCTGTTAAATTATCTCCATCGGGAGTAGCTACCTCCACCTGCAAGTAATATTCTTGGATTGAAGAGCGGGTGATATAACGGTAGAGCAGCGCTTGGCTTCGACTCGCTGGCCTCAGGCTTAAAATGTTCTGGAAGCCTCGGAAAGAAATCCGGGCACGTGACATCGAGTTAATCCACCTTCACTGGAGGTTCCAAGATTCCTTTGACAATCTCCTGACACTATCGCTCAGTGATCAAACACTGCCGCAATAGCATGGCCAACAATCTTTCATCTTTCACTGTCCCCCTGAAATTTCCTAAACGTGATCTTGCGTCCATTCATGGTAGCCACAAGGGATGTTTTGCTTTCGTCCCATCCCATGTGTGGATGCTTGCTCCACGGACGCTTCCTGCGACCACTCGCAATCTCCAAGAGACGCGAAGCATAAGCATTCGACACAACATGCAAAACTTGCCTGGTCTTCTTACACGAACAGCAAGAAGGCCCTACATAGATCCAAAGCAGATACAATGCATCCCCTTACCCGGGTCGTTGCCCATCCCACCTTGGAATTGCTTGCGATAGTTCTGGGGTTTTATACGTCTCAAAAAAAAATTATTTGGACTGCTAGACAAAGGTTTGCGATTGGATGACACTCGTTTAATCTTACAGCAAACCCGCAACACCGCGTTTGCACTCCTGTGGCTGAGCTTCATCTTCCCTAATCCGGAAACTACGCGACACCTGGTGTGAAGAAGCCTACTAAGCCTCTGCGGGAGGATTTTCAGCCCTCTCACGGACCACAATGACTCTTCTCCCGTTCTGATATAATAAGAACAGCTAAACCAATTCTAGGTACGGTCGGGTTTTGATTGGTCTGCTCGCACTTTGCTTTGTGGCTTACATCGAATGCGCAAGCCCAACGGCAATGCATCGTTCTGAGCAATTGTGAGTTAGAAAAGAGCGATATGGGCGATCCAGGAGGAAATATATAATATAGGTTGGTTACTTGTCTGAATTCTTCATTCATCAAGCAATTTCACTGCGTCAAAATTTCAATAATCCTCCCTTTTCTCGATCGTCAATTTTGATCTCAGGAGAATGGCAACACCAACCGCAACATCCCTCGCCTCAACCACAACCTCCACATCAATACCTTCCTGCACAACCGCCGTCCCCGGAAAATACGGCTATGTCCCTCCTGATGCCTGTAACTCATACTATTCCTATAGCCCTAGTTTCGCCGCAGCAGTTGCCTTCGCCGTCCTCTTCGGCATCGTCACTATTGCTCAAACCAGCCAAGCGTTTGTCTATCGCAAAGGTTTCTGCTGGGTGATTATCATGGCATGCTGTTGGGAGTGGGCATCCTTTATCACTCGCGCCCTCGGTTCCCACAACCAGCAATCTCTTGCCTTGGCCTTCGTCAGCCAGCTCTTGTTTTTGCTTGCGCCCCTGTGGATCAATGCGTACGCATACATGACTGCCGGTCGACTGATCTGGACATTCCATCCTTTGAAGAAGATATACGGCATCAAGGCTATCAGCATTGGGAAATACTTCGTCTGGCTTGATATCCTGTCCTTCCTCGTCCAAGGCATTGGCGGCTCGATGCTTTCTCCGGGATCTTCTGCTGATACCCAGAAGCTTGGAAAGAACATCTACATGACTGGGGTTGGCATCCAAGGGGCTTTCATTCTCCTCTTCACCGTGCTTATTGCACGCTTCCACGTCGAGTATCTACGCCTCCAGAACACCGGAGCCGTCCCGACGGCCAAAAATAAGAAGTGGATGTGGCTTACGTGCGCACTCTACGTTGTATTAGCGCTCATCATCATGCGAATCGTCTTCCGCCTAATCGAGTTCTCCGCGGGCGTAGACATCTCGAATCCGCTGCCCTACCACGAAATCTACGCGCTCATCCTCGACGCTTTCCCCATGCTTCTGGGTATCGTCATTCTTACAGTCATCCATCCCGGCATGGTTCTCCAGGGGCCTGAATCCGAGTTCCCATCTCGCAAGGAGCGCAAGGCGGAGAAGAAGGCTAAGAAAGCTGAGAAGAAGGCGCGTAAGGAAGAGAGGAAGATGGCGAAGAAGGGATTCAGTCCGCCCCATGCACACCTTGTGACTGACGATGTTGAGCTGGGTTATACTTCGGCAGGGTCCCAGGGACAGGACACCCGCTATTATGGAAACAGACACTAGGATCAAGCTAGACTAATGAAAAGATAAAAGATGGGCGATACATTAGAATGTTTTGATAGATAGAAAGGGCATGGTTGTTGCTTAGAGAGCCTTACGAATTTGAATAGACGTATTTTTCTTAACTGAAGCCTAGGGTTTATCATGCATATGACCTGAATTTTTCAAGGGTTTTTAAAACCCATAGAACACATATGTTTACAGAGGGATATGCCTCCTAACTATGCCACGCTCGACCAGGAAGGGAGCGCCTACTGACTCTCAAGGACCCTCTTCGCACCATCCACTATCCTCTTCACCTCGGTATGTCCTTTCTTGACCACCTCTTCCATTCGTTTGGTCGCCTTCTGGAGGTCATCTGGCAGAACCAACTTCTCCAGCTGAAATTTCCTCAGCTTCTTATGATGCGCCGCTCTTGCGTCCTGGATCGCCCTGTCTGCTTGTTCAGCAGCCTTCCGCGCCATATCAAGCGCAGCCATGCGTGATTCGCCGGTTGGCGGAGGAATCGGCACAGGTATAGTGAGGGGAGAATCGGGATGGGGCTGCTGGGGAGCGAGATTGTGGCTTGAGGCGGCGATAGCAGAGCTTATTGGTTTGATGTACTGGATTCGCAATCAGTTTTCTAGTCGAGCAACACAGCAATAGAAATGCTCACCTCCTTCTCAGCAACCATAATGTTGAGCAGTCTGCCTTTCGGTACAACTTGTGCAATTTCCGACAACCGCACTGATTCTTTCCCTCGGCTCACAGTGCCTAGTTGTACTTTCAACGACTCTACTAATTCAGGGTTGAATCGCCCACCTGACCGCAATTGAGATAGCTCGTGGGTCAAGTGCTCCATCGCCTTCAGGATCTTGGCCTCCAGTATTGACACATCGTATGCTTCATCCGTGGACGTTGAAGCGGACAAATCAGACACGGGCGGCGAGGAATCGGAACGAGCGTGTCCCTTATTGGCCTTGCCGGCTTTCTTGAGATAATTGGGGCTTGTTGTGAAGGTTCTTACAGCCTGGCCCGCACATAGCGGAGTTGAGAGAGGTCGGAGTAGTCTTCTAGCGAGTGAGCGTATGTTGAGGATAGAGGGGAGGCATTGGCGCACGCTTTTCGGCATGGCAGCCTGACTGCCCGCGGCGGGGTGGGGCGTGAAGCTGGGGAAGCTAACTGGAATGCGAGACGTGATATAGGCCGCGACATGGTTGTGTTGGTGGTTGTTTATGATGGTTTGGCAGCTTTAACAGGGCCCAGAATGCACGTTCCACAACACCACCACGTGAGAACATTGAGCTACAAACTCTTTGGTCAACGAAGTCTCAACTCTGAAGTCGGCTAATCTAGGTCGTAGATTCGGCGAAATCTCTATCAATTAAAGAGTGGCTTAGTCAGGCCAAATATGGGCACCTTTCAGCTACAAGAATGTTGCTATGGTTGGAAGCACCATCACCCCACACGAAACATCCCAGTCCGTCGACGAACTCATTTGAAGATCGCACACCCGCTTGTTCCAGGGCTATTGCAGAGGCTGCTCCTATCTAGACCCTAATACCGCTCCTAATGTCAATACCGCAATGAGTGGGAAAACCCCACCTGATACTCTCATCGGCTGGAATCCGAAGCATTGCTCCTCAGCTTTGTCTTTCAAATGTAGATGAATCGCTAATCCATACCATTTCGAGCGCTGCCATGCCAATGTTGTGGATGGGTGGTGGCGGGTCTCGCTATTTTTCCTCGTTTTCTCGCTTCCCTCAAGCCTCTTCCGCTGAAATGGGTGATAACCTGCTGCTTCACAGCAGTTCCTCAGCCTTCTTACCAAAGGCCTCACGCCATAGAGTTCACACTTAAGGTCTCTCTTTCCTGCCGCAGTCTCTATAGTCTCTGCTTTCTATCCTCATCCTACCCTGTCATCTGCCTATACATCCTTGCACTACCTAGATAACTCCAAGATCACGGGTCATGTGATGGCATCTTTTCAAAGTCCGACAGCACTTCTTCTTCTTCTTAGCCTTGTGGGCTCTGCTATCGCGGTAAACCCCATAGTTACCGCTGCTGCTGTGCTCGACAAGAGAGACAATGGAGCCAACGTTATTGGGTATTCATCTGGTATTACCAATTGTACGCTGTTACTTTACATTCCCTAGCTATATCCACAGATACTCCATTGACTGCTCTGACGCTAATACTGCTTGGGTGACTAGGGATCACCAGAAGCTGTAACAAGGGATTCTTCTCGACCTCAGGCTCTTATGGAAATTGTCAGCTTAGCCTCTACAGGTTGAAGATATGTTTGTAACGGAGCTTAGGTTGTGGAAATGGGCTCTGTGATTTTATGACATTCTGCGGAGACGGGACCGCATTTTTTGAGAATGCTACACCTGTACCATGGTAAGCCGCTGTCCGAACATCGTTGCGATGGCTTACGTTTGCTAACGTAACGACAGTGGCGGTACAAGTACTTGCGGAACCGGAACGATATATCGCACTAGGGGCGACTCCCATCCTTTGACGATGTATAATTGCCAGTCCGGCTGGGAGGTGACAATAACAACCTCAATAAGCTCACTGAAGCCTGCGCCTTCTCAGGTCACAGTTACCCAGACCACGACTGCTACAGCTGAGAAAACGGTTGTTACTGCCCCATCAGCACCACCACAGCCTCCAAGTAGCGCTGCTGTTGCTTCAAGTAGTGCCGTTGCTTCAAGTAGTGCCGCTCCTTCAAGCAAAGTTGCCTCATCTCCACCTCCGGAGCCGTCAACAATAGTTGTAGTCTACACGTCAGTAGTCGATCGTATGTACCACCTCACCCCAACCCCGTTAAAGCAACCTAACGTTTCCAAGAAACCCCTTCAGGAGGCGGGGCCGTTGTTCCCGTCACCTTGGTTATAACCTCCTCCACAATCTCAACCCCCAAATACGCAACGGCAGCAGCAACGGAGACCGGAGCAGCAACAGCAATATCGACTTCTACCGCCCAAATCACTCATTCCAACAACGTGCCCATCATTGCCGGTGCATCCGTGGGCGGCGCCGCAATCCTCGCATTCGCCGCAATCGGCGTGTTCATCTTTAGACGTAAGCATAACAACACGCCTCCAGGAGCATCAGCGGCGAATCCAGCCCCTCCAGTAGCGCCAATTCCACCGGTTCCTGATTGGAAGCCCATACAACCCGTCATAGGTATGGCGGAGGCGCCAATACGGCAATGGTCGCCGGAACCCGGGCAGTCATATCAGTTTGTACCATCACCCACTTCTCCTGCTTCTCCTGCTCCTCCCTATGATGTAAATAGAAGCGAACTTTTGGGGAGTGCGATGGCTTACGAAATGCCGACACAGCAGTATGAATACAGGAACTATTAGTACGTATAAATTGCGAATATAGGCTTTCGACTGGTGCACAAATGGGAAGTTTCTACTGCATTATCTCAGGGTCGCGACGAGGTTTTGATAATTGAGTTAAAGGGTATGTGGCTTCTAAAATCCACAGAAAACGTAATGTATATAACGAAGACACGGGCTTGATTAATTGGACTTGAGCAGCCACAATAACAAGTATCTACCCACACAACCTGGTAGAAATGGTTGCTTTGTTCTCTCTTTTGATGCCAGGCATTTAGAGACGTATTGCCCGTCCTTCTAATTGTTCCACATCCTCGTTTATGGTCCAACCTTCAAGTAAAATTGGCCACAAACTGATAGACCCGTTATTTACCTGGTTACCGTGCGACTGGGATTTAGCCGTTGTGTGTGTATAGTAAGGAGAATATTAGCGACGAAACACCTCGATCGCCGACACGGACACAAAGTCACCGCTGAGGAACGAAGGCATACGGAGCGAGGAATCAGAGGTCCGTTTTCTGCCAGATGTTTTCCCCTTCGGTGAGCGAGGGGCGAGTCATTAGTGGTTGAGCTGAAGGTGATCGGAGTGTGGACCTTCGCGGGGTCGGAATCGGCATCTAGAACCGGCCGAAAGGCGGGACCTCGGCCCTGTCCGAGGCAGCACCCACAACCGACCGCCGAGCAGGACAACTCGAAAGCACATGCATCGACCGTGGCAAACCCTACTATGTAATCTACCGTGGCTCCGCTCTAGAGCTTTCGCAATTCTCCACCATGGTGACCTGACTTGATATCGTGCACTGAACAGACAGCAGCCGCCCAGTTCTGTCACTTTTACTGCCCATCGCTCTCGTCCCGCGGATACCTCCGGCCGTCGGCTTACAAAGAGGTCCAGCTTTTTGGCTAAGCATTTCCAATTTCCAACGCCCAGCACCACCAGCTTCCACAATTCCGCGGACACGATATTTAAAGAGAGCAAGACGTCGAGGAAGTCCTTGAACCATGCCTGGCAACACGGACGGTATGCCGACCTTTACCAATGGCACTGCCAGTGGCGTGAATGGTATCAACGGCGTCCACGGCTTTCACAACCATACAAATGGCCATACTAATGGCCATGCGAATAGCGTCACTGGACATGCGACTGGCACACCTGCGCATCCGGCTTTCGACTCGATTCCAGACGTCATACGGGCAGTTGGTACGCTTCTCTCACACCCGCTTTGAATTTGTGTGAACGCCGTCTCACGCGTACAGCCAACGACGAATTCGTCATCGTCCTCGACTCACCCTCACGCGAAAACGAAGGCGACCTCATTATCGCCGCATCTGCTCTCACGCCCTCCAAAGCCTCCTTCATGATCCGCTACACATCTGGCTACATCTGTGCACCGCTGTCCGTGTCGCGCGCAGCCGCCCTGCACCTCCCTCAAATGGTCGCCGACAACGAGGACAGGAACCGCACTGCCTACGCCGTGTCCATTGACGCTGTGCACGACAGCGTCACAACGGGTATCAGCGCCCAAGACCGCAGTCTCACGTGCCGCACGCTTGCGGATCCGACGGCTAAGGCGGGGCACTTTCGCCGGCCCGGTCATGTGCTCCCGCTGCAGGCGAGGGAGGGCGGGGTGAGGGTAAGGAGAGGACATACGGAGGCTGCTGTCGATATTTGCAGGCTGGCGGGTAAGCCACCCGTCGGTGTGATTTGCGAGCTGATCACAGACGGCGAGGCGGTTGATGGGAAGACGGAGCTAATAGGTGGAGGTATGATGAGGAGGGATGAGTGTTTGGCATTTGGGAAGAAGTGGGGCATTAAGGTGTGCACGATTGCGGACTTGGTAACGTACATGGAAGAGAACGAGGGAAAGTTGGGGATTGAGGGGTCGGATTACTGAAGAAGACATGACATTAGCTGGCGTTTTGTCGGTACGGTTCGGTTGGTTGTGCCATATTCCCTCTGACCGAGCATGAGTCCTGTTCTGATCTACCGCTGTCTATTTCTTGCACGCATGCTGGAAAAATATTAGATATTCTTTCTCCGCGCAAGCGGCTTCAACCAACACCACCTGCACTCAAGGTTCCGAGTAAATATTCCTCTATCAGTCTTGCATCCAGATACCAAAACCCACCATCTTCAGTCATCTCTCTTCTCTCTAGTACGCGTCATTGTATGTACATCCCGCCATTTAGAAATAAATTTCCATGCTTACCATGCATCTCACCCTATTCAGAGCTCTCTGAACTCCCGACTTCCGGGAGTGAATCAAAGGCATTTTGTGATCTGTCCGATAGCACGGGACCCCATAGCCAGCCCCGGGATGCACACCTGTAAAGTCTAAGCCTTCCCTGCTATACCAGTTCGGATGCTACTATTCTTGGGAAACGTGCTCATATCTTGCTCATACCTTGTTCGATAAATGCGCGCGATAAACGCGCGCAATAAATGCGCTCAATTCATTCCCTAGGCCTAGAGGCTGCGGCTGACGTGAGGGAGTTAGGATATATAAACAGCTGAGGTTGTCCCTCTGAGAACCTCGTGTAGCTATTTGCAAGAAAATCTAAAACTTTCCTTTTTGCGGGATTTTATATTTTTAGCTATTATGATTCGGCTCATAAATCCGTCGTCCAGTCCATCCAGTCTGTCCTCCCCGTCTAGATATATTGTCTTCAATCCTCGATACGCCTAACGCCACACCACGTGGAAGTTCCACTTTCGATCTCTTTCTGGACGAACCTAAGGACTTTGCCATGAGCCGTTCCCTTTCGCCCCTTTCCCCTGAAGGGATTCGCCAGAACTAGAAGAAATTTATAGGACTGGAAGTGCGAAAACGTTAGAATGGGTTAGAAGGTGGGGAAGAGAACATTGATCCTGTATGGAGTCACACCAAGGACCGATCCTCGACTTGGTCTGGATCCTTTCCCATTCCAAACTGAGCAATCCCAACATATCAGGCCGAAGACGTCCCACTGCCGCCAAAGCGTACTTTGGACACCACTGCGTACAAAGCGAGTTTCATAATTAGAACTCAGGTCAAACCACCAAGAGTCTTAATTCCTCAAGCGAAGAGGCAATAGAAATGCTAAAAGTGTAAGATGAGAATTAGGAGATATATACAGGTCCGAAAATTTCCGGCCCCCTAAATCCACCAAACACCCCGAAGAAAAAAAAGGCAGTCCTTGATTAGAGATCGACTCCAAGCCACCAAACTCCAATAATGATTCATCATTTTTTCGAATTATATTGGCCGGACGAACATTCGCCAGGAGCAAGCTAACAACTCCATCTAAAACACTTCTCCCCTTTCATGTAATGTTTGGGGTAGAATAAAAAGAATATTAAAGACTCAGGGGTTTGAGAATGATTACTGAGACTCGATGCCTCTAGCCTTCAGTCCCGAGTCAGTCTTAGGCCAACCAGGGTTCTTGTCATAAGTCTGGAACTTGGAGCAAGTTGACTCCCAGGCGGAGTCGGGCAATGGCATGGTGCTCTTGCTCTCCAGGAACTGGACGGCGAGGCCGTCGGCAACATGCCATGCGATGTGGCAATGCATGAGCCAGGCGCCGGGGTCTGTGTAAAAGTTAGCAGTGTTCATGAGCATGCAGGGGATGAACTTACTATCGGTAGGGAAGCCAATAGCGAGCCACCCACCTCCGGGCAAGAAGGTGGTATCACGGCGGATCGGGTTGTCGTATTGTAGAGTGCTAGGAGAAGTGCTCTTGTCGAAGGTGCCAGATCCCGTGCCGAGGACGTAGAAGTCGTGTCCATGCAAATGAATGGGATGGGGAATAGGAACTAGGGTTCCTGGGGTCTCCTGGATGATCCAGTACGACCAAATACCCTCATTAGGAATCTCGATGAGGTTGAACACACTAGGATAGCTGGTATTCCCCGTCTTAACATACTCGAGAGTCGGCTTGTCCCAGTCGACGTTGATCTAGCAAGCATTGTTAGCTTGGAACCCAGCAGTGGCGGAAAGTACTTACAGCTGTGAAATTGACGGCCCAGACGACAATGTTTTGACCGTTGGTCGTAGCTTGCTCTTGCGCCAAGTCTACTTGAAGGTTACCGACCTGATTAACGAAAGCTGTGCTATCGACGGTGTTCTTGACCCATGGAACAAGAGGGCTCATGTCGACGCAGCCAGTGGATGGATTGGCAAAGGCGCTTGTAGTAGGGTCATTACCGCTAGCACCTGAATAAGTAAAGATGCTTCGACCATGGAAGTTGTTGGAGCTGGCGCAGTCTGTGGCAACCTCTGCGCGGAACCAGTAGTTGTCAGCCGTCTGGTTTGCGGTAAATATTACATCATATCTTTGGCCAATCGCGAGAAGAACCCAGTTCGCTACGAATGGCTTGATGGGAACAAGGTCGGCGGTGATCACCTGGAATGGATGATTGTCCAGAGAGACACGAATGTTGTTGTCAACGCTCATGTTGATGAGACGGAGGCGGTATTTCTTGCCTTTGGTCAATGTGACCTTGCCATAGGATCCACCGCCATTGGCGTTCTTGTTAGTTCCATTGACGATGAGGTTGTCAGCAGGTGGTGGTGGCGCGCCATTTTGCAAGTTTTGATGGGCAATCGAGCCGACTTGGAATGCTGTCTGGTAGTAGAAGTCGTTTAGCATCATTGGACCTAGGTCGATGTCGTAATTGGCGGAAGCAGGGCCATTAATAACTATAGGGCCAAATGCACCTTCACCATACTGAGAGCTGTAGTGAGAATGATACCATGTCGTCCCGAATTGGGTCGCTTTGAATGTATAGGTCTTGGTATCGCCTGGGGCTAACGGACACTCGGTAATACCAGGGACGCCATCCTGGGGGCAGGTACCGAGCTGGCGGATACCATGCCAGTGGACACCAGTACCGTTTGCAGTTAAGGAATTCTTGACCGTGACTGAAATGGTATCACCCCAGTCTGCAAAGCATGTTAGCATAATAACAGTACTTTGTTTATAAATACGACGTACTAGCGGTAATGAGAGGACCTGGGTATTGGTTGTTGAAAAGTTGGCAGGGCTTTGATCCATGACCGTCTGGATTACACGTGCCATTGGTGATCTCAAGATTATAAGATACTGTGTTTCCAGTGGTTGGCCATTTGGCGTCGAAATCCGTGGCAACACTGTAACCATTCGACCAACAACTTCTTGTTAGGGGACCGTTGGTGCAAGCAGAGTCTGCTACTTTTGTCGATGTCGGGGTAGCGGATGTAGTGCTGGTAGCACGGACCTGGAGATGATTGCCAGCTGGCCCAGCCTCTCCCCACAGGATGTGATCAAATGGAATGTGTTCTGCTAGGGATGTGGAAGTAATTGCCGCGAGGCAGGTGCTAACTAGGTATTGAATGCGCATATTCGAAAGTTCTTCTGCCTCACGAAATGCTAGGAGGGATTGAGGAATCGCCGTAGATCAGCAAAGAATGAACACGAAGAGAGGGCTTTCAACGATCAAGGCTTCTTACGGAAGGAAGATCGGTTGCTGGATGAAGTGGAAAGGTGTATGCAGAGAAAGACCCTAGATATACCTTTCATCTTCATGGCTACGACGGCGCCGAAAATGTCGGAACGACAGCTGCCATAGCCATCCTATCGTGTTCTGTCGTGTTTGCTACGGGTTCACCCCTGGTTCGGATTTCCTGACTGCCCAATGTAGTGGCGTCGCCACCATAGTCGCTGCAGTCATAAGCTATTCAACTGGGGAATACTCCTGGAATAGAATATTCAGAATGCAAGCACCAGGCTGTGATGGGACTCTAGTGCGAGCAAACCGGTGACCCGGTCGTGTAGTAGCTGCAACCAGCAAATCAAAAGTTTTGGCTACATTGAGACAGGAGAGTGGGCCGGATCCCCATGACGCCTAAGCCAAGACCGATCTGCAAGGACGGGACTTGCTAGAGCAGGAATAACCCAAAACGAAAAGCGTTAGGATAGGTTAGGAGGAGTAGGTGGTTGAGGTTGACGGGGAGAATTGCGGGCTGGCGACTGGCCGAACCGGAATCAGATCAACCCCGACAACTCGGGCCTGAAGATGGCCGTCATACTGAACAAATGGATCAACAAGCTTTTGGCGCCTGTACCCTGAGTTGCACAAAGCTCGCGTGTTTTCCAAATACCATACCGATGTTTCGCACCCCCAAAGAAGCACAGGAGCATCAAGATGCAGTAAAGCTGGAGAAGTAGCGTGTTTCCTAGTGTCCGGCAATGGAGTGGAGCCATGGCAGGTCGTATACGTCAGCTTTCCCATGGCGTTCCCAGTTAAGAGGATTTGATATTGAAAATGGCGTTGAAAGGCTTCTGGAGTCCGAATGGTGGTGGTGAGGTCCCGCAGATTTTTTAGCGAGGCTAGCAAGAAGGTGGGCGAAGACATGGATGAAGCATGGTGTTGGCAGCCAGCCGCCATGTGTTTCCTAAGGCAAGCCGAGTCAAGCGGACAATGGAGAGAGACGACGTTGAGGTGTGATGAAGTTGTTCACGGCGGAGATTTGATGGAGGCGAGAGTCGTGAGGCCGAAGATGCAGAAATCAATACTCTATCTCCCCTGTCGAGTTTAGCGCATTGCCGACTAGGGAAGGCTGCATGTGCAGGCATCGCGATTGAGCGAAACCCGGTCGTCGGATCATCGAGATTTGACTTCACTGCTCAGGCTGAGGGCACCCCGACTCCAACTCAAGCACCACCCCAGACAACAAACTCTGACCCGTACTCCCACGGTGTCAGGAAAGTTTGCAACGCACCGTTATTTAAGCCACATGCATAGTGCCTTGCATATCTCTGTTCCTGTCTCTCACTCGCCGAAGCATTCATGCCTTCCATCAAGAGTCAGGCCATGCGCGGAAAGATTCTTGCCCCGTACTACGCCCAAAGACTGTGCAACCGGACCGGGTGCAGCTTCGTGCATTCAGCTTGTCGGCATTTCAACATCTCCATACGAGTGCGAGGTGCTGTGCGGTGACGTTATCGCTCACTTCTAGCTAGGTTCAAGAAACACTGGCAAAGGGCCGCAGAAGTGGGCCAGTCTACTGAAGCTGTCAGCGATAGCTCTATATCTTAGAGCTGTACAACTCACAGGATCACTTCTTACATACAGGTTTAGCCTACCCTCGAGGACCCTCCACGTGACGCTGACAACCATAACCCACGGGACGAAACATGCCGTACCCAATATTGTGGCATCTGATAGTCAGCCATCTTCGCCGTTCTTGCACCTCTTGGAAGCGGCCTTGGGGGCTCTTGCAACGCCTTCTCGCCTATCTGGACCCATTGGCATGCAGGTGGCCCGCTCGGAATGGCTCCCCACCATTTCTCCGATGACGGGGCACGGCACACATAAGCCCCCAATCGGTGTTTTTGAAGCCACACTCGCCTCAGGTCAGCACGTCCCTTGCTCAGAAGGAGAGGAGACAAGCATTTTCCTCGCTCCGGGGTGGCTTATGGCTCGATAGTTTACCTGTGCCTCACCTTAGCTGCATATCGTCAATGGACAGCAACGAAGACCTTCTCCGACCCCAGAACTAATCCCTTTCGTGCTAATACGTTATCTAGGAGACTTGGATTCTATGACTAAGCCCTACCGCTGTGGTATGAATTTGAGGATGTGAATTAATTTCGCCAAAGGTCGAGACATCATGCTGATCCATGTTGATCCCAGACCTTTCGTTAAAGTTCATCATTATTGAGCGTTACCACGCCGCGGTTCTTCCCGTCCCGTGTCTTGCCGTTATAGGGTGCCACCGTTCTCCAAATATAGGGGGCCTATAGAGGCTGACTACGACCAAACTACGGACAGTCTTCCGATAATCACTAGAACGAACCATGATCAGTGCGACTCGGTTTTTCATCACTTTCTGCTGCATTACCTTCAGCTTCCCTGCAGTCAATTTTGCAACTAGTGGAAATTTTAGCTCGCATCATGCAAGAGCTCCACCACCACTTCATCATACCGCCATCGGATAAGCGGATCTTGCCAGCAGCCCAGGGGTAAAGTCAGCCTCAAAAGCAGCCTCAACTCTAGTTCTGGGTAGTGTCAACCCCTCCATGCATTATCCCATTCCCATGAATTCCTCGATGTTATGGGCCCCTCGCGATCGGACATGCAAGGTTCTCAAAGCCCGTCCGTACGTCTGGATCGCCTTCCTCTCCTGTAGGTACACAGCTATAATAGCCTGGAGTTTGTGGGATGTCAACAATAATGCTGTGCATCCACAAGGGGAACCAATAAGCGAGTGCTAGGCCAGACTCCGGGTCAACGAAGAAACCTGGCCTCCCGTTTGGGGCCCTACACAGTAGACGTCTGCAGCCGGATATGATTGTGGGAACAGCGGGTCCCTCGCCATGAATGAGTGCCGTCCGGAACTGACTTTTTTCACATTCACGGTAATAGTCGGCAGATTCATCAAAGGTTTGCATCATAGTTACCGGAATTAGAGGAGATAAAAGCCCACTGATTCTATGTTCCGATTGCACACTCAGTCCGAGCCTTCTTAAGTTTGCTGCACGCTCTCTCTCAATTTCATTCTCATCACTCGGGATCGTTCTCTTCCAGCTCATTCTTCGTGTCTTTGCCATCACTCGCCTCCTTTAGTTTGTACAGGCGGTCCTAACCATGACTTCCCTCGTTTCCCGGATTGGCCTCATAGCCCTTAGTGTACGCACGGTGCTGGCTCAGACATGTGTCTCCTATGGCATGGATTTTCAGAATGGTGGATCGTATTTCCAGAATTCTCTCTCAAACGACAACTTCACCTTCGTCTCTCAATTCGGTGGCTGCCAGGCTGATACTGCATACAACATTCTTGTGGATCCCACCGGTGAACAAACGGAATGCTCAGAGACCAATTTGACGCCAGATGATACCAACATGCTCTCGACATGGTGGGAGTTCTTGAGAAAGTGAATTTAACTCCAGTGCTGAACTTTGTGTAGCCCGATAGAGAAGAGTCAGTTGTCCTCGGGCGATTGGTCTGTGGTCATTATTAGCAACAATGGCGACAGCGGTAATCCCATTGCCTATGAGCGCGATTTCTCCTTGTCCGTGGGACCTCAATCGACGAGCACTGTAAGTTGAACCATCCAATGCTGAAGATTTCAATTGACATCCAATAGTACACGCCTACTGTGACAGCCACAGTTGTGACCACTCCTCTAGTTAGTAAGTTGGGAGCACTCTCATAGCCATGTAAACAATTTTCTGATCAAGCCCTTAGACGTAACAACCACTGCAACCGACACCACGACTTCAACACTGCCTCCCAGCACAGTCACCAGCCCGAAAACAACAGTTATGCCCACCGTGACGATCACACCTTCCCGGGTGACCTCAACCTCGACTAAGACGCTTCTAACTCTCAAACTAACTAAGTACACTCTTGAAGTCGTGCCAGTTACTATGACTAAGACCGCGAGTTGCAAGACGCCTACCCGCCAGTCTCGCCATGATCCTTCTGCCACCATTACACCAACTGTTGGCCCAATGGCTGTCAAATTGAGTGCTAAGTACCGCAGGGGCCATTATGACGGCGAGAAAGCGAAATTTGTAAAGGAGAGGAGGGCCAGGCTTCAAGGTCGTGCTCCGGACCCTCAGCCACTGGTCATCACGGATGCCAACACTGCGGATTGGACGACTGTTACTTCAACCAGTACGGCTGCGGCTACCACTGCTACCATCCTTAGTATGATTCGTTCTAACTCAGAGCCCAATGATTGCTTGCTGATGAGATTTAGTCACCACCACTCTTACCCAGACCGTTACTCCCGCGCCCATTACCGTACTTAGCGGCACCACAGTCGCTCCCCCGGTCACCGTCACCGCGCCTACACCAACTCGCACTGTCACTCGCTACATCATCGCCACCAGCATCACCACCAAAGCCTTCAAGTACACGTACGTCTTGATCCCCTTAAACCCCCTTTTCACCATTTCCATTAATAGCATGCCACAGATACACCATCACCTCAACCACGACTCCCACCGCCGTCGCTACAGCTTGCAAGAAGGCCGGTGGTATCCTGTACTGAACCTCTACTCCTCCTTAGAGACTGTAAGCGCGTCAGGACAGAACAATAGGATCATTAGAACTCCAGAAAACGGGGGGATTTTGTTACGGCATTGTTTCAAGAATCGGCTTTGCGGGCTGCTTTTGGCGTCTTTGGTCAGTCTTTGGAAAACTGGTGCATTAGGGACGGATATATTCTTTTCGCCCATTTAGATTTAAGATGTGTGATATGCTTAGTCCGTAATGCTAATTTGTTTCCCTTACTCTTTGTATTTGCAGCGAGATTTCTTGCTAGCCTACCGGGCGGTTTTGCGTTAGTGATTGCGAAGGGCTGTATAAAGGAAGATGGACAGAGTGCGCAATATGGAATAGTATGGACGTGAAACGTGCAAACTTTGATCTCTGCATAGCATTGAATTCACATGAGTGAGGGTAAAGAACTCAGACGGGCTGATAAAGGTCTCTAATGTCATACACCAAGGAGAGGCTGATCAGATGTTGTGTTCTTGGCAACGGAGAGCTGCTGTGGAATGCGGATCAAATACCTAGTTCTCAACTAGAAGCTTCAGTGAATCATCTACGTCCTCTTCTCGAATTATTTCTTAGTCTTCGAGATGGCTCCTCGAACTTTGCCGCTTCAAATTCCCACTGCTGACTATTCCGTCCGCATGCATATCCAACTCCCACCACGTCATTCTTCCGCACGCCCGACTCCGACCCATATCTCTAGGGAGACTAGATCTTGCATGATCTGGAATGCATGGAATGCACGTAAGCGGTACTAACATACCCCCGCATTGCGTTTGTATCAGATCCTGCGAGTAGAAGGATGTCCTGCATAGTGCAGCTGTAAAGCACAGAGATTTTGTAGTCATCGAGGGGATATCCTGGATGTCATGACCAGGTCATGGTTGGGTCTCATAGCTGGGTTTGATTAATTGCGCCATCGTTAGGCAAGATATTTGATTTGATGGGCCGCAATCTGCTGTGCATGCAGATTGAATGGTTCATCCTTAGACACACATCATAAAGCAGTAGAGACGGCTTAGCCTTGAATCGAGTATATTGTGTCTACTTCTACCATTGTGATTCCCACCGCACTCCCCCAATCTCTAACACTATTCCATTTCACCAATACACTCACTCACATCACCCCCCATCTTCCCTTCCCCTCAGTCTACCTAGCCAACAGCCAACCCTGAAGTCGATGTTCAGTCAATCAAGTATTTAGCTAGAGCTGTCTAGACCTCTATCTCTAGGCTTGATCTATAGTTTAAAGACTCGAGAAAATTTCCATAAACGGCGTGTCTGTCTTCACACTAATGCTGGTGCCGAAGCTTGCAGCCGAGCGGCAACGAACGTTAATCATTTGGACATAGCCGTACGAGGATAGGCTGGAGGCCAACGTATGGAACGACCTCAGTTGGACTGAGTACTGAAGTCGAAGGTGCGAGGGTGTAAAATTATGACGTCGTCAACGAAGAAGGAGCTTAGGCCTCGTGGACATGGAGTCGTGATCTGGAGAAGGAAGGTAACCCAGCATATGCTACTCCAATGTGGCCTCTGGTAGGCACAAATCTGATGAGATGAACGATGCAGCACGATCACTCAAGCATGTTCTCAAAACTCGCTCTCATACACTCCACTCCGTCGTGCTGTAAACAAAATAACATATTACGACTAAACTATTTCTGGGGGGATCTCTCTAGTAATCCATCAAAAGAAGGGAAAACAAAGCGCCTCGGTATCATGACTGGTTGAAACTTCCTTCCTTGTCATGCATACCCTTCCCTCCAGTCTTATTCCAAAAAATTAGCAACAAAAGGTAATAGAAAAGGCTTGGTCTGAGGCTCACAGAAAAGCCATGCTATGTTCCCAACCGCCCATCCATTCAACCCTACGTAAACGCACCGAAACGCCGTCCATCCATCATGAAAAATGTAATGCCCGGCACCCGCTCACACTCCGAAAACATCATCGGGAAATCCACATAGCCCCGTTCTCCGACTCACATGCAAATCCGAGTAGTGCAACCCCAACGCGAACTATGCAAACCCGTTGGTCTTGAAGATGAAGAAAAAGAAGCTGAGTTGGATTGGTCTGAGCTGAGCTGAAATGTCGTGCTCGGTTCCGCAACAAGTGCCGGGTGGTCATTTCTGTGTGACCTTTCCTTGGGTTTGGTGCGGGTCCCGAGCCTTGAGTCAATCAATTGCATAAGGCTCTCTTGTGGCTACAGAGCAGAAGCAGCCAGAAGCAGGGGCCAAACACGCGTGTTTGGTGCACAATGGTGCACTATTGCTGTGGCCTCCCGATGCCTTGTTTCGCCTACATGAGTGGTTAGCACTTATTATCAAAGTCATCTGTCGCACAAAGAGGTTGAGGGAGGGTCGGGGCTGAGGAAAGCCGAAGGGCGAGAGCTCGAGGTTAGGCGCTATGCTTTACCTCGTCCCCATCCACGACTTCCAACCGCCTTCCACCCCAAAAATGCTCGCAAGTGCACATATCATACCGACGAACATGACTTACCTTCATCATTTCAATCCTCTGTTTCAAATTCTGCGTCACCTCAGCTGCGCGTTTCCAGCTCTCAGCACCCGTGTTTGCCTGCCCGCCGCCCGTACTCGCCGGTGGGCTCATTCTACCGCCTCGAGAGGATAATGACGATTTCGTAGACCCTGTACCCGCGCGCAAAGGACTTAGCTTCCCACTCAAAGTACTGCCAGGACGGGAAAGAGAACCATCAATCATGTTCTCCTTACCTTCGCCGACTGGGCTTGTGGGCTGTGCTCCGAATCCCCTGTTACGCCCGCCATACAGTCCCGTACTGCCATATCCCGAATCTACAAATCGTGCTCCTCCGTTGGCGTTGGTATCAGCGTAGATTTGATCTGACACATCGAGAGGCGCGGGGCTCGTTGCGCGTACTTGGCGGCTAAGCTCCCGCTTGAGACGGTCGATTTCCCGTCGTTGGTTGAGAACAGTTTGCTCTGCAGCCTCGTTATCGCTCCGTGCGCGGACGAGCTGTGTTTCTTTAGCTTTGATCGATAGGACGTCGCGGGTATGGTCTTCGATTAGCTGAGCGTTCTGGTTCTGAAGTTCATGTATTTGCGAGGTGAGTTTCGTTCTTTCTGCACGAATTTCCTCGTTGTGCCGTCGTAATTGCTCTACTTCAGAGCGAAGATCTGCCAACTCGGCTTTCTCCACTATGCCAAGCCCATCGTTTACTGGTGCTACGGCCATTGGAGCCTGTGAGGGCTCCGCGTGAAGTTTTCCAAGTGGTCGTCCAGCAAGCCCTCGTCCGGGTGCCAGGCCAAGTCGAGGTTGGGGTGGTGGGGGTGCTTCTTCGAGGGGAGGTGATACAACAGGCCGCCGAGGTGAGGCAGCCGCCATGCCAGATCCAGGCTTCTTCAAGCCCCCTAATCGCGAAGGGGCAGCCAAACCCGACTTCGGAGCAGCTAGTTTCGAGGCTCCTGGCCGAGATGTGGGCTTGGGTGCCAAGGGGGCGGTTGGCTCCTCTTGGGGCGGTGGAGGGGCTGCGGCTGGAGGAGTCGGCCTCTTGACACCACCAGGAGGAGGCCGTTTCCCTGGCATGGGCCGCTTCCCTGCTGGAGGAGCTGCAGCTTTGGGGGGTGCCACGGGTTTGGGCTTGTATTTCGCTCTGACTTCTGCAGAATCGTAGTACTCCTTGATCTTAGTCTTGCGGATTTCGTCCAAACCATCGAGATGTGCATTCATGATACGGTCGCCCATAATCTTCCAAAGTGTTCCCAATACTTCTGCGCCGGCAGACCTTTGCACCTCTTGTGATTCTGTCAGTAGCTTTGTTGCTGCGTCTGCGATTGCTTTGACCTCGGCAGGCGAGGGTGCGTCTCGTGTTGTCTTGAGGCATCGGATGAGGAACCGCGTTGACTCGAGTTTAACCTGCGGGTTTTTGTGCTTCAAAAATTCGAGAATTTCCTCAAGACAGTCCTGGAAACTGGTTGAGGCAAAAACTGCGTCTAAGGCTCCCCCTATCGCGTCCGTCACTGCCTGTTTCTTCTCTTTCAGCCGCTCCATCATTGGGTTCATGATAATGGAGCGGTACTTGGCAAAGCTCCTACGCAAGCCCTTTGCTAACAGCTCAACACAATTTGCTGCAGTTGACACGACGGCAATGTTGGCGTCCTTCATGCATTTGGCGAATCCTCGGACCAGCTCGTCAAAGTGGCCTTCGGCAATTTTGGGATAATCCAGTGCTTTATGCACCTCATCAAGAGCCTCTTTTCGATCTTTCCATTTGGAAGAAGCGAGCCGTTCGGTATAGTCCTTCGGAATCTTGGACAAAACATCCACAGCCTCGTATTCTGGTTCGAGATCAATGACGACGTCTTCTTCTTCTTCTTCGGCAACATCGTCATCGCCGCCAACCGCAGCAGCCGACTCTTTCACGGCTTGCTGTGAGCGGAGAAGACGTTCCTGTTTTGGAGGGGGGTCATTTTTCACCTTTTCGAATAGCTTGTCCAAGTCTTGCTGCTGGACGGGCTTGAGATCGTTCCAAAACAGGGGTTTCATACCCTCCTTGAGCCATCGGTAGAATTCGACGGTTAACTCCTGGGCCTTGGCACGGACATTCTTGTCAGCGTGACCGAAAACTTTGGGAAGCACCTTGAGGACGGGCTTGGGCTCCACCGTCTTGCAGCCATAGACGTGATATATCTGCGCTAGGGCATCGAGGGTTGCGGCGATGATTTTGGGTTGTTTGTGTGAAAGTAGTGGAATGAGTTCTTCGATAACAGGGTCCGCCTTATCGAGCTCAACGTACAGGAGCAGGGCTTCGAGTGATTTTTGCTTCGCTGCGGGCCTCGTCGATGGAAGGCCCTTCTCGGCGATGGTGGTTATCGTGATATTCCGCGTCCTAAGCCAATGTTTATCAATATGGGGGGATCAAAACAAGAGTGTGAGATCATACCGCGTGCAACCCGATGTTCCTGCAATCTGAAGAAATGAGCATAGCGCACCGAGGCCTTCTTGCTGTGCTGCCACGTTGGAGTCGCCCACCACTCCTTTCCAGATATTCGCGTCTTGTATGAACTGGCGCACCACGGGGTCTGCTTCGCTGGGGGCGATGTCGAACTCTTTGGCGGCGGCTTCGTAGCCCTCTTTCCTGACTTTCCAGTTCTTGTGAATGAAGCGATCGGGAAGCGGAAGGGAACTAAAGTCCTCTTCCTGGTCGGCCATGGTGTGGATGGTATTGTGGTGGTGGTGGTGGTGGTGGGGGGGGTGTCAGAGCAGAGGAAAGCTAGGGGACGGGTCAGTGACATTGTTTGGGAGGGAGGGGCTCATGTAGGCGGTCATAGAGCGCGGAGAAGGGGGGCGCTCACAGCCAGGACAGCGCGGGGGGGGGGCTGTGCGTGTTGGCCATGGCGACGTGGTGGGCTGGTGGGCTGCAGAGGGAAAGCGCAGAGAAGGGTAAGGCGACTTACCCAGGTACTGTGGGGGGATGGCGTATTATCGCGCGCAAAACAGTGTCTGGACGTGTCCCGGAGGGTGTCTAAGGCGCGACTGTCTGTCTCGGCCGGCGCTGGATGTATGTCGTGAGGGTTTGGTGGTGTTTGGGGGGGGGGGGGGGGGGGGGGGGGGGGGTGGTGGTGCCGCAAAGTTTCGTTGTCGGCTGCGTGCTGGGCGTCCGTTCCCACAACAACCGAAGACATCATCGGCCGCCCCATGAGACACAGGCTGAGCTTCTGATCAGGGCCTCAAAATATTCAGTCACCCCCTGCTATATCCCCCACCTGCTTGTCGCTTTCACCAGCTGCACTCGCTTTCGTCGTACTCTTCACCGGACCCTCTCACTCACCCCCCCCAAAAAGCGCTCTTCGTCCCCCTCCCCCCCCGACCGCTCATCGCAAAATCTCCAACACCCATCCCCCCGCCAAGACTCCCGGCAATCCCTCTCCAAACATTGCGCATAACCCGTCGGCCGGCACCCGCAAGCTAGAACCGCCTCCTTGAGTCCATGGTCGCCTCTGATCGCGGCCCCGGATGAACACACTGCGCAGCCATGAGCACTATTTTGACAGATCGGCAGGCAGAGGAGCTGTAGGGTGCCCTTTGCAACATCCCTAAGGCCGATATGCTAACGGAGCATGCGGACAGTAACAAGGCCATAGTGGCATACCTCGGCGTTATCAATGCTCCAAATACCATCGTGGCTTTGCGACAAGAAGCCAACATCCCCGCGAGCTTCGACGATGCGACACGGAAGAAGTACGAGGGGTTGCTGGAGAAAAAGTGGACCAGTGTGGTGCGGCTGCAGAAGAAGGTTGTTCTCCCCCAGAAACTTCTCTGCGCGGTCGAGATGCTCACTGCTTCAGGTCCTCGAACTAGAACAGCGGAATCAGAGCCTCCAGAATGAACTCGACTCGACAACCCCGACTTCCCTCCTGCGCAGAAACCAAGACCCCACAAGTTGGCTACCTCGAGCGCCTGCACGCCACACCCTCCAGTCGCACCGACAGCCCATCACATGCGTCGCCTTCCACCCCATATTTTCGTCCCTCGCCTCCGGCTCTGAAGACACTACAATAAAAATCTGGGACTGGGAATTGGGAGAACTGGAGCGTACAGTAAAGGGACACACCAAGGGTGTGCTGGACGTCGACTTTGGCGGACCAAGGGGCGGAACACTTCTAGCATCATGCTCGAGCGACTTGACCATCAAACTGTGGGACCCTTCTGACGACTACAAGAACATCCGCACGCTCCCTGGCCACGACCATTCCGTCTCGTCAATTCGCTTCGTCCCCAGCGGCGCCGCTGGCTCGCCCTCTTCCGGCAACCTCCTCGTATCTGCCTCCCGGGATAAGACACTGCGAGTATGGGATGTCACAACAGGATACTGCGTGAAGACAATACGGGGCCACGGAGACTGGGTACGCGACGTTGCGCCAAGCTTTGACGGCCGGTGGCTACTATCAGCAGGAAACGACCAGACGGCACGACTATGGGACGCCAACTCGGGCGAGGCTAAATGCACATTTCTGGGCCACGAGCACTTCATCGAGTGCGTCGCCATAGCGCCTCCAGTATCCTACTCGAGCCTCGCTTCCCTGGCCGGTCTTAAGAAACCGCCTCCGCTCAGCAGCTCCGCCGAATTCATGGCCACAGGGTCACGGGATAAAACAATCAAGCTCTGGGACGGCCGAGGAACGCTCATCAAAACCCTTGTCGGCCATGACAACTGGGTCAGAGGTCTAGTTTTTCACCCCGGAGGCAAATACCTTCTTTCGGTGGGCGACGACAAGACGATCCGCTGCTGGGATCTCACGCAGGAAGGCCGGTGCGTGAAAACAGTCGAGGATGCACATGGTCATTTCGTAAGCTGCATTCGTTGGGCGCCAAACGTAGTCAAAGATGTAGCGGTCAATGGGGAAACAAATGGCACAGCTGTAAACGGCGTAGCGAAGAAGAAAGAGGAAGGAGCTTCAAAAGCAGGGATAAGATGTGTCATTGCGACGGGTAGCGTGGATCTTAACGTCCGCATCTTCGCGTCATAAGGAGAGATGCAGGCGTTTGAGCAGAGGTGCGACGGACACCCCTGGACGCAATTCGAATCTTGAGTCTGAAATGCCTATCTGCTCTATCAAAGCTCAGAAAGATAAGAAGCTCTCAGGGTGACACAGCTTCGAGAGATTAAGAGCGTAGGCTATAGCTACGGTCGACTTGAATATCACTTCTCCTTACAGTACACTGCCGGACAATCTGCGGACTTTTACTATTTTCTCCTTTGTTCTTCACGAGACCCATGTAAGCATACCCCTCTCTCGAGCTTTTGATGTCGACTTGCTTCTTACTCAGCGCTGAAAGTGGCGTATCGGAGTTTGGCGTGGGAAACCCGCGGGACAACGCAGTTACTTAGGTTGGGTTAGGTTGGGATGACTGTGGATCATCGCTAGAATACTATATACTGCTGCTGCTTTGTCGGGGGGAAGAGGAATAATGGAATACCATACTCTCATGATTTGATTTTTGGCATCTCTGGCTGTGTCCAAACGTGGTAAGGCGGCTGCCATTGGTGCGACCTATTCTTACGTCAACCCATATCTCCACCTTGCACAAAACATCTTCAACTTCATCTCCACCATCACTATCACCACCCTCTCTCACTCACTCATAACACTCACTCACATTCACTTACTCGCTCTATACCTAAAGTCAGAGAACATACTTTACCCTCTAGCAACATAAGTCTGTATATACGGCCCTACACACATATCAGGGAATCAAACATACCAACTTTTATCCTACACTCAATGCTCATAGACATCATAATAATCTACAAACGCTAAAGTATGCAAGTAAAGACACAAAATGTTCCAAGCCTTCCTCCTGTCCAACGTGCGCTGACTACCACCAAATCCCAAACAAAAAAAAAAGGAAAGGGGAAGAGAGGAAGATGTGTGTGCTTTATCTCAGAACGCAGGCTAGAAACCCCTAGAAAACCGAAAGAGAAAGGGGGGAATAGTACACAAGGGATGATTTTGTTTCCGCCACACAAATTATGGCATCCATATGCACGCACTCTCCTTTCAGTCCCACACGCAATACCCAACTAAAAAGCTGAGTGAAGCCATCGAATCCTATCCTACAAAGCACCCCACTCCACCACCGTATCCACCAAATCTACTCCCCCTTAAGCTTATCCTGCTTCACACTAAACGCCATCTCCAACAAATCCTTCTCCTCCTTTTGATGCGCACTCTTCAACCCCGTCGCCACACTGGCACTCGGATTCCTACCCGCATACATAACATGTCTCCTATTATGCCACTCTGTCTGATTTAGTAGCGTCTCAATCCTGGGCTGCATGAAACTCCATGCCCCCGCATTCAACGGCTCTTCCTGGCACCAGATGATATTCTGCGCATTTGGATACGAGTCCAGGTTTTCTTTGAGTTGTTGCCAGGGGAACGGGTGCAGTTGTTCGATGCGCGTGATAGCTACGTCCCTGAGATCGCGGAGCTGCCGTTCTTTGACAAGGGCGGCGTAGACTTGGCCAGTGCAGAGGATGACGCGGTGGATGGCTTCGTTGGGGCCGATTTCACCCGTTTCGTGCGCAGGGTCAGGGATCACCCATTGGAAGTGGGAGTCACCAGTGAATTCGTCGATGTTGGAGCGAGCCATTGGGTGGCGTAGAAGGGATTTAGAGAAGAAAAGGATAAGTGCTAGATAGACCATGTAAGTTGCTGATACGTTCACTGTAGGGTATCACAGCGAGAAAACTCACGTTTCCGGAATTGACGGTTCATCTGTCGACGCAGGATATGGAACAGATTGGACGGCTTAGTCAGATATGCAATCTGCATGTTGCAGTCTTGATGCTGGCGGTCGAGCTTATCTGGTGACGGGAAAATTCGCGGATCTTCGTTGCATAATTGGAGGTATCGTTCCATACGACCAGACGAGTGCTCGGGTCCCTGGCCATCGTAACCGTGAGGCAGACTCATGACGAGGCCGCTTCGTTGAAGCCACTTGACTTCACCTGAGGCGACGAACTGGTCAATGATGCACTGCGCGTTGTTTGCGAAGTCGCCGAATTGAGCTTCCCACAGGACGAGGGCATTTGGTGAGGAAAGAGAGTAGCCATATTCGAAACCTAGACTGCGAAAAGTTAGCAAGACTAGATAGGTTGATGGATAGGAAACTTACACTCCGAACTCGCTAAGGGACGAATTTGAGATGACAAAGGTGGCTTGATCATCACTGACGTGCTGGAGGGGGGTGTACGTGTTTTCAGTTTCCTGATCGTGCAAAACGGCGTGACGTTGCGAGAAAGTACCCCGCTCAACATCTTGACCCGATACACGCACGTGGTGGCCCTCCATACAAAGGGAACCAAAGGCTAAGGCTTCCGCAGTGGCCATGTCAATGTTCTTGCCCTCGGCGACTGTCTTCGTACGGCCTGCAAGAATACGCTTGAGATTGCGGTGTACATTGAAACCTTCAGGGGCACTTCCAATCGTCTCCGCGATGTGATTTAGTGTGGTCTCCTCAACCGCGGTGGGCAAATGAGGTAAGACTTCAGTTGCAAGCTCCTTTGGCGACTTGAAACCGTTCCAGGCAGATGTGAGCCATTCCTTCGCGGAGGGTTGGTAATCTTTGCTGCGTGTGAAGCTCTCTTCAAGCATACCCCATACCCAAGATTTGTGCTCATCAATGTCTTCCTTGGTGAAAGTTTGCTCTTCCAAGAGTTTGTTCGTGTAGATGTCCAACGCAGGTGGGTGGTCCGTGATTCGCTTGTACATCAAGGGCTGCGTGAAGAAGGGCTGATCAGTCTCGTTGTGACCCTGCTTCCTGTAGCACACCATGTCAATGACGACGTCCTTCTTGAACTCAGCGCGGTAGTCAGCAGCAAGCTGGCAAACGAAGTTGAAGGCTTCCACATCATCGCCATTCACGTGAAACACGGGGGCATCGATAGCCTTGGCAATGTCGGAGCAGTAGGGAGTGGAGCGGGAGAAACGGGGATCAGTCGTAAAACCAATCTGGTTGTTTACAATGATGTGGATGGTTCCTCCAGTGTGGTACTTGGGAAGCGAGTGAAAGCCCATAGTTTCGTAGACAACGCCTTGCCCAGCAAAGGCGGCGTCGCCATGCAACAACACTCCCATTGCCGTACGGGCTTCCTGTTCGTCATTGTTGTAATGAAGGATGGCTCGCGTCTTACCCAACACCACTGGATCCTCAGCCTCCAAATGCGATGGGTTCGCGACTAGAGAAAGCTGGACACGCTTTCCAGAAGGCGTAGGGCGCTCAAAGTTCATTCCCAGATGGTATTTGACGTCTCCGGATCCTTCGTCAGACGGATCGGCAGTTCCGGCAAACTCGCTGAAAATTGACTCGTTTGGCTTCCGGACAACGTTACTAAGCACATTCAGACGCCCACGATGAGGCATCCCAATGACTATATCTTTGACCCCATAGTCGACACTTCGGTCGATCAGCGCCTTCATGCCAGGAATCAAGCTCTCGCCTCCCTCAAGACCGAATCGCTTATCGTTCGGGTATTTCGTGGCCAGGAAAGCTTCGAAATTGGTTCCCCAGATTAAGCGATCTAATATGCGACGCTTCTCATCCACCGAATACTTATATGGCTGTGGAATCTCGATGCGTTCACGAAGCCAGTCGCACTGTTCCCGATCCGGAATGTGGATATATTCAACGCCATATGAGCCGCAGTACAGACGCTCGCAAGCAGCGATGATCTCTCGGAGCGACATCTTTTCGCGAGCCTCCGACTTGAAACGCGGCAAGATGCCAGGGCCAAGGGTGAATTCCTGATCCAAGTCCTTTTCGGTGAAATTGTAATGCGACAGCTCAAGTTCACGAGGCTTGCTGTAGCCAAACTGCTCTGCTTCGGTTCGAATGCCTAATGGGTCGATTCTCGCCTTGTGGTGTCCTCGAGCTTGGTATGCGCGGACGAGCAGCTGCACCTTCAGGTGGTTCATGACGTCAGAGCCCTGCCCAGGCGCCATTCCCAGGCCAGGGCGAATGTCTGGGCCCATCCCGCCGTGTGGTGCGGGAATGATGGTTGGCGGCGGCTGGAAGGCCTGCGAGACGGGCATGTCGCCGGACTCCATGTTGCGGAAGTAGACCTGCCACGAGTAGTGAACGCTCGAAGGGTCGCGTTTCCACTGCATGTACATCTCATCGACATAATTGGCTGTATTGCCTTGGAGGAAGGAGTCGTTGGGGTCCTGTGTGACGGGTATCAGCTATGGTGGCTATGATTTCGAACCGCGGGAGAAGGGAGAGGCACTTACAACACCCTTGTCCGTATCCTCGGCCGCAATGGCATAATTCCTCTGCTGCTGGTGTTGCGAAGCCAGCGCAAGATGTCTCCGACTCGTGACGAGAGCTGTCCTGGGTGCGGAGGCGGAGAGGGTGGACAAGCCTGCTCTCGAGGAACAGCTTCCGAGCTGTCGGCTGCATTTCCGCAGAGTGACGCGCAACATGATTGACCTATGAGTAGGAATTCGAGAAGAGTGGCATGAAATAGCTAGAGCAGAGGCAAGGCAAGGCGTGCTCCGAGTGTAGGGTATGCAGTGAAGCAGTGAAGTAATGGATGGGTAAAAGAGGAGAGCAGTCCCTCATGGCGGATGCTGGCCGCAGCTGACTAAGAGAAACCGAGAAATAGCCACACGCCAAGACCTCGAATATGGCTCAAGGACTTTCTTTCATCTGGGGATCCATAAGTTATCTTCCGGCTCCAGTTCGATGCATGTTGGTGCGTCTTCATTAGATGCGGATGCCGATGCGCCATTTTCGCTCCCTAGGACAAAATTTTGACACACCGCGAGCATCCGAAAGGAAAAGCTGAGGGTACTCGCGCAGTACAGCGTGAAGTCAAGGATCCATCTACGCCCAATCAGACAGCACTGCTGCAAGTTTGGAGGCAAGAAGCGTTGCACGCGCCACAGCTGACAGCACGATACGGAGGCTTGTGACAATGATGCAGGACATGACACACTTCCGCGGCCGCGTTCATCGTGCAGAGTTCTTGGCTGGAATTGGGCTAAGAGCTGATTATCCTTCACGTGATTTCGAAGCCGGTCCGTGCTAACACTAGTGGATTAATCTCTCGCGTCCGCGACGACATCCCACAACGCACGACTCGTCTTCCTCCAGCATGTCAGAAGCTTCTGCGCAGTACAAGAAGCAAGATGGCAAGCTCTCCCTGTCTGCGGACGGTCGTACTGTGTCCTGGAAGTCCAACAGCGGCACGCTTCCGCCGCTGGCGATAAGTGTCATCGAAATTCAAAGTATGCCTATGCCTGTTCTTGGCATACGGAATATCTGCCGTTTCTTACACATGGGCTGCATGTGAGCTAACTGTCCCCTCTGCTAGATCTCCAGCAAACTCCCGCAACTGCTACCAAAGCCTCCATCAAGATCGTCATCCAGAAGCCGTCTGCCTCGCAACCGGAGAACCACACGTTTACATTCACCTCAGCCGCTGCTCGGGATGACCAGCAAGCAGTCACAGGTGCTCTCCGGAAGTGGATAGAGACTTTCAAAGCGCAGAATGCAACGACACCGCTCCCGTCTACAGAGAACAGTGGAGGTCCGTCTGCAATCGGGGTCCCCACTCAGACGGTGGCCGCCAGCACGAAACCCGAGGAGGATATGTATGGTGATGCAAGGTTGATAAAGGATGCTGAGCTTCAGAAGTCGTTGCTCAACTCGAGCCCGGCTCTGCGGCAGCGGTTCGATCAAGCCCTTCGGGAAAAACCAGACACCATCTCTATTTCCCAGTTTGCCACACAATTCTGGGCTACTCGACTGCACCTTCTACGGTCACACGCCGCAGAGAGAGCTCAGAGTCAAGGAACCTACAATGTACTCTCTGTCGTGAAGATGCACACGGAGGACGGCACCCAAAAGCTCAGCATCTCCAAGGAGCAGATCCACCTAATATTCAACCAACACCCCCTGACCAAAAAGGTGTACAACGAAAATGTGCCTCCAATGCGCGAGGGAGACTTTTGGTCTCGCTTCTTCGCAAGCCGCTTATACAAGAAGCTTAAGGGGGAGAAAATTACCGAGCAAGACGCTCCTGACCCGAAATTGGACAAGTATCTCAACCTTGATGATGACGATGAACACTCTCGACAACTAACCATGACTAATGTCCCGCATTTCATTGATCTGGAGGGCAACGAGCAGAACCACAGCCAACGCTTAGGCAATCGACCAGACTATACCATGCGGCCCAACTCTGCGGACAAGGTCCCAATTTTGCGCGTACTCAACAGAATGAGCGAGAAGATGATGGCCGATGTCCCATCGTCTGACGCTGATCCCCATGCGCCAGTGGGAATAGATGAGGAGACCTACCAGCAACTACGCCTCCGAGACCTGCAACGAGCAGCTGACGACAACAGAATAATTCTCAAGATCCAGAATCAGGACCAATTCTTTTCAGCTGAGCAAGGATTGCACACCTCAAGCAGTGCTTCAACATACACTAAGCGCTCTCCTGCTCAAGTACTGTCTGCGCTACAGCATGACTTTCAGAGTATATCATCCGGCAAAAGTAAAACTGCTGGGCTTGACCTTGAGGCTGCAATCGGGCTTAACAACGAGAGTAGTAGTGATGAAGAAGGATCCTCTAAGAAGCCGAGAGTGGGCAGTATATCTGCTCGGACGGGCGCCACCGCACAGATCAACAAAGCTATCCGACAGCGTCATTCACAGGACGATGATTACTCATCATCCCACAGCATTGCGTCTAGCGAGCAGGCTGCAAAGTTGGGGCTCTCACAATCAGTATTTGATACGCTGTCCATGACACACAACACCACCGTGGAGTTCTTACATTACTTTTGGACGGTATTCTATTCAGGGGACTCTGAGCGTGCGACCGAGGTCCAAAAGCTTGTTGAAACTTTGGAAAAGTCACTCGACAGAATCAAGGCTGTTGCAGACACCGCTGAGAACGAGCGCCTAGCTAGGCTTGACAAACTGAGAAGAGAAAATGAGAGCTATACTCAGCGAACTGGCAAGAAGAAGAAGTTCGATCCCAGCACGGTCAAGGGTGGTGCAAAAGCAGTGAATGAGATCATGAGCCCTCTGAGACGAGCTATAGATTCCGCAACTCAACAGTACAAGAAGATTCGTCAAGATCAAATGGGGCAAATTGCGGACCGCACTCAACCGAATGTAATGTGAGGCGCGGGTCAAGATTTGGACTGTTGTTAATTATTCTTATTTTGCATAGCGACGGCGTGTGGGAACCAGGATCCATGCCGATCCGGAAATAATGTGGCCTGCTATCATCAAATGTAAACCACTACTTTCCTTTTGCATCCCCTCTTCTAATTTCACAGAATTAGTTCTTGATACATGTCTGACAGAATCCTTACAAGGAGAACAGAGGAGAACAGCGTTGTGTATGCGCGCATCCGCCGCTATGACCATGATTTTTCCGTGACAATGTTTAAACAGGCCATGGGTCTGAAGGACAACCCTTGGCAGTGTTCAGTCTGTAGGTCACCATTCAGATAATTCACTGAGCTATATGTGTGGGTGAGCAAAGAGGCCTTTTCACCATAACGAGTCACTGTGAATTCAAATACGTAGGATGATTGTTGAGCCGTCGGATAATTTTTGTCCTACATCAGAACTTCGTGGTGCTGATGTCACAAATTCGTTCGGCAATGATCGGCATTGGCGTCGAAGTAATGGCCTGACTTATCGGCGAGCTGCCAGTTTTAGGAGAACAGCACACCGAGGCCCAGCAGGTTGACATCAACGATCCCACCAGTATGCAATTTAATGCAGAGTTGACGTGGGAGGCTCTTTTAAGCCTTGCTGTGCCCTGACCCATTGAATCACAATGACCTGGAGCTTTGCTGGCTTCATTAAGCACTTCCAGAGTGCAAATGACTGCCAATACTCGAAGAAGTAGCTATCACGCTTCATGCTCCTTTCGTCCTCGCCGGCCCAGCATATTACTTACTTTGGCCTAGGGCCCCCTTTTGCTACCTTTACCAGGGAACAACGGATCCGTCTCGAAGCTTACTTCAACAACCACCCATCACCCTGCCACAATTTAACTAATCTGGCGCGAGACTCTACGCACTGTTCACAAACATAGACAAATATGGAATGTGATAGGTCATGAGGCGTCTATACAGTAAGTAAGGCGAATGAGTTCATGGCCGAGACGTGAAAGAATGTAGACTAATAACCGAAAGACGGATGAATTGACAAGCCGAAATAACGAGCGATCAACATATCTCTAAGGTGATGGCCGAAAGCCGAAAGGTGACCAAATAAGAGCAAGAGATGGCTGAAACAAGACAATACACCTGAAGAAGTAGGGGTTTGCAGGAGAGTTCAAGCAGCTTCATCTACTCGGTGGCTTGTTACTTCCGACAAAGCCCATGAACCCTCAACATCTACATATAATGGTATTGGCCGACAATTGATTGCAGGGTTGTCACACGTAGCCATAGGCCGGTCGACTGTTTTGGTCTAACAATGCCGGGCTGGGTCCCACGGTAGTCCAGGTCCTATTTTAGGTCAGTGTAATTCTCCTAAGGATGGACAATGGGCCTTTATTTCTTATTCAATCTGAAGCTGTACTCACCCGGATGTCCTTGGTGAGCTCCGTTGACCGTGGCCTTAGAGTTTCTGCTGTTGTCTCTGTTGTCTCGGTACCGGAAGCTGTGCCACAAGTACCAACGGACTACCTGCCAAGATTATAGGCCAATTAGCACCTGCTGCCACAAACGGGGATTGGTTTCAGCACACCGTGTCCTGCTTGTGAAATACACCGTCGAATAGTCCTCCGGTCAGAATGCCACTCATGTGGTGAATTCTTGGGAACTTCCAGGATGCATTTCCCAAGTCAGCGACCAGGCACCTATACCAGGGGCTTATTACCCAATTCTCTTCATTTCCTCCTTCATAGTAACTACCCATTTCATAGTAGGGCCTCGTTCGGAAATCAGCCCTCTTGACAATAGCCAGAATTTCCCTGTGCTTGGCTGTCTCCGAAATTTCGTCCCACTTGTAGTAAGGTTGCACATTAGGATCTTGACTCGACTGCGCTGTTAAATTTGCCGGTTGAGTACTCAGGCGATCTCTTCCAACCTGTGCCTCGGCCTATTGCAGCGGAATAAGTTAGCATCGATTCATTAGTCTCATAGTCGGACCCTTACCAGCATCATCTTGTGGACGGACTCGTTTTGGCTTGACAGCCCCAATCGAGCGAAAAGGACTGCTCTATCGGCGCTTTGGGCAAGCGGAGCTTGACTCATGGTTGGGGATTTACTTCTCTTCAAAAAACCTAAGCGCTATTATGGACTGGTCGAATGGATAATCCAAAGATGTTTAAGGGATGTATTCCCGCGTCCAAGAATGGACAATCCTTTTATATCTTTGCGGAAATTCAATGGCTTAGAAACCCACCTGCAGGACTCGTAAGGCGACGATGAGCTCGCGTTACCTCGCCCACCCCGATCCCCTGGAATACAATTGTAAACACCCAACACAATAAATGGTGGGCATGCACGGAAAGCCCACCCGGCTACCAGATTTAGGCAAGCCAAAGAGCACAGTTCGGGAACGATGCAGCCATCTATCATCGACCGCGCCAGCACGACGAAGCTAGAAAAACACCAACCACATATTCTCGTATCCAGCGAAGACGGATTCTCGGTTTTTGCCGATGTTTGACGTGGTCTGATAGCGGTCACGCTGACCTCACGCCTTGGCCTTTCTGCAGTAACGGCAGGTGCTACTGGTACTTTGATTTGTTGCAAGGGCGCCCCTTCTGGCCCATTAATTGCAGGATCCGCATCACTGGTCAACCGATCCGCAAGCCATCTATGCTTAAGCCCTACGAGACCAAATAGTAGATGGGGTGCGAACCTTATCATTTTCAAAAGAATTTCCGATTCATTATACACAACACCTTGGTGTGAGGAAAGACAAGCGGGGATCATGTATGACAACCAGGACGACTGGTGGGAACGAGCTATTAGTATTCGATACTGAATAGTTATCACTCTACCGGTTTCCGATACCATTGCGAAGGGTCTGATCATGTCTTGATACCCTGTGAGGTGCAAGAAATGATAGAAGGAACTGAGAAATTTGGCGTTTAGAAATCGAGCCTGAGGCCATCCTTGCATTCTATCTAGTGTTTTAGGGCTAGTTCGTTTCGTCTTGCTTGCCCTATCCCCTTCTCTATCCGAGAGCATCCAGAAGCTCTTCGATGGTAGCTGCGCGTGGGGATGGCCGCCGCTAGGCTGCAGTATTCCTCGAAGAGCTGGGCATCTGGAATAGTTGAATTTGTGAGGCCACATGGGAGATGTAAAGCCATCGATGTCAGATAATGACTCATTGCATATCTGCACACAGCAACCTTCAGGGTATCCAGGTTGGTCTGCAGTCAATGACCGTCCGCTTGCGGCAAGTCCGCAAGCCTCCAGATCTCGGAGGCCAACCGCGGCCCCAGTGAGAGACAGTCAAGTGGGCCGGGGTCTTCCCAGAGAAGACTCAAGGCCACCACCCAGAAACTCACTTGCGATACCTTAGATTTAGATCACGACCATTTTCACCACTGATATTCAATTCGTTAAACGCTAATTAACGACTGTCAAGGCGCATGGGGCGACTAGAAACACATGCTATTTCTCGAACGATGCAGCGAAGTTTCCCGACAACACAGGGAGCGCTTGAAGCGCAGATGGAGAACAGAGGCCCGATTCGCTTCCGAGGTGACAGGCGGATTGGCAAGCCTGTTCAATCCCACGTTGAGCCACTTCAGATGTTTAAAACTCCAGATATCATCCGCCCACATCTGCTTAGGTTTCTGGCACCAGATGATGCCCCTTTGCATCATCTGGCTTGCTTGACACGTTCTTTACTATCGTATCTCCGCCCGTGACAGAACAGTCGGTCTAGTCTCAACAGTTCAATTCACGGGTTTGCATATCTGCAAGTGAGTTGAACATCCGCGAGAACTAACCACAAAAAAGACCACCACACTCACGACCCCAGTCTTAGCATTAGTTAAGCCACACCCTCAGAGCTAGTGGGCACATCGGGTCACTTGGCTTGTCTTGATGCCAATTCAGTTGTCGTGCAGGATCGCTAACAGCGAACAGCCGCACTCTTTGGCGTCGACCCAAATCTAGGAGCGAGCGCCACGGCTGCTTTGGTAAAAACAAAGGAAAGAGACCTCGGGAGAGCGAACGCAAGCATGACAGTTGTTTGCCGCATTGCGAAGACAGAGTCCCATCCTCTCCAACCTGATGGCGCACCCACCAATAATCTTTGCCTCAATCAAGAGCTCGTCCGGTTGTGTTTTGCTACTTGAAACAGCCATTACCAATAATCTGCTTCTGAAGTGCCTTGTAACATTGCAGCTCCATGGAGGTGTAACAGGGCCTGAGCAAGAGTTGGCAACGTCAAATACCTTTCGACTGAAGGCTGCTCAGCATCACAACCTTCCCAGCCTGGAGTGGTGCTGTGAGAAGACACATCCGCAGTCACTAGAGCCTTATAAAGTATCATGTCAGAGCATCATCTGTTGGGCATCATGATGGTGACTCGGCGTTGATCTGCAGCACTCATGGGCTGCTTGTGGCCCTTTGGTTGGGATATCCTCATAGGGTAAATAAAAGCGAGTCCTCAGCCAAGGGAGTGACTTTGTCTCAAGTACGATGTCAACTGTGTTGCTTTTGGCGGACAGCCAGGACAAGACAGCTGAAGGCGCACCAATGAAACGGGAAACCAAACATTTCTTGCTCTCCGTACCAAACTACCGGAGTCCCTTGAAGGGCAGAGACTCTTAACGATGTGTTCTGGCGATGAATCTTATCTTAATGGCATCCAATTAAAACAACTCCCCACTACCAAAGTGTAGTACAACAGCAAGGCGGTGAGTAGCTGCCGGGTCGGAGGACGCAACTTCCTTTAATCTAGGTCTGGACAGGAAGTGGAATGCGCTGCGGTATGTGCCAGAGGGAAGGCAAACTGGGGGAAGGACGCATTGCCCTTCCCATGTGGTTTTGGGGGTTCGTCTCTTGCTCACGGAAATGGGATGATCAAGCCACGACCTTTAACTGACCTCTCATATTGGTCTAAATCATTCTGACCCATATCACTGTCGTCCTTCTGCCGCCCATGGAATCAGCAAACAATGTCTACTTGTCAATTTCCTTATTCCAGTCTGTTGGATCGCACCAACAACCGAGATCCTGTTTACGATCCTAGTCTAGCGTCAGAAGTTGCCATTGCCGCAGCCTTTACCGCCGGAGTTTTACCCAATTACGACGCCCAATTCGGACGCGAACATCTTCAGGATTCATTCCAAAGTTATGAATTCATCCCACACAGGGACCTTCTGTTGCAAGACTTTCAGAGTGACGAGTTCCAACTGGACGAAGGCAAGACTAGCCAGTCAACTGCTCGTAAAACGTCAGCCCACTGCGTTGAAACCCGACAGCAAGATAGAGGACGCCCTATTCCCTATAATCTTGCTGTTCGGTATGCGAACAGGCCCAATGGGACACCACTCTCCACGATCATCGAAAGGGCCTCCTACTCCACCTTGACGTCCCACCCCTCCCTGCTCAGTGTTCACCGGCGACACCCATCCCTCAGATCAAACAACAATATGACCCCGGACTATCCTTCAAGAAACTTTGATGAGATGGCCCTAGACAATATCCTTGAAGACACATCTCAGGAGCAGGACATGGATGCATCTCTTGACGCTAATAAAGAGCCTGAGGTGGGCCCAGAGATGTCAGACCCCGCACTGCGTACAGCTACGCCACATATCGAATTGAATTTCCAGGATTGTCAGCCTCCTGACGCCGCCCTTACGTTCCAGAACGTGGAGAATGATGGGAATCCCAAAGGGGTGAGAGGCATGCTGCGAGGCCTTTTCCAGAACGTTCGAGGCTCATCTCGACATAGCCGGTCGTTGTCGTCAATTTCACATCGACCTCAAGGCGGTTTCCGTGGAGAAGGTGTAAACGATCAAGAATTTCTTGATTATGGTAACGCCATAGATGATCTCGGTAGTGCTGCAAAAAGTCAATCTGGAAGGCCTCTGGCACATAGACCGGTAGTCGGCGATAACCGCTTAGCTAGTCGAGGTGTTCAGCCTCATAGTGCACTCGAAGTCGAGGCTATGACAGGGAATCAACCGTTCAGTCTCTCCTCAGATCCGCCAGACGTCAAACTTCCAACCGCACAAATTTGTTATCGTCGCCCACCATTTACCAAGTTTGAGTTTGAATCAGACTCTGTGCCGTATATACCGCTGCCGTCTCAACTTTCAACGTCACTGAACGATTGCTCAGTATTTGCATCTTCAGTAATCTGCAGCGCAGAACAAGAGTATGTCCCATCGGGTACGCCCACACTCTCCGATCGTAACAGAGATGATTTGTCAACTCGGTACACTTCCGATGGTGTTACTTTACTCCGTAGCAATGCGCCTTCACTTAATGAGTACGATCAAGCTAGGGACGCTAGTTTTGGTAGCACGCTGTCTACCAGTTACTCGGGTACCGTCCTAGGTGTTGACCTTGATCTACAACCTCAGCTTCCGCCTATCCCTCGCTCATCAACTTTAGCATGGTTCAGTCCAGAGCCCACTGATCAAGAGGACATAGTCTCAGAACCAACTGACAATAAGAACCAAAAAGGCAACGCTGTCGACTCTAAGCTAACACTTCCTCACTCAATCACATCCTCCGCCCTCCAAGCCCTCCTTCCTCTCGCAGCTGCTTCGGGGATTGTTCGTCCCAACTATGCCACACCTCACCTCTCATTCTACTCTCCGTCTGGGCATCTTATCCAGGTCGACGAGGAGTCATCATCAGCGAATCCCTCACACCCATACAAACAGCCAACTTTCGAGCCCCTTGCTCGTCCCACACTCTTACCCGCTACGACCCCGCCTTCACCCAGAGCACGACTTCCATCCAACCTCCGACAGCAGCGACATCATTGCCACCGGCACCAGACACACACGCACAGCGTCCCTCAAACGGTCGTGAGGAGCGACATTAAGGGCTGTGACGGCATGATTCGAACGAACAGTCTGCAGCCACGGAGTGGAGTTCGGCGTTCCGTTTCTCACCCCAACCCGAATCCAAGCCCCAAACCATCCAAACGAAAACACACAAAACACAACAGCCTACCCTGGAACCGATCTCGATGTAAATCTGCAGCAGTCACGTCAGTATCAACACCAGCATCTAACATTACCCTTACACGAGACAGAAAAAAGCTGCAGAAGAAGAGGAAGCCCGCAGTAGCGACAACAGCGCGAGGAAGTAGTGTCTCGGAGCTGGGTCCGGCTGTTGGGTTTTCGCTAAGGGTTTGCTTCTGTCAGCCTTGGGATGGTGCTGGGGAAGCTGGGCGAGGATGTTTGGGGGATCACGCTGATGATGGCGATAGTGATGTAGATAGAGTGCAGGAGATGGTGGAAAATGCGAGGGTTGTGGATAGGGAGAGGAAAGTCGGTGGTTGAGATCGTGGAGGCTTTTTATCGCTTTGGAATATCCTAGGGCTGACGAGGTCTTGGGGTGTTTGCTGATGCAACGGGTTGGTGGAGCAGAAGTTGGTTGCCACTAGTGGAACTATTGCTACAGTGGTAGCAGTCAGCAGAAAGTATAGTTGGATGATTCATCACATCAGGCCATATCAGGGTCGAGTCTCCTCTGTCTTTTATTATCAATAACCCCAAGATTCCGGGTGTTACGCTATGCGTATTTCCTCTTACCAATGTAACTTATCCCCTCCATATCACCCCTTCGCTTCGCCCCAAATATCCCTCCAAAACTGCCGAAACCCATACCTCCTCTCAACCCTCTCATCCCTCACCCTCGCCTTCTCTCCTACCAATCTATCCATGACGCCCGCACTCTCCGCCAAACTGGCCCCGAAGCCTTCGACCTTCGCCTTTGGCATTGTCGCCCTCTCGCGAATCGCTTCCGCTAGCTGCGGCGCGACTTCTGCGTAACAAGCGTCTAGCTCGCGAGTCAGAGAAAAATAAGGCTTCTTAGCTAGGTCTGGCGCCTGGAGATTGTACGATCGAGTTTTGGAGTTCAGGTCGTTGATGCTGAGGGTGTGGTAGCTGGATTCGGTAGCTTCCCAGGCCGGGTCTCGGAAGGGATAGGGAGCTGGTGGGACGGGGGACGCGGGGGACGTTTGGATGGGTACTTGTATGCTCTGTGACGAGGTTGGTACTTTCTCACTATCGGGTGACGCTGGCAGCTCGTTTGAAAGAAGCGCTTTGCTCGCGACTCGTTCCGCGGCGATTTCATCTAAGAAAGGCGACGAGTCTGACGCCGGCGCTTTCAATTCCCCGGAAAGCGAGATCTGGGACAAGTGGTGGGAGTTATCGACTGTACTAACCGTCTCCGTTTTCTTCTTCTGCGGATTCACGATTAGTTCGGCTTTCGCATATGCTTCTGCTCTGCGCATCTGGTCTTGCAAAGTGCCGCCTTTGCTAGCGATCATGCGCGCTGCATGTCTCTTCCAATCATTTCTCAACCGCGCTCGGAACTTGGTGGCAGTGCTTACTAGCTCTTGCTGCTTTTCTATCCACGGTGGAACGATGTCTTGCTTCTGGATGATTTTGTTCATGAAGTATTCCGTAGTATCCAAAAACGGACTGGATGCATTGTAGTCTCTCTCGATCGTTTGCCCACGAGGCAGGTTCTTAAATTGACCTCTTGCAATGGCATCTTCGATCCGCTCATTAGCAAGAGATGCCAGTCCCTGGATAGTCCCCGGCACCACGGCTCTCGCATGAGGAGAAAACCGGTCTTTTAATTCTTGAAACCGTTTCTCCTTCTCTTTGTCAGATATATCCGACTCTTTCAAACTGCCGTACAACACACTCCTATCCCTCGCATCCGCCAACCTCATCCCCGCCGCCGCCCTGCTTTTCCTCCCCGTACCCACCATCTTCGGCGTTGCGACAGCCGGCCCGGGGATCTGTGCACCTCGTCCCGACCTCAACGGCTTATGTGCATCGTTAAGCATGCGTAGACTCGCGTCGTGCAGACTTTCTTCCCCAGACCACGGCTCCGCGGTCGCAATGTCCCGCGTGCCGCAGCCCACATGAGACGGCGCTTCCAGCTCGGCAAACGCATTGCGGTGGTCCGAGCGAAAGTTGGTGGATACAATGCGCTCTTCTAATTTTTTCTTTAGATCTTCGCTGAAGCCGGCTTCTAGGACGGCATTTTGGCTGCTGCGACTGCCAGTTTCAAGAGAGGATTCACTCATGGAGCGGAGGCGGCGGGTCATTGCTCCTTCTTCTTTCTCTTCTGGCGCTGGTAAGTCGGTTGCCGCATTTTGGGAGGGTTTTCCATCTTCTGTGTCCTTCTCTCGTGACTGTGGTGCCGAATCTGCCAAATATCGGATGGGCGGTAGGCGTAGTGCTATGGTCCGCGCCCAAAATGCAATGCGGCGTTGGCTTGCGCGCAAGCAGCTTGCGTAGACGTATGATGTGATTGTCCTAGATGCGGGCATGTAGGTACGTCAGATACAAGAGCAATTAGATAGCAAATGTAGCTGCGGTATGTACAGGAGAAACTTTGATGTTGAGGCGGATGGACGAGTAACTAACGTCATCACCCGCAGCGAGCTTGGCAGCGGAACACTTTCCGAGATCAATCGACACTTGCCCCATCTCAGTTGGAGTTCTTCAGGACAGCTTCACGTGCTAATTTCTGTTCACATTTTTGGGCTGCGGTAGAGTTTACTTGGTCTACGTTCGTCCATCCATCCACAGAACAGGGATCTGGTTACCTTTGAAGCTAATCATGACCACCACTGCTCCAAGGCCGGACGACGTTGCGAGAAGAAACAATACCTTGCAGCAGTCTGCCTCCTGTCCGCCTCGTACATCCCTTTTCATGCGTCTTTTTCTTCCCATTGCTTGTCCTCTCTGACTAACCAATAGCAGAGTCTCGCTAACCACATGTCGATAAAAAGCAACACCACGGGACGGAAAAAAGGTCGGGCCGGATCGATCTACTTTTAACACGAGCTCTGTGGAGGCTGAGCGACTCCTTGGCGTTACAATGTGAAGTGACTCGCTGCTTCATCCTGTCTCCCCACCATGAGATTAAAGTTAAGAAGGTGGAGATGGGCGAGTCCTTTCGACAACCTCACTTCTCAAGCTCACCGGACATGCTGCGTACGAAGCTATGGCCGTGCCTGCTGTAAGCACTCGTCACATCTTAGGTGATGAGCCGAAATCTAGGGTAAGCACCCGCAATTCTTCTGAAGACTTGGCCAGTTTGCAGAGAGACTGAGCAAATGGACAGCCTCATCCCGCATCACCCTTGTCAGAACCGCCACTTGATGAGCTGAGAGCGACGCAATTCCAAGCGTCAATTACGCCGTCGAAGAATTCTGATGCTTCTCTTCGAGGGAAAGAACTACGGTCCACATACCACATCTACCACGAGAAAGAATCGCACAAGTGCATCTCCACATCTGTCGATTCGACCAAAGAACGTCGCTTCGGTCCAACCATCAAAGAATGTAAGGAAAAACGGAGAAGAAAGCGAGAAGCCGAGGGTAAAGTGCCCTCACCCTCACCCTCAGCCGCGGACGATGGTTCCTTCTTCCTCCACACTCCATACCTTGCCTTCCACGACCCACCCCGTGTACTCTACATTGGAAACTCAAAGCATTCCCACCCCGCTGTTTTAATCCACACGTCGCTCTTCTGGCGAACATGGAAAATACAACTTGGCCCATCTATCGCAACACCAGGCGTGCTCGACCCCAGAGGTGTCGTATGCTGGCGACACAACGGTGGCGATAGAAAGGCATTGAAAGCCGACGACAGAAAGCTAAAGGGATACAAAGTCCGCACGTGGCGTCTCTGGGGCGAAACCGGCAAGCGCTACGTGCACGGCGTAAAAGCTGCACGGAAGGCGGGGGTTAGCCCAGATCCCGACAACATCGAAGAGGCGAGTCGTGATCCAATTGTTCCAGCTGTCTTAGAGAAGGATACAATGCCCAATACTATTGCGGTGAAAGAGCCCCATGTCCCAGCGCGAGCAGACGAGGTGGTGTACCTGAAATGGACATCACCTTTATCGCGAGATCCGCGCCGATATCACTTCCATTACGCGGGTATCGACTTCTTCTGGAAGGGCACTGGTACGGTCAGAGAGAGCCGAAGATGTGGTGCATGGCTCCATTTTAACCATCTGAAGCTAGTGGCTAGACTCCCAGTGCCGAGAGACGAAAAACTCGACGACCCAAGTCCTCAACCTGAGGTGTGTCTCGGCAAATACACTTCCTCGATCGCAGCAAAGAAGCACGGCATCCTAGAGCTCTACGACGGCGCAATATGGCGTCTGTTGTCGGAGTACGTCCCTGCTTCCCTGCCACAAACGCATGTCCAGGGCCATATAAGAAAAGCTGGAGGGGATAGAGAACCTGATGAAGAAGAGTTGTTGGAGCAAGTACATGGGACGAAGAAGACGACTTTGTACCAAGTCATTGTAGCTACGGCTATGTGCATGATCATTGGAGAAAAGCAGAAGCGTGAGACTATCAGGCAGATAATAGAGCTAGCGGCTTCTGAGGGTGCTGGGGGTGCTGGTGGATCATGATGCTGAGGTTGATGATTATACCCCAGCGTTTTATGAAGTACTTGTTATGTTTTTTCAGGATAGTACTGAAATGAAACGAAAACCGCATGTCTTCGTCTTACGCATACCTTAGACACGTTTTCTGTTGCCCTGTACAGATATTGGCTCGAGCGATACGTGTTATTTCTACATCAGCCTTCCCTCTCTCATTTGTTCCGGCTTAAATACTCATGAGCAGATTTTATAGAGAAACTGGAAGATATATCGAAACTTGAACTTCATAGAGCAAACCAGGGGGGCAGGGACGCAAAAAATGTATCAATGATGAGGAATGAGCAACGTCGAGAGATTGAAAGGGACATCGCATACAACTTCGGGCACGTGCATCAAAAATTACTACTGTTTAACCTTGCAGAGATTCTAACTTTCCTAGTATATCCCAGCAAAAATCAACAGTTGGGTTTGGTTCGCTCCGTCCTAGATAGGACTTACTTCCAAGCAGATCCGAGTTACTTCTTCAAATGTTTTACCATGCGACCCCGAAGCTCGCTTCAGAGACTCTGTAGTTTTCTGGACCACCTCGCATGGTCATTTCGACACTTGGGACCCCATAAGTTGGTTAGTCGTCTTCAAAGACCGATCTCTAACAGGATACACCCAAGATCATGAACATAAAACGCCTGCAACACCGCAAGGCGGGCCAGTACCACTGGGATTCCATGTGCGGGCATAGGCTTATCAAGGCCTCTTCGTTTCCCTGAATGCCTTTTTGTTCGGAAGAAGTGCCTTCGTGATTGTCTGGTCTCGAGTACGGGAATCCTAGGACATAATAACTCCTTAGATCGAATCGGCGCTGATCACAGTTTGCTTAGCCGATCACTGTACTGCGAGGCGCTAATTCCTCATGAAGTCACCTACACAGTGAAATGCAGATAGTGTGCTTGTAATTCTTGTTGCAATGGCGATGCGGTGCTCCAGTAGCGGAGGTTTAGGGTAAGATTCGATGATCTGGCCTAAAGTCTTAGGAGACGATTACCGAAACTCGTGGAGAAGATATCTGAAATATGAAGCCAAAACGTGCCCTCTCGGGATCTTCAATGTATTCCAAGCAATGTAGTATTTGGGGTTTCTTAGTTTGCGAAAACCGTTGCAGAAAACGGGTCAGTGTATCGGGACGGAGCGTGATTGAAAATGTTTTGTAATTAGCGATTGATGCGCCATATTCCTTCCTTTCAATGAAGACATCCTTCTCTTCAGCTTAACCACAAGGTAAGTATATTCTAAGACCTCTCCTCGCTGAACCTTTCGAACCTCGGTCAATGTCTAGTACTTTGGTGGTGTCTCTCGGGACCTTCATGGATAGAGTAGTAGCCCAAGCCAGCGTCTGCGTAGAGGCATCTCCTTGGAGACTTGTGGATCTCAGTTGGTCTGCTATTATTAGAATCTAGATAGATTTATACGGCCCTTTAGCCAGTTTAATATCTTCTACTATTGATTTGTTAGACATTATCTCCGCATTTAGAGCTTCTGCAAACTGTATCCGTGCTCGGATGGGCGAGAGACCGCCGAGACCATCATTGAACTGTCTCCTAGGTCCAGCCTTCAATGTTCTAGCTCTTAACGTACGACAAATCCGAACGAGTGCAGTCTCTCAACATTGAATAGCATACGGACTGCTAACAACGCAAGTATCTCTACAGCGGATGTGCCATGTTTCCTTTTATTGCAACCCTGCACTTCGTTGAACCCGACCTAGCACATAAGGAACCAGAACGTCTCCATCACTTCGACCACCCAGCAATAGAGGCAGACGGTAGCCACGGAGCATCTTTCCTCGCCCATAAGGCCAGGCTTTTAGTTACTACCGTGCATGAAAACCCTGCTGAGAAGACATGCCGTCGCCCTGAAATGCGTCTAGCTGAGTAGCCTACAGACGGGCCAAAGCTTTCTCGAAGTCATGTCCAATCTCCTCTACCGCCTCGGTCCATTTATACGAGGTCGCAAATGCATTGTGGTCTGCTAGGTCTATGTTGGGAGCCGTCCCCGTATGGGTAAAAACTTGATGCAATGACTATGTTTAATTCTAGAATAATTAGCATACAGGATACTTGCCTAAAACTAGGCTTAAAACAACTCATATATGGGACAAGAAGGTGACTCCACTTTGACATCACTGAGGACTTAGACATTGCCTACCATTGCAACATTATCCATGGAGATATAAGGCAGAGAAAATCCTTATATGTAAGCCAGGGGGCTCTACGACGGGCTGCCCAATCAACCTTGGATTGGTATCCAACTATATTACATAGACTATATAGCTCCTCAGACCCTCAGCTCACAATACATGACTCCTCTTATAACTCGTGCCCCTTGTTGGAAATAGATAGGTGGTGTAAGCATGCAGCTATGTAGAGAGCTGATGAAGTGAAATGTATTGTTCTCAGTCTAAGTGCTCTGTTGCAGAGTATTTATTTACATCTATGATGGCAAGGGCAGTGAGGGCTATGGCAATGGCTAAGGGGATATAGTGAAGGCAGTAGGAGCTATAGTGAAGGTAGTATTAGGGGCTGTTGAGGCACAGGAAAGGAAGGTTTCTGTACCAGGAATGCGACACCCCTTGCAAAGTTACATTATATTTCCAAGAGAAGGGGACGTATTCGTGGTGAAACTGAGTGATTTCGGTTCCCCTACGCTAGATGTGAATTTTCATTCAAATGACCAGAAATATATTGTTCCTGATGGAGATAATAGAAGCATAGTTATTTCATTATTGACTCGGCCATGGGTTCCACCAGAATATAGCAGGGAGTCCCCGCGGAACTTGGCATTTAATGCTGACGTCTATTCATAGGCCTCCTCGACTAGCGAGTGTTTCTTGACGGGGAAACCCCTTTCGAGTTTTCCAAGAAAGAGTTTAAAAGATTGTTCAATACTCTAGGGAACGGCACAGACAGAGTGGGTGATATCATGGAACTGAAGCTAAATGATTTAGTCCAGTGTGCTGCGAGAACCGGGGCATCTGAAAATCAACGCAAGGGAGAGTACCCGCTAGCTAAAGTGTTTGATCACTGTTTGCAGGCTGACCATACAATTCGAAGCTTGAAAAGGCCTTTTTACATGGATATTGGGGCGAGAGTAGGCCGCTGATTCTTTTGGTCACATAGCTTCTGAACTGATCACGAGACGGAGGCGTAGATAGTTCATATGAATTCGACCTTACATTATCTAGGCGATTCATCTATCATTCAGTACGAACAAATTATCCGTATTCATAATAAGGTGAGAGCCACACCAGCCATGACCCAGTTACTGCGTACAGTTCCATAGATTCCGATTTTATCCTCCTCATCTGCAACAGCAGTTCCTCATGGATATGGATCAACTCTCTTGTTCGATGTCGTTTCTGGAGGAAAAGGAGGCAAATATCCGTGTAACCGTTCTTGCTGCATTAAAATCGTTGAGTTTGGTGCTTCGATGAACAATCTCCGCTTCATTCGTACCCATGTATGCAGAAGAGCTGCAAAAAGTTCAAGGCTTTGGGTTCTTGGCCGGAGTCTTATGATAATGAGCCTAGCTCCAGTTCTCCCACCATAGATGTTACAGCCTACCCATGCTCTGTTGAAATGAAGGAAGACCCACCAGTGCAGATCTTAGTGTGGGGTACGGGTCCGCATGTTATGGTCCACAATCTTCGCTAGCACATCCCAAGTCACATGGAAACCCATATACAAGTAGCGTTATCACCAAGCACTGCGAATTCAAAATTGATTTTTTTGGAGGCATTAAACATCTTGAAATATGGTCAAACTTTGACAAGCTGGCGACGCAACGTGGCAAACTCATGACCTTTGAATTGGAGGATGAAGCCCTAGTTCGGATGCTTATAATGGACAACGTTAAGAGTAAACGGGTCGCGATTAATTCAAAGCTCAACACCGATGTTTTGGCATTACACGTCGCTTGTGGCAAAGGGAATGGCTAGCCTTGCCCACACGCGAATCAACAAGGGTGCCAATGGAAACTGTCACCTTAGTCCGGAAAAGGAAACCCCGCTAGCATGATGTGATACTCGGGTCCGTGAAAGTCACCTCCGTCGTGAGCGGACCCCTGCCTAGCAGACGATGAGAAACAAACACTGCACCATTTCTTCTGTGCTTTTGATGGAGGGGAGACTCCACATGAACGAAGCTCTTTTTAAGAAAAGAGGATAACCCATACCTCTTTCTAGCCACCTTCCGAGCACGGTTGAAGGAACTTCTCCTGAGCTTGTCTTTAGTAGTGGAACTCCACTCCATCGAGGAGTGGGAAAGAAAGATATGCAGGCCGTGAAGAACTTTCTGGAACTCTCCTTGGACCCTATGGCAGGAACATATCGTAGTCACTACTCTTGGCTTTACGGCCGAGGTTTACATTGTGGATATGCCCGATCTACTCTATGAGAGCCTTACTAGCTAAAAATACAATCAAGACCACAGACCAAACCTTCGATTATTCAAATTTGCCATCAATGGCGCTCGGCCTTTGGACCTGTTCAACATCCATAGCGTTCATTGACATGAGAATGCAAGGAGATTCATCAAATCATCGATTGGATTTGGAGAACATGTTTATAGCTTTCGTGGCAAGGTTAACTTCATATGCTTGAGATTTTCGTTGGCAAAAATGAGATTATAAAGGCTCTGCATGAAAAAGGCGCTTCAGGTTACGTGAAAGCACTCGATTGGGAATTTGGCGGAAAACGCGCCTTCACGAAGGCAATCGAATCTAGCCTCAAGCAATATTCTCTTCACTTAGGTAACTAGCAGCGGAGGGATTCGCCATCCCAAAAGCAAGGTTTCAATGGTTCTGAGACGGGACTCGCTGCGGCCAAGCTGTAGGGATTCTAGGTAGCCCAAGATTTTGTCAGTCGGCCTTTCATCTCCTCGTGCAAGATGAGAGGGCGATAAGACAACCAGCGTAGGCCAGAGACCTCTTAGAGCGTTTCCTCGAGCAAGATATCAACAAGAGGCTTCTCCATTTGCAAGGTGACTTGAATCCAGCGCTTCATCTTGCAACGAAGTCACAACATGGAAACTACCGAGTCACTGGTGATAGTGGGAGTAAACCCAAACACCGAAAACTACGACTAGAAGAATTAGCGAAAGCGCTATTCTCATCAAAAACCAAAGATCTAATCGCTTTGATGAATGCATGCTGTGCTAGGTTCTCTCTGTTAGCCTCCACAATCAAAGTTAATATTTAAGAAAGCAACAGAATTATGGAAGACTCTTGACTTACTAGACTCTGGGAGTGGGTGGTTAGACATGGCGTTGGTTGGTATCTTGGAAGAACTTCGAGATCAACTGATTGATTTATCCGATCTGACGAGTTTTTGCGCGTGGAGAACCCTTGGACAACACTTATGGTTCGGATAGTACACGCAAACGTGACGAGAACTAGGCAATTCTCTCGAAAGCGTAACGAATTTCGGGCTTCGAGTACGCTCTAACTCCAACGCCCCTTGGTTTGTTGATGCTGCTACTCTCAAGGTTTAGGGGGAAGCGCTTGGTGTGAGCCTTATAAAGTCGTTGGATCACTAAGCGCAAAAGTGACCCGTGGGACTTCTGAAATCGGATATCAAAGTCCCCAGTCTTGCCCCCAGGTATTTAGTTTACCGCGTACCAACCATAAGAGTGTTCATCTATGAAGCTTCAGAGCGGTGACTTAACCCTGGGGAAGGTCATAGTAGTAATTTAAAGGTAGGTGTATATTCCCCTTTACGAAAAATTAAAACTTCTGAATAAAAATGTGCCTACGCAGGATACTGGGTTAGGCTTCGAAGACCAGCGGAAAGCCGCTACATCGTCAAAAGCCACGATTCCTCAGACCTAGGCGCTTCAAAAATATAAGGCCTGGATACCGGGACATTGGCGGCAGCTACGGATTCGACGTCTGCTAGGACAGCCATAGTTAAGCAATGAAGGAGGGAGGAAGTAATCCATACTATTACAGATATCGCGGATCCGGTGCATTTTGGAGTGGCCTCGATACTCGCCCATTCGAAGCAATGACGGTAATCGAAAGTGAGCGAGAAGTTATGCCTCCGAATCCCGCCTATGATGAGAATGCCAGCGGACCCAGCCTGTCTGAACTATAGTGACTCTTCCTTAATGTGATTTCGGACTAAGCTTAGCGGGAGAAGTTCCTTAGACGCGGCGATGGGCTATCTGGGCTATAGTTCAAAGGCCCAATTCTAAAGAATACGGTAGTGGACCTCTTCAGGTTTGGCCGTGAAAATTTCACTGACTTTCTCTCGAAAGAAACCACCGGTTCTGTCGACTATAAAGCGGCTGCGTACTTTACTAGATTCTCCTCTAAGAAGGATTCTCCTTGACTAAAGCCACTGAGAAATTTCTAAGGCGTTATTCGATGATATTTACAGAATCACCTCTGAAAGCGTATTCCTAGCTCAGTCAATACAGTTTCGCTAGGGTTAGTTGAATGCACAATATATCGGCGGTGAGAATTCTAATCAAACCAGTACTAAGAATGCCATTCTTGTAGGAGGAACAAAGATCCACCTTGCATCACCGTCCCCACCACACGCTGAACGCAAGAACAAGGGGGCAATCGAGCAGCTAGGCAGTCTATCGTTGTCCTAAAGTCTCAAATGCAGCCGGCCTAGGATTTTGTTCGACACCTAAAGAGCTAAGAGTGAGGCGAATAAGAGGATGTACATGTGTCTCGAGTTACTAGTGTATAGTTTCTTTGGCAGCAAAGGCCGGGGAAAAGGCGCATCTTGCACTCCAGTACATGAGGCTTGCTGGCCTAGTTTCATAGCATATTAAAGTGGCAATACTGTGCGAAGAGCGAGGCGAAAGGTTGTAATGGTGGTAGAAGGAGGCGGAGTAGGGTAGCATGCTCAGTCTATATTTTCAAGCGGCACGGGTGAGAAATGAGTGCTCTGCAACAGAGACATGGGGCGTTGGTCGTACTTTTACTAGTGTCTTTGTGGCCCGGGAAAGTAAAAAAAGGCAAAGCTACTTCTGTCTTGCAGCGGTGGCGAATTTCGGAGATTTGCGGGAGTATTGGTGAATTCTTGCCTAGCTTGAGACATTGTCTGAATCTGTTGAGAGAATATCGTACAAATTGAATGGGATCTCCGGTGTTCTAGTCTCGATGACGTGTAAGAAAATTACATAGAAAGTAGGGATGGGGGTATTGCAGTCTGCCGTCCCAGAGAACCAGAACCGATGAACCAGGTAAGGAGTATGATCCCTCCATTTCACAATCCCATGACGCCGGTCGCCTTCTCCAACTATCTGTCGCGTCCAGCAGGTCGTGTATAGCGTTTACGACCAGTTTGAGAACGAGTCCGTGGCATCGCACTATTGGCCTCCAACGGCGGGGCTGCTCCCAGCCTAACCCAGCCAAGACCAGAAAAAGCCCGGAAAAGCAAAGAAACTTTCCAGCGGGACAACCACAAACGAAAAAAAATCCAATCTATCTCCGTCTGTCAGTCGGTCACACAGTCTGTCTTCGGCCCATAACCGCCGAATTCCATTTCTCCTGCAGCCCATACCCGTCCTGCTCACCCACCGGCTGCAGCTGATACGAGTAATACGTCGATCGCAGCGAATCTCCTAACCTGTACCCCGGATTGTTAAAATAGCTGAGCATCCCGCCCATGACGACGGGATTAGGTGCGGGGAGCGCTTCCGTCATAGGTGTTTCAATGTCGTAGACGCTTGAGCGGTTGCTGCGGCTGGATAGGCTGGATGTATCGCTAGCTGTGTCGACGCGAAGCGGTTCTGGCCTACGCTTGGGTTCCGGGTCTGTTTGAACGCTGGCGTCGGCGTAAATAGGACGGGCGGGGGCGGGTGGGGATGCGATGTGGCATCCGCATGTACAGTGGCCCGAATCTCGTTTTCGCAGGATGGAGGAGTCGGGGAGGGATTTATCTTCTTCAAGGATCCGGGGAAAAGCGCCCGGGTTGAAGGACATGCTTAATGGTCGTATTGTTGTCTGCCGCGGAACAACTGGCATTGGAGACATTGTGGGAGAGTCTCGAATCGGGGTGTCGGTGACTGGACCGTACGATTTTGGGGCTGAATCTGACACTGCTCTGATGGATGCTAAGCTTGGAGATTGTGAGGATGGTTGCGACCCTAGGATCATCGAAGGGGGTCGGGAGGAGGGTTGTGGAGCGGACGTTATCGAAGACGTCGAAGACGGTCGCGAAGATGGTTGCGAATGAATCGCCACGGAAGGTGGTCTACTCAGCACTTCTCGGATTGGGGGGGTGTCGGTGGCGGGGCTAAATGGTTTCATGATGGGGTCAGGTGGTGGTCGGATGAAAGATATTGTCCTCGACCTCCTTAGAATAGGCTTATCAACCTTTTCTGGGCTCTCTGCTCGCGGTTGCGGTTTCTTAATCTCCGTTTCCTTGTTCTCGAGTTTACCGTTCTTGTCGGAGGCAAAGTACTCATCACCGCGGCCAAAGACAACCTGCAGCGAAGGGAAGTCGCGAAATGACCCATCTGTGGGAAACAGCCATTCGTGCAATGCTGGGGGGAGATCATAGCCATCTATACGCGTGTTAGCGTATATTCGGAATAGGTTGATGCGTTCGTACCTTGCCTGTATTCTCCGCCTCGGTTTCTCCAGCAGACATAGTATCGTTCGAAGGCACCAAATGCGCAGACCACTAGCTCTTCCAAGCTCTCAGGGTCCGAGGGGTCTTGGGGAATCTGTTCTAGACGTCCGTACAGACGAGTTGAAGAGTTCATGATTGATTACTACATATGGAGTGGATTAGCACCAATTCATTTGAAGAGAGGCGGTCTACGTACCAAGGTTCGTCAGCACGGCTGGGTCAATGGAGAAATAATTTGCATTTCAATTTGTGAGAGCTGTCAGTATTAAAGAAGCTAACGAAGAAGAGAAGCCCAGCTTCAATCGAAGAGAACCCAGTTCCACAAAAGAAATGCTGAAAACAAAAGAATGAACAAAACAGTTGTCAACGAGTGTCATGCAGGTACCGCCGACTTCCCAAGGCCACAACCATCTCTAGCTGGTGGGAATAGGTACACTGTAGGTGATTAATGCGTGCATGTTAGGCACGAGGTGGTTCCTCTCCACTGGCGTGAGCAGGCGTGAGCAGCGTTTCCTGGTGAACTCGATACATCACTGAAGCGGTTACAGAATTTGGAGGGGGAGCCGCATGAGGCTCGTCAGCTCATGGTGGTTCGAGTTTCATCTTGTAAAGGCTCGCGCGAGTCGTGCGAATCATCGTGTAGCCGAGACTCTTGTGGCTGGTTACAAATCCTGATGTGCGTTTGAGATAATCGTTCGAGCTAGGATATGGTGGTTCGATAGTCGGCCAGATGGGAAAGCTTCGAGAAAGCTTGGCATTGAGGCTCTGGCTCGTGCATTCTCCGACTCCGAGACGTCTAAACCACTTTCGTTCGGATCCACCATCAAGATGCAAGCTATTCCAAATATGTCATCCAGAGACCACCACATACCACGAAACATTGCTGGTGAGTATTTGGTCCATCAGGCATGCTTTTAAGTACAACCGAATTTGGTGCACCGTGGCGCCATGCTGGGTGATGGATGCATCCAAGATAACGTACAGAGAGGCCTCCACAATATGCTACAATAACAACCAATGATTTTCGTTCCCAACCTGAGCCAGTTGTCAAGCCTCCTCTGCTTCTGAAGTATGCTGTGCTCATCATTCTTTGCCTAAACGAGTACATGATTAAATGAAAATTATTAGCTGCGAAACATCCTCATATTGGCTCTCCTGACTTCCGATCCTCCTTTTTCCTTGCTGACGCCGTTCTCGCAATAGAAAACATCCTTTGAAGAGGGGACCTCGGTATGTTGGTGGTTTTGGCGGCCTCTTTAGATGTGGATGGCCTGTTCGGCGGGACTGGTCTTTCAACCCTGCCATTTCCCTAAGAACAAGTTAGAAAAAGATCAATGAGCCGAGCAACCGCAACTGGTGTGTAACTATACCTGAGAGTTACTAGGCACCGTTGCACCCCTAGCTCTACCAGTACTCTGTCCTGGCTTGAGTATGTCGTCCAGTTCCCGGTACAGATTTGAAGTTGTCCTCTCATACGAGGGTCGATCAGCAGATGATGGCTCAGAGCCACCACTAGAGGCCATGCTGCGATGCATTGAACCTTTCTCGCCAGTGGTCATGGTGTTTGCCATTGAAACACGTGGGGGAGCTGTAGCGGTCCGGGCAAGAGGCCTCGGAGAGGATTTTGAATCGCCATCTTTGGAGGATGTGGAGGGTCGTCGATCAGTAGGAGAGGTAGGGGACCTCTTCGTGAGCTTGTTTGGTTGATTCTTTGGAGTGCTCTTGGGGGTAGCCTTCTGCGAGTCTTTCGGCATGAAAAGTCTGCGTTTCTCGGGAGATACTGCCCGATTTTTCTCAGGGGAGATTGGCCGTCTTGCACCCGATGAAGCGGGGAAACGTGGGAGAGGTGGGACACCCTTGTTAGGGGAAATGGGGCGGCGTTTAGTGGGTGAGGTCGGTACACGTGGAAGAGGGGCCTGAGGTGGCTCGTTATCAGTTAGGGCTGAATCTTTACGGCGAAGTGGATACTGATTGTTAGAATTGGGATCATATCTCAACCTGTTCGGTTGGGGAGGTCGACCTGGGGCACCCCCTAGCATGCCTCCGAAGATCGCTGGATCTGAGGTTAGGGCTTTCGGCTCCGGTTCTTGTCTGGCTGCCGGGGCAGGGGCCGATGGTGTCAGAATGGAGGAATCGGGACGAGTAGAGTATGGCACCGGAGCATTGCCATTCGTTCCTGATTCGGATATGTCTGACGCACCACTGGTGCGGCGTATTGGCAGCTTCCCATTTTTAGGCGGTAAAGGGGTTGATTTCTGGCCCATTTGCTCGAACATCTGTGCTTGGGCCAAGGCTCGTGAGCCTCGTTTTCTGTTCAACCTTCCCGGGGGGTCGCTAGAAGGCGAAGGCGTTGAGGTCGCAGGCCCTGCTGAAGGAGGAGTTTCTGGTGGAGGTGTCTTTGGCGGCGGTACTGGCTCTGGCGATGGTGGCGCTTTTGCAAATATCGATTTTGGAATCTTCAATGGCTCCGGTAAGGAAACCCCCACCCCAGGAGGGTCCAATTGTGGTTCTTCTGTTATTGGCTTGTCCATTGGAGCATCTTCCTTTACGTCAACGGCCCGTTTCGTTGTTTGGTCTTGTTGCCTCGCGTCAATTTCTTTCACCCATTTCTTTTCCTTCCGCATAAGCTCAACTTCAAGAACTCGAGTTCCCTCCGCAACCTTAGAGCGAAGGCCATCGTCGTCTTTGTCAAAGTATAAGGACCAGATGGTTGGAAACTCTTCGACGGCGCACCATCCTTCCCATCCATCGAAAGTCAAACGTCGGTCTTGACGGGTACAGTCGAATGGGCCTGTAAAATTTGGCTGGGCATTCACCCGGACGCCGTATTTCAATTCGTATGTTTCCTTGTCCACATACACCCAATTCATGATAGGGGCTTCGTCAGTGATGGTGGTCACTAGCCCCTCATATTTTTCATCGGGATACGGAAGGTAATAGCCAGCGTACGGGTGACCGAATGACTCCCCATCGCTTGTTCCTGTATCGATATAAAGCTAACTTTGAATTAGCGGAAGATCTTTATGCGGATAGAAAACAAACCTTGCCATTTTTCAGAACAATTGGACGACCATTGATCTCTCGACTTCGCAGGGAAGATTTCACGCAGGTTGCAATGAGATTGCATCGACGCGCTCGATGTTCTTCCCGCTTCTCCTTTGCTTGAGACTGGCGAATAGCTTCCTGGGTTCCGAGAAGACCGGGGGCCGCAACAACGGCAATGATAATGGGCAGAACCATGATACGGCCTTCAGTCGAGGTGTTCGAAGACTACGAAAGATGCCCGCGCCGAAAGGCAATAATACAAGCAAACTCCAATCCAAACAAGCGCTACACCTGGACCGGCACAGCTTCTAGAGACCTTCTCGCGACAGAAGTGCGCATGTGTTTCATCAAGGACGACGAATTTGGGGATCCTCTCCAGGCAACTTCGAGATTCCTGCAATGTTCCACTTCGCGCCTCGCCACGGCAAGGGTGGGAAAACCTTCTCCACTTGTTGCTAGATTGAAAGGAACCGCCAAAACGATGACTTCTTGCGTTACAATTAACAACGCAGTGCCAGCGCACAACACACCGAGGGCTTGGAAGAGAGTAGCGGTCCCGCTCCGGCTGAGACTTTTGTTGTCGTCTTTAGCCTGGAAAGTGGAATCTGAAGCCGGACGCCCGATTCTGGACATGCCATCCATGATTCAGGGACGGAGGAGGCTGGAAGCGATGGGTATTGGGATTGTGCATACATCGCTTGCGACATCGAATTGGAGCAAGAAACGGGAGGAGCCGGAGTCAGGCTGCACGTTCGGAAGAGGCACTGCTTAGCGTGAGAACATGGCCTGATAATCAGTCGAGTCTAGACAAGAAACCGCCGGAAGGGTATCTGTAACATGTATAAGAAGCCCTGGGAGCTAGGATACCCCTTTACGTTTCAGCTTTGACTCGCCCTTCCCCGCAAGTGTGTAACGATGAGCTTGACCAGCATTGACCACACATAAGCAACACCAACATTTGTGTGCATCTCGACTGCAACGATCCGTGGACAACGAAAATCTCCTGTACGAGTCTGGGCTGATATTGTGGCCAGTCGCAAGGTCGCAAACCCGAATTGCTGCAGGGAGAGTTTCGAAGTTTCGACGCCATTGGGTTCCAGTCTCTTTCCCCTCTGCAGCCGTCCGATCCTTTTGCCAGCGTTACAATGGCTTCTGGAATTGTGCAGGAATATCGGCAGTTATGCTCTTGTGCTGGCCGACGAGGTTTTCATGAAAGGAGAACTCGACATATATAAGGCTGCCATCCGGCATCTCTTAGAAACCAGACAGCTGAGCTGAATCTCCCCGACCATCAACAACATCAATCGACAGCCCGAGGCTACAGTTTCCCAAAAACCATTCAAATCTCATCTTCTCCCAAAACCAAAAACCTCCAACCCCCGTCTCTCAATCCTAAGCCATGGCTACTGTGTACGGGGCCCAGTTCAAAATTTCCATTGCCAATGCTCCAGCTAATTCATGTCCAGTTCTGCCACTCAACGCCCAGCCGGCAACTACTTGTCCGATAGCGATGACGGCCAAGCCGCCGGTGGACGCAAGCTCGGCATCCCATCCTCTGGTGGCCTCCAGACACCAGCAGGTGCGTCTTCTCAAGCCTTCTTCCTCATGAATTTTCAATTGACGGAGTCAAGGCACTATTGTGAAGGGCCCCATTGACGACGAAGGCAAGCTGAAGGACGCCGCCCTCCTTCTTGGTATCAAGCTCGACCTTGAAGCGGAAATCCATTTGACGGCAAGGATACGCGGTGATATCACCGTTGGTTTATACTAAGGAACCGTGAGCCGCCAACAGTTGTATTGCTGGGAATCTGAGCTGATATTGATAGGCGCTATGAAGACTGCAATATGAAGGCAGCGCTGAAGGTTGCTTGGGTGGAATAAGGGGTCTCGGGAGAGTTCGGACATTTCGCAATGGGCAATTTGCATCACGGTCGGGAAACGCAGAAGGGGTGGAGATTGAAGAGCTCGATTGGTCATTGGTACGGGGTTCGCTCAGTATTCAATGGTAACTTTTCGCGCAATTCGACAAGATTTCTCTGAATATATGCGCTCAAATGTGACATGGTGAATATGACCCTGGGTGAGATCCTTGCTTTCTCTGCACTACGATATATAGCTCGCGGCACTGGTAAAGGCGAGCGAGCATGGCAACCAACCATGGGTTGTCAGTACCAGATCTAGTCCCAGGAACGCGGTTGCGGGTAGGAATACGCAGGATACTGCACCAAAGTGGAGCTTGGGAGTACGGTTAAGGTGGCACCTTGGTGGACTCGAGTGGGCCACGCAGGTCCGCCCAGCTCCTTGGCAAGCCTCAACGGAACGAGCAAGTTTTCACCAGTGAGACTATTATCCAGTGAGCATCTGATCTGAACACTGCAAGAATGAACCCTGGAGGACTGCTGCTGCTAATTCAGACTCTGCCTTGTCAAAGGCGGTATCACCAATGCCGTAGCTCAGTAGACCGTCGTGATTAAAATGAATATTCATCCTAGAAAACTAAAAGTGCGTAAAGAAAGGGCATTAAACACTTACCAGACGTTTGTTACAAGCGGCTCCAAAGTGCCAGAGCGGATGTTGTGGCCTCGCTGTAGAATTAATTAGCGTACGGAAAAAAGACGAAGATCTACTACTCTGATAGATAGGGCACGAATCAGTTCGGACAGGTGTCGTCGCCGCTGCCAAAGGTAGCTTGGACATATGCTTGTCAATTAAATGTCGATTCATCACCGTGAAAGGGAGAGGGAAAGACAAGCAAGAGAGGCATACCATCGCAAAATGACATTGAGACTGAAGATCTAGGCGCACAATTAGTATAGTCCTCCCCCTGTAGGTGAAAAATTATTGATGATTAAGAATGGATCAGAAAGGCATGAATGGAATTGAAGAGTTTTCTCGTCATCGGAAAACCGAATAAGACTCGTCATCTGGTAACATCATATCCAAGAAAGTAAGAGAACGGTTGGAGAACGGTTACTTACATCGATAAACCAGGGTAACCGATGCTCCGGTAACCATAATCACATATGTGCTAAAGTCTGTCAGAGAAAGCTCTCCAGCACGTTCATCCACGTGACAGAATGATCGCATATCAGTGGGCGAGGTTTTCTAGGCCTGCCACAATAAGGCATATCCGTCATGAATATTCGGAGCCCAGTGCCATTCATCATAACATGCGGTCGAGGTTGGGGGAAGTATGAAGGTCGCGTACCCGGGGAAACCTGTGTCAACTCCACGTTAGCAAATAGAATGAAAAAGTCTCTTAGCTAGACTAGGAATATGTTCAATCAGAAACAGCCATTGTTTATCGACATTGATGAAATCTCAGTCGGTAATTTCCAGCGTGCAAAAGCACAGATGATCATCATTAGATGCGCAAGGAATGAGCGAAGGGCTGCTTACCAAGAATACAGCAATCTTAGGATGCCATTTCGCGATAGAGAATTCGGTGTTGTGCTCATTAGGCCTACTGAGGGTTAGCTACAGGGGGATTCATTCAGGCGAGACAATATAGAAGGCATTGTGTGCGATCAGACTGACGTGCAAGCAGAATTTTCATTCCTTGAAAGAGGTCAAAGACTCTAGTTTGAAATGCGCTTGTTTCTCATCACGTAGAGACACAAATTAGCGAAAGTAGAAGCTTACTTTGAGAACGAGGGCCGTTATCACCCAACTCCGGTATCCATGCCGGCAGATCCAAAGAGCTTTTGGACGCAGAGATAGGTATGCAGGAGAATATGAGAGGACATCAAACCGACAGAGGCAGAAGACAGAGTAATGGATCAGAGTGCGTGTGGTGGAAAGCTGGTGGTAGAAAGCTGGTCTTGAGAAAGATGAAGTTGCTCGGAGCTCGAAACTAAATTTTCCGTGGCCACTTGGCGCTAGCGTTAGTCAGCTCATTGCACGTGCTATATTGCTTGGCAGAGTCAGGCAGATCCTGCCATGAGCGGGTATTGAGTAGGTATTGAGTAGGTATTGAGTAGGTGAATGAAGGTGAAGTGATATGTGAGTGAATGTTGGATTTGTTTAAGAATGATAAATTGATTGCGTGAGTCCATGGATTGGGTCTCTTTGAATAATGGAGGAAAGTTATTGACACAGGAAATGGCATTATAAATGTCAGCTCAACGACGAGTAACTACGTAAAGTCTGATCACTGTCAACTCTTGAGCACTACGATGTTCTTACAAGCGAGTTGGGAGATGCTTGTCTTTCTTGTCCCGGCTTTGTAGTGCAATCCACTTGGGATTGTGCATCATGGTATATCCTTAATCTGAGTATGCAGCTTTCGTTAGGGAGTCGAAAGCGTCCACATCCGGTGGCCATCGGGTAAACGCTTTGCAGAATGTCCGCCCCTCCGGTTCGATATCGTGCATGGAGGGATTTGATCTGTGGCTGCATGATGTACAACGGCCGTGAAGCTCCAATGAAGATCAAATTTACAGACGACACGACCCCTTGGTCAGGCCCCGCCGAACTTCTTTTTTAAAAGAAGCCATAAATCTGGTACAGGCGGTTAGGAATCTATCTGTGTTTGAAAAGAAGTTCACCTAACGTTTGTGGAGGTCCACAGCCACTTGGATCCCGTCCGCGGCCCGGAAAATGTCGGGGAAAACACATTCCGGAGGGATGAAGCGCCCCGCAGGTTTCCTCATCTATCGTCATTTTTCACAAGCATAACAAAGCAGGAGGTCCCGACGTCAAGCTATGGACATGGCAGCTGTGGCGACACCTGATCTTGAAATTCACTGTTTCAGCTCTCCATCCCCTATTATTGCCTCCAAGCCATCGCACCCGCCGCTGCTCGTGACCCTCAATTCGACTGCCGAGGGCAACATCCTCCAACCAGTGTCGAATCTAAACAAATACCGAAGGTGCTCCGCGTGCCCGACTCTAGCCACCTGAACCCAGGCCTCTAGCTCAAAACACCCTCCGAACTTCCTCTTTGCATTCGCTCATCGCAAACATACTCCTGCACCCTTCACTCTCCCGGTCTCTATCTCACATATTGTCTCGACACATTCAAGATGAACAGCAACGGCAACGGCAACGGCAATGAGCCAGGGGCTGTGGGGTCGGAGAGAATCAACACAGATATTGTGACTCTCACTAGATTCCTCACTGAGGAGCAGACGAAGCACAAGGAGGCCACTGGAGACTTCACGTCAGTATCACGTCGAGAATGTTAGGCGCCTAAGGGCTAACCCAAGAGCTCTGAAGCCTCCTCTGTCACGCCCTCCAATTCGCGTTCAAGAGTATTGCATACTACATCCGAAGAGCGACATTGATCAATGTGCGTGTTAGCACGGTTCCATCGAGATCATGGCTAACTAGCCTCATAGCTGACTGGTCTCGCCGGTTCTTCCAACACCACTGGTGATGATCAAAAGAAGCTTGACGTAATCGGCAACGACCTCTTCATCAGCGCCATGAGGAGCTGTGCGAGGGTGAGGGTGCTCGTCTCCGAAGAAGAAGAGGAGGCCATTATATTCGACGAACACCCTCAGGCTCGTTATGCCGTCGCGTGCGACCCCATCGACGGCTCATCGAATTTAGATGCAGGTGTCTCAGTCGGCACTATTTTTGCCATATACAAGCTACCAGAGGGCGCAAGCGGTACGAAGGAGGATCTGTTGAAGCCTGGCTCGGAGATGGTTGCCTCCGGGTTTACTATGTATGGTGCATCAGCTCAACTCGTAATTACTATGAAAGGTGGACAGGTCAACGGATTCACCTTGGACAACTCCTTCGGCGAGTTCATCTTGACTCACCCTAATATGCGAATCCCCAAGAAGCGCGCCATCTACTCCGTTAACGAAGGCAACAGCCTCTACTGGGAAGACCCGGTGAAGGAATACGTTAATAGCCTCAAATATCCTGTAGAGGGCGGCAAGCCATACAGTGCCAGATACATTGGCTCTATGGTTGCTGATGCTTACCGAACGTTGTTGTATGGAGGCATCTTCGCTTATCCTGCGGACAAGAAGAGCCCGAAGGGCAAACTTCGAATCCTTTACGAATGCGCGCCTATGGCTATGGTCTTTGAGAACGGTATGTCTGAAATTTGATTTTGTGTGTCTCCTACGTTCTGATTCAGCTCTAGCCGGCGGTCTGGCAGTCGACAGCCACATGCGGCGTATGCTGGACGTTGTCCCAGAGCATATTCACGACCGTAGTGGCATATTCCTGGGGAGCGAGGGTGAGGTCCAGAAAGTTATTGACGCGCACAAGAATCACGGAAAATGAGGCTCCGGTGTCTATGAATAACGCCGATTTCGAGTTGCGAAAGGGAAAGTCGATTATTTCCCATGGATGCTATAGGGCGCTCGGTGCATGTTACTAAATCTGATCCGGATACATAGATCTCCAGATTGCTCAGGCAAACAGAAACAGATCCTCTATTCTTGTGGCCATGGCTTGCACTGGGTCCTGTCTGAACATAGCTCTGAACTGGTGTGAATGAAAACAGTCGAATTCCACATTCGCTACGAGCAGCCACGGTGCAGCTGTTCGATGTGTCAACTGTTCTCGACAAGACATTGTGCCTTTCAAACAGCCCATCGCAGTGCATGAAAAACGCCCAGTCTGCGGAGTCAGAAACGGTGTGAGAGTGGTGGGTGTTTAAGCGTGGATGGCACCTATCAATACCATTGATAAATTCGGAAATGGACGATCCAACGAAGAATACGGCATTATTCACCGCTCGTCGACGACGTGAGCGTTGGTCTGATTCCACATTCCTTACGAAGCTTATCCGAGTTCCAGAATGTGGCACGGAGAACGGATGCTATTTATACACAGTGGGGGACAATGTGCCGAACGGTGATTTGCAAATCCGCGCCATCATCGCTGTGAACGTAATATTCCAGTCGAGTGAGAGAGAGCCTCGTGACTTAATTTTTCTTGCAGCTAATCAGGAAGAATCAGACCACGATGTCGGAGATTTCCCAGGAATAAAGGACATCTATATTGCTTTAAAGCACTCTGCGGTTTACGTGTTGCGGCTGTCTCGAACTGGGCATGAAGCCAGACATCGCCCACACTAGCCTGTATTCTTAGCCGCCGACCTTTGAGATCGCCAGGATAGTGCAGCTCCTTCCGGCCCGCTCCCGGTCGTCATTCGTCGAAGCCAGCAAGGATAAGAGTCGCTTTTTGTCGAAATCTCCACACCAAGGCGGCTTTGGGTTAGGTAGTGGCATGTCTCTCGCCCCTGTTCGCCCCCCCCCCCTTCTCGGATCACACTATGTTTGGGCGATGGGGGCCGTGACCAGCGAATAGCGACAGCAGCATCGACATGTTCTATCACAGACTGCGCTCCTTGCCGTACTTTCTTTCTTTCCCCAGACGCAGCATGAGCCAGGATTCGCAACCAGCCCCGGCCGTTGTGGTTGCTTTTGTGGCCTTTCGCGTCCTGTGGTGACCAACATCTCTAGTCCTGCACGTCTGTTCAACATCACCCGCCGTCCTCAGACTGGATTCGTCGTACGAGTCGCAGGAGCCGCTGAAGGCTTCGGCGTCAAGCCATTTTCACAACATCTCTCACCATGTCGTCTGAACATGACTATACCGCCCCGCGCTCTCCTCTGCCTCCACCACCTCCTCCCCCGGCACCCGTTTCTCCTCGACTGCCAGTGCCAGGACAAACTCCCCTCAGGCGCATCGCTGTGCAACCTCCTCTGATCACCACGGCCCTGGCACCGCCTCAAGGAGTGTACCTGCATGCGCAGACTCCTTTGTCCGCGACGTCTTTAAGCGTGCCCTTTTCGCCGTACGCTCCGTCACCATCGACCTATGCCGCCTCTCCTGTCTCCTCACCGATGGCAATGAGGAATTCCTCCTCTGTGCCCTACAATCCTCAACAATGGGGGCGCCATGGACCGGTCGGAGGAGCATACCTGCCTCATTCGACCGCACAAACGCCAACAGTCACGAGTCGGCCGCGTGAAGTGACTGGAATGGAGGGTAATTCAAACTTTCTTTACCTACTTTGTTCTCCCCCAGTCCATAGATTCATATTAGCTACCACTCGCATATCCCGCGAGTTTGTGAAGCTTGGATAACCCGATGCGATCATGAGTTATAAATGCCTTGAATTGATACTAAAGTTGCGTCTGTAGCATCGATGCCCTCCCCTCCCCCACCATATTCGCCCGGCCAAAATCAGAACCTGTCGCAAGCGGTCAATTCCTCTCCTCATATGTCTGGCAACTCCTTCGCGCCTCCTCAGAATCCCCCAACGAGTGCTCAACCGTCGGAATATGTGCCTTCCGCACAATCGCGACCTGTCTCAGGTTTCGATTACAGTCGACCTTCGTCTATGCTCGTGCCCACAAGTGCAACCAGTGTGACTTCGAATCCTCAATTTCCCCCTCCACCACCCAGAAACGGAAAGGAACGGTCGGTTTCGCGTGACAAATCTCATTCTAAGTTTAGCCTCTCGGCCTTTAGGAACAGAGGATCTGACCACAGTCCTGGCCCAAGTGCCATTGAGTCGTTGCGGATCAACACATCAGAAGCCCTTTCACGTCCGCCTGGATCCCCTGGCCCACGGGCTTCTCAAACGTAAGTGGACATCCGAGCACGTATGTGAATTAACGACAAATATGTATAGATTTCTGTCAAGTGCCTTCCCAGAGCGCCGATGGAGTCCAGAATCTCAATCCCCCATTAGGCCACCTGCTTCGCGGCGAGCTGCATCGGCTGGCGCACTTAGTCTTGCGGCAGACGCTAGAACCCCGATAGAGAACTCTCCGGCTCCCCTTCAAGGAAACTGGGCTCAAGCTTTGCCATTACCTCCACCACCACCCGGACCTCCTCCAAGTAGCTCTAGATCACAGAGTCTAGGACCTTCGTCAGAGTCATACGCAAACCGGCAACGTATATTACCTTCTGCTCCTCCAACTCGAAGACCCGGTCTGGGTACATTAACTCCAATCCCACCCACACCAGTAGGTTGGCAAGAAGATCAAGCACAAAGCCGCTCAAGGTCTCCAGCCGCTAGGGGCTTGCAAATAGATACTAGTCCTCAGGCGATTCGTTCGGGACTTCCTCCAGCGCAGACCTCTGAGAGCGAAAATGTCTCAATTTCCTCAGGCCCTACAGCATCCACCTCCAACTCGACCAGCACGCTCTACCGTAGTCCACCGAAACGAGATCCGAGCAGTCGAGGCATTCGTGAACGCCGAAGCGAAAGCCGCGCGGCCCGTGAACGTGTGGAGCCGAATAATAATCCTTGGGCACAAGACATGGAGGCGGCCTCAGCGAAACCTACCGATCTCAATCTCGTGCTTCCAGGAACCCCCGATGCGTCCTTGAGTCGTCGTGGTGCCGTTACTAAGAGTACTCCGCGCAGTGGTGGTATTCGATCACCACGGAATTCCCAGTCGTTGGAAGAACCTGGATCATCGAATTCGACTCCTCGAGTAGACTCTGCCCGGAGAGCCATATCTGGCGCATTTGCACCTACACCACCATTCTCGCCAGGTACGGATAGTTTTGATCATCGTCTCGTCCGAAAAGCTCCAGCAGCAATCCCCCCTAAAGCTCTTCCCACACCTCCTCTCCACTACTTTGGCGATGAGCACGCAATTAGCCTGACAAACACATCAGAGCACGTCAACCGATCTACGTCTCAAACATCCTGTGCTTCGGACTCTAGACCCGAGGAGTCATCAGCCAGCACTCCCAGACCTACTGCCCGCGACAGCTTTGCACAAGCATCAATAGAACGCCATCGCCGGTTCATTGAGAAAGAGATCGCTGCTCAGACAGATCAAGACAGACTGGAGCTCTTTGCCGAATTCATTGTTGCTGAATCGAGACTTCGACGGGATCGCTATTCGGCTGCTTTTGATACCATGGCGTGCGATATCCTAGATCTAACTCGAGATTTGTGGCGATCATACAACAGTAGTACCGGCCGCAGATCAGCAACGCCGAGTGCACAGAGCGTTTCTGTGCCAAGTGGAAGGAGATCACAGGCATCTACGGTTGGAGAGTCACCAGATACACGATTTTCTAATTCTATGCCCACAACAGCCGCCAGCCCTGCCTCATCAGTCACAAACTTCACTCCACACACCGAACCGAACTCACCTTCTAGTGCAACAAGCCAACGAGGCCGTGAGCAGGCGTGGAACAACAACTACCAGCCTTGTCTCTCTCCAATTCCGAGCATGGCCATGAGTACAGTGCCTGACGAAGATTCTCGTGGTAGGTCTGCAAGTCGCTGGTGGGAGGCGAGTACAGATCGAGCGTCATCTGGCCATGGCAGCAGGAGGTTAGCGAGGAGCAAGAGGGAGTCGAAGTACATGGGTCTTCCAAAAGAGGCACGGGAAAGTCTCCAGTGGGAGGATCAAGCTTCACCGGCATACCCAACAGGTTCGAGCAACCAACAAACCTACGGGCCGAACGAATATCCGCCGGAGAAGGTTGGAACTGACGAGGAAGGACAACGATCTTCATCACAATCCTACCAATACTACCCCAGCTCTGTTCCAGCAACGCCAGATCCGCATAAACAGGATGTTTCTAGGCTCGTCACGCTCCCGCCTCCATACCCACGACATCATCCTGCGGTCAACAACAACCACCCCGATCTTGCATCCATTCGAAACAACTTACGAACACTATCCGAACTTGAGGAGGTTAAGATAACTAAGGAAGGCTTTAACGAGAAGACAGGGACGCGTAGGGAACAAGAAAGCACGTCGCTAGCAGATCGAAGAAAAGAGCTTCACTACAACATCCAGGGCAATGTTCGAAATGGCATCATGAGTTTTGCAGATGCGGCTAAAGCGGAGGCAGATTTCGAAGCCCTCGAGAACAAGCGTGCTCAGGATCTTGTACAGAACATATTTGACACATTTCAGACAGAGGTTGCCAATCCGCTTCACGCACTCTTCTGCGAACGTATCACAAAGGTGACAGCATCGATGGACTATCTAAAAGTACGCTTGTCCAACGACGCACAAGTTTCCAATCCGAACCAAACCCAGGAAGAGGGCGACGAACAGCCAGAGTTGCTAGAGATGTTGACATTACTCAAATGGCTATTCGAGGCACGTGAGCAGCTCTACAAAGAAATGTTCGAACTCGAAGATGAACGCAACGACTTGTACAGGGATATCATCGTATTGCCGTACATCCAGACCAAAAACGAGCAGAAAGTCAAGGAAGCGACCGCCTTCTTCCAACGCGACGCACAAGACCGAAAAGTTGTGTTCGAAAAGGAGATCTTAAAGAGATACGAAGACCTGATGAATGTCATCGAGGCGAACGTGACAAGAGGTGTCGAGGCTCAGCTTTCAGCCTTTTGGGACATTGCCCCCGGCCTTCTCACCATCGTCCAGAAGGTACCCCAACGGTTGAATGGCTTTGATATCCTGATCCCACCCCAGGAGTACGAGGAGAACCCGGCCTACCACGACTTTCCGATGCAATATCTCTACTCACTGCTCGCGCATGCGGGCCGATCAGCATACCAGTTCATCGAATCTCAGATAAACCTTCTCTGCCTCCTGCACGAGGTGAAGACGGGGGTCATGACGGCCGGCTCCCGCCTCCTTGAAACGCAGCGCATCCTCGAAGGAGAAGACGGGTCCAGCGTAGATAACGAGATGCGAGCAATCCGCCAAGACGAAGAAGCTAGATTGACAGACGACCTGAAGGACAAAGTGGGCTTGGTGGAGAGCCAGTGGGGTGAGGCTCTCGGCAAGGGCCTGGAAGACTGTAAGACAAGAGTCGAGGTGTTCCTGGTGCACCAGGACGGGTGGGATGACAGTCTGAAGGAATGAATGATTTGTGACGATTTCTTGTGTCGTTTGCATCTATTGTAGCACAGATACCCATTCTTAATCTCTGTTGGATGAACGTTGGGACATTTGGTTGGGTGTTTGGGCCAAATGCAGTTTTGTAGATGAAAATGCCAAATGTGTCAGTATCAATCTTACGATAACATCAGCCAAGCTGGTCGCGCCTTCTGTTACGGACTGGTCGCTCTTTCTCTTGACTCTGCTGCGATGTTGCCAACTCGATCGTGCCTTCCTGCATCGTTATCAACGGCAGCAAGGCGAATCAGAGCACCTGTGTGAAGGCAGTCGCAACGGAGGCTCTGCAACTGCCTGATCTGTTACACAACAGCTGGACGCGCGTTTACATTCACGCGTTCGCTGCATTCGCTGCTCGTTGTTCGCTGCCTACTCTCTTTGCGCAGCTTTATGCAGGCGCTTTGATTCGACGTCTTGGAGGTGAGCGCACAAAGCGGCTTAGCGCGCCAAGCCCAGAGCCTTCGCGCACGACGTTAGTATAAAGGGTGCCAGAATAGTTTTGTCCACCTCTCCAAAGCTTTTACCCCCACAACCACCGCCAGCCCAAACCCCACCGCCCAGTTCGCAATTCCTGCGGGCTGCCTACAAAACAGAAAACACAAAAAAACATCAGAAAATCAGAAAAAAAGCCCGCCCTCCGACGTCACCGCCAACCCGTTCGTCACCACCCAGTCGCTTGCCTCCGACACGTTCTGCCTCCTTCAATCTCCCGGCCCAGCGTGCGCAAAGGACCCTGCTCGCCCACCTGTCTGTCCTCTTGACCTTTAGAATCACTGTTAAACTCGACTGCATCTCTTCGCTGAAGCGTCTTACGTAGCTCAGGTGAGCCCCCAACTTTTTTTTTGCAGAAGCGAGCCTGCATTTGCAACCCTGCTTCTCCCACAAAATTTTGCCCGCCACTGACGCGCGCCCGCCAGATCTACAGCATGTCTTCTGGAGCCGCGAACTCGACCTCTCCTGCCAACGATGGTGCCCCTGACGCCAACGGCACCACCCTGAACACCAACGTCGGCGGCGCTGCTGCCCCAAGCGGCGATATTGCTACTCCCACCTCGGCAGCGCCTGCCGCCCACCAGAACTCAGCTTCCCTGTATGTTGGTGAACTTGACCCCTCCGTCACGGAGGCTATGCTCTTTGAGCTCTTCTCGTCCATCGGCCAGGTTGCCTCTATTCGTGTTTGCCGCGACGCCGTCACCCGCCGCTCTCTCGGTTACGCTTATGTTAACTACAACAGCTCTGAGGACGGCGAGAAGGCCCTCGAGGAGCTCAACTACACCGTCATCAAGGGTAGGCCATGCCGCATCATGTGGTCTCAGCGCGACCCTGCCCTGCGCAAGACTGGCCAGGGCAACGTCTTCATCAAAAACTTGGATGTCGCCATTGACAATAAGGCTCTTCACGATACTTTCGCTGCTTTCGGCAACATTCTCAGCTGCAAGGTCGCGCAGGACGAGATGGGCAACTCCAAGGGCTATGGGTTTGTCCACTACGAGACTGCCGAAGCTGCCACCAATGCCATCAAGCATGTCAACGGTATGCTCCTGAACGAGAAGAAAGTCTTTGTCGGTCACCACATCCCCAAGAAGGATCGTATGAGCAAGTTCGAAGAGATGAAGGCGAACTACACCAATATCTACGTTAAGAATGTCGATCAGGACGCCGGCGACGACGAGTTTCGTGACCTCTTCGAGAAGTACGGCCCCATCACCTCCGCTTCGCTTGCGCACGACGAAACCGGCAAGAGCCGTGGATTCGGCTTCGTCAACTACGTTAAGCACGAAGATGCTGCGGCCGCCGTCGAAGCGCTGAATGACTACGACTTCCGAGGCCAGAAACTTTACGTTGGACGTGCGCAGAAGAAGCACGAACGTGAGGAGGAGCTTCGAAAGCAGTACGAGGCCGCACGTCTCGAGAAGCAGTCCAAGTACCAGGGTGTGAATCTGTACATCAAGAACTTGGATGACGATGTCGACGACGAGAAGCTCCGAGATCTCTTTGCTCCTTTCGGTACTATTACATCCGCCAAAGTCATGCGTGACGCGATGCCTGCCGACCGCTCCGACACACCCTCTGACGAGCAGAAGGAGGAGACAAAGGATGAAGACAAGAAGGAGGGCGAGGATAAGGATGGTGTAAAGGAGAGCTCTGGAGACGAGAAGAAAGAAGAGAAGAAGGACAAGGACAAGGTCACCATCAAGGGCGAGAAGAAGATCCTCGGCAAGAGCAAGGGCTTTGGCTTCGTCTGCTTCAGCAACCCCGATGAGGCGACCAAGGCTGTCACTGAAATGAACCAGAAAATGATCAACGGCAAGCCGCTCTACGTTGCTTTGGCTCAGCGGAAGGACGTTCGCAAGAACCAGCTCGAGGCCACGATCCAGGCTCGCAACCAGCTCCGTATGCAGCAACAGCAACAGCAGCAGTTTGGTGCCATTCCTCAGATGTTCATTGCCCCTGGCCAACAGCCCGTCATGTTTCCTCCTGGCGCACGTGGCCAAATGCCCTTCCCCCAAGTCCTCCCCGGTGGTCAGGGCGGCCGTGGTGCCGGATTCCCTGGCGGTATTCCAGCCCAGCAAGGAGGTCGTGGTGGACCAAATACCCAGCAGATTCCTCCCATGTACATGCCTCCTGGTATGATCCCTGGCGGTTTCCCTAACCCGTACATCAATCCCCAGTACGCTCAGTTGGCTCAAGCCGCTCAGCAAGCTATGGGAGGACGCGGAAACAGCCGAGGTGGACCTATGCCTCCCATGCCCGGTATGCAGCCGCAGATGGCCGGCGTTCCAGGAATCCGTGGAGGCCAGGCAGCGTTCCCGCAGCCCTCCGCCGGTCGCGGTGCTATGGGTGGACGACAAGGTCAGCCCCAGATGCCTGTCTTCCCTCAGCAGCGTCCAGGTCCCGTTCCTGGCCCCGTCCCTGCCAGTGTTGATGTTGGTGGTTTAAGCTCTGCCCCACCACCACAGCAGAAGCAGATGTTGGGCGAGGCACTGTACCCCAAAATCCACGAGATGCAACCCGAGCTGGCAGGCAAGATCACCGGTATGCTCCTCGAGATGGACAACACTGAGTTGATTAACCTGTGAGTAATCTGTCCCAAAATTTCAAATGACTTCTTAATGACTCGCCTTTAGCACCACCGACGACTCTGCTCTTCGTGCTAAGGTCGAGGAGGCTATGAGTGTATACGACGAATACGTCAAGAACAAAGAGGGTGAGGGATCTAAAGAAGATGCTTCCAAAGACGATTCAAAAGAAGACAAGGCCTAATCTTCGCGCAGTCGAATAAGGTCTTCTGCTAACCAGCACAGCGGATCGAATTTGACGACTTCTGTCTCTAGCTTCCTTTGGCGAATGGCGCTCGGCTAACGGTTTTCTTTCTCTCGGCGAATGGCTTTACGACTGATTGCAACACCACCCCCAAAAGTTTTCCCCTGCAGTCCTTTCCTTTCTTCGAGCCTCTCGTTTCTCGACTCAACAACAACTTTTCCAAGGTGAGAGAGAACGATATGGCTGATGGCTGGTTCCCCCCAATTCAACTTTTTATACACTGCCCCTTCCTTAATCGGATGTGGGGTAGTTTCTCGGCCTCGCCGCGACGTCAAGGTTCACACTTTCCCTTTATTTTCCCCTGCAGTGTACTATAGACATTCAGGTCTGCAATCGACCAATCCAATGGTATGGATGAACGGACAAACGGATAGGGAATTCTCCGAGAAACATCGGGGAATTTGCAGACTTGATACCTTACAGTGGGCCCCCGATGGTAGGGTCCCCGCAGCATACTTTCGTCGTTGCAAGAATTGATGGAGTTTTTTTATGGTAGGATGGGAGGGGTGGAGAGTAATGATGGAGAAGTTAATCTGGGGATTAGAAGGATATGGCTTAGTTTAGCTTAGCTTAGCTTAGCTTAGCTTAGCTTTCTGGAATGAGGCGATGGCTGGCTAGCTATGGGGGACGATGTTGCGGCAGTCGATAGTGCGAATACATTTTCAACAAACTTCATGCTCACTCTCATGCTTGCTTGGTGTATGGCAGTGTCATGTGAGGTGTTTTCCGTACGTGTTGGATTGAATTGGAAGCGTATGCCTGCATGTATGTATGCTTGTTCAAATGCAATGGGGTATTAGCATACACTTTGAGTCTACCATGCCTCCCAAAGTACCTGAGGACTATGTATACTCCAAACTCCACGCTTAGGTGACAATCAAAGATAGTCCTCTAATCATCGCCCTTGCCAGCAGCTGGCGCATCCTCTCCCTTGTCATCCTCCTTCTTCCCCACCCCATTCTTCTTCTCGCGATCCTTCTTCAACGCCTCAGCAACCTTCTCATCCTTCTCATCCGCCATCTCATCCCATTCGACATCATACTCATTAGCCACAGCCTTAATTTCTTTCCTTAACGCATTGCCTTCTTCAACCAGCGACTCCCATTTGCGGAGATCGAAACCCTTGGCATTGTAGAGTTTGGACTGGCGACGCGAGATAGTGAAGTTCATGGCGGAGCGATAGGATACTTCGCGGTTGTGGTATAGGAACCAAACGTAGCCCCCAATTAGGGTGGAGAGGCCAACGAGGTACTGTGGATTGAATTTGATCAGTTTCCTGTCCGAGTGAAGATTTGGGATAGGATGGGTTGGATGAAAGAACGAGAGAAGGGCAAAGACGCACCGTAACAGGCTCCATAACGTCCCAGCCTAGATCAGTCTCGAAAGTCAAGCGGTACACTAAGTACCACCAGCCACACAGCACCCCAAAGCCCGCCATAGCAACTCTCTGCGCACCCTTATGCGCAAGACGATCGCATTCCTTCTTAATCTCAGCTATAGAGCTAATCTTCCTACTCGTCTTGCGCAGTCGCATCCTCAAATAGTACGTCCGGTCATTGAAGCTCGGAACTCCAACTCGGATGTCGTTCGGCGCGCCCTCGATTTCCACTGCAAATTCCTGCCCTCGAGCTGCGTCGCGAATGAAGTCTCCAATCTCCGTTGAGCTAGACCAGCGAACGAATTTGCGGGACGCATGTTCACTTGCTGGTGCTTCATGGCCGAGTCCGCTGTAGGATTCCACGCCGCCTTCGCCGTGGCCACCTCGCAATGCCTTGGCTTCTGAGGGACTCTTCCGGTTAAGTTTTCCCGTCCGCTCCGTTTTCCCGTTAATCCGTATCTCATCCACCTTTTCAAAATCCTGTTCGCCAGACCGCTCCCCGAGAGCCTCGGGGTCTTCGGGGACGGGGGTTTCGGCAGGCTTGGAGGTTTCGAGTTCGCCTTGCATAGAGTCTTCGGCACGGAAGTAGACATTTGGGATGCGCTCATTGCCATCTTTCTTGATGGTAGGTAGCTCGGCTTGGATCAGACGTTCTAGGTAGGAGAGCGGCTGTTGGGGGTGAACGAGCAAGGCCAGGGGCTCGAGGTCTTTCCGGTCGGTGTTGGTGTCTTTGGTGGTAAGTGGGAGGACGAGCTTGAGCATACGGGAGGGAGTCGTGAGGAGTTTGCCTAGACGTCATTTCATGTTAACCTCTCCAACCCGCGCTTGCGTAGTACAAGAGTGGTAACATCAGGATCACCTACCCTTAGTCATGGCCCCGGCACTCCTCTGCCGCGCAACTGGCGGTGTATCACTGCCTTCACGGTGCCATGGCGTGCGTATTTGCTTCCCCTTGTCTTCTTCCAACCTCTTTTCGTAGTCTTCCCTTTCCTCCTGTGTTATGTTCTGATTAAGCTCAGCCGCGGGCCGTGCGTTCGAATTGTCGTAACTTCCAGTATCCTTTCGGTGCCCTTGCATCCGTACATGTCGCGTGACTATAAAGCCCCTGAACTGCGCGGCGGCGGGTTTGGTTGAATGGAGCTGGGGGGCTGGACTTTGTGTCAGAAGGTGTTGGCATGGCGAGAATGTTGAGCAGCGCCCGAGAAGATGGAAGGAGGATATCCGAGGCTTCATTACTATTTGAAGATATTGTGCATAGAAGAAATGCAAAAGTTCTTCTACAAGAGAAGATATCCTTGGAAATGAGCTTAGGCAAGCTCCGTTACACAGCGAAGTTTTTAGGAACGTGTTTGTCAGGGCAGCACCTCTACGTCATAGTGACACTAAATTTGTGGCTAGTGCTCTCTGGGTGAACGCCACAGCACGTGATTGGAACCTACTCGCATCGCAGGTTTCCTTTGGCGATCGCATTACTCTTTATCCTTTCTCCCCTTTAGCTTTCAAAGATTACCCATGAACATATCTCAGAGAAGAGCCTTAGTATACCACAATTCTAGCAGTCAACTCGCAATCACTCTCATCCTCTCCTCTCCTCTCCTCTTGATAGCAGCTCTAGCATCCAAATTAACCTCCTATTCACTCAGAGTTGGCAAACAAACACTCCCAAATCACCCCAGGATCCTCACCAAAAAATACAGTACCATCTCACCTGCTCGCTGCGTTTCAGTTCGACCTGCTCTCCCTCTTCTGACCATGTCAGATTTTCCAGCAATAGGACAAGCTCCCGAAGCGAGGAGGCTGTCCAACCACACGTCAAGCAACATTACCAGATGCGTCAAATTCTCCGCCAACGTACCCAGGTACCGGCATCTTGCGTCGTGCAGTGTAAATTAATAACCGCTTGGGAGTCCTGGAAATTTTCCGTGAAGGCCTTGAATTTTCCAGGCCCACATCCAGCGCTGATGTGAAGTATATGCTGTCTGGTAAAGAAAGCATGCGAGACATTGAACGTTTGCGGGAAGCAAGATTTGAGTTTATAGTTTGTTGTTAAAGTCTTCGAAGTAAACAAGCGCATGCAACGCCCTACTTTGAGATAAGGCTCAGCTCTACACCTCCCAGGATAATGCCCACAATATTGCCAAGGGCAGGCTTAAGATCTACGCCTAGTTCCAAGATGCCGAAAACCAGCGCAGGGGTCAGGAGTCTTTGGGGAGATTTTCCTTCCAATAACTCACCATATAGCGATCTTCAGAGCCAGGAGAGCTAAGTACCCGGATTTCTTAATCTCAACGCGCCGTGGTGTATATTGCGGCTTCTGCGTGGCGTCCATGTCTCGCCGAAAACATGGCCACACGGAACTCTGAATAGCTTCATCTCCGCGTTTCTAGGTACGCGGGTGGCCGATCACTAGGTCTGGATATTGCACGGCATGGAAGGAGGAGTTGAGAGTTCCGGGCGTTGATAGCGAATCCGAGAGAAGGAAGTATAAAGGTGGAGCGGGAGGTTCAGAAAACTAGATCTCCCACGCTCGAAGATTCTCTCTAGAAGCTCAAGCATTTCCTTTCATTGATACCTCTTGGTTCAACTATTTTTCAAGATGTACTCTAAAGCTCTTCTCGCAGCGTCTCTGGCCGGACTGGCTACTTCAGCCACCACCAATACCAACCTTCAGACTACTTTCCCATCAGCTTCTGGAACTACTAACTTGGCTGCCGTCAAAACTATTGCCGCTGGAGCTTCTTTCGATGGAGGGATGAAGCAGTGGGATCGCAATCGTAAGTCTCCCTTCACTCATAACGACCTACTACGCCCTTTCAAGAAAATACTCTCTTTTATAATTGTTTAACTTTTCGACCTCACTTCCGATACTCACACCCACTAGCGAGCACATGCAACGAACAAGCCGAAGGTGGCGATGCTGATGCCGTCTTCCTCCTCCAAAGCGGTGCCACCCTCTCCAATGCCATCATCGGCGCCAACAACGGCGAAGGAGTCCACTGCCTTGGAACCTGCACCCTAAACAATGTCTGGTGGACCGACGTCTGCGAAGACGCTGCAACCTTCAAGCAATCCTCGGGAACATCGTACGTCAATGGCGGAGGTGCCCGTAATGCCGACGACAAGGTGCTGCAGCACAACGGAGGCGGAACCGTCGCCGTGAAGAACTTCTTCGCTCAAAATGTCGGGAAGGTGTATCGTAGTTGTGGAAACTGCGATACACAGTATGCAAGGTCGTCCACGTTTACGAATATTCGGGTGGATGGCGCGGATGTGGTTGCGGGGGTTAATGGGAATGAGGGAGGTAAGTAATGTCGAAATTCCTCCGTCCTACCTATCCACTTCGGGCAGAAGTACCCCATCGAACCGAGACATGCTAATGGTACGTACGGTATGGCAGATAAAACTACAATCTCAAATTCATGTCTCTTGAACAGCAAGATTTGCTGGCTTTACAAGGGTAATGATGACGGTGATGAGCCCACCAAGACGGCTTCTGCACCTGATGGCGTTGTGTGCGCGACCAGCGCTGTTAAGACGAGTGGATGCTGATCAATCGGTGTCTGCTGGAGCTCGTTGGAAGAGGTAGGCCGCTGCGCAACGGTGGGGGGAATAAGGGCTTGAAAGAAAGTGAGGACAAAATTGTTTTCTAGTTAGGATTCTGGGGTTCGCTTCGAAGGATATATTCTTCCCTTATACAAAATTCTGCAAAGGAGCTCTTCATGACGTCTTCATTAGACGACATCTGTGCGACTGGCTAGTATTCACGACTCTACAGCTTCCAGAGTTGAGATATATTTATTTAGTGCGTTCAGGCCTCTCAAACACCTCCACTTAGCTGTATAGCATGTACGGAATTCCAAATAAGACGAGGATGCAAATGGTCTCAACTAAGCAGCGCTAACGGTCGGGGAGCTACTAGCTTTTATACAACATGTTCGCTCCTTCCTGTCTTTGAAATCTCTTTTAGAATTTCCACTCATATCATCAAGGTAGCCATTAACTTCATCCTTCGATTTACATTTCAAACTCGTCAACAATAATATCTATCGATAGAGTCCTGCTAATCAGTGGAGAAAGAAGAAACATCCTGGCTTCGAGGCATGAAATGTCAATCGCTCATTTTTCATCGCACAGTCGCAACGGGCTTTCCGACACCGGAACTTTATTAAGAATACTCATCGTAGAGTTTGAAGCGTAGAGCAGCCTATAGAGGACATTCTTCTTAGTTCTGGAGTAAATGTCAAGTTAAAAATGTCGTAGAATGGGGCCGAAGTCGCACGAGTGTAAGTCCAAACATCTGGCACCAAAGGGAGGGTAGGTCTTCTCTATCAACGCGTGGCGAGGAAGATAATTTTAAACCTTTGTCTTATGTACCTAGGAATTGATTCAGGGAGCGAGATCCCCCGAGATCTGTGACACTGACGAACCATGCGCTACTGTTGTAGGTAATCCAGTTTCTAAGACGTGCAAAAATAGTGGTGACCTACGCAGATAATGCGAATTGTAAAATTCTTGGCCCACCCATAGAAATGAACTCATTGAAGTCCATCTACTTTGCATACCCCGATTGAATCCAATACGTGGAAGGACAAGACAACATTGGTATGACTATGGTGTGTAGCGGTGTGGAAGAGCTGCGGGCTACATTATAAGATCCAGGAAGCCCTACAAGTATAAATATGTCTATATATCCAAATATCACCTTAAAAAGGTAACAAGAGTCTCCAAGATATCTGACCGTCTTTTGAGCTGTCCCACAGGCTTGTGGTGCCTTCTCAGAGCAAAAGACCCTAGTTTGCTACTTTAGTAGATTAAGGTAGGAACTCTTATAGGTCATGAGATGTGCTGTAAGCAGGACTAGAAGCCGAACTATCCAAATAAGATCTTGTAAATCCGAGGGCTCTATGATTCACTGCCCGATCAACCCTGGGCTTGGCGTCCCACAATGCTATATACTATATAGCACCTCAGCCCCTCAATCCACAATACGTCACTTCTAACCAAACTCATGCCCCCTACAAGGCTACAGTCTCTACGACTACATATTACTTGGAAACTGATTAGAAGAAGTAGGGAGTTGGCTATTCACTCGACACTTGCAAGAATTTTTAAGGTCTAGGTCTATTTTATTTCCCACTGTGATACAGATTAACGTATTATATCTGTCTAGCAGTTGGTGGGGGCCTTGAAAGAGGGAAAGGGAGCTGATTGGATGATATGGAGAGCCTAGAGAACACGCCAAGCTAAGTGATTAGCCTCTGGCCTGGGCCTGGACCTGGGCTTGTGACTATGGGTAACCGCCGGATGATCAATAATTCGACGCCCTTGAGTGGTAAATCTCTCTGACGGCGTTTGATTACCCCATCAGGTTATTAGTGAGACCGATTACGCTCTTCTACTGTGGGAGTGACTTCCATGGACAAGCACATATATACGTTACATAGCTAGAGATCTCTCACGAAAGGAGTTTCCAGGTCCAAGTTCCTCTTATTCCTAAACCAAGCTATCAGCTAACCCATCAGAGCAAAGAGGCAGGTAAGCTGCGTAGTAAGATGTTACCTAAGAACAAGCGGTTAGTTATAGGCGGCAATTAGAGTGTTCGATTGGCCCTGGCAAGCACTTTTTAACACCGAGATACATTTCAATTCGCCCTAAGTGCTTCGTTGACATACTCCTGAATATTCCGTCCCGCCTCTAACTCTTCTACTATCTTTGCGTGGGGGGAACCTCTGGGGTATACTTTGCTTGGTATGGCTCAAAATAGAAGCTATATGCAAGCGACATATGTAAGGACGGGGCTCCACAATCAAAATACGAATAATCAACCAACGGTTGATTCGCGTGCAGAATAGTAAATATGCCTTAAGGTAGAGATCCTACGAAACTATAGCAAGGAATTTGACATCTAAGTACTTTCCAATTCACCCCAAAGTACATTATTGACATACTAAGCTCTCTTAACTCTCTTCTTTGGATCTTCAACCATATCTTTGCTGGGAAGGGTGGAGTTTGGGCTGGTCCTTGGAAGCGCACTTAGAAAATAATTTTTAAAAAGTAACAGTCACAGATAGCAGAATAATTATCTATGAAGCTCAAGGAAGGATTTCTTGCATCTAGCTAGGTTTCAATTCACCCCTTGTACATCATTAACACGCTCACCTCTAGAGCTCTCCTGCGACATTTTCGTGATCTTCTTCATGAGGGAGGAGCTTTGAAGAGATATAGGTAGTTGGATACTACCTGGAAGGCAGCAGTTATGGATAGATAGGATGCTATTCACTAAACCCTAGCAAGGGTTATTATCCCCAGCTACGTTTTAACTTGCTTCGAAAGCCTACGCTTGGCCAACTCATCCTTCAATGCCATTATATTTCCCCTCTACTCGGTTCTTGGCTTGGAGTAACTTCGAAGATGCATAGGTAATAAGATGTCACCTAAAAGGCGGCAGTGAGAGGCAGTAAGGAGACTATATATAAGGTTGTGGTAAAAAGTTTTAGCTCCAGCTGCCTTCCAATTCACTCCTAAACCTCTACTTAATCTACCCATACGTCTACGCTCTCTTCCCACTGCTTTACTCTCTTCTTGGCGCGGAGGAACTTTGAAGCAGCATAGTTGATTAAATATATCACTTGGTAAGGAGCAGTCACAGACAGTAAGTAGAGCGGTCAGAAAGTTATGGCAAGGACTTTGGTATCTAGCCACACCCCCCACCCCACAAATTCCCTATCGCCATTCCCCCTCACCCTACCTCTTCCCCTTCACCATCTCTCCCACATCCTCCACCCTCCTCTTCACGTGATGAAACTCCGCATCCCGATTACTCTCACCCTTCCATTCTTGGACACCCATCGACATCTCCCTGATGCCCACCTGAACTCCAGCCGCCGGGATTTCTCGTAGTAGCGGGAGTCCAGAGATACGGCCTCCCCGAAGCGCTCAGCGGCGCTCTAGGACAACTTCTAGCTCCTTGAGCCCAGAGAGCTGCTTGGCCATCATCAAGGAGATGTCAGTGGTTTCGATGCCCCCTTGGCTCTGGGTTTTATACCAGAGCGTTACCTTCTCAATCATCGCCCTTCGGGAGGCGCCTAGGACCTGTATGAACGCCATGAGCTGTGCTGGGTAGTAGAACACGAATTCGTTGGTGGCGTAGTAGATTCCGGTCGCCTCCTGGGAGATCTACTGACAGGTATCCAGGAGGGCCAGAGAGGGGGATGGCGCGGCGCTCGGACGGTATTTGCGGTCGGCGGCGAGGTTCGTGCCGGGACGGCAGTGGGAACTGGGGTGGCGGGTCGATGGATTGATCTTCCCTCGATGAATCAGTGCGAAACGGTATATCTGGTTGCGTAGCTCCGCTGGGAGGTCTAAGAAGCGGAAGGCCGGCGCATGGGGGTGGATTGCGGCGACTGCGATGTTGGATACGGGCGTGTGCGTGCGTTTGAGTGACCGCTTTGGGTCCTTTGGACGCATCATCTCTTTCGCCACGATTGTGTCGAGGACACCGACGGGAATAGGACCAGTGGTGCGGAGAGCATATACTTTGTCGTCCTTGCTGCCGTGGATCAGAGGCGTGAATGTGACTTTAGGAACGCGGACAGCACGAAGGGCATCCATTCCAGGGACACGGAGGACAAGGAGATTTAGTTGAAAGCTAATATCTTGCGGATGCATTTCGCACTTCTGGAAGCCCTCAGAGGTGTTGGACATGTACTCGACCAAGCTGCGTTCGTTTATTCCGATAGTGAGCTCGTTGAGGTTTTCGAAGGGCTTGAGCCAGCTGACGACGCGAATGAGGAACTTGCTGTCGAGGTCCAAGCCGAGTTTGCGGATGACTTTCGTAGCTTTCTTGTTCTTGGACGCAAAATCCTCGAGGATCTCGGGGTACTTGAAGTGAAAGGTGTTTTCAGAGAAGTAGATTCTCATGCCCATGTTGGTGAGACGGGGGTCGGTATGGATGACCTCTGGGACCTCGTGTGGCTCGTAGAGAGTAGCCGGGACGTTGATAGGGTTGGAATCAACAAGTACATAGCGAAGAACGCACTCGCGTGTCTTGTCGCCGAGGTCAAAGAAGCCAGTTCCTTTGGTGGGCATCGTCATGTCCTCGTCAACATTATTTCCAGCGCACTTGTGAGTAGTCGGGCTTCGGAAGAACTCGCTGAGAGCCAGAGAGTCAAGATTTGGGAACATGCGCTTTAGGAGAGCCCGATACTCAACGGCGGCGGCTTTCCTGTCTGCAACGGCGCCACTGGGAGCACTACCGTCGCCGGGACGGCCGGGGACACGAATATGCATGACTGGAGACATCTTCGTAAAGACTGGAGTGTTCAAGAGAGACGAAGGGGGTGTAAACAAGGACTGCCTAAGGTCGGGAGACGACGAGATGTGACACGAATGTTGAGGTTGAGGGAGAAGACGCAGAGAAGTCTCTCCTGAGTGCTTAGGAGGTACAAAAGAGGTACAAAAGAGCGCTGTCAAGGTTAAAAGACGATGAAACGTGATGGGGGTGTTGCGTGTGAGGATGAGGACACAGGGAATTCTCTTCTAAGTGGAGTTTAAAGGGGTATCAAGCAAGATCTTTCACCTTCGAGCGGTGTACTCTTTCCTCCTCCTTAAGGAGTGAATATTGGGCGATTTACCATCACCGCCTTCCCATCTTCGCCGAATGCAAAGGTGCAGCAGTTTTGTCAGGTCAGGACACCAAATCTCATGTAGCATTCATTTAACACTTCAGCCAGGAAAGCTCACGATAGTTTCATGGTGTTGAGCGTACAGCCATGGAAGCCCTTGCAAACTCGAACAGAGGCAAACCGGGATTTGGCGACGCACGGTCCATCACCCAAAGCGGATTCTCGCCGTGTCTGTCCGGGTCGTGTAAAGTCGACTTGCAGTTCTGCAGCAGCATTAGTGGTCGTTGAGCTAGCTGCCGGTAAAGAAGGTTAAGATGCAAGTTCTCCTCTTTATGTTTTGAGAGTCGGTCCCTTGATTGTTTCGTTTGTTTCAACATTCTACTTTCCCTCGTTCCGTTTAGCCATCGACCAATTCTGGTTGCTCGCCCTAGCTCCGGGATCTTGACAAGATAGCATTTGCAATCTCTCGTCATCAATCGATTGGGGCTTTCCAACAGACCGTACCATCTGATAAATAAGAGGCGAATCCCTTGCTGATGGTTGGGCACAGGCCGGTAGCCTCCGCCGTCCGCATCTCAGCGCTGACGATATGGCAAGCTACAAGCTACCCAATTTTCTTGGGAGAAAAAAAAAACGGGAGGGATCACTGAAGCATGATCGTTCGTGGAAACGGGCAAGATGCAGACCCCTCTCCAGCCTTTATGCCGTTGCAAATAGCCCATTTCCCGGCCTGTCCCAGACGTGCCTCATCGGCCGGCTCCTTCGAGCTCGTATCCCACCATCGCAAACAGGGGAAAACAGCCGAGGAGACCAATCCCCTGCACTTGCTCCGCTGTCTTGGCTTCCCTAACTAACCCTGACTTAAGAGTTGATCCAGAGAAACACACTCAGGATTGGACAGTATCTCGCGGCAAGACCGCAAAGCCAAGAACAGCGATGCAAACCCTTATCTCGTGGTGTGGGATACTACACATCCACCACGAAGTCGGGATTGAAGCTTAAAGAGACTGTCCGTCAGGCAGGATTTTCCGCAGTCGCAAATCCTAACAACACCCTCACGCACTTTTGGACAATTGCTTGTAGCAAATTGACCAAGATGGGTTGGATTCATAACACAAATCTCAAGATCGCCCAGTCACCTGTGGGCAGATACTTCAGACTCGATGGCTCCGGCCATGTATGTTCGACATGCCAAACATCCGAGATGTATACTGACTGTTTCTGAAGCCCAAGGAACGAAAGGGAAGCTACTTTTTCACCGAGATTCGGGCTGGATTGGCTACCTTCTTTGCCATGGCCTACATTATCAGCGTCAATGCATCCATCACCTCTCAGTCTGGCGGTACTTGTGTTTGCCCACCGACGAGCACCGACCTCTGCGATACTGACACTGAGTATCTTTTGTGCCTTCAAGAGGTAAATCGGGATCTTGTTACTGCCACTGCCGCGATCGCTGCCTTGACTAGCTTCTGCATGGGTTTATTTGCCAATATGCCTATTGCCTGTATGCATCCGTTATCCTCCGAAAAGGGAAATTTCAGCTTACTTGTCTAGTGGCTCCGGGTATGGGATTAAACGCATATTTCGCATACACGGTCGTAGGGTACCATGGAAGCGGATTGGTCCCGTACGAAGTTGCACTGACTGCTGTCTTTGTCGAGGGTTTCGTTTTCGTAGCACTCACTATCCTTGGAATCCGGCAGTGGCTTGCTAGAGCTATCCCTGCTTCAATCAAACTTTCTACTGGTGTAGGCATTGGCTTATATCTCACGATCATCGGGCTGACTTATTCCGCTGGTATTGGAGCTATCACAGGTGCTCAAGCCACGCCCCTTGAGCTGGCTGGTTGTGCACCTGAATTTCTTACTGAGGAAGGCGTTTGCCCCAATAGCGAGAAGATGAGGAATCCTACCATGTGGCTTGGTATGTATACTTCCCTAGTGTGGGATCTAACATCGATGCTAACATTGGCTTGTAGGCATTTTCCTTGGTGGTTTCCTTACAATTTGTCTAATGATGTATCGCGTAAAGGGCGCAATCATCTTCGGTATCCTGCTCGTCTCCATAATCTCCTGGCCACGTCCTACGCCCGTCACTTACTTCCCCTACACCCCGCTTGGCAACAGCTCCTTTGACTTCTTTAAGAAGGTAAGAATACTGCAGATCCCCACAAACTACTCTACTCTATATTGATTTAAACAGGTCGTCGCCTTCCATCCAATCGGCAAAATCCTCGCTGTCCAACGCTGGGACGTCTCTGGATACGGCGGCCAATTCGGCCTCGCATTCATCACCTTCCTGTATGTCGACATCCTCGACTGCACCGGTACACTCTACTCCATGGCGCGCTTCTGTGGCGCCATTGACGAGCGCACGCAAGATTTCGAAGGTTCAGCGGTTGCCTATCTAGTCGACGCTTTCGGTATCTCTATCGGATCGCTAATGGGCTCGCCACCTGTTACAGCGTACATCGAATCTGGTGCGGGGATTTCGGAGGGCGGGAAGACCGGGCTTACGGCGATGTGCAGCGGGCTGGCTTTTTTCATCTCAATCTTTTTTGCGCCAATATTTGCATCGATTCCGCCGTGGGCGACCGGGTGTACATTGATTATTGTTGGTATGTTACTGCTTTTGCTTATAGGAAGTGAATTGAGAGGATGGAGACGATTGACGATGTCCTAGGTTCGCTTATGGCACAAGCCGCCAAAGACATCAACTGGCGCTACATGGGCGACGCCATTCCCGCCTTCCTGACCATCGCCGTTATGCCCTTCACCTACAGCATTGCGTACGGTCTCATCGTCGGCATCCTCAGCTATACTCTCATCAACACGATTGTGTACGTTATTGAGAAGGCATCAGGTGGCCGCATTGTACCGCCCAATAAGCACGAGAAGGAGCCTTGGACTTGGAGGATTCCGGGCGGTGTGCTGCCTGGATGGCTTACGCGTGCTGCAAGGGGTAAGAAGGATTTCTGGAAGGGAGACGAGCAGACTACTGGGATTGAGGAGGTGGTCGAGAGGAAGTCGGAGGCGAGTTCTGGGGCTGGGAGGGTTGGGGAGGCAGAAGTGGTTAAGGGGGAAAGGCCTGAGAAGGCGGCTTGAAAATGGGAAATGGAGGGGTTTATGGGATTTGGAAGCAGAGTGAGTTCGACTAAGTGCTCGTCACATAGCTCAGTAATATGTAACATGTCGTCATTAATGTGAAGATTTCTCTGAAATCTGACAGCTTCTCTAAACCTTTTCCCTCCGCTACTAGAGAGAGCTAGCGTTATAGGCCTCGTAGCCCACTCCATTCATGAAGCAGGCTGGGGATGAGAGCAGTATGCCTAGCAAACAGATGCCTTACTAGGCTTGCTCATTAGACGGACTCCTACAAAAAGACCTTAGCGTCCACCGTAAAACAGCGTACATTGCAATAATCTCACTTCTTCTTGGGGCGGAGAATCGGCACTCCTAGATTCAACGCACATTTCCGTGGCACGAGATTCGGGATAGCCTCTCGCGGCTTCTTCGGGGCATCAGTCTTGGGCTTAACTGTAGGCCGAACCCGAGGCTCTCCAGAGAAAGTATGCGGCCCCGCAGGAGTCCGCCGTGGACCCGTCGCAAATTCCTTATGCGAATCATCAAGGTAGGCAGGCCGGCCACGGTTCTTGCGATCCTGCTTGATGTTTCCCAGGTGGTCGAAGTCCCAGGGCCAATATTTGCGCAGCTCGACTTTGTTGTAGGCTTTAGAGCAGAATATCGTGTAGCAGGCTTTATCGTCGAGATATATGTAATGTGGAGGCTCAGCCAGGCTGCCACGTTGGACTGGAAGGGGGATGTCGCCCGCGAACAGCTTCCAGGTTGGGTGGCCGCGGAGTGTGTTGATGGAGCGGTGGACGGTGTGGCTGCTCGGGTCGCCGTCGCCGTCACCGGGCTTCCAGAGGGTACGGGGGCGGACGCCGTCGGAGATCATTTTGGGGAGCGAGATATTAGAATGCACCATGGTTTACTGTTGGGGGAGGTGGCAGGTGCGTTTTGAAGACATGAGATGGAGTCTTAAAAACTGTAGGCAGGTGACAAAACAGGCGGAAAATTACATTCACGACTGCCTGAACTTGGTTGGCCTAGCAGCGCCTCCCTCTTCATTTGAAAGCATTGCAGATTGAAAATCAGTTCTCATGGACTGACTTGATCGCCACCGGACCTGCCCATGCTGGACCGATGCAATAGAGATGATGACCCACGTATTCTAAGAGCAGAAAGCTCTACTCACGGCAAAAGACAATTGACCAAGGGAGTGTGTTTTCTGTGAATGCTGAAGGGTCACGATGATGAGCAATGTTTGACTGTGATGGTGCTGACCAGTGAAAGTGGAGTTGAAGTTGATGATGACTTGGATCCGAGCTGCAGCCAATCAGATGTGTCGCGCCAAGCCTTGCCAGACATCCGACAACCTCACCATCACCACCTCAAAGCGCCAGTCGAACGCCAACCACGCCCCAAAGGGAGCCCCCAGAGCGTCAATTGCCCGAACCTCACTTGATATTGCGGCCATGATGCTCGCGCGACATGCACCCGCTCCGCAAACGCTGAGCGTCATCTCCCATCGCGTCCTTCCTACAGCTTGTGCAGCTTCACGCCTCTCGACCGCCGCCACCCCGTCTCGGCCACAGAGGAGGAATTTGGCAACAGTGCAGGATGCGCCGAAAAAGGTCCATGGCGGACTAAAGGATCAAGACAGGATCTTCCAGAATCTTTATGGCCATCATGGTGCAGATCTGAAAAGTGCCATGAAGTATGGTGACTGGCACAAAACGAAAGAGATTATTCTGAAGGGCCATGACTGGGTGCGTATGGGAATATATAGGGATATAAACTGGGATTAACAATTTAAAGATTATTTCCGAGATCAAGGCTTCGGGACTGCGAGGCCGAGGTGGCGCTGGTTTCCCCTCGGGTCTGAAATGGGTGGGTGGATTCAATCGACCATTGGCTTGTTCTACTACTGACGGTACAATAGTCGTTCATGAACTTCAAAGATTGGGATAAGGACACTAAGCCTCGCTACCTGGTCGTCAACGCTGATGAGGGAGAGCCTGGAACATGCAAAGATCGTGAGATCATGCGCAAGGACCCACATAAACTGGTTGAAGGCTGTCTCGTCGCCGGCCGTGCGATGAATGCCACTGCTGCCTACATTTATATCCGAGGAGAGTTCTATCACGAGGCTACCGTCCTTCAACGTGCTATCCAAGAAGCATACCAAGCTGGATTGATTGGCAAGAATGCCTGTGGGTCTGGATATGACTTTGATGTATACATCCACCGAGGAATGGGTGCATACGTGTGCGGAGAAGAGACATCTCTCATCGAATCCCTGGAAGGAAAACCTGGAAAGCCTCGCCTGAAGCCACCATTCCCTGCTGCTGTTGGTCTTTTCGGATGCCCCTCCACTGTCGCCAATGTTGAAACCATTGCTGTTGCTCCCACCATCTGCCGACGAGGGGGTAGCTGGTTTGCGTCTTTTGGGCGCGAACGCAACTCTGGCACGAAACTCTTCTGTATTTCTGGTCACGTCAACAACCCTTGCACGGTCGAAGAGGAGATGAGCATTCCCCTCCGAGAGCTAATTGACAAGCATTGTGGTGGTGTACGTGGAGGGTGGGATAACTTGAAGGCTATCATTCCTGGTGGCTCATCAACACCTATCCTCCCTGCTCATCTCTGCAATGACCAGCTTATGGACTTTGATGCTCTCAAGGATTCTCAGTCCGGTCTTGGAACCGCTGCCGTCATCGTTATGGATAAGTCTACTGATGTCGTCCGCGCCATCACCCGTCTCGCTAAGTTCTACCACCACGAGTCATGTGGCCAATGCACACCGTGCAGAGAAGGTTCAAAGTGGACACATCAAATCATGCAGCGCTTTGAAAAGGGCATGGCAAGAGAACGGGAAATTGACATGCTCCAAGAGCTTACGAAACAGGTCGAGGGCCACACCATCTGCGCTCTTGGCGAGGCTTTTGCCTGGCCTTTGCAGGGCCTGATTAGGCATTTTAGACCCGAGTTGGAGGCACGGGTGAGAGATTACGCAGCGAAGTCTGGAGGAGAGGCGCTGGCTGGAGGATGGGCACATGATGCAAGCAAGAAAGGGCAGTTGATCTCGCCAGGACAGTAAAGGATGAAACGAGTTTGGAACTGTACAATTTTCGTTTTGCTTTTTTTTCTGGTCTCGTCACTGAATTGTTCATATTATATCTTCAGTGAGAATGACTTCAAAATTGCGCTCAAGCTATCGTCCATGAAATACCTGCATCCCAAGATACAGAGCACTGAAGACTATGGTATCTCCGTACTAACGCCTTCATGAAAACCAAACCCTGCGTTTTTATCCAGTTCACCGGGTACCAAAATAAGCCAAGCTATCACACAATACCTTTAACAAGCATCCAACGCCACGCCGAACCAATCCAGAAATGCATCAAAAGCACAAATGGCTTTGCAGCCAAACGTTACGTTACGTTAGCCCAAGCAGATGTTTATGAACTCCTCCCTACTGATCGCGCCATCAGCATCCATGTCAAATTCTTCAATCATAGCCACTAGCTCATCCTCTTGCAACCCCTCTCCCAATTCCCTCGCCACCCGCCGCAAATCCTGCAGCGTAATCTTGCCCTTCCCTCCCTCATCAAAAAGATCGAATGCGCGTATAATCTCCTCCGTTGGATCGCGGGATAGTATCCGCGAGGCCATGAGCGTCTGGAAGGTGTGGAAGGGTAGTAGAAGGCGCGGGGGAGCTTGGTAGGCTTGTTGCGCGGCCTGCTTCGCTTTGGAGCCTGTGGGCTGGGGTTGGTTCGGGGCGTTGGTAGCTTGGATCCCGTGTGTGTTGAGAATGGAGACGATTTCTTGTTTTGGGAGATCAAAGCCTAGGGCTTTCATGGCGACTTTAAGCTCGTGGTAGTCGATGTATTGGTCTTTGTCTAGGTCGAAGAGGTTGAACTGATACCCAGGTCATATTAGCCTCCGAATGTATGCACGCCCGCTCTTTCGACACAACACGAACCGAGACGGGACAGGACGATGGACTTGATCTGACATACAGCTTCAGTAATCTCCTCTCTTTGCTCTTCACTTAGTTCTGCGAGACTGTTCTGCCCCACCTGCTCCATCCTCTCGCGATCCTCTCGCGCTTTCCGATCGCGTTCTAACCGCTCGGCTTCTAGTCTCTGCTGCGTTTTCGCCGTGCTGCTGAATGCAGCCGCCGGAGTGTTGAAGCTGGGTTGTGCGGCGCCCGATGCGCCTGCGCGACCGAGACCGTAGCGTGGTCCTAGGCCCGGGTTATTGGAGGATGTGGCCATTGAAGTCGCGGGTTAAGTTGTGGTTCCCGGAAAGTAGACCAGGAGATTGCCGTCAGTGTTGGCAGTGTCAGAGTGGAGTGTTTAAGATAGTGACGGGAGGCTGTGATAGGGTTTGGAGTTGGAGCTGGAGATTCTTTGTTTGGAGGAGATTGTTGGAATTGGGGATTCGTGCTGGCTTCGGACGCGTTCGCGCGATGCTGGTGAAAAGCTTAGCGCCTCGGCTGAAAGGTGGGACGCTAGGACGGGTTAGGTTGGATATGCAACCTTCCAGGCCAAATTGTTACTCTTGAGCGGGAGACATGCTCTATGAAGATACTAAGTCGTGTTCGCAAGGCGGGAGCTCGCCCCTTCCTAGCAGCCAAAATCTGCCAGATTGCACCGAGCTTCAGGCAATGCCTGACAGCTGCCTGGCGTCACTCGCGTAAATGAGAAGCTTTCTGGTAGCCAACCAAAGCAAGACCCGATGAGCATCTTCTGTCCAGACTAAACGTGTTTCAAGACTTGGAAAATGGTCAGTTTCCTGGGGCTTAGAGGGCCTGATCTAGCCAGGCAGCACTAGGTAGCTCTAGGAAACCATGGAGGCAGCCAAAGTGACAGCACAATGCAAGAACTGCGACATGTCATTGGTAGCCACCAGTGAATGCTTATTCATCTTCGTGTCTAAGAGGAAGTTTGTGCCGTCGCTGTGGACTGCGAGTGTACCACGTGATCAATATATGGTCCGTGCATCCTTGGCATTGGCCGCCCCCCAATCCACGCACTTCTTCGCTCCCTCACCCTCGATGTCTCTCACCCCGTCCCTCCTTCTCTTTCATGACGGCCTTTTCTCTACTTAATCCCCACGCTCTCTGAGCTTCTTGCCACTTTCCTTTTACCCATTGCAGGCGCACCCGACCTCGCTCGCAGTTTTCCCGGTGCCCGTTCTTGGCGCGTTTAATTCGTGGGCTCTACTCAACGCCAACAACTCCATCTCACAAATCCGCATCATCCCACCACACCAGCCTCCACACACCCCATCCTTTTTGCAAATCGCTACTCTTGTATCTGATTACATCGTCACGCGCAACCGCTGGGCATCGCCAGAATGGCTTTTGGGACCGGCAACGGCGGCTTCCAGGGCTTCGGCACGGCCAATAATTCAAACACCTTTGGGAGCGGCGGCGGATTTGGCTCCAACACGAATTCAGGTAAGTACACTCTTTTGGCTTTTTAGCAGAACATGTGATTCCCGCGTTTACCGTCGACGACGCGCCTTCGACGACGAGCGCCACGACCAATTCCGAGTAACGTCTCTAACTCCACTCTCCGCGTATCCAGGCTTCGGCAGCACAAACACGGCCAGCCCTTTTGGTCAGTCAAACACAAACACTGGTGGCAGCCTCTTCGGCGGCAACACCAATACCACGAGCTCCCCCTTCGGAGGTATGTCGAGTCTTTGCGCGTCACCCTCGCGTCGTCTTGTTGGTCATTCTATGGCTACTCTTGGAATCTGCGCGTGCAACAGCTCCGAATGTCGCTGGCAACAATTAGTCGCCGGCGCTGACTTCTCGGCGCTGCGGTCCTCGCTTGGAGCTTGCCGTTGGATGTCTTTTAAAACTTCGTAAACCAATCACTAACTAATTATATTACATTAGGTGGCGGCTTTGGTAGCAACACGAACACCAACACGAGTTTCGGCTCCAAACCTTTCGCTTCCGGCGGTGGTCTCTTCGGCGGTGGCGCCTCCACGTCTGGCTCAACCTTCGGTGGTGGATTTGGCGCAACCGCAAATAACACTTCGACCGGATTTGGTGGGGGAAACACCAGTGGCAGTCTTTTCGGTCAGACCAAGACGGGCTTCGGGACTTCAAATACTGGATCCACTACTTTGTTTGGTGGGCAGAGCAATAGCGGTTTCGGGGCCGCCAACACAACAGGTGGCTTCGGTAACTCAGCACCTGGAGGCTTTGGCGTTGGTGCGACTGCAAATGCTCCAAACAATGGCACCGCAAGCACTCCTTTCAATGCCTTCGTAGAGAAGGATAACTCTGGATCACAGCACTTCCAGACGATCACTTTCCAGGCCCCTTACCAACACTATTCATTGGAGGAGTTAAGGCTGGTGGACTATAACCAGGGCCGGCGGTACGGCAACCAGAACGGTCAGGCAGGAGCTTTCGGCCAGAGCACTGGCTTCGGTGGCTTTGGGCAACCTAATACGAACACTAACACCGGATTTGGCGCAAACACAAATACTAGTGGCAGCTTGTTTGGAAACACTGGCACCACGAACTCTCCCTTCGGTCAGAGCAACACCACAGCCTTCGGTGGCAACACCAACACAACGGGCGGTGGTCTCTTCGGGCAGAACAAGCCTGGGGGCATGTTCGGCTCGACCGCAACAACCCAGCCCGCATCTGGCGGGTTGTTTGGTACCGCCAACACATCTAACACGGGAGGAGCCTTTGGTTCTGGCGCGTTCGGTTCGTCAAATACGGGCGGTGGAATGTTCGGCCAGCAGAACCAGAGTCAAAACAAGCCGTTCGGGTTCGGAGGTAACACGAATACAGCCGCCACTTCCAATCCCTTCGGTTCAACAAACACAACAACGTTTGGACAGTCAGGGAATACTTCTGGAGGGCTTTTCGGCCAACAAAATCAAACCTCGGCCGCACCAGCGTTTGGTTCTTCAACGCAGCAAACTGGCAACACTGGAGGCGGTCTCTTTGGCGGCGGCGCTTTCGGTTCAACTCCACAGAACCAGACTCAGAATCAACCTTCTGGAGGGTTGTTCGGTGGGTTTGGGCAAAATCAGCAAAATCAACAGAAGCCCTCGCTCTTCGGAAACACTGCCAATACTGGGGCAACAGGAGGCCTATTCGGTCAGAGCAACCAGAACCAGCAACAGGGCGGTCTATTCAGCAGCACCAATGCCAACCAAAACCAAGGCTCGAGTCTCTTTGGGCAGAAACCCGCCGCTGCCGGAAGTAGTCTTTTCGGTAGCGCCCCTGCTAACACCGGAAGCACCGGTGGCGGTCTGTTTGGCAGTCTCAACACTCAGAATACCCAACAGAATACTGGAGGGAGTTTGTTCGGTGGACAGAACCAGCAGAAGCCAGGTGGACTCTTTGGTGGCTCTACCAACAATGCCACTGGCGGAGGTGGACTTTTTGGCAGCCTCGGTCAGGGCAACACCAACACCTCTGGTCTCGGCGGATCGCTCTTCGGTGGCCAGAACCAACAGCAGCAGCCTCAACAGTCGACCATGAACAACAGCTTATTCGGCGCCTCAGGGAATTCACTCCTTCAGACTTCCATGAATACTAACCCATATGGGAATGATGCTTTGTTCGCTGGGCTGTCGACCCCTACCCAGAGCCCCGGCCCGCTCGCGACTCCTCTATCCAGCAGCCAGAAGACTCGAAAAAGCGCCATCCTACCACAACACAAGCTCAACCCCTCAGCTTCTACGCGCCTTCTTACCCCTCAGCGGAAGATTGGCGGGGGTGGCTTCGGATTCTCCTACTCTACATACGGGACTCCGAACAGTGCTTCGAGCAATTCCAGCCCCGGCTTTTCTTCCAACTATCTTGGTGGAGGTAGTCTGTCTCGATCCCTTGGGAAGAGCCTCTCCACGAGCAATCTCCGGAATAGCTTTACACCCGAGACAAGCATTCTAGCTCCGGGCGCCTTCTCGACTAACGGTCGGTCTTTTGCCGGTGGCAGCTTGAAGAAGCTTAACATCAATCGTTCTATCAATACCCGGGTGCCTCTGTTCGATGACCCAACGCCTGAGACTCGGAAGCGTGTCAGTTTCGCTGGGGCGACCAATGGCTCTTCTGAGCTGTCCAATGGTACGGCCAACGGAACTGAAGCCAATAGTTCGATGACCGGGCAGCTTATTCTGCGAGAAGAGCCTGAGACAATCTCATCAGCAGAGGGATCTACTTCACAGTTGTCTTCTACCCCTACCCTTAATGGCGACGCACCAAATGGTGTCTCTTCCCGGCCGGAAATGCTGCAGCAAATCAATGGCAATGAACTCACCCCTGTTCCCGAAAATGGCGCGCTGACTCAGCGTACGTCATCCTCATTGAATGCTCAGACTGGCTCCAAATCGGCCGACCCTTCTCCTGGAGCATATTACTCCTCTCCGTCCCTGAATGAGCTTAAGAAGATGAGCCGGAAGCAACTGGAGAGTGTTCCAAATTTTGTCGTTGGTCGTCAGAATATTGGCAGGATCGAGTTTAACCAAGGCCAGCCTGTCGATCTAAGCGGAGTTGACCTGGACAAGCTGTTTGGTGACATTGTACAACTGACTGCTCGCAATGCAACGGTCTATGGCGAGACTGCTTCTGTCCCAAAGCCCGCGTTAGGCACGGGTTTGAACAAGCCGTCTCGAATTGTCCTCGGGAATTCCTGGCCTCGCGGTTACCACAGAAGCAAGCGGGATCCGGACAAGCTGAAGTGCCAGAAGCACATTGAACGTCTAAAGCGCGTCGCAGGTACTAACTACGAACAGTATGTCAAAGAAACGGGAGAATGGATCTTCACGGTTCCTCACTTTAGTTCATACGGTCTAAATTACGACGATTACACTGATGACGACGACGAGGACGAAGAGATGGAGTCAAGCGAGCTCAGCCCTGCTCCAGATACACCAGCGCCGGCCCAGCTCCATTCCAGCCAGCTCACTGGAACCCCTCAGGAAGACTCTTTCGTTAGCCCAACACAATCCAGCCCAGATGATACCTTTGACTTCAAGAAGGGTAAGCGCAAGCGAGCCAGTGTTCCAGGAGGATATGGGGATGAGGTAGCTTACGAGGAAGAGGATGAAGTCGATGAAAGTATGAACACCAACGGCGAGTCTTTTTTAGGGGAACGCTCCGTGGGTTCGCTTGATGGTCAGCATGACACTGACTACTCTTCGGAGAGCGAATCCGAATCGGTTGAAGATCAGGACATGGCGGGTTCTGTTTCCGGACCGGTTCAAACCACGGAGCAACCTACCGCCAGGGAATCCGACCCTTTCAAAGACTCGATTAAGCCAAAGTCAATCTTGAAACCCAGTCAACCACAGCGATCCGTCTTTGGTACTCCCTCCAAGGGTCAGTTAGTCTTCGATGATGATTGGGCAAATCAACTCCAGCGCACTATCAGCCCGAAGAAGCAAGATCGACAGGCCCTTCGAGAGAGTCAAGGCGCTGTTCTTCGTGAATGTGAAGGAAATGTCGGAAATTTGGCAAAATCTCTCAACGGTCAGACGATTGCGACGAGTATTGATCTCATGAATTCTTTATTTGGCGAAATGGACAAGCAGAGCAAGGCTCCATTGAAGCGGATTGGACATGGCATTGAGGTTTGACTTCCCTTTCCCCTAGCATGTTTATTTTCTGGGCGTCATTTGTTGTGGGTTTTCTAAACAAATTGTCGCCCTGGGCGCTCAACGCCCGTGATGTATGTAGCTCAAAATCAAATTGGAACAAGATTTGCTGAAACTTTTCCTTTTCTAGTTGCCTTACCCGAAACGCCCAAAGACATCTCACGATCTCGACGAACTCAGCCAATACGACAGAGACTTCCATTCCTGCAACAAACCACACTTTAGTGGGGTGGGGCAACTCACCTACGCGAACAAAGGCCTCCACTCCCTGGAGGGAGGCATCTATCCTACCACGCAGGAACCCCTCATCGGCGCCCATAAGGACATTCGATTCACTAAGTTGCCTACCTTCCCTGATGCTGCGCCTGCGACCCTTGACACCCAAAAAGAGCATTCCCAAGTTATGGATATGGATGGAGTCCCATCCGCAAAGATTCATTACTCAGAACCTTGCTTAGATTTTGAGGATTTAGTGAAATCGGTCTCGATCGACACACCAGCCGGGATTCATGAGCACAAGGCTTGGCGACTTCTTACCCTTCTCTTTGACGACAATTTCGAGGTGCCAAGCGACATGACTCGTGAGCAATTCGAGACGCACAAGGAACGCTATCGCAAGGACCAACTCGCTCAATTTTGGGAGGCCCTTGTCTTCCCAGATATGAATGCGCATGTGGAAGAGGCCAAGACACCAGAAGAGAAAGCTATAGCATATCTGAGTGGTCATAACATCGCCGATGCGTGCCATGCGCTGCTAAATGGCTTCAACCTCCGCCTTGCCACCATGGTGTCTCAGATCGGTGGCGATGAAGTTATGCGACGGGACATGACCACCCAAATTGAAGAATGGCGGCGTTTGGACATGCTCTCTGAGATGGAAGATTCAATCCGCGCACTATACGAATTAGTTGCTGGAAACTGCGGCCGAGCAGAAGGGAAAATTGGGGGTGGGCGGGAAAACAAAGCAGCCACATTCAACATTGCTGGACGGTTTGGCCTCGATTGGCGGCGCGCTTTCGGCCTCCGTCTTTGGTACGGTATCCTGGCTGATGAACCGATCGAGCTGGCTGTAGCGCAATTTGCCGACGCTCTCCGTGAGGGCCGCGAAGATGTCAAGCCTGTGCCTTGGTTTGTTGAGCAGGGCGTTGATATGGGTTGGCATGACCCTGAAGCTGAGGACCGTGAAGATATTCTTTGGGGAATATTGAAGCTCTATGCGTCGTCCAAAATGGAGCTTCCCGCAAATGTTGAGGATGTTCTAGCGCCGCAGAATGTCTCCGGCAACCCTTTGAATGCCCGATTGTCGTTCCAACTCTTCCAGATTTTCAAGTCACGCCTAGACGACCAAGATGAGCTTGACACCCGAAAAGTTGGCATGCCAACTGTACGTGAAGGCAATGGCTTACGCAAGTCTTTTCTCTCGTCCACTGCTTCTTCAGCTGAAAAGGACGTCCAGTCCCAAAATGCCTTAGCTGAGCTTGGGGACAATCTCGCTCTCACCTATGCTGCTTCATTACACACGCCAGAGCATTGGACAACGGCTCTCTTCGTCTACGAACATCTTTCTTCTCCGGCTATGCGCGAGCATTACATCCGTTCTCTTCTGGCGCAGTACTCCAACACCTACTCTCTAGTTGAGTTCGATACCACCTACAAATACTTGCAACAAGAACTTCGGGTTCCAGTCACTTGGATGCATGCAGCAGCAGCACTTCAAGCTAAAACAGAAGGTGACAATGTCCGTCAAGTTGTGCACCTCGTCAAAGCTGGCGAATTGGACGAAGCTCATGAAGTCTTATGTCGCTCCGTTGGTCCTGAGTCCATCATCTCACGTGATTACGACGCCTTGCGCGAACTTCTCGGAGACTTTGTCCCGACTCCAGTCAACAGCCCTCTCGATGACGGTGCTTCCATGGCATCCTCAGTCCGTAGTCGCGCTCATAAGAAAGAACCGGTTCAAGGTTGGAATCTAGGTGGCCAGATCTACTTCGACTACATCCATTTGTTAGATTTGACGAACAACCAGTCCAGCTACCGTGTCGATGAGGATCTAATCCAAGATATCTGCGATCTACTATCCAAGCTACAGCATGCGCTTGAGATTGTTGCGCGTGATAAGCTGACTAGCTGTGGGCTTGAAGAGCGTGTTGCTTTGACAGAGATTTCGGGTGTGGTTGCTAGTCTAGTGGCTAAGAATAAGGTAAGCCCTCCTAGAGAATTCCACGCCTTTATGGAGTATGGTGTGCAAATGCTAATGTGTGATAGCAGGCTGATAGAGCCCGTGTGCTGAAGTTGCCGTTGGCCGAAGATATCTGGTTGAGACATACACAGGACTTGAGTGTTGGGTATTATCGAGCTGTTATGGCTGGTGGGAGGTAGAGTCTTGTCTTCTGAGTTTGACTGCTTCCTAAAGCTTGCTTAGCTTAAGTTTTCGCCAGTATGACATGCATGAGACAACTGTGTGCTTCCCTCCCTTTCTTAAGTTAGGTTTTCGCTTCATGAAATGTATTTTCGAGATTTTTTTTCAACGTAGCCCAAGGGCTGTGGTTTAGATGTGAGAGTGATGGGGGGGGTTTCTTTTTTGCTTATGGTGGACTAAAATGGTGTGAAGAGATGATTAATTGGTTGCTGGATGGATAGATGAGTGGAATAGCATGGATGGGACTTTAGTAGGAGGAGAGTCGGCGAGGCAATACATTGTACATTAGATGGCGCAATTAGGTGTGTGGGTGATTCATTAGCTAGTTTAATAATTGGTCTTATTGCAGTATTGGGTTGAGCGGATTACAGTGTTGGGTTGTTGTATTGGAGATTGAGGTAAATGAGTGGTTTGCCTCCCTCTAAAGAGCAATCTTGTAATTTTATATAGAAAGGGTGTAACATAAGAGCTAGATGCATGGAGCAAAAGCAGTGCTGTGAACCTAAGCGGATGGCTCGGCACTACTTCTCAGGAACTTGAGGTGCTTGAAGATGGAGGGGTGCACTAGTTTCATGAGGGTCCCTAGCAAAAGCCGTTCTGACTCCAGTCGCAGAATGCCCACATAGGCCGGGGAGGGGCCTTGAATACGCTTAATTGAAATGTTAATCTAGAGCCTATGGTGTTAGAGTCAGCATGCTCAATAGGGCACACTAACTGGCAGTACGGTGCGCGGTGTACGGTGTACGGCTGATTTGAGCCGTACGTACAGCGATCTTCTGTCGTTGAGTACGATAGCTGTTACCCTAAGTACTGTCCAGAGTACAGCATACAGGTACTATTTTTAAGATAGCTTATAAGGTTTAATTTAGTGTTTTAGAGAGCCCGTGCCAGAGAACCTGCCCTAGGGGGCTAATTAGTGGAAATCTTCTATGCGACGCTTATTTAGCTGCTCCTAGGGCACTTTAGCTATCTATCTAGATAGTATAACTAATTAGAATTAGAACAATGCCTCTTACTAACCACTTCTTATCCTAGAATTGCTCATCCACGCGCCTTGCAAGCTGCCCTACAGGCCATATTAAGCTAATCTAGTGTTGTTGTTGTACACTCTACAAAGCCTGAAAGGATTAAAAAAATAAAAGACGATCTACAACACCTCTTCTAGCATATCTTATGAGGCTACATCGCTGTTAGTGACAAGGAATTAAAGGAGTCCACAGAGGAGCGTAGCTGTAGTGCTAGGGCTAAGTTTAATATTAACTAGGCTATATAACTGCAGAAACACTGGATTAAATGCTAAATAGTAAGGAGGAAGCTCCTAGCTCTGGTTGCTCACGTTACTAGGGGAAAATGTACTTATAGGGAGCTATTAGGCCTTTAACTCTGCCTCTCCTATAGTATAGTGTATTAATTTTTACAGCGTACATCAATTGCACAGCACAGCTTATCTTAATCAGTGGAGTTACTGTACGTGTAGCTGCCTCTCCTCCTCACGACTATATGTAGGTACAAAAAATCTCCTAATTGTACAGTAGTACAACCTGTTGGGTACATTGGTAGAGTGATCAATATCCAGAACTTCTATAGCCAGTTTGAATATGTGCTACATGCTTTGTGATTGGTTGTAAACGACAAACTAGTTAAGGTCGACGCCTTGATTTAGGCTGAAAAGACTAACACAAGCCGGAGACCTAAGCTTTTCCTAGTGTTTTCAATGTAGGCTGGTGGCTGCATATACTTTACAAACTTTAGCTAACCTTCTCCTAATTTTTTTTTGACTGTTTAGTCTGGTTTGCAAACGCGCATTCCTGCACTTTTCTGAGGTGGAATATCATCTTTCGATAATATCGAACCATGGTGTTTAATAGAACGTAACTGTTACTGTCAGTAGTGTTTTTGAGGCGTTACTATCAGCAATAGAGTTTTGTTCTTACGGAGAGAGTGAATTAAAACAGCCCTATGGGCAGTAATAGTTACTGCCAAGTTAATTAATTGTGGAGCTACTGTTTAGTGAAGTTACTGCAGTAACTAGTATTTCTGGAGGCTCTAGAGGGTCTCGCACTCAGAGTTTGTAGCAGGGATAGATAGGAAGTCATAAGCTATCTTGTACAGCGTTAGGTAGTGCTTACGCCTAATTTAATGCCACCAAGTGAGTAGATCTTCATAAGCTATATCATTCTCAGCTGCAACGAGGAGATTAGATTGAGCAGTATCAATATACTGCTGCAGCTCATTGCCAGACGTGCCTCCTGTTCCACAGCAGCCCTCGCACTACTATGCGCGAAAACGTCCTCCGCGAACGCGTTACCAAAACACCAAGAAATTAATTAGTAAAGGCAGTTACTGCAGTAACTATAGCCTTATTAATTTTATAGTAACAGAAGGCAATTCAGTTTTGTTCTAACTGCTAAGAGATTACTGCTATCAGTAATAGTAGGAACAGTACTACGTTCTATTAAACACCATGTATCGAACCCCCTCGTCGAAGGAAGAGGATATAACACAATAATAAAATGCTTAACGTGGAGCTGTTAAGATTTTGGAACCTAGTGGCATACAGGGGCTCTGTCCCCCCTCGTGATGCAATTAAGGGCTTGGAAGGGCTTGGAAGGGCTTCATGAAGACTCTTAATGTACTAGATTACCTACCTGTGGCTTACCCTACCCCTGCAATCCTGGGTATCTAAATTGACATCGTCCTCGTGTTCGCCGTCAACTATATGGGCATTGGTACTCCATCCCTATTTACCAGCACTTTGCATTATTTTTCTCTTCTACTGCATATCATTTCTACTTCTAACTCTCGCGCAAAAGTTATTTGTTTTCTACACTAGATATATTTTCGAGACATATTCCTATGTCGAGGAGTACTCGATCCCCTGGCCCTGCTTCTTCATGCACTCCGCAATCCATAGCAAGGCCGATCAGGTGTGTAAGCTATTAGCGGGCCCGTTTCCTCTCCTTCTCGTGGAGGTTGTAGAGGAGTATAGAAAGCGGCATAGAGAGGGAAGCTTGTTTGAAGAGGATTTACAAGGAGAATTGAAATGAAGACCTTGTCGAAGTCCAGCGCGACTACAGCTGATCAAATGGCACATACATCTAACGGAGGAATTGGATTTGATACGACGGATGTATCATAGGGTACGACTAATGATGTTTAGCCCCCCATTAGAGTGAATTCTAGGATTGCAGTCGAGGGGGGATGAGCGAGTCAGTGGAGATTTTCGAGGGTGAATTCAGTGTGAGGTGGTTTGAGGGAGGGAGGGGAAAGTGATTTCCCCCCAATTATGATTTGTAATGACCAGCGCCCTTCGTGTTAGCATGGAGCGTGCAACTCCCTTCACTGCGAAGTAGCTTCCCCTGTACATGTAGCAGCGACTTCCTATACTAGGATTTTTTACTTCTGTTTCAATTAGAAGTTCACTGTTTTAAGAAAGAAGTTCCCTACTTCTGAGCAGTTACTTTAAATTAGGGCCGGGTCTTTTCTTGTAACGTAGAGCCTACTTCGAATGAAGTAGTCGATAAATATACTAGGCGAATGATACTCGGACAACTCCCTAACTTAGAGGCAGAGGGCTCACTATTTGAGATTTAAAAATGTATTTTATGCGTAAGATGAAGAGGCTTGCAATAGCTTCTCAACGGCGTTATGGTCACCATACATGGTTGGGGGTCGACGGAACTATGAAGACCGAAATCCAGTGACCTATCAACATGGTGTTTAATAGAACGTAACTGTTACTGTCAGTAGTGTTTTTGAGGCGTTACTGGCGGCAATAGGGTTTCGTTCTTACGGAAAGAGTGAATTAAAACAGCCTTACGGGCAGTAACAGTTACTGCCAAGTCAATTAATAGTAAAGTTACTGTTCGGTGCAGTTACTGCAGCAACTGGTGTTACTGAAGGCTCTAGAGGGCTCAATTTTGACACAATCTTGCTAATATGCTCTTCACACGATATCCAAGGCCCCCAGGTTTCAGCTGGAGGTCGCAAGTCTAGATATTGTCCTGAAACTCGTGAGAATAGAAAAACTAGAGGACGAGGCCTTAATTATAAGAGCTCCTAGAGGCAGCCCTTGACTTCTCAAGACGACGAGAGCTTGCGAGGTGTTGAACTGGCTGCGAGCTTCGAGTGCAAGGAGTTACTTCACTGTTCTGTACTAACGATGGATAGTATAGGCAGTTACTGCAGTAACTATAGCCTCATTAACCGTACAGTAACGGAAGGCAATTCACTTTCGTTCTAACTGCCAAGAGATTGTTACTATCAGTAACAGTAGGAGCAGTACTACGTTCTATTAAACACCATGCCTATCAAGTAGCTGGAAGGTTGTGGTATCGTTTTCGGGGGGATCTCAAAAAGTCAGCCGTTTTCAAATCTGTATCTTTCTTTATGTTCGACAGATTTACGTAATTTTGACGCTATTGGAAATTCCTTGAAAAGCTCTACATTTCATCTATACAACACGTTTTCATATCCCTAAATTTGCCTAATTAATAGAGGCCAAGTCAGGGTGTTTCCGAAAGGATTAGGAAAGTCGGGGAGGATCCAAATAATATTCGCTATAATCTATTATATGAAGTGGCTGCTCGGGGTGAGTGCAAGCATGAGCTTCATAACCTCAATGGGAGATACTTACTTGCAATGCTCCCATCACGGGCATGATCTTGACGAGCTAGAACAACCAAAAGTCTGTCAATGAAGTTGATAATAAGCCTGATGGAAAGCCTAGTGAAGGGAAGGAGCAGCACGGATTATATGGTGAGGCTCACGGATTCTCTTATGTTAGCTCTAAGCCAAGTGGATTGCCTGTTTGGGAAAGAGCCGTGGATAAAAATCTATTTGTTAGAAAACAAATACACACATGTATTTGGCCTTGGTAGCTGAATACATGAGCAGAATCTTGCTAGAATTCGCCTCCTAGACTTGGACAGCACATTGTACTAGTTCCGTGTCGACCTGAATTCGTTCGCCCAGCTGTATATCAGTTAACAAGGCGCCATCTGATTCACAGCCCTCCTTCGGGTGTCTATGAGGGTGGGGTCAGTATCTTCTATTCCTACCTCTTCCGTTCTTCTCAACTTTGCTCTATCATTAATTAATGTTAACAAAAATTGAAACTCAATGCATGGCAAACTGGCAACTACAGGAGAGCTGGTTGTGCTCAAATAAAGCGCCTATAGGGCTGGTTTTCTCCAGAAGCAGTTAACCCCTCAGTGCCCTTCATCCATCTTGGTCAATGCTATGTCAGGCCAGAACGAGACATGCATTTTAGCTCCGACGGCTGACTTCAGTCGCTTGAAGTGCGAGAAAGTCCAGATGTACGACATAACAGAGACAACACCTGGAAACGAGTTAAGCTTAGCGACGTTAGCTCCTTTCACCGCCCCAGGCTACATCACCCATTGACCTTTGCAGACTCCCGCTACTGGCCTGGATAATATGGGAATTATTACCAACCTGGGGGTGATTTCTTACTTCTTTCTCCTCATCTATTTACGTGGATTTGCAATAATCTTGAAATATCTCTGACAGGCAGCGTATTTTGGGTCTCCCAATCTTGGGAAGAGACGAAATCATGTGAAACAACGATTTCTTTGTAGATACTGGGGAAATCCTAAGGGAGGATGTTATCACTGGAGTAGAAGCCTGCCGTGGACCATAACATAACGCTTCAGAAAGCCCCCTCTCCATACGGAGGCTCCCTGCCTAAAGCTTCCACGATACCTTTTGCTTTTGGAATCAACACGACAGGGAGGAAATAGCGGGTGTTGCTATCCAAAGGAGAGACGATCTAGTCGTATTTCCCACAGATCATTATGTTATCCACTACTTGTATATATTGTGCACAGGCAACTGATTCAGCTGGGGCGAGGACTTTAATATCCGCTATGTTCTAGCACAACGGGCTACAAGATATGAAAGGCTTTCTTGTTACTGGGTGGTTTGTAGCCGCATGCGAGACCCTATGCTCATGGATTACGATGCTTACACGCTGGATATTACCTTCAGGGATTCAGGGGTAATGGTCGTTGTTCTTAGGACAGAAAAGGCAACATCATACCGACTGGTAGTGGTTCTGTTCAGGGACTGGGAGACTCAAGTGTGGTGTCGACCATACAGTGTAATAACACTCAGTGGCAACACATCCAAATTTACATCCATAAGAGAAGCTCCAGGGGATCACCTATCGCTTACAAAGAAGGAATTTGCCTTGATTGCGTAGTTAGATGAACAAGCGTTCAATTGCTTTTCGTATTCTAGATCATTACGAAGGACGCTTGCCGCTTGGACAACTAGAACTCTTCGTACTGTGCACTAGGTTCCTATCTGAAAGTAATACCTAGGAACACCTCCGTGGAGACGATAACTACGTCTTAGTAGGCATGCCTGAGCACCAATAGTTCACCAATCCCATTGACACAATTTCTACACGCTCTGTCCCCCCTGCCTCAAAAGGACACAAAAAATGTAATTCGAAACACTCATGTTTGCCAGCTAAGCACTCCGCCTAGCGTCCATTAGGCTTCAGTGGACGACAGGTGGGGTGTTTTTCTTTGAGATATGCCCCAACCACCAAGTGGTCGGGATTGATTTCAATGACACAGCAATCATCGTCGGGGGGTTCACAGTGACCACAGAGTGGAAGTGTTCGTGAAGGTAGAATACTTCCCGCCAATCATCCTTCCTAATGGTAGTTTAGTTTCTCGTCCGTTCTCGTCCCGTTATCTATTCGTAGGGTAATTCTTCGACTTTTTGGACGCAGGGTGCCGAAATACCCAGCCTAATTGTAGTTTACTGCACGGCGTTGCTCCTTCTCAGCAGTCCACTGGCTATCCACCACCTATATCCTCTAGGACCCCTCAAAACGTGCGCGACACAACCCCATTTCTTTAGTATATTCTCATCAAAAAGCTCTCTGAATAGGTCTGAGGCTACATGCTCGACTCACCACGCCTCCGTTGCCCACAACTTGCAGCATCCTCCCACCGCACGGGCCCAATTCCCATAGGTAGGAATGCGAAGCCCTCGAACCGACCACATCAGCGGACCTCTCTCCCGGAGGAAAAATGGCAGCAGGAGCAAATTCGAATATATTTGAGACTCTATCGTCACTTGCATCACCTCCATCGAGCCGACCTACCTCGCCGCCGCCATCAAACACGTATACACACTGAACCGCTTCACCGTCACTGTCTTACCTATGCCAAACTGATTCACCATCATTGTCTAACGCGTCACAATCCTTCTAAACAATTTAGTTACGTCACACCACATTCCTATCTACATAGAAATGCGTAGCTGCATCCCTAACGCAGCTAGCAACATGCAGCTTTATATACGCAGAAGAGAATAAGAATTAAGAATATATATGTACCTACTTAATCTGCAAAATAGAGATTATGTTACTCTACAAAGCTGCAAAACTAAGCAATAAAGATCTACTTAAGTTCTATAAGCAAGACTGTCTATTAGCAGATATAATACTAGATTTTCTTAGCTACTAAGACATTAACACTGCCCTTACTGCTACTTCTTAAAGCTCTTAAATAACACTAATAGCTAGACTGCTGTCTACCTCTTCTTCTAACCTGTCCCTATCTTAGCAGTCTAAGTCACGTCTGCTAACACGCTTATCACCACCTTACCTACTGTCACTGCGCCTATTGTTACCACACTAACTACTGCTACGCCTATTACTGTCCTACTTACTGTTATTGCGCATACCTTCTTAGCTGTCATATGCAAGTGTGGCTGCTAGTACGTTATCTAGCCCTAGCAAAAACACCTTACTGCTACTATTCCCTTTACACTTATGTTACCCTCTCTAACCCTTAGCATCTAAACTACCAGCCCCTACTCTAAAAGCTAGAACATTAAGCCTAAAAACTACGCCGCCCTACTGTAGATCACCACATTAATTATTGCCTGTCCTCTCTGTCTACAACCTAGAACTCTAGTTCTAGAGCAACTAGAACCCTTTTTAAAACCTACACTATTATTACTTATTACAAACAAGGCCTACCACTGCTGTTGCACAGCTGCTGCACGTGATTGCAGAACTCCTAGGATCTTATAACTTTAAGAATAATCCTACACTATACTAACACTTGTACGCTAGCAGGTTCTGCTTTATTTGCTAACAAAGGGACACTAAACACTTAGAAGAGAGAGCCTTAAGAATACTTGCTACTTACTAAATACAAGAGGTATAGGAGAGTTTGCTAGGAAAATACAAAGAGATAGATATTTTACATATATAGGCTATTAAGAGGTATGCTATTACTAAGGAATTGCTTATGTAATAAACTACTAGTGCCCTCTAGGCTAGAGCCGGGCGTAATAAAGACATCTATCCATCCATCGACCACATCAGCCCAAATCACAATGCCTATCTCCCTCGCTAAGCAAATTGGCGTCGGCGAGCCTAAGATCTTCATACTCATAGATACGGGTAGTATGACGACAGCTCTATATATGGCGAGGCGTCCGCAGGCAGCGGTGCTTTGCAATGGACAGGAGGCGGGTAACGCGTCATGCAGCACGCCCTTGTGTAGCCATGATTGGAGAAAGTAATACTTTACCGGAGACGGCTTTGAGACTTGACAAAACTTTACTTTATTGTATGAGTTAGGTTGGTGAAGGAAGGGTTCGCTTAACCTACCAGAGACCACCTAAGAATTTTCAATACCAGAATTAAAACATTTTCGAACAATTAGCCACAGTATATTATTATATATTATGAGACATGGCCAGGGTAGTATCCCATTTGCTAAACTTCTTGTTGGAATGAAGTAGTGCGTCAGTAGGATGTGAATTCCTGTCCTAGAAGACCATGTCATGTTCCACGTTAGATGATAAGAAGCAATATGTGAAGGGAATTTTCGACAACAGACCTAATTGGATCCCTATTTTTACATTTTACAGATTGGCGGGTTTGCTGGGCTACGGCCTCATCCTCTGATATTTTTATGCTTATGAAACTTGTTAAATTAAGTACCCGAATGCACACAAGGACTCTACAAGCTTTTCTGCAGGATTATCCGTGAATTCTTTAAATACCTGCCACTAAAATCCTACAACAATTGCTTGGGAGGATGGCTGTCTTTCACACACACCCAGGTCTAAAAGATCAACCCCACCCCTACGAAATCTCCATAATAGGCCTCTAATTTGCAGCAAATCCCAACCTCAATCAAAAAGTCTCAATAAAAAAAACTTCCTCAAAGTCCTCATCCACATCACGTGCCGCCAAGCAGCACTCCGCCCCGCGGAGATCCTCAACACCAAAACTCTCTGCTCACGCAATCGATGACATTTCTCACCAGCCTCAAAATACAACGTTGCTTATGGAATCTCGGGATGTTTCGGAGAGCAGTTGAGTCATCAGCTGATGGTGTGACATTAGATCACCGTTCCTCCTTGGTTCTTCAATTCGGGGTTTGAGGCGAGGATGGGCTTGGTAAATTCGGTGAAATTGAGTAATAGTTTCAGTTAAGGCTAAAGTTGCGGTAGGATAGAGGAAGGGAGGTTGGGGGAGGAAGGTTGAAGGCGATAGATTGTTTGACCTGATCTGATCTGAAAACAGCGGATTGCATCTCCCTTGGAAACCTTCACAATTCCGTGTATCGCATGGATCGTAACGCAATAGGACCTGCGTTCTGCTTCCCCCGAAAAATTCGATATCCATCTCACTAGACTCGGTTTTGCTCGACTTTCCACTTGAATCCATCCAACCGGCGCATACCGGTACAATTTACGCCGATTGCCGTTGCAGCCCTCACACGGCTCGAGCCACTCCCGCAAACGTGGCGCGGAGGAAGCTGATTTGCTTTCACGAACTTGTACCCACCTGCATCCTCGCCTTTCCGGGCGTTGCGCGACCAAACAAATTCACGCAATATGAGCTCCGTACGTAACGCTTGGACCAGGGATCTTTCGATACTGGTCTGAGTAACTACTCGACAACGAAATATTGCAGTCTTGTTCAACATGTCCGCGGAAAATGTTGATGTTGCGGAGAGGGTAGGAAGAAAGAGTTTGGGGGTTATGGGTATATATTCTGGAGGTTATCATGTGGGTAATGGGGTATTTGTATATCGTTACACAGAGACACAGATATACAAATTCAATTGTATACAATATCGTCCGATGCGATCGAAGCTTTGTTGCGGTCTATTCTCAATCACACGGTTGACCTTATCATCTCGAGCAAAAGCAACACTCCCAGTCCGAATCAACTCCCTAGCAGCATACTATTCAACCCAACCTTCCTCATCACCTTGTGTCAAGATGGCTCCAACACTAAGCCCAGAACAAGTCGCAACCATCAAGGCCACAGTCCCGGTGCTGGCGGCCTACGGCGAGACAATCACGCGACAGTTCTACAAGAACATGCTTGCTGCCAATCCGTCTCTAAAGTCGATTTTCAACCACACGCACCAGGCAACAGGCCACCAGCCTCGCGCCTTGGCTGGTTCACTCTTCGCTTATGCCTCTAATATTGACGACTTGGGAAAATTGTCTCCAGCCGTGGAGCTGATTTGCCACAAACATGCCTCACTGTACGTTCAGCCAGATCAATACAAGATAGTAGGCAAGCACCTTCTCGAAACGATGAAAGAAGTGCTGGGCGACGCTGCAACGCCCGAGATCATGGAAGCGTGGGGAGTGGCGTATTGGCAACTCGCCGAAATCATGATTGGGAAAGAGGCGGGAATGTACGAAGAGACACATGGCTGGACTGACTGGAAGGATTTCAAGATCGTGCGGAAAGAGAATGAATCTATAGAGATCACATCTTTCTACCTCGAGCCAGTGGACGCGTCGTTGAAGCTTCCACTGTTCAAACCGGGGCAGTACATTTCCGTGCAGATGTTTGTGGACGAGTTGGAAGGCGGTGTGTGGCAGGCGAGACAGTATAGTCTGAGCGATGCACCTGGAAAGAATTATCTGCGGATTAGCGTCAAGAGGGAAGAAGGAGTGGAGATTGGAGACTCAAAGAGCATGACGCACCCAGGATATCTATCCAACATTCTGCATGATGTGAAGCAGGTTGGAGATGTGGTTCGGGTATCGCATCCATTTGGAGATTTTTTCTTCGACGAGAAGGAGAGAGACAAAGATGCCCCGGTGGCTTTGATCTCGGCGGGGGTTGGTTTGACTTGTTTGACGAGCATCTTGAATAAGCTTGCGGCAGAGAACTCGACACGACCCATCTCTTGGATCCACGTCGCTCGCAACTCTGGCACACGGGCGTTCAAATCGCACATCGATGGGCTCGTCGCTTCGAATAAGAGGATACAAACAATTCTCTTCGATTCTGAGCCCAGCGTAGATGAGGTCCAGGGGCAGGATTACAACATTGAGGGTCGATTGGATCTCGACAAGATCAGCAGTGACGTTCTGTTCACGAAGAACGACAAGGCCCAATATTTCGTCTGTGGTCCGACCCAATTCATGTTGGATGTAGAGGCCAAATTGAAGAGCTTCGGAGTTGTAGGTGAACGAGTGAAGATGGAATTGTTTGGTACTGGTGGAGTACCACGCATCTGAAAAAAGCGGATTGCTGCATAGCGACACCTACCACAGCGTACTACAAAGGACGACTCGGTCTGCTAGAGGGCGTTCCTGGACTTGGGAGGGCGCTGCGAAGACGGAGACTTTGGCCCCAATTTGAACCGGCTAGATTTCATCATATGTGCCAATGGCATACTAGGAGTGATCGAGGTGCGCCTGGGATGGTTGTCAGTGATGGCTTGGCTATGTGACTGTACAAATATTTTTGTTTCATGCAACTACAATTTCCTTCCGTAAAAATAGGCACTCTTTCTAGTGTCTAAAGTGGAAGGCTGTGTTCAGGAGTAAGCGTTGGTTATCATTGCCTTCCTGGTTGGATTGATCTTCGGAGAGGATTGCTGTTGGTGTTGGATTCTGACCACTCAGGAACGGATTTCTCTGCTGTTGTTCCAGAAAATAGGAATCATAATGTATAGTATAGAGGAATATAGCAAAGGGCGGTGAATGTATGAACATCTCACATTGTCTGCCTTGAGCCTACTGCGTGACATGTCTCAAAGGCTTGCAGATTGCTGATGAGAGCCATTGGCTGAGCAAGGAAGAGATAAGGACTCGTGTGTTCAGGTAAGATGATCACGAGGGGTTCACGAGATGGAAGAGTGGCTGGAGGCGATGCTCAGCTTTTTCCCGTCCTATGGTTTCAGGTCGGACTGGCTAGGTACCTCTGCACCTATCAAGCTTTCCCAACAACACTGGTAGGATCGTTGCGTGCTTGACGGTACGAGCCTGCAGTACAACAGAGCTTCAGAATATGTCCGTCGAGTTTCGACGTTGGCTGTGAGGTAACATTTAGAGAGCCAATCAAGCTATCTCAAGAATACCAAAGATAGCCCTTTCACTCTTAACGAGTTCTTGAACGTCGGGTCACTTCGGCGCTCATCTGCATAATCGCATGATTCCGTTCGCAAGATGTATCGAAACGCTTTGAAATCGGAGGCATTGATCTTCAAGGCATCGGAGATTCAGGCCATATGCTGCCCCTTTACCACCGCACTAGAAGCGGGAAAGAATTGTCACGTTTTCCAAATCTTTGGGTGGTGAGCAGTACTTAGTGGCAGCCAAAGTAGGAAAGAATTCGAGGACTAAGGATTCTGGATTCGGATAGATGCCTGGGATGTCCTCGTTCTTATTTGGGAAACGTTCAGGTGTTAAAAAGGGGGGTGGTACAAGGCGAATTGGATACACTTGAGTCCGAATGGACAAGTAAGAAGTTCTCCATGATAGTTGCGACCTCGTTTCTGTGAACGATTCCATGCTAATCACTCGTACGGTGCAGGTCCGTTCTCGTACCGCCAAAATGAGGCTGCAGTGCGACTGCGATTTTACGGCCTCCCGCAGTCGGACTTGGCACTGGCGCGGTGGAACAAGGGAAGCTGTGTCTTGGCTTGGCCCGTGGTGGTGATTAAGCTCTCGCGACCTGGCCTCGCGGTGAGGGTTGGATGATGATGCGTAGAATCAAAGACCGGTTGCCCTCAGCACCTAAGCTCTATTTCCCGCTGGCGCAGGGATCGTGAAAGGGGCAATCTTCCAGAAACTAGGGGTTGGTGCACGAAGCACCCTGCGATCAGTCTTGTTGCAAATGGCAATCTTCTGGAAATTGGTGCGTAGCGGAGAGTTCTACGCTAAAGCAAAAGAGGAAGCCTTCTGGAAGGGCACTTGGATAATTCGAAGCCTTACGGTAGGGATGCGAGAAGTCGTCCATGCCCAGCGTTTTGGCCGGGATGAGGTCGCAAAGCACAAGAGCTGGGGCCGCAACCGTCGGCCAGTGACATCCTGGAGTGGTGCAGAGCGGTCAAGAATTCTGACGCATGAGGTGGCTTGGGTCGACAAGAATAGACGTCTTCCTTACCCAAAAGGGACAAGTAGGCTCCAACACGGCGGAAAGGGGTGTCTGGCGAAGTGAAACGCCCGTGCATGTTGGAGGTCCTGTCGCAGTTTAAACGGGTATTTCTGACAGGTCAAGCCATCATAAGGAGACCTGTGAATGCAAGTCCACGTTAGCGACGACACCGCATCCAGTCAGAATGCAGGACTTGTTTCCCGCCGCTGCTCCCGTCGCTCCCCGAGATGAGGGCGTGCATGTCTTCCGAGCAGTGCATGAAGTCGCCAGATTTTGCATTTGTTCGAGCGCCAGCGTGTGCCGGAGGAGGAGCGGGACTTGTAAGAAGATCGTCAACCGAAGCGCGTCTTGGGGGGGCTCTTAGTGGGCCGGGCTATCTGCGTGTGCATCGTGCAATCGTACTTGTGAAGCACAGACGGATCTCATGGAAGCACTACAGAAGGTCTTGAGCCGTCGCAGGTTTTTGGTTCGCGCGACCTCTCCGCTCTGACTGACTCGCTGAATGTTTTCGAGCTAGTTGAGCTTGTGGTGGAGAGATCTTCTCGCCTTCACTCCTGAAATTTGATTGAGTGCCGATTAATTGTGCATCGAATCGATCTACTTTGTCTGGTTGGAAGCAATTGCAGTATCCGCCGCTATTGCGAGCCTTGGCATCAGAACAAGGGCCGGCTTCATTGATGTGCTGATTCGCACGTTGTGGCCACGAGGTAAGCTTTACGGCGGGAATTCTTCACGGCCTCTAATCGTGTTTCTTTGAGTGCGTTTTTGGGTTTCTTTCGACGAGTTCTCCTGATGTTGGACAGCTGCAAGTGATGTGACGAGCCGTCACAACTAGCAGCTAAGCACAAGGTAATCATAGAGGGCCTGCATCCAGGACGTCAAGTTAAATTAAACTGCCGAAAGTTGCTGTTACTGGCGTCTAAATTGGAAAGGTCCGAAGCCAGAGACGCGTTGGCGTTTGCGTTGGCTTTTGGGCTGGAGTTGCGGCCACAAACATGGCTGGGGAACGAGGACAAAGCTCCCGTTGATGTCATGCACCATCATGTCTCTGCATCTGTCAGTGTCCGAGCTGGCGCCGCTCAGGATCAGGGGTGTCTCAGCAGAGTTCTCACTGCAGGACAGGACGGAATCTTGCCAATTGGCCTCTTGCGTGCTGAGGTCTTGAAGAGCATTTACTCTCAAATGCAGACACTCTCTGGACGTCTCGCAATCGGCTAAATGTGGGACGGGACAGTCGGGGCGTGGTCCTGAACCGGTTCTTGAAGCGACAGGTGGTTGGAGGGATGTCGTGGGCGATGCATCGACGCTTCGCAACTGCATGGCAGTCCTGCCGCCGTAGAAGGCTGATATCTTCTAGCGGCCTTCGATGGCCCTGCCCATCCCAGCACGGCATCAAATTCATCAAGCACTTTTCGTCTCGCTTCGATGCCACCAGCATCGTCAAGATGCGCGTTCTTCTGGATGAAGAGTGTTGCATGTCTCCCACCGAAGCCTTCCACCCAGTGAGAACTGTACGTGCTAGATGCAATTATGATTTACTCTCTCGCTCAAATCGGCCACCGTCGAACTGAGCTCCGAAGGTGGATCAAGTGTCAAGCCGCGCGCCACAGAACGCCTTCACATGAGGCCGCAGGAGTGCTTCAGCGTCCACACGGCATGCGGAGGACGAGCATTGACGTGAGACCGCTTGTTGGGGCCGCTAGTGAAGGCGCCAGGATATGGCTGCACACGCGGTGCCATCTTGATGCTCTGTAAACAAGCGTGATCTACATATTTGAAATGCCCCTGCTCCGGCTGAGAAGGATGCCTGGAGGCTCTAGTTACACGCACCACGTTTGCTTTGCAAAGCACAGGGACGCAGGGCTGGAACTTCCGTTCACCTGCATACTATACACATCCTCGAACGACTGTGACAGTATTGCCTTGACCACTGGCAACATCTTCCGGCTACCTGCATCTTGTATCTGCGCGCAGGAACCCAAGTCATTTCCATTACGAACCACGCAAGAGAGAAGGATTTGAGAATAAAGGGGCAAAGAGCCAATCTGAGCAGGTGAGCTTCCCTACGTACCCTATTCCACTGCCCTGGAGCGCAACACAGTCAGACAGCATATGCCTTTTCCGAGCGTGGTGTGAACGTAGGAACTGACGACTGAGGTTCAGCCACATTGTCAAATTTCTTTTGGCCAACTCTGGGGGAAAGAAACGAGGCCCGCCCACGCATCTAGGATCCTTCCAACGGGCCACAGCACAACGAAAACGTTTTGGCTTCTGCAGGATCTGTTGGGATCACATCGAAGCAAAGATCCAGCCACAGGTGAAGCAGAGGTTTCGTAGTGCGGCATCCCGACATCACGGGTCGCAAGCAGTCGACGGGCGGAACAGCCAGACATCCGGAGCGGACAGCACAGCGCATAAAGAGGATCTCGACGGAGAACCTTGGGCGGAACGACATCAGCGACTTCGGGGTTTCGTGGTTCACGGTTCAGCTGAAAATTTAGGTCAGCGGGACGTTAGTCATCCCTGTTGTTGTGAAGGACCGTGGGACAACGCCCGCCAGCGGCTCTGGGGATTACTCAATTACTCTGGCAGAATCAGGAGTGGTGAGATTTGCGGGTTTCAGCGCGCTCGAAGCAGAGTCCGCGAGCATCTTATTAACAGCGCGCACACGCCCTCGCCCAACGTGCCTCAGTCGAGTTCCTGCACGCGAGTCCAAGCCCCGGCGTGAACGCATTTCACGGCACATCTCTGCTTTCTGGAATCTGCTGGGGGGCGAGGCGACTCGGGACTAGCCGCTTCTGGATCCGGCCTAGCGAGCAATTCCAACGCGCGACTGAAGGAAAGAAGTACCTCGTACCTTTCACCTCGACACCGACATCTCCTCCTCTCTCTCACACCGCCAGACACACCCACTCGCCGCGACTCCATCTCAGGTACGTCTCTGCTCTCCCGCTGCGTCCTTTCATCGGCCCGCCGCGCTGCCCCGTCCCCGCCCGTCCGCTTCTGCCTCCCCTATTCGCCTCGCCCTCGACCAGACGCCAGCGTCGTCGTGCCCGGCCATCGTTGTAGGGCGCGCACCACCCGCAGAGACTCTCTTGCTCTTTGTGCTCCTGACGCCGACGTGCTTCGCGTTGAAGTGCACTGTCAGCATTGACCTGTGCGTGGTCCGGCCCTATTTTTCGACGTTGCTGAACGGACCACCTGGACGGGACTCTTGACGCCTGTCGCTGGTCTGTCACCACCACACGATCCACCATCGCCAACATCGCGCTTCTGGCCGCAGTCACGCCCAGCTCTACCCAAGAGGCCTTTTGCCTGCCAGACGTCTGCTCTCTGTTGGTGCCCACCCGTCCTTTCACCGCCTCGGCCCCAGCTCGCTCCACTGCCTCACCGTCACTCCTGCACGCGGAGCTGTCCCTGGTCCGCGGGAGCATGGAACTGGGCAACATTCTGAACGCGAAATTGACAGTGAATGCAGTGACAGGACACGCTTTCGGGATGCAACACGCAATGCAGCACGAAATCCCCCCACAACACTTTGGCGCGCCGCCCTACATCAACGGCCGCATCAAGTCGGAGAACGGCTCCGAGCGAGGAGTATCACCACACCCTTCCGAGTCGTCGCGTTATAGCTCGCAGCAACCGCAACCGCTCCCGTCGTACCCGCCCATGCCCTCGCACTCCAACATGAACGGCATGCGTTATCCGTCGCCTACGCAGATGCAGAACCCGATGCCGCTTTTAAACAACAATAACTACATTCCGAACCCCCCAGACCACACATACGCGCAGCAGGCCCCTGACCAGCAGAATCAGCAGCCTGGTGGGCGGCCTGCATCAGACACGGGCCCACCAAAGGCATTCGCGTGCTCGACCTGCGGCAAGGGCTTTGCGCGACGCAGTGACCTCGCACGTCATGGTAAGGAGCTTGGGCCTTCACCCCTCAACTGTCAAAGTGTCACAACGTTAACTGTTGAATAGAACGTATCCACAGCGGCATCCGCCCTCACGTGTGCGAGTACCCCAACTGTGGCAAGCAGTTCATTCAGCGATCTGCATTGACTGTCCATCAACGAGTCCACACCGGCGAGAAGCCACACATGTGTGAACGATGTGGAAAAGTACGTACTCAATCAAGAGCATCGCTTTGTTATCACGGCTAACCCAACCTCTAGCCCTTCAGTGACTCAAGCTCCTTGGCACGACATCGTCGTATCCACTCTGGGAAGCGTCCGTACAAGTGCCCCTATGCCGACTGCCAGAAGACATTTACGCGCCGTACGACTTTGACTCGTCACCAGAACCACCATACAGGCACAGTAGAGGAAGCTGCCGCGGCCACCGCTGCTGCTCTGGCTTCCCGTGCGTCGGCTCCTAGCAGGTCTGCGCGTTCTGATGCGGATGAGTACTCTGAAACAGCCTCTCCTCTGGGGACACCTTCTCCAAACGAGCGACCTCTCTCCCTCTCCCCAGCTGCTGGGATGCCTGCTGGTGTGGTTCCTGGAATGCATCGCCAGGGCTCTGATTATGCGTATATGGGCAACCTGAATGTTCCTCCCCACCTCCGGAATGAGATGCCTCAACCCAGCCCACGCTCCTCTCCTTCCTTGACCTCGCAGTCCTACCAATCCAACGTCAGCACCCAGCGTCCCGCTATTACGTCCCACCCCAGCGGATATGGCCCACCACCGATTCTAGAGCCACCAGCGTCTGCAAACCACAATAATCAATCCGGAGGTACCGGAAGTGCCAACGGCAGTCCGCATATAGGGACAATGGGCTGGCAGTCACCATCACAGCAAGCATTACCGTCTCCAGGTGCAGGTGATAGCGGATATGTCTATCCCGACCCTCACTATGGAAACTCGGCGTCCAACATGTACTACCCTAACAACTCCAACATTCGTCGACCGAACAGCACCGAGCCCGATCATTACAACCCGAACCAGCAAAGGATGGGCAGTGACATGTGGGCGTCGCCAGTTCAGTAGATGATGTGTTCCATGTATTGTATTACCTAGAAGTCGAAGGTCTGAGGCTCATTACACCGGTGTTTGCTCATTGGTTATACCCCTGTTTCTTCTTAACCAAAAAATTTCTCCTCCAATTTGGGCATGCTTTCTCTTTTCCACGGGCACGCTGCATGGTGGTATATGGCGGTATATGGATTGTGCAGGAGCTCCTGGAAGCCTTATTCCTTCCACATCCTGTCCCTTTTGTCCTCTCCTTTATTGTCTACTGCAGATATTTCCTAGGTTGCATTCAACACTCACATCTCCTTCCATTTGTATTGAGCAGACATGCACTGTTCTGGGGTTTTCTTTCGGATTGGTTGGAGCTGCTGGCGTCCTTTAAGAGAATGGCAAAGGGGGCGTCGACGGCTCGCGGGGGTTCTCTCTTTTTGGCTGTTTCCTTTACAAGCAGGCACTTTTTCTAGACTGGTACTTAATGAAGGATCATAATCCGCTCTATAGACTATTTGCGCGGTGCGCTTGATAGTGTGCAAACATCACATGAATGACAATTCACCCCCATACATGGAAGCACGAGTGAGGTGTGTGGAAGAGTGAGCGGCGATTGTGGGCTGAGTAGTCGGCTCCGCACAACATCCGAATGGAGAGAAAATTTGGCGCCGCCCAAGCAGCATGCTGGTTGCTATTGTTAAAGGCAGATGATGGCGTTGATTCACCATTTTGCAGCGAAAGAGCCTGTGCCAGAATGTTGATATGTGGTCCAAGCCCTGGAGTTTGGTGACGGCGCATGGACCGCCGAAAGCCACAGATGGCCACAGCCGAGCTTCCTAGCCCAGCCTCGCGACGTGGTGACGACGGCCTCCTTGTACATCTCCAGACTCACGCTCTGCATGCTCTTGGCCGCCACCCCACTGCCACAATACGACGCCTTATACGAGGGCCTCTTCCAGACCGACAGCCGGAAGACACAAGCCTTGGGTTCTGACCGGCGGCGCTCGCTTGCCAAGCCAGGCCTCGTGGACGACGGCTTGCATCATCGCCATCCCCCAAGCCGATCCGCAACCGCCGCGAAGAAACCGCTCGACTTTCCTTCACACTATCAAACCCCTCTACAGCGCGGTGCATTGCGCAGTCACGCCCCACACGCTCTAGCTGCGCGCTGCCCTGCCGCTGCGTGAGAAGCCGTCCACCTGCCAACCACCATGTCGAAGGTTGTCAGGAGCGTCAAGAATGTCACCAAGGGGTATTCGGCGGTAGAAGTCAAGGTTCGCAATGGTATAGTATCATAAAGCACCATAATCGGGCGGAAACTGACCGCTGTAGCGACCAGCAATGATCCGTGGGGTCCCGTGGGCTCTGACATGGCCGAAATCGCGCAAATCACATTTAACAAGTAGGAGCTACCTCTCCTCGTACCTTGAGAAGTATGCTGATATGGATGCTGCAGCTCGACCGACTTCTACCAGGTTATGGACATGCTCGACAAGCGCCTTAACGACAAGGGCAAGAACTGGCGCCATGTGCTGAAGTCGCTCAAGGTCCTCGACTATTGCTTGCACGAAGGCTCCGAGTTGGTCGTCACATGGGCGCGGAAAAACATCTATATCATCAAGACCCTGCGAGAGTTCCAGTACATCGACGAAGACGGCCGTGACGTTGGTCAGAATGGTGCGCTGCATCCTCCCAATGATTCCGGGCATGGCTAACCTTCGTAGTGCGAATCTCGGCCAAGGAATTGACGGCATTGATTCTCGACGAGGAGCGATTACGCGCCGAACGAGCCGACCGGAAGTCGTGGAAATCGCGGGTCACAGGCATTGAGGAGTACGGCGGCGGATCCCATGCAGGAGCAGGCAACGGGGAGCCTACAAGGCGCCCACGAGAGCATCGGGTGAAGAGAGAAAACGAAGAAGATCTTGAGCTCAGGCTGGCCCTAGAAGCGAGCAAAAACGAGGCCGAGGAAGAGAAGAAACGTCGGGAGCGATCATCTGCTGTGGCTGACGACGACGACGATTTGGCAAAGGCTATCAAGTTGAGCAAGGAGGAGGAGGAACTCCGGCGTAGGGAGTTAGAGCAGAGCAATGCGGATCTCTTGTTCGGCGGTTCTCCAACCACCACCCAGCCGGCATCGTACCAACCCACCGGCAACAACCAAGGATACCAGCAACAGGGTGCGGTGGACTGGTTCGGAAATCTCGTTGATCAGAACCAGCAGCAGCCTCAGAATACAGGGTTCCTGAACAACGCGTACTCTCAGCCGACTGGCACCCAAGCACAGCAGACTGGCTTCCAAAATGGATATAGTGGTTACAACGGTTTCCAACAGCAGCCTCAACAGCAAACAGGCTATGATCAGTTTGGTGGACAAGGGTTCGTGCAACCACAGCAGACGGCATTCAGTGTGAACAATCCCTACGGCCAGCAACTTAGCGGTTTTAGCGACGTGGGACAACTGCAGCAACTGCAGCCCCTGCAGGAGCAAAACACTCTCCAGCCTGGAAGCCATAATCCATGGGCGACTACTCCCAAGCCTCAAGAATCTCTCATGCCTCAACCAACCGGATCGAACAATCCATTCGCACAATCCTTCAACCGCCCGCAAACGGCGCAGCCACAGAGGCAGCCGACTCTCAGCACTTTGCACGAACAGAAGACGCAAACCCAATTCAACAACACAAACTTCAACCCACCTGTATCATTCGCTCCGCAACAGGCCGCACAGCCTCAGAAAGAGGTGGATCCCCATCAGGCCAGGCTCAACGCCCTCCTTGCCTCAGGTGAAGGTCAAGACACATTTGGGAATACTGGTAATCTCCGTATTCCGGCCCAGCACACTGCTCCTGGAACATTCGTGAACTCTGCTGGCTCAGGCTTGAACAGAATCAATGCTAATGCTACCGGGAATAACCCCTTCCTCAACTCCCAATTCACGGGCATGCCGCAACAGAACCGGATGGTGCCAGCTCAGACTGGTCCTGCAAGTGGATTTGGGGCCAACCCCTATGCTAGCAGCAATCCCTTCGGAGGAGCCCAACACCAGCAGCAGCCTGGGAGCGGCAACCTGATAGACTTGTGACACAAGGAGCAAGTGGGTGCGAGTGTTTTGCCAATTTCTTATGTTTGATATTTAGAGCGTGCTGTTACGACCATTGTTCCCCTTTCAGTTCGTCCCTTCATTGGGCTCGCAAAAGCTTCATGGGCGGAGCTTTTGAGCTGCCCCGGCTCTTCATGGATATGGATACGGAGTGGTATCGTACAATTCGACTTAGTTCACTTCACGGGCACGGAGGCTTTTCTTTTTCTTGATCTGCATGCCGGCGGGTGGGAAACTTTGCAGGTGGCGCGACTTCCTTGCTTCGTGCAGGAAGAAAGTGAGAGAGGTGACGTTTTAGTGATTCTATCAAACTGAAAGTGTATCTCAAATGTCTTTATAGACCGTGGAATAGCTTCGACGCGCAAGCGTCAATGACAAAATTGGGCATTGAACGCTGCTTTTGCCATCTTCAGGAAAGTCACGAAGAAATTACTTTTGTCAACATTTACGACTGCACCTTTTTGTGAGTACCTCCAGGATCTGAAGACACCCTAGCGTGCCAAGACTATGCATTCAGGGCTAGCCGAAGCAGAAAGTCTGAGCTACAAAAACCCTTGTCATGGTTAACGTCAAACGCCACAGTGCTGCCGCATATCATTTATACTGCCGCCTCCATTCACCACTTGGAAGCGAATTAGATTCTTAATTGGTTTTCTTTAGATCCTAGTATCACTTAACCACAATATTCCACCCCACAACCGCGCGCATTCACCGCAAACCCTTACTTATCACCCACCATGGAATTGCCGTACTCACCGCGACGAAAACGTCGCCGCACGTGCGAAACACCTTCCCCTCGCATCCTCCGATCCACAACCATGAAGCGCCGCCCTCACCTTCCAGCGCCTGAGCCAGGCGCTCTCACCGGTTTTCCAGAGCCCACCATTCTCAACACCTCACAAGTCATAGAGGAGAAGCAGTTCCCATTGATAGAATTACCCGCCGAACTCCGCATCTACATCTATCGCATGGCGCTCCAGCGCGCTACACCCTTACTCCTTCATCTCCCTCGTCCCTCCATAGATGTATCCTCTTCTGAAGTAGACAACTTGAGTATGAAACTTAATCAACGGGCCCTTCTAGCCGGCAAGGAAGCGCGCAGGCGACGTGCCGACCATGGCCACGATGATGTCCTCGCTCCCGCACTGCTCCGAACCTGTTCTCTGGTGTACAAGGAGGCCCGACAGATTCTCTACTCAGACAACACCTTCGTCTTACAACTAGACAGTGGGATCCATACGCTCAGCAACCTCCACCAACGCAGTCGTAGTCTGATTAAACACGTTTCTCTGACTATAACTTCCCACCACGACATCCTGGACGGGTTTGCGGATTTGGTGCGTCTGGGATTGCGGTATTGTTGGGGGCTGAAGACTTTCACGATTGCTCTTCCGTGTTGCTTTACGGATGATAAGTTCATGGGCAGTACGACCAGTGTTTATGCAAATGCGTTTCATATTTTGCGGTGGTTGACCAAAGGGTGTGCGGTTCGTCTTGAGGGCAATGTTAGTGAAGCTATAAGGAGAGTGGTGGAGGATGAGGGGAGGTTGCTGAGCATTCTTGATCAGGTATGTTGCTTTTTTTTGTTATATTTTTAGAAGGGTGGGATGAGCTTGTGGCTGACGGTGATAGACGAGCTACTTGAAACGGCAACATCAGATGCCAGGCAAGTTGGACAGGAAGAACGGGATTCGATTCTCCGCAGGGGAACCTGGTATATCCTGCTACTACGACGGGACTTGAGATCGGGTTTGATGGGTTATGGCAACCTAGCCAAGGGAAAACAGGATGGTGCCTTGGGTTTTCTACGGCTGGCAGGCTGGCGGGCTTTAGGATTGGTTTATTTGGCCCAGGTGGAATAGTGCTAGGTATTGCTTTTTGGGAATTCGGGGGATGCGTAGACGATATGTTTGATTATTTGTACTTGTAGTAGCTCTTGTCTTATTAAGGTCTGTGAGTATCTTACGGCGGTGGTTATATTTATTAATCAACTGGCTTTTGAGGCAAAGATTGGATGATATCTGGCTCATGGTTTGGGATAGAACCCTTGCATGGAATTCTGTGGGATATGCTGTTGTGTCCTGTTGGGCAGGGAGGTTGTGTTGGTGCGTGCATTTGGAAGAGTGGTTAATGGGGGTTTATGGTCTGGTATGGTCTGGAGACTCATTCCATGGGTGTTTGGAAGGTTTATTCTACATCTACAAAGTGCGCGTAGGTTGTCGATTCGCCATACTCTAGACCCTTTGCTCTCAACAGTACTGCTTCGAGTGAGATTGGTATATGTGTTGAACTCATGTGTGAACGGTGTATAGCATTATGGAGGAGCTCTGAGGAGAGCTGTCCCCGCGGTATAGTCTTTTTGGCGACTTAGCGGAATGATTTGTGTGTCGAAAATCACGCTAGAGTTGCTGAGGCTAGATAGATCTGAATGCAGTAGATGGGTCAAATCCTCTTAGAAACGGTTTAAAAGAATTAGTAAATAGTTTAAGATGAGGCTTGAAACAAGGTTTGTGGTTAAAGTGGGGGCTGGACCTTACCTTGCCATTTACAGGTGTTTTGTTTTGTTTAGGTTTTGCTTTGGTCCTTGGAACTTGGGAAAGGCTTGCTCCCTTGTTTGTGGACTGGTACATTCTTGTTTTGGGTGTGTTTGCGTAGGAACACCCGCCAGGACAGGGGTGTTTGAGTGTATTGAGGACCTGGCGCTAGGAAAAAGGTACTTTTCATATCACACTCAAATACTGTTTAACCCAAATAAATAGGACTTAAATAATAGATAAAAGAGAATAGAGTTACACATGTAGGGTAGGAAAGTGTGAGGGCACTGTGTGTTACGAATGACGATTCGACCAGAACCCTGGACGTCGAAGAACCCTCCGATAGGATGATTCCGGAGGTAAGCAAGTCTACATAGGATGATGATCAGTGTGTCCAACCGTTAGTTACGGAGCCTTTTGGAGGCTGTATAGTACAGTTACGGAAGAGGAGGCTGTTACTAACTAACTGTATAGAGGAGATAACGTCAGTGTACAGTTAGGATACAGTAACTAAAGTATATTAAAGTATTATAAAGTAATTGCGCTAAAGCTAAAGACTATTCCTAATTAAAAAGTTATAATACCTCTTATAAGATTTACTGTTGTTAATTTTACTGTTTTAATGTACTCTATAAGCTTAGTTAGCTTACTAGTAATAGTGTTATTGTGAGAGCACTGTGAAGCAGGAAGCATGAAGCGCAGAAGGGGGTACAGGATAGTATTGATAGACAAATCCTTAAGGAGACTTAGGGGTTTGTGAGAGGATATATATATATGTGCTAGGGCACGTGACAGGACGTCATGTGCCTAAGGCTGGGCTAAGGGCTCTCTAGGGAGAGTCTAAGGCATGTCTAAGTTAACTGTGACATGGCCCCCCTTCTTCTGCAGGCTGTCCTTAATCCTGCAATTAGATAGGTAGGATATCATAGTAACTTAGACTAGCCCTAGGCAGACCTGCGGTGGGGACTGTACAGGTTACGCTTAGGTAGTACTTATTACTAGTAACTAAACTTTAAAAAACCTTAGTAAGAGAAAACTATGTCTAAAGAAGTATAACTAGGTAATTTAAAATATTATTACTAGCACTATAGCTACTAATATAAGGTGTTCTTATCTTATTAAGTTAAGCCTAATGTTACAATCCTTGCTTCCTAGAAGCACGTAGGTTAATGTTATCCCTAGGGGTAGGGCAGAATGTAAGGGGCCAACAGTAGGGTGTACAGTCCTACATAATAGCTATTAGGCTAATAGAGTAGGGGTAGAGTGACTAGATTATAGTTTGTCCCTGTAACAGCAGTATAAAGGCTAGGTTAAACAGTCCTATTAGACAGAATTAGAGGTATATATGTTGTAAGATATATAAATAGTATTATAGCTTTTTAGAAAGCTAAAATACTACTTAGTCTATATAAAAAAAATAAACTAAATGTTAAACATACTTTTTAAAAGTTTATTTAAGCTAAAACTATATACATGTCTAATAGTGCTAAGAATAAGTTAGTTAAGTTTAGATAAGTTTACTTAAAGCAACTTATTTAACTTACTTAGACTTGTTCTATTCTCTTAGCTTATCCTTCTATTAGATAGTACATTCTTTTATAATTATAGGCAGCTGTGCTGCCTTTGTGTCTTTTAATTAGTCTATAAGCAAGCTCTGTTCTAACATAGCTAGGTTATAAAACACTGCAGGTAGAGTTACATTAGTCTAACTATAGACTGTAACACGCTGCTTTCTTTTTTAAGCAGCGTTCTTGCTGCTTTGCTTACATAACTATGTTAGTAAAAAATTATTTATTAAGTAAGTGTCTACCTGCTAAAAGGCGTCTGTTATATCTATCTTTTTTAAACTAAATAGCTTGTTAGTCTTACTTATTCTATTGTCTATTGTTACGGTCTACAGTTGGACCAGCGTAACTCCACCAGCAGTGCTCCACAATCTAGCTGGTTTGGAACAGGGCTCGCTTACAGACTAATTAGAGGACACAGAGGTAGCACGGCTGCCCGAAACTATGGAGGAATGCGTCGTCTAATGAGGAGACAGGCCACGTACTAATGGGAGCTTAAGGGAGCTTAAGGAGCTCTCCTTAACAGACTCCTATAGACTTCTCCTGCTCCCCTTAGCGCACCTAGCACATGTATATAGTTTGCACATTAAACAACTTTTAAAAGGTGTGTTTAATATTTAGTTTATTTTTTACATAGACTAAGTAGCATTTAGCTTTCTAAAGAGCTATAATACTATTTATATATCTTATACTATATATACCTCTAACCTTGTCTAATAAGACTGTTTAACCCTAGCCTCCCTACTGCTGCACATAGGGCAAACTATAATCTAGTCACCCTAAAGAAACCCTCTATTAGCCTATTAGCCTGTACGTAGGACTGTACACTCTACTAGATTAGCCCCTACTATCTGTCCTACTCCCCCCCTAGAAATCCCTATAGACTTAAGTGCTTTCTAAAGCAAGAATTATAATATTAAACACTACCCTCTTTAAAAAGTATAGCTACTTTATAACATAATTTAGATTTTAACATAGCCTATACTACACTATTAGGATCTATAGAAGTTTCTACTTAAAGCAAAGCTATCCTAGCAGAACAGATTAATATAATTTAGAATAACATTAAAAAACTTTAGTAAATTAGTAATAAAGTTAGCAAACTACTAAAACTTAAGTAAAAAATTACTAACTTTTACTAAAAAGTAGTAGAATTATAGAACTTTTTTAAACTTTTAAGCCTCTAAAAAGCTACTAACTAAGCCTACTAAATACATAAACTATAAGTAGAGTTAGTAAAAATCTAAAACATCTTAATAAAGAAAGTAAGCATTATAGCTAAAAAAAACTTTAAAACTAGCCTTTTTAAAGCCTTTTAAAAAATTATTAAAAGACCTTTAACTATTCTTTACAAGATATTACCTTTATATATAATATAATAAAAAAGTATTTTAGACTAATATAGAAATAATATCCTAAATAAGATTACACTTAAAAGGCCCTTTTATAATTTAGTTCTAACTTTACATAGATAATTAGATAAACTTTAAAGTAAATAGTAAAGCACTTACCTCTAAAATAAAAAAAATATTTAGTAATATTAAAAATTTTAAAAAAGCCCTAACAGCTATTTATAAAACCCTTAATAAAAAAAAATTGCAGCTAATAAGTTAAATACTATAAAATAAAGAACTAGTCTAGTCTAGAACTATGCAGCACACTTTAGAGAATAACTAGCTATCTGCAGATAGATAGACTAGAAGGCTCTCTGCTGCATGTTCTATAATAAATTAAGTAAAATAGTAAAAGATAAATTTATACATAGTAAAAAACTAACTACTTTTAAAAACTTTATTACATAAGTAATAACCTATAATAACTATTACAAGAAGCGTAAAAAAAAAGAAATAAAAAGGAACTTTTTAAAGACTAAAGTTTATTTCTAAAAAGAAAAAGCTTTTATAATATAATAAAAAACTAATAGACCTTAGTTACATAAAGCATACACAAAGCCCCCCTCTTAAAAAGAGCTAAGTTCTAGAATGTAATAAGCTGCCCTTAATAAAGAAATAATAAAAGTGGCTAAAAAACAAGGCCTGCCTAAACTATAAAAAAGTAGGACATTTCTGCTAAAATTACTTAAACTTTTAGAAGAGAGAGAATAAAAATACTACTGTAATAATAAAAGCTATTACTGCTAAATACAGCTTTATAAATAAGAAAATATTAGAAAAATTAAATAATAAACTTTACTAGTAATATAAAGAAAACTATTTTTTAAGCAACTACTTTAAAGCATATTAAAAAGTAGTTATTTAAAATTTTAGTAGCTTTAATACAGTATTACAGGACCTTATAATTTTTAAAGAATATAAAGAAGAGACTTAGATCTAAGAATATATTATAAATGTTTAAAAAAAAGAAAAATAGTTCCCCCTTTAAGACTAGACCTTTAGCACTTTAGTAAAAGAGCTTTCTTAATAGTTTTAAGAATATAAATGCTAGAAGTGCAGTTTATAACATAACTACTTAAGTTATTACATAGTCTTACTTTACTAGATAAACATTAGTAATAACTACTTTATATTTAACATTATATAATAAATAGCTAGAGTTAAGTATAATATTATAAATAAAAAAAAGTAATAGTAGTTTTTTATTAAAGTTAGAGATTAAAAACTAAAAGGACTAGGCAGACCTGCTAGGTTTAAAGTTCTAAAGCTAGCACTAGGAAAACCTAAGACGCTACTTCTAAGTCTAGTAATTAGCAGAAAAGCCTTAGTAATGCAACAAAGCTATAGCTAGTGCGCCTTGTGCAGAAGTAAAACCTATAGCACTAATA